GATTCAAAAGCTTATTTAGTGGTAGTGGGAAAGGGCTTCATTCAAGTGTATAATGAGGACTATTTCAAAACCTTTTTATATATTGTCAACATGACTTATGTTTGTATCTTTTTGCTTTGACAATTTGGTTCTCTTGATCTCTCTATCAATTAGATGTCAAGAGTACTTACCTTTATGATAATTTACAATAAAATATATGTATAAAACAACCAAAAAGATTTCTAGCTTAAAAAAACTTTGGTAACATATGTGGCCAATAAATATATCTATAAATTTTAAAACAATATGTAAATTCTGATTGGATCAAGTGAATAACATCATATTAGAATTTGGTATCCAAAGATTTAGTATTAATTATTTTATCTTTTATGATTACTTCTCAACCCATTATATTATGTTGATTGTTTATTTTGATAACATAATTATCACTGAGAGTTGAAGCTCCAAACTTTCTTATAGAGATCATTTATAACCAAAGATATGGAAAATCTTAATTATTTTCTTAACATAAAGGTTATTTGATTTAAGAAAGTTGTCATCATCAATCGATAAAAATAGACACTTAATATTCTTGAAAAAATATATATATCAAGGGAAAAGTTTATTGACATTCTCATAAATCCTAATGTGAAGTTCTCTAACTATAAATGAGTACTAGAAGTTTCAAGGAGTTATTGAACCATAGTTAGCAAGTCAAATTATTAAACTATCCCTCAATCACACATTTCATTTTCTTGAATCATAGTGAGTCAGTTTATAGACCAACCACATAATGTACATCATGTAGCTTTTATGAGGATTTTGTAATATCTCAAAGAAAACTCATACTAAGGACTATTGTACAAGAACTATGTTCATCTTACAATCCAAAGATTTTCTAATATTGACTAAGTTGATGGTGACATAGATATAAAATCTATAATTAGTTATTACATCTTCCTAGGTGGAAATCTTATATCGTAGAAAAACAAAAAAGTAATATATGATCACAAAATCTAGTGATGAATCTAAGTATAGAGCAAGGACGCACTATATGTGAACTAATATAGATTTATCACTTTCTTTAAGAACTCGATTTTTCTCATTAATGTGTTCTAAGGTTTTGATGTGATAATCAAAAAATCATTTATATTATTTCTAGTCATGTGTTTTATCACAATATTTATTGAGGTTGATTGTCCCTTTATTAGAAAAATAAGATATAAGCACAAGTCATTACTATTGTAAATGTCAAGTATCCAAATCAACTTGTAGATGTAATCTCAAAGCCTCTAAATGTTCACAAGATGAAATCTATAAGTAACAAACTCTAACTTCAGGGGAAGTGGAAAGGGAAAATGAGCCCAAAGACATCCTTATAAATAACCTCTTTAAGTGTTAAGCGCACATAAACCTAAAGGAGTTGTCGTCATGAAATGAACTTGTAATTTTTTCCTCTTGTATTAAACCTGAACATGTCTGCAATTTTAAGCGAACCAAGATTATGACATTACATTTCATTTCAAACCTAGGCATTAAATTTCAAAACTTCTAAGTTGAGTTAACAATCAACACCCAACAGTCTTCTATACTGTCATTCCACCCATTAAAATCAGATACAATCTAGAAAATATCTTCGATTCTTGATTATCTAGTTACCCAACGCCCATGAACATTCAAGTGGTATTTTAAACTTATCATCACCATGAAAAGGGATATCTTATTATGTTAAATGTTTGGGACAATTAACATTTAGACTTTAGTGAACTAATAAACCTGGTATGCAATATTTTGATAGACATGACCACTACCCAAGAGTTATTGATCATTTGGGGAGAATGGTCGACATTAAGAAGATCAAAGGAATGTTGATCCCAATGTGTGTTTTCTTGTGTGTCAAGCTACTCCAAGCATGCTCTCTTGAATTATATGATTCAATTGATGTATTTATTTAATATGGGGGGATCTAGCCTACCTTTATACTCCATCTCATATCATTCTCATAAAGACTAACCTCAAAACTTACATGAGCATCGTTACAATTTATTTTTTCGTGTCAGCTGAGTAACATTAATTCAGTAGAACTTCTGGGTTAACTGATAATTCGATCGGAATAAAGAAGGTGTATCCTAAATCCCTTAGCAACTTGCTCCCCCTTGGGGCCCCACATCGCCATCGAAGCCGCTTACCGAGTTCCTTCCGAAAGAAGAGAATACGAAAGAGTGAGGTAGTTCCGGAACTCCTGCACATGCTCTCGGGTCACCTGATAATTCGATCCGAAAAAAGAATGTATATCCTAAATCACTAAGCAGCTTTACTGTATAGTAAAACGGCGGCCAATTGTTCCCCTTTGGGGGCCCCACATCACCGCCGAAGCCGCTTACTGAGTTCCTTCCAAAAGAAGGGGATAGGAAAGAGTTATTAAAGAGTGGCGGTGAGTTCCTTCTTCATCGAGAGGTTCCGAAACTCCTGCCTCGGCCAGCCCGGTACTCGTCTCCCTCGACCGTCCAGCACAGAGAGCTCACGCGTGGCATAACGGTCGGCTTGCCTTTCGAATCCTGCCCCCGCCACCTGTTCGTTTAGATGCCGCGCCGCAGGCTGTCTCTTGTCTGCAAGCGCACTGTGACTTCGAAAAATTATCTTAGAGATTCACCGAGTTAATGACGATGTCTGCAACCTGGTTTTCTAACGCCTGCCCGGCTTCTGCAAATTCAACCCGCTGCGCTTGACCCGTGGCCCGCGGCGACCCCGCCGAAGTGCTCCTGCCCAAAGCGGACCGTAACGGGTGGACGCCAACGTCGTGACAGATGGCCGCCTCCATTAATGGTCTCGACGAGGCACCCGCTGTTCTGAGGAAGGAAACGCCGAGAGTGCAGAAGAGACTCTGACGAGGGAGCCCCGGTGGCGGGGGGAAACGAGGGGGCCCAAAACGGCAGGGCAGAGACTTCCAACCCGGAGTTCGACACTTGGCGGTCGCTCTATCCTCTTCGTTTGTCCTGAAGGAGAGAATTCCGCGTGGAAAATAACAACCACGTTTCAGCCAACGAAAAACAGGAGGACAGGAGGGAAATTCAAAGAACTGGCTTTCCCAGCGCCCGAACCCCCCCTCCCCACCTCAGCGACGCGGTCCTCTCTCAGAGTTAATCCGAGGATAATTGCTCCGGTGAACGACCTGGTTCTGTCGGGAGGAGAGGAAGCTTTGCCTACGGGGTCGTTTTGCACTAACTTGATCGGAACAGGATGACCGAAATGCTACCTATGTGATCAAATCCTTGACTCCAAAAAATATACTATCCAATTATGTCTCAAAGAAGAGAGATTTGAGCTCGTTGAAGGCCAGCTGGTCGTGGACTCTGCATGAAGAACCATGCAACTATCCAATTTAGCAAAAACAAAAAATGTTTACGATCTAGTCAAGAACATGACCTTGATGGCCTCTCGAAGATCTGTAGGAGTGAATGCATTACTACCCTTAACCGAACTAAGAAACTGTCTTCTAATTCAAAGATTTAATCAATGAGTAGCCACTGAAAATGATCATTTCTAAAATTAACTAAAACATCTTTAGTACCCGGATGGGATGGCTTCCTAGAAGCCACATTATTAGTGAAACTGGCATGTACGACCTAATTCACTTGAATTTAGATAATTTTGAATCTATACAAAGATACTTTCATCAAATATTGTATTTAGTATCATTTTTTAACCATTTTTTAGAAAAAAATAAGTTCAACATAATGAGAAATGTCATTAATTTAATACTAATCGATTGCTACAATAACATCCTGAGCAATTCACATTGTCATCATTGTTACCGATTTCTCCGATACCATCTAGGGCAATTCACCTTATATCGTCACCGTACACGTGTAGCATTCGATATGCCACCACTCATGAATGTGCAATATATATTTAGCCCAAATGCTAAGGGGTACTCATTGAAAAGAATTGAGGTACTTAGGCTCCATAGGAAGGCGTAGAGTTACCTTCTCAATTCTGCCAAAGATTTTGTGATGGTGTCCTTGAGGTCAGTCTTCTTGTCTTTCACCCATTCAAGATGTGTGTTATTCTATGTTGCGCACGAGGTTTTAGTCCACCGGTGATTGATCTATGCTTCTTTTTCAAGATAGAAGAATGGCTATGATCTTGATCACCAATATTGGTTTTTAGTCTTTTGTTCTCGTTATATCATCATCATCCTCATTATCATTGTCAAGATCTTTGAGATTGTAGATCTACTACTTGTTTCAATAACGTCTTTTCCTTTTTTAGTGCTTACCATAATCACACTAACAAGACTATTGCAGGCAAGAGGAATGTAGCATTTTAATCATTCAGGTTCTCTACACTACCATCTATCTATCACCCCACGCATGAAGTTCTACGATCTATTGGTCAGTTTCTGGTCCGGAAATTTTAACATCTGAAACGGATGTTCTCTTATCTTTTTCTCGAGGGAAATATGTTATAGCCCCTATCATTCTGCCTTCACCATCTAAACGAGAGATGGGCTTTTAGTTTTCTTCAACAACGACCGATGTGGTTTTAACCCGTTTTATTGGCCTAGATTCGATCTATTTCAGATTGATATGTTCCACTTCTGCAAGTTTTCGATGTGCGTGCGTCTATTATAAATACATATGGTCGATCTGATCTTTCGGGGGAAATGGAACTATATCATGATATTCTCTCTCCTATTCAACGAGAACTGCATCCGTGTGCATGCATGTAGATGTCGGTATAAGATTTTTTTTATCCAGGCGTGGGATCTTTTCTAGTCATAGAGGGTTCTCATCCTTTCCGCTCGTTCGGGTGTTACGTAAGTCGATGCTCCCATTTGTTAGGTTCTCCCTCCTTTTTGTTGTACGGACGAGACGTCGATTCTGATCCCTCAATACAAGCCGAGCAAAAAACGCTACGCCTTTTTATTTTTTTATCTTGGCTTCCTTCCTCTCCTCTTCTTGTTGAGTTTCTTCAGGGGGGCTGATCTACTCCTCGATTGTCGCAGAAAGAGCAGGACGATGGTGATGACAGCGGAGGGGTTGAATAGAAACAGGAGGAGTGCGAGGCTGCAAGAGCTGGAGGAGAGGAAGAGGGTCGAGGAGGCGAATCGGGCAGCGGCGGCCGCCGCTGCGGCCCCTGAGGACGGGCAGCCGTCATCCACCGTGCGGCGAAGAGGGAGAAAGAGGAAGCACGTGTTCGATGTGACAGTTAATGTCGTTAATCAGGTGCCCCCCCTCCGCCCCAGCTTGGCCGGCCACCATCGTTCTTTGCAGTCTTACCATGAAAGTCAACTAGATTATTAAGTAATTAATGTCACCAGGGCCCACCATCCTTCACCCCACTATTTCAGGAGCCATCGCGGAGTCTCCCTTTCACGGAGTGGCCTTTCTAGCCCACAGCTTGTCCAGTCAGTCTCATGCCTCCTGTGATGACTCACTCGTGTTCCGTTTCTCAGCTTCTTTGACCAGGACAGGCTGGAAGGCCGTCATGTCTTCATAATCATCATCCTCACCCTTCATAATCTTATTCAGAATCAAGCAGCCACTGGATATATGATTTGACCAAGTCGTGAAATTCTATAAATTTCGAGTAATTTTCTTCCAACAAATGCATGCACGTATGCAGGAACGGAGTGATATCCCGTTTTATAGTTTCCATTAACATCTCACTGCATAATTATCCTCATCCTTTTATGATTTTATTAAGGATTAAGTGGACTCCTAGAGGGGAGGATCTGGAAAATGAAGAGAGGATTGATAAAATTTTAGAAAAAAAATCTGGGAATTATTGTTCAATGGTTAATACTTAGATTTGTGTGCACAGGAGCTGAGAACTTTCCCGTGGCAATCTGGGCTGTTGAACGGTAAAAATTATCTTCTCCCTGATTTAACTGTTAGTAGCCGCTGTCATTACGATGAAGACGTGCCTTCTTTTGTTTTAAAATCCAAGACTCGCTAATTACCTCATTTGTTCCTGTATTTAGCTGGACGTCCCATCACTGATCTGAATGGGACGCCTTTGCCCTGCAAGAAAGCCTTGGAGTCAGTGCTCGATGTGCTGCAGATGTAAGTTCCCTTGTCTCCTTGGTTGGATTGCCATCATGGGGATGGGCACTAGATGAAAGAGAAGAACTCTCTCTCTCTCTCTCTCTCTCTCTCTCTCGATATCTAAATATATCTAGTTGCATTTTAGAGTATGCAACTATTTATAAAGAGTCGGAAAAATAGTCTTCAATCACGAAGAACGGTCTCCGGATAAATTTACTGTTTACCCACATTTCAGGATGGACTTTGAGGGTGATCTCGCGATGCCCGGCAATCTCCAGGTAGGCTTTGACCATATCTTCGTCTGCGTACATCTGTACGAGGTTGACAAAGGAGATAATTTATGAATACAGGACAGGGGGATTGAAGACAATCTTAGAGATCCCCAGGATCTGGGAACCGTGAGGGCGAAGCTTCATGAGCGATTCTACGCCACTCTCGAGCAGTTCGAGGTCCCCCCAACCCCCCTCCCTTGTCGATATTACCCCCGTTTGATCCAAGATTTCCTCGTTATTCAGGGTCATCCTCTCAGAATGACTCTTTCTAGTTTAACTTGTTTACGTGAGATTTCGCGGCGTTGCAGAAGGACGTTTACTCAGTGACATCCGGTGCAAAGCTTCCCAACCCACCCGAATCGGCCATACACAAATTGGTGAGTCAGATCTCCGACACCGACCCCATCCCCCCCCCGGTTGGAGGAGGTTGCCGTTCTCAAGCTCTCCGGGTTCTCCAGGCAACGGAGATAGAGAAGAAGGCGGAGTACATCTTCAACGCCATCAGAACCCAGCCGGGCTTCGAGTTGAGGATCTTGAACTGGGCCAGGGACAACGAAATCAACGGGAGAAACGGCGGAGTTAGAATTAGTGATGCCAGCAATGACAGCCCACCCCCGTGGGCGGCGCCTCCGAGCGACGGCGCCAACACCAGAGTCGAGGCGACAACCATCGCACCACCGCGCCGGCCGGCGAATGTCTACAGAGGACCCAGAAGGGGTGGCTATGCGCGCGCCGTCGTCCACGTTGGAGAAGAAAACCGAAGAACAGCAATTGAAATGTCCGACGGTAAGAACTCGTCACCCTTGGCGAACCGGTGCCCCTCGTCCAAAAATGTCTTCGCATTTAGAATTTAAAACTGAGATTCACGTGTATACATTTTGCATACTTCTAATGATTAAATCAAGTGCCATATATTCATTTATAGTCTTAGCTCGGCGGCACGTTGAATCTTTACCGCCATTTTCTCATCAACAGGGTGCAGTAACGGCCGCCAACCCCAACGGCGCTGGACTTATCAGCCGCCGCCGCCGCCGCCGCCGCAAGACAACGTACATGAAGCGCTGGAGTTTGTGAAGGTAAGCTCTACCGTGGGGTAGAAGAGTAGGAACCACTCTCGCGCTCTCTTCTTGCCGACTCTGACGCACCGATTTCTGTTTACTGGCGCCACCAGGTCGGAAGGGAGATATCGTACGAGCAAAGCGTGAAGAATTTCCTCCAGGATGCCGGCTCTATGGCGGAAGGCATCGCCCGGCGGAAAATAGAAGAGCAGAGAGCGGCCATAGAGGAGAAGGGGAACAGGGAGAACCAGCTTCCTCCCCCGACGTCCGCTCCGTGGAATCCGCCGCCAGTCACCGCCGCCGAGGTTAACTATCCTGCCCCTCATCTCTCCAACACCTACTCAGAACTCAACACAGCAGCTCTGGGCGGCATTCCCCCTCATGGCCAGAAAGGTGAAACAAGACTCTCTCTTGTTCCTGTCTATGATTCCACCGGCATGGGACGACTCTTGGGGTCTCCATTCTCCGGTACAGTTCCCCCCGCCGCGGGAGCCTTCTCACTTCAAGAGCCCTCCTCCATTCGAGTTTCCACCGATAAATTCAGCTCCCCACTCTTCATTCCACCTTCTTCAAGTCCCTCTGTGCTCTCGCTCACATTTCCCGTTTCTGCTGGCTTCCCGGGCTCATCGTTCTCCATTCCAACTTCTGCGGGATTCCTGGGGTCACCGCTCTCCACTCCAACTTCCGCGGGTTTCATGAGCTCACCACTCTCTATTCCAACATCTGCGGGACTTGTGAGCTCGACGGAGTCAATTGCCGCCTATGCCAGTCTGCTAAGTCCCCCTCCCTCCGTTCCACCTTCCGCTAGCCTCGCCAGTCATTCTCATTTCACCCCCGTCAGCACGGGGAGTTCTTTCCCTGCTCCGGGCAACCAATTTTATTCCTCCTCTGCGAACGCCACAACTCCCCCGGCGGGCGGACTTGGGAGTTCTGCAAGAAGCGCCGGTTCACCTGTGCAGGAATCTTTCAATAGCTACTGTTTTCTCGGAGCAAGCAACTTCAACCCAGCTCCTCTCGACTGCGGCACTGCTTCGGGGGTGACCAGGAACTACTCGTCGGTGAAAGGCCGCCAGGTCGGCACAACGGTCGGGGGAAGCTCGAGCCGGCTGCCAGTGGAAACTATGGACACGAACCAGTATCTGAAGTCCAGCGGCGACACCGTCCGCTGGAAGAGTCCCGATAGCAGACGCATTGTCCTCGGACTTAGCACCCCAGCTGCCACGGCCTTCAGGGCCCAGGGACGGAGGAAACCAGCAATAACTCAAGCTCGATCAGAACCTAAAGCTGTGGAGCCGTCTCAGTCTGCGATCAATCTGAAGCTTCTCCTATCCCGGCTCGGGGAGAACCCATGGGGGGTGAATGGTATATCGTCACTCAGGCCCTCGACCTCCGCCGCCAACTCCAGCAACCCGGGCATTACTACTCGCGCACTGACCTCCGGCCCAGCGGCGGAGCTGAACACCCTCAACTTGCTCGGAGATCGCCAACCTGACATCAACCTCAACCTTTGAAGGTCTTCGGATTACATCTCTATCTTCTATGTTCGTAGTTGGATGAAGCAAGGACTTGACTCAGTCGCGTTCGATTCAGTGTGTCGGTCGAACAACTGCGTGGGTTTTATTTCCATTCAACGTTTTTGTGTTACTAGCAGTTTCAGACATGGTATATCCAGTAGCTGTGTTGCTTTCTTCGTCAGTCTTCTGTGTTGTTATATAATGGCATGTTGTAACAGTTGCTTGGAGGCCGGTCCTGTGAACTCCGGCGGTGGAAAAGACGCAAGACTTCTCACCGATGAAGTCGCCCTTTCGAATGGGAAGGACGAGCGAGATACATGAAGCAAGAAGGGAGTAGAGGCGAGGATTCGTTCTCCATGGAGCTCTAAGGAGGCGGAATCTCTTTCCGGCTCAACTTCTCCATTAAGTCACCGTCGCCGTCTTGATAAGGTCCGACTCGGGGCTTTCCGGCGAGACCCAAAATACCAGCGGCGTTTTCGACGGTAGATGAGGCGCCGGACTTCTCACCGCCCAAGTCGCCCTGTCGAAGGGCGACGGAGTCGAGGAGAGGAGAGGGCTCAACCCCAAAGCTGCACAAGGGAGAGACGGAGGTCGTAGGTGACCCCCCGCCTTCATTGACGTGCGGCCTCTGCCACCGCCTCGATCATGTTAGCCGCCGCGCTCCATCGGGCAGTGTATGATCCGAGTTAACAACGATTTCCAACCGGATCAAAAAAAGCACATTTTTATTATCTGATTCGGTATTTATACCCTTCAGCCACTGTCGAATTTCGAAGATGCCCAGGAACTAACGCGTCTGCGCAGTGTTCATCCGCTCGAAGCGTGGAGTCCGGGATAGCTATAAAAAAGAGGGAGAAACTTCTGCGTTCCCTCCTTTAATGGTTTATGGCCTCGTCTCCCTTCCCCGCAGCCTTCATCCGCTTCTCAGCGACTCCACAGAATCCCAACAAGAAGAGTAGAAAAGCTCCGCCGATCACCATTTCCACCAATCGTTCGTGCATCGACGTTGTCCACCTCCGCGAACTTCTTCACGCCTCAGGCCACTCTTGCCACAGGTTTCCCACTGTCGGTGCTGATGGCCGGCCCGAGCCGGTGGATCTGGGAAAGCTCAGCAGGGCAGTGGCGCACAGCCCCGTCGTCGTTTCGGTGTTTTGCAAATCGAATTTCCCTCTCGGCGACCAAGACCCGGGCGGAATCTCCCGATTTACGGGGTTCGAGCAGATGTTTGAGAGGGCTGTCTCCGTTCCCGACCCCGACTCGCTGCTAATTGGCTTTGGCCGGGCTGTGACCGATGGTGGATTGACGGCTTCGATTCATGATGTCGTGGTGAGCGAACTCATCGCTTCTGATACTTTCTCTAGTTTGCTGGATCACAAATTCATGGGATCATGGTCTCCATTTTCTGCGAACGATAACCTATATCTAGTACCATCCAGCTGTTCCCCTTCAGCTGGAAGCATAGGTTGGAAACTGAGTACCCCAGAAATCTCAATTCCATAACTTAACGCCCGGTCTGGTTCTAATAATCTCATTTCTGCTTGTTTTCTTGTATTTTTTGATACCCTTGATTGAGGGAGAGGATCATTAACATTGTTTTATCATAGATTTGAGATTATAGTTGGCCGTGATTTTATGCAGATTTATTTTATGCATATTTTCCCGTGATTCACCAGCATATATTATTCGGTCATTCAGTGGGAAATCCCCGAGTTGCTGTTTGGAATTTGGAATCCCTGTCAAGAAATATTTTTTTCCGATAAATTCCTTTAGCACTTTCGTGCAGCGAACGAATTGTGACCATTAGACACAAACGGGCGGCCGTCCCGGAATCCATCAAGAGATGAACTTTTCTCGCGGTTTTATGACATGTGTCATTTGAGATAAGTGTCCACTATCCATGCAATCACGTGGATAATAACGTTTTCTACCTATATATGTTCCCTGTTTCCTAACCAAATTAACTAAAATCTATGTCTTCTTTGTCTCTGTAAGGAAATCAGATTCTGCAGCAGTCCTTTTTTCTTTTTCCTTCGTTTAGGAATGTATTACGGAAAAAGAGGATCTTGGTTATAGTCTGAATGGTGTCAGATAAGACAAAAGGCCATCCTCTGAGAAGTTTAACTATGATTATGACAGCTGTTATGGGTTATTTATCTCATAGATATTATTATTATCCCGGGATTTCATGTTGTAGATTTGATTTTTTTTAAAGCTTTTTTATTAAATTTGCGTCCACACTCACAACAGAATGAGCGAGATCTTGGAGATTCGTTGTTATTTCTTTGTTGTGACGAGTAGGATCATATCCCCTGTCATCCCCTCGTTCACCCTGATGATGGAGGTATTTATAGCTGAATGTGATTTTATCTACTGTGACACACAGGTCATGCCATCACTTCAAAGACTGGGAATCGGTCGTAAGATTGTCCAGAGACTCGTAAGGTATGCACAAAGAGTAGGGGGTCTTCGTGACAGTAATATTATTTTTCTTTGTGTATGATTTCTTCCTACTATTCTGTGTTTTTCTCTTGATCACGCTCTGTTTTCTAGAACTGTGTGTCTTTGTGACGTCTCCTCACGCAGTTTCACATCTCAACAAAATACTTGGTCTCACATATCCAAGCACACTGTCTGGGTTTCTCTCTTGACACGGACCCTACTAAATCGGCATGGGAAATCACTAAAAAGGGGGAGTTCATGTCAAAAGGTTCCCTTTGTTTAATAGTCTGCTTATTCTTTGTTATGATGGAAGTTCAACCTACTCTGAAGAAGCTCTGAAGCACAGTCTGAGCCAAAGGACCGTATACACATATAGTCAGGTTTCAGATTTTCTAGAATTTTTCTCAGGAACCTGTAATTTTATCTTCTTTGACCCTCAAATCAGAATTTACATTTCTGAGTGCCATGGTGTCAGGAGAAACTGAGATTTTCCAAGGCATTCTAATGTCTGAAACTGATGGAACACCACCATTTCAGAATTTAGAAGGATATCCGGAGCCTGAACATATTTTCTTTCTCTTCCATGATGAACGGGCATCATGGGAAACAGTTTCAGGTTGAAAAATCGAAGCCTTTAAATTAGCTTTTCTTTTTCTCTGGGTGTTAACGGGTGTTCTATCTATCTTATGAAGAATCAGCTAGAGGAGGCGCTCTTTCTTTTGCCTTATTGTCCCAAAAGAGCAGGGCTTCAGACTGACAAGAATGCGATCTTGTCGAGGCAGGTTAAGTGATGATCACGATCTTCACTAATGAAATTAGACTCAGAAAGACTGAGAGGAGAGAAGAAAGAAAGCAAGTTCATTGTTCTTCTTTTTCTGTAGGAACAAGTTTACCCAATTCAATTCTTCCTCTTCTATCTTCTGCTCTTCTCACATGCCTAGTTCTGCTTCTCTATAAAGCCATCTTTTTTGCAACTTTTCTCCCGGATCCTCTTTTTCTTCTGCAGTGCCGTCGTCCTATGAAAATTCTGTCGTTATTTACCCCTTTTTTATCACCCCATCATCATTATTGGTGCCGTCCGCCTCACCTCTTTTTCTTGATTTGCCGATAATCTGAAAGCCCGAGGTTTTACGTCACATCAGTCACCTAAGATACTGAACGGCCATCTCCTTAAGTTGTGGCCATTTTGGGAAATGTGAACCACTTCAAATCCATCCCCAAGGAGGAGCTTGACTTGGAACAACAGCCATTTGTGTCAACTGGTAGTACTCATCTGTGCGACGCCTTGACCTGGTCTTGGAGGAAAAAAGAAGTCCTTTAGGATTCAGTCTGGTAGCTGGGTAGTGGCCAACACCTGAAAGTAGCTCTCATGATTCTTCTCATGCGTTTCTTCTCTTGCAGGACGTGGGAGACCTTATAGCAATGTGCATGTGCAAAATCTGTCTCTGCCTTTTTTATTTTAGAGCCCATGTTATGCCGCCAGTATTTAAATCCAAGGCTGTTGTGATTTCTCTCAGGGTTCTCACTAGCAGAGAGATTTATGATATTTCTGCCCTGTGCTCCACAGAGGAGAGGTACGCTCATCCTTTCGCCTTGCAATTCATATTAAGAACTTTCATCGAACATCCGCGGTAGTTAACTACTTATGCAGACGGATTTCAATAATCCAATCATTAAGCTGTACTGGGTATCTGTGAATCAGTCGCTCAAACAGGGTGGGCAGCATGGCTCTCTGGAACCACCCTTTTTTTTGAAAGTGGGTTGGTTGCAAACCTGTTCGATGGTGATCACAGATTTCTTACAATCTCGTGCACGTTTGGTAGGCTCCAAAAGATTTAGGCTTTGAATTGCTTCGCGCTGTTCACAGAGAAAGGGACTCTGCAGAGGAAATCAGGCCCCTCCCCTCATACTGGAAAAATAAAAAATAAAAAATCAGAAGATTCCCTTGCCAAAAAAGAATAGCCTAGGTGAAAACAATGCAGTGTATGCCTTTGGAAAATATTATCTTTGGCAGGATCCACACCCCTCAGGGGAGGTAATCATCTGAGCGATATTTGCTATCACATCCTCTAAACTCATCAGCTCGTTGGCAATGATCGTAGTTTTGCAACAAATTTGTATCTCTGGGTATATCTGACCCGGCTTCCGCTTCCACCTGTTCATGGATGAGACTCTGGGGATAGATGGTGGTCAATAACTTGGATTGAAACTGTTGCTTGACAGCTTTTCGGATCGTTCTCCTCTGATTTCATGCATAAAACCCATTCCATCCACCAGATCACTAACGTCAGAAGCCGTGGCCAGGTTATTTTTCAGGGCATGCGGATTTGGAGATGACATGCTGGGCTCTACCACGATGATGTACACGCGGACTGCCCCAAGTGGTCAAGAGGGAGAATCGATGACCAAACAGGCTGGCCGGATGCTGCTGTTAGCCCCCCCATCAACGAGAAGGGGGTCCGATTAAGACCAAACCGAAGACCTCCCACCTTGCCTGAAGCTTGGACTTGTGAAAAGAGGCGATGGGCCTTCTGCAACTGAGGTTGCGCCATCCCAAAGTGTGACTACAGACAAAGGCTCTGAGCTGATAGCCCAATCGATAAGGTCATCAACGAGTGACCCATGTTTCCGTTGTACTAAGAAAAGTTCTCAATCTAGATTTACCCAGTAAAAAAGTTGGTCTCTTTCGTCAAGTTTCTTCAGAAAATTACTTGTCTCCTGGGAGAATCAGTGTCCAAGGAAGACACAGTCCTAGAAGTCTCCAAGGTCAACTCCTTACGATGTCGTCGCTAAAGCTGAGCTCGAGCGCACGCTCGAAAGTGATCACCGAGACAGAGATAGAGTCAGCATCGAGTTAACCGGAATAGATAGGCGCGCTTCGCGGGAAACTCTTAGCTGTCTGAGCGACGCTGCCCTTCATCTTCCAAGACTCTCACAATCGCTTCCTTCTAAACCCATCTAGATTACGACCCCGAGAGAGAGAGAGAGATTACATTACACGCTGCCAGAGGAGCTACATGTGGCTTTTGAAAAGCGTGCTACTCTGGCTTTGACCCTGAATAGCTATGGAGGTGGAGCTCTTTAGGGTTTCCTCATAAGACGGCAGCTGGTGCTTTAGGAACTCGGGAGTTCCAAGCAGGCCCGCTGAGAGGTGCAAGTATAGCTAAAGGCCGGCCAGATGGGCACAAAAAGTGAGATCCATCTAGTCCCCAAAACCCTAACATGCGCTCGCCGGCGTAAGAACACGTTATTTTCATCTCTTACACAGTAAGTACAGCAAAGGAAGAGATGGAGAAGATCAAGAGAGGTCCCAGTCGCAGCCACAGACGTAATAGCATAAATAAAACATTCCAGTTTAAGCTGAGATATAGGTGACGAAGTCAAACGAGAGATGAGAGGAAGAAGTCAAGAGGAACCGCTGCTTGTGGAAAATAAGCAAAAGTTCCCGTTTTAATCTCTAGAAGAAGATCGAGGGGAAGAACAAGCGACGTCGAAGATCATGAGATCATCGGTTGCATGTGACCAACCTCCGCAGGTCAAGAGCTTCCGTTCGCAAATTATCAGGGGGGAGACGGCGTGCAGAAGAGGAGAGGTGCCTGCAACGAGCGACTAGAAAACCCTCGTGAAGAAAGCTGTTGAGGAGAAACCACAGTGGAGCATGTTGAGCGGAAGAGAAGGAGCCCCCTTCAGTCCAAGCATGAGAGAAAGGAAATAGAATAATCTCCCGCATCATTCACTCATTCACGGAGTAGCACTCTTTCTCCTCCCGCCGTCGTTGAAACAGACCTCCGCGGCGTCCATCCTTGACTGCGTGTTTGAATGAATGAGTCGGCAGACCATTCATACCCTAACCCTCCATGAGTGGACTGAGGGAAGCTCTTTCGAGCCCTCTCACGTCCTCTACCGCTGGAAGAGTGACAACATAGGGCTCTGGTGACAATATGGTGAGACGGAAATCACAAAACCCATCAACAACTCCAGCACAGGCAAGGTTTGGCAAGGGGACTGAAGTAATCTGCACCGAATCCACGAGACCAACTCCACACCCATGGGTAATTTTTTTGTTCGAAAATAAAAAGGTTGAAACTTTCGTAGGCGCCGATTCGTCGAACGGAAATCATCATCCGGAGAAGAAAATCAAATTCTACAGAAATTCGAATCTACTCCGCTCGCAAAAAAATGACAGGATGCATCAAATAAAGCTCAATGACAGGACCCGCTGTGGTCAACGAATGAGAGATAGAAGGATGAATCCCTCCAAGCATTCCAATTCTGATCTGCCCTCTCCACCAAGAGGGTGACGGCGAATCCACAGGATTTGTAACCTGGCTAGAAATGTTCTGAAAGTTCAAAACATTACTCACCCTTACCGAGGAAAAACCTTGTTGGTGTGATGTTACGCCACGTTTAGAATCCCGGAGACCAGTTAGTGCCATCTTCACGATGGTATTGCTTGATAAAGATGAAATCATTCACAACTTCTATACGTTCTGATGAAAAAACGTTATGAAAAGGGAGGCTTTCCACAGGAAGCGCCTCGCAGTGGGGAGCAAAAGAGACGGGGGGGTCAGGCAGTAAATTCGGTATCACAACATCCAGAGAATCGAAAAGAAACTCGCACGCGAGAGAGAGAGAGAGAGAGAGAGAGAGAGGAGTTTACATAATACAGTACTTCAATCAAGTATTTGTAAGAGGTTTCACGATCCACCTTCTCTGAGGGAGAAACCCATCCAAAACAAAAGAAAAACATCACGAATTCGTTTTATCATGCTACAACCAGGTCGATCGCGTTCGGATAGAGAGAGAAAAAACTGTGGATGCTGGCCTTGTTTGCCGAGGGGTTATGTTACAACCTCCTACAGAGAATTATCTGCGGAAGAGTTTGCAACACGCCGATGAAACACTTTCCGTCCGAGGAGGACAAAAGCCATACACCCAGATTCGAAGTCGCAATAGAGGATAGCCATTAACGAGTAGCAGTAAGGTGGAAATGGGAGAAAGAACACCATTAACTAGATGAGAACCTTCGAAAAAAAAACGGTGTTTCTTTGAACTTGTGAGATCAGAGAATTTTGTTCCAAGTAGCGATGAAACCGCTCGTTGTGTCATTTCAGAGAAATACATGAACCAGGAGAGTCCGCCGGGCCATTGAAAGCGGACACTCGTTCGTGCTTCTCGTCTCCCCGGGAGAAGAGGGAAAATTAGCAAACGGAGAAACAAGAGAGGGCTCCCCAAATCGGAAGACTTCGACGCAGGCAAGCAGAGAGAGAGAGAGAGAGAGAGAGAGTGGTTCAAAGACTGGCGGAGAGCCCCCGCAACGGAAAGATAACTTCGAGGGGCCAGGAATGAGAGGGGATTAAATACACAGCCGGGGGAGGATAAAGGTGCGTCGAGGAAGACGATGTCAGGCGGTTGTGGAAGGGGAAGGGGATGATGGGTTGGCACATGGGATGCCACTGCTCGTTCTGGTGACACGCACGGGGCAGTGAACCCGAGGACACGATTCTCGCTGACCATCGAGAGTGTCTAGTCTGGGTCAAGCTCCCCCAGAAGTTCTGCCCAGCAAAATGCATCATCGACACGGCAGACTTTTTCTCTCATGATCCCCCATCTCACAACGAGATCCCCTACGAACCCATTAACCAAAGTTAGGAACAAGTCTTAATAACACATGTTTCAGTCTTTCGGATGTTAACTCCAAGAAATCCCACACATGGACTAGATTACGATATCCCCACTAAGTTACCTCGTGGGCTTTTATTCGCGGCAAATATTGTCCAATTCTGGCGTAAATGGCTAAAATTTGGACGATATTCTCTCGATCCGTTGAACTCCGCGAATACCCGATGATGGGTTGTGCACAAAATCATGTATCCGGTCGCGCGGAAGATCAAAAAAAGTCGTCATCGTTGTTTGTCTGTGATCATCCCTGAGACATCGATGGCTGCATTTTCTTCATAAAGCTGTCTTAAATGGGTTGAATGAAGATGATCCCTCGGATATCATAAGTTGAGTTTCCTTTTTTGTTTCTAAAAACCGAGGGAAAGGGAACTCCAAATTGAGTGTCATGTCTCTTCCAGAAGAGAGTCTCTCTAGGGAGAAGTACTAGCCAAAGTTTCCAGCTTTCAACAGCATGTGAATCAGAGTTGTCAATTGATCACGGTTCACAATTTCTCAGCAACAGAGTTGATTCCCTCTAATAGCGGTTCTCTAGGTAGAGATTTCGATCGTACTCGTGGGTTGTTGACTCTTATGGATGAAGAATTTCTTTATCGAGCTGTTCGATCAGGATCATCCGAATAGCTAGAAGAAGAAGGCTCCTCCCATCGTCCGATCTTCGGCCGAACGCTGCTGGTTATCGTCGTCAAGCCAGATTTTTCAGGGTCTGCTTTCCGCCAGCCAGGCCATGACAAGGATGCCCGGAACCGCGGCGACGGATCACCGGGTTCTTGTGGTATTGCCTCGGTAGTCGCACCGTTCTCGGAACTTGATGGCATTTCGTGTCACGTCAACTATCTGCCTCTCTCTTCACGGATGCGTATCTCTGAGTTCTCTATCTCTTCTGTCAGACTGACTTGCATCCACGTAATAAATAGGGTTTCTGAAACCCCCAAGGAGAGAAGGAAGGAGAGAGAGAGAGGGAGAGTATTATTCAGCGTCAGTCAAACCGTACACTAATGGGCGAGGAAAGTGATCACACCACCCGTTCAGGGTAAAGACTGTTCTGACTTCACGGAGCGTATCCATCGGAGTACTTCCTCCATATCCGCCGACTTAAAACTCATGCCCGCAGAGGAGACCTGTCGCGAAGGGAACAGGTGGTTACCTGACGCGTTTCATGTACCTTGACTGGCTGCAGTCGTCTCCTCGTGTCCACTCTGCGTAACGAGGAACAGTGACCGAAGGTGCATTCCCAATCCCAGTGCACGCCGAAGAAAACCCATTCGGGATACTAGATAGAGACCCCACCCTCCCCCTCTCTCTCTTCCCCCTCCTCCCAGCCAACCAAAGTCCGGATGAAGAAGACCCAAGTCCTTATCTCTCTCTCTCTCACTCTCTCTCATCGCTGTCGAGGGCCGGTAGCTGTCATCTCAACTCTCCACCAGGTGCATTGAACAACCCATCGTAGGGGTTAGAGAGGGAGAGAGGAAAAAACCACAAAAGAGAGCTCTCTCTCCATTCAATATAAGCGTTCAATATACACGTCCGTCGAATTCCTCTCTGCATGCGGACATTTCTTTCCTAAAAGAGAGCCCTTTACAACACCACCCTCTCTATTCTCGGAGAGATCGAACGGAAAGCCTTGCGGCTTGCTTCAGAACAGCTGGAAGAACAGGCTGGTCGAGCCGTCGCCGAACGAGCGGAGATCCGCCGGCTTCACCGTGGCCCTACACAGCGGGCACGTCCGCTCCCGCTCGAACCTGCGAGAGAAAACGAGCAACCACATGAAGGAGGAAGGGGAAGGCTCATCACGCCGGCCGGAGACGCAGCAGGCGAAGGGGGGCCTACCATTCAGAGACGCAGTCTTCGCAGAAAATATGTTTACACCGGAGCAGGATGGGCGCGTGCATTTTCTCCTGGCAAATGGCGCACATATCGCCGGCCGCTACCACCTGTACGCACCACCACTCGACGGCGTAAGCCCTCCGGCGGTGGCGGCGCCACCAGGATTCTTGGATCTCACTAAGAAGAATGACGATCTCACCTGCTCTGTAGTGGCGTAACACCCGTAATGCACTTCCTTGCGCGATAACGCCTTCAGTGCCGCAATGAAGGATTGGACCTGAACGAGGAGCAGCATCGAGAGAGTTGGTCAACTTCCTCCGGAATGATATTACACCATATCGAATAAAATTCTGAGATGTGACCCATTTGAGCAGACGACCTTCTCAACGACGGAAGTCAGCTTGAAGGTCAGATAGAGCCCTGTGGTGAGAGAAGAAAACAGGCTCCCGTACTCTTTGTTCAAGAAGAATCTGTACCAAACCGGGGTCGGAAGCAGAGCACGGTACAGTAGAAGGAGATACTCCACCAGAGTGAGCATTTGCCCCTAGAAATTGCACAACAGACTCATTATTGCCGTGAGAAGAGAAATCTGTCAACCCAAACGAGCACGAAGGATTGCAGTCAATTGGGATCCCTGCTGCACAGAAAACTACTACTACGAGGGTTCTCATAGAAAAACAGATCGAGCTAAAGGTATGCAGGAAACAGCATTCAGAGAATAGACCAGGTGGAATAAAATGAAAAAAATAAAGATGGCGAACCACAAAAGTAGAAATTAATCACCTGTCTTCGGTAGTTAGGTCCCCTGCCGTTCTTGTAATATATCAGCAGCAGGCACTTTAAGACCATGGCCGCCTGTCTCACCATCGTATCTGACAGTCAACATATAAAACGAATCATTGATCAACATCCATAAAAAATCAGGCTGCATGATATTTCTGATGAGAGTTCTATCACAGAATTGTCATGCTTCCCTCGCAGATTATCCCCTCTAGTTTTCTATAATTGCCTAGAACACTCTTTTCTTAGGATCCGCATCTTTTCTATAATTGCCTAGAACACTCTTTTCTTAGGATCCGCATCCTCATTCATGCACATCGAAAAAATGAGAGTGATACGACCCATGAATCGATTACTTGCAAAATAAATGAATTAAGGACATAAAAATAAATTGACACAAAGGTGATATAGACACAGAAAGAAAGGTGATTCTTCCTTTTGGATATGCACATTAAAATCATGTAACATTTGTCCTATACAACAAAACTAGTAGGCTCATTAATTAGTTGCATTTTTCCCATTTTCATGGAAGCGCATAAATAAAAATTAAATTGTGCTAAAGGTTTTTTAATCATGCAAGCACTCTAGAGAGTATCATTCTGAGCTATGATCCACTAAAATCTAGAGAGTATCATCAGGGCGGTTGAAAAATGTCTAAATATCCATTCTTCTTCTGGGACCCTTATGTCTTTTGGAAAGCAACTTTTATTCAATTTATGTCTGTATAATTGACTGTTTATCTCTATTTCCGTCGGCAATCAACATCAAGGTTAAGAAGTTACTTCAATCGAAAGATTTCAAAGTAGTAAAGATAGCCTGAAAATAAATTCAATCACAGACGCATTACAGCTACAGCATGTAGGAAAAATTACAGCAGCAAGAAAGATGACGTACCATTCAACATGATGAGGAATATGACATGCCAGAACGGTGGAATTTCTTTCGGTGGAAGCATGGCTAGAGGGTATAGGACACCTTCGTTTCTGTACCACCAATAGACCCCAACCACATGAAGCGTGAAAAGAATCGTGATGCCAACAAGAATGGACATTTTTCTTTCACCCTGAAAATAATAGCAATAGAAGCATTATAATATTGATGTGTGTATTGTGCAAACGTGAAGAACAGATGAATTCTGACAATCAATACCTAGCACGACCAACAATCAGAGAAAAAAACATATTAAATTTATGACAAAAATACGTTTTATGTTCTCAAATTCTCTCTAGAGGGTTAACTCTGTTCGCTAGCTATGGGGAAACTGATGAAATTTGAATACAACATATGAGCGGAAAGGATGACGCTCATGTGAATTTGGGTATGGAGCACAACCGCGTGGCTTCAATACAACATAATCATTTTTTCTTTTGTCAATTTAGTCCATGCATAAAAAACACATAAAGACAATGAAGACACAACCCAATATACCAAGGTCACCATACTTTTCTCCAGATGTGTTGATTATGATATATAGGTTCCCTTGTATTCATTTCGGATAATTATTACTACTTTTCAGTTTTAGTTGTCAAATCAATCGTTGAGTTTCTAGTGGGACACTGACAAAACTAGAACACAAATAATTAGGCCAATGGCGGTTGCTTGAACTTAAAAACTTTAAAAGGCACCAAAGGACATTCTTCTTTCAAGAAGAGATCACCACTCACCAGCACATAAAGATACACAACCCTTCTTTGCTTCTCTTGATCTTTGATCAATATAGATTTCTTTTCAACTTAATTCAACTGTTGGAGGAATCTAACATTATATTGAGACATTTATTATACTATTTTTTAATCAACTGATAGTTAGTGTAGCACATGTATTCTATCTTCCTTCATATGAGAAGCTTTACAAAAACTCGTGTACATAAACGCATCACAAAGACCGCTCCAGTAAGACAAAGGTCACCTTTTTTGAAATAAAGATCACGATATTTTGAAATTAAATTGATATGAATACAGTTGTTAATATTTTGATAATTGAAGATCTACAATTGACTACATAAATCACTAGAAACCCGTGAAATATGACACAGAAATTGTGAATCTTTGTTAGCACTGACAGGTCAATATCAGAAAACCTCAGGTTTACCACTCTCAATTAAAGTGATACCATTGAAAGGAATCCTTTCAGCAAAGTTGAATCTGAAGTAAATATTATTCAAGATTTTTTCTTCTCTTTGACACACCCAAGAATACACTCAGATTATTCTGAAGCACGACAACATCATTGAAAGAAGAAGAAATATGTATAAGTGCCTAAATCACTAGCTCTCAAAAAGACACCCTATACAGCATCTTTGTCCTCCAGTGACACGATGAAGAAAACTGGACCAAAGAAATCAAAAATCGCACAAGTAATAACAGAATCTCAGATCGTCGAAGTAATGACAATGATTCTTTGAGGATAGGTGAAGTGTAAACATTGTTTACTAAAAAATCAAAATAGAACCCTAATTAGTTAACAAGAGACAGGCCGTGTTGATAGGAGAAAACTGTCAGATTTGGCTTCCTCAACGGAACTACTAACATCAAAAAAGATCCTTGCAGCAGATACAGAGTTGAACAATTTTTGTTCAAGATTTTTTTTCTCCAGCATCTGAAGCATATATACTTATGAAGGTGATCGAAAATTACAACAGTTTCAACGTATCAGAACGTGGGGGCAATAAACAAGATTTTTGGAGGATAATTGGAATGTAAATAACAATCAAGCAATGTTTTCCTCCAATATGGTTCGCTGCTGAGCGAGACACAGGCCACTGAAAATGACTACGTTGGTAAGTATGGTATTCATTGAAAGTAGAGATCAAGAACAATGTGTTGAAAGCCATCAAACAACTATTGGGATTGTTACACCAAACTGAGACAGATGCAGTGCACTGTCCAGAAAGAAATTCAAACTCTAATGTGATCATTCTCAGTCATATCCTTAGGCGAGAATATGATTACATCATAGAAGATACCGAAACATTTCTGCACCTAAAAGACACCTTCACGCATAAATGTTTTCGTCGATAGTTTTGGCTCAATCAGCTCAAAAAAAGAGGTACGTCAGCAACTCCTTTGTGCAGCTCTGAAACAAAAAATAGAGAGCATATTTTCTATGTCTTCACCTGTCTATTCCCAAGGAACTTTTGGAAAATTAAATGGATGACCGGAAGCATGGAAAGCAGAACAATGAAATAGATGATCACTCATCCAGGTTTAAGAAGCCAGCCGAGAATTTCTGGATGAAAATCAACTCAACAGTATGAAAGCAGAACTGAATTGCATCATGAGGGTTTTTCGAACTAGAAAAGAAGAAACAGATAGCTGTGTCAAAGAGTGAGAGCATTTGAGCCACTGAAACAGGACAATTTCAGCATTTAATTAATGAGCTTCCTAGACATTCAGCAACCCATTTTTCTATTAGCTTATGTTAAAACTAACACTCTTCATCTGCTAATGTCTATAGCAACCCATTCTTCTCTGAGTTTATTCTTTTAATTCTGTCGGAACGCAGTCAGAGTAGAAATGGATATTGGATCAATCTGAACGAAGGTTGAGATTGAACTGGCCAAGAAACAACTAGAGATTCTCCAAATCCCATGAAAATATGCGGATTAAGATCAGAATTTTCCACTCACAAAAAAATCAAGGAAAAAGATGATTCAAGAGCATGCATAAAGGCCGCAAAGATTAAGAGGTCAAACTAATTGGAAACTATCAGTGTGATCTAGGGCAGAATAGACGGGGCGAAACAGTCTTTTTTTGAGGTTTGGTGAATGTTTACAATTATGATGTGCTCATTAAAAGCAGAAATGAACCCTGTAGGCAATTAAAAAGGACTCCGATGGTAAGCTTCAGCAAAATGAAGAAAAGATTAAACAATGCTCAGAAAGTCTCGTTCAACCAAAAGACGAATAATATTCATCCAAGTATAGCTAATGATCAATAGAGCGAGCATCAATATGGCAGGGATGAGCAACGTAGTACAACAACACAAGAATCCGTACAAAGTACTAAAGTTTGGCACACCACCTTTAGTGCTGTCTGTTTCCTCAGGATATCATTTGACTTAAACAACACTGCAGCGATCCAGATTGTAACGAAGAAGCCTGTGTAAGGTTTTCCATAAAGAAAACATATTAGCATACCGAAGAACGGTACAGAAGAAAGATCAGCAACAAACAAACTAGGAACCAACAATCTAAGATGGACACCAGATGTACTACAATGATATGAAGGTTCCAGCAGTGGATGATCAACAAATATTGGGCTAATGATGATCATCAAAACCAATCAGAAGACAGATGAGGTTCGTTAAAAAAAATTCTCAGAGCACCCCAGACGATTTGACAGATATCCTACTTTTATGATAAAAGCTATGACAAGTAATTAGTAAACATCGCACAAATGCTAGCCTATGTCTTGTGGATGGGTTGCATCAGGTTCTTAAACGTGCAATCAGATCTGGATCTGGATAGGATTGACCGAATCAATACAATCAGAAAAAAAAAACCAAGGAAATATTCGAATGTTTCCACTGGATTTCAGTTTGCCTACGTCATGTTTAAAGGAAGATAAACTTAAAGTATGTGATACAAGCGGCTGAACGAATAAAAAAAGACCAACTGACGCATAGAATCCTGTGCAAAAAATATGGTTAAGTACAAGATTTTCCCCTAGGCAAACATTTGACACCAAAAATCGTGGTAAAAATAACTGCAATGTTAAATTTCTTCATGTTGCTTCTCACAAATTTTATTACAAGTACTCTTTGATCTTTCTTCATGTAGTTCCAAGGCTACAGACAGTATCAGATTCGTAAACTAGTATAGGTGGTAGAGCGTTGCAATTTTGATCATAAAACCTCCGACAGGGTTCAATTGAACTTCTATTGCTTCTAATGCTCATATAAGAGCATCTAAGAACCCAGTGAGCCGGCCCTTTAAAGGTCATGGTTCACTGGGGTTTTAGAAGCTAGCTCTTTTCGGTTGTTCTAATGCTTCCACGTAGAGGAATAAGACCAGAATAATTTGGTAGGAATGCGACAATGCACCAAAGACAGTTATATCGCAGAAGTTGAATATCCGGGTTCACATCAACTTAAAGAGCCCAGTTTGAAGTTTTCACATTATCTGACAGTAGAAGGAAAAAAGGCACATAAAGTGATAAAAAGGAGCACATTTTTAGCTAACTAACTGAAGTTTTGTGTCCAGGAGGCACAGAACCAAAACCTAGTTAAGTCGTATAAACAAGGAATAAATACCTTGCAAATGCTGCCGGATGAACACCACTAGCAGGAGTAATGAAAACGGGAGAATCTGTTCGATCCATCTTGCAGCTTGTTGTATATCATATCTCTGGTATGATGAATCCCTGTTGCTCCCTCCAGCACTGTTTCCTGTTTCACCTTCTGTACTTTCAGAACTTTCAGAAGAACTTGACGGTGACGAAGATCCCTCAAGTACTCCCCCCTCATTCCCAACGTCGACACCCTGACGATCAAAGCCTGTAGGTGTCGACTCTTGCTGTGACCCAGAATCTCCTGAAATACCATCTCTTCCTTGACCCGCGACCAACAGCTGAGGACTGCGGGCCCTTAGACTATCTTGGTCAGCTGAGCCTATAATCCGTATGGAGACCTCTCCTCCGACGATGCCAGAGACCGGAGCATCAGCCGGCCGCCTAGACGTATGATCCCGCGAGTCCGAGGAAGCTCCATCGATCAAACTCTCGTGCTCGGGATGATTCGGCCGGCGTAGGATACCAGAATACTCTAGGATCATAGAAATAGGAGCCCGAATGAAATTAGAAGGTGAAAACTGCCTCGCGTATCGCCTCGATGGTCCAACGCCATTAGCACCGGCACCCACGCCACCTGATGCATTCCTGTTCGAACCCGTGCTCCCCCCGGACGTCTCCATGGCCGCGGAAGACCCTAAGAGCTCAGACCAAATACTTAAGACGCAACAGGAAGAAATTTCCCCCTGCAACACCAACAATCAGAGAAGGAACCAGCTAGAACGATGGTGGACGCGCAGACCCTAGAGAACGCTAGAGAAGGATTTCCCCCTTCCCTCCATCCTCCCCTCGTTCCCCCCACCAATTCTTCTTCCAGCCTCACAAACCGCAAACATTGTGGACTTACACGGAGGGAGGGCTGACCATTTCACCTTCCTTCAGCGGCGTTTCCCTGCAGTCAGGGGCGCCTGGGAGAGAGGGTGAAGGAAACCCTCCCCGAGGTGGAAGGGAGATGAACGAGAAATATGATGTGATTCGGCTAAGAACACACCTAGCCATCAAGGCTCTCCATTTCTTCCTATTGCGGAGCGACCTTTCCAAGGTGCGTTTCCCTCCACATCACCGAGCATCTCGATTCTGGTCGCAGCTGTTAGGACAGAACTTAAGTCAGTCTCATCAGATTTGCCACATTTCGACGCAGGGAAACGCCGGCGAAAAGAAAATTTTGCCAGATTACAAAATTGTACGTCACCTCAGAGACTTGAAGGCTCCGCCAATGTCAAATCAAGGGCGCTGGATGCACATCCTTTGACTATATATCCAAATCTCCTCGGTATTAGAGCCGCGATAGCGACAGGATCCTTCGAGCGTCCTTTCTTCTGTACAGCTAAATGCGTCGTTACCATGAGCTCTCGATCCCCGATACGTCGCCTGCAACCCGCCACTTCGCCCCCGCGATTGGATCGCCGTCGCCGTTGCTCCAGCGATCGCTTTAATCGCCTCCGTCTTAACGCGTCTTCGAGGCTTCCATCGCGGGAAGCGTCTGTGAAAGGGGACAGAAAGCCGGTCAACATTTTTATTGGGCCTGTTCAACCCCAATATATATTTCCACCCACCTGAGCCCAATAGGTCCTCGCATACGTCACCGGCGATCGGTTTCTTGAAACGTTCAACTATCGCCCTCGTGGACTTTCGAAGTAGCTCATTTGGGCCGGCCCAATTGGAAGATCTTCTCTCACTACTGTCTCGATGATCCACATAGGTCATTGTGCAGTCCAGCTTCCATCGAACCGCGCAGGAGGCGACACGTGGAGGACAAGAAGACGACAAAAAGCTCTGGACGCTCCCCGGCCACGTGATCTTCTCCTCACCTCTCGTCCATACCAGCGAACGGCCGAATTCCCTCGAACTCCGCCCTCCATGTAGCCGTTTCCTCGTCTCGTTTCGGACCCCCTGGCAGCCCGTGATGTTTGGCCGAGCTACGTGGCGCTTTTCTGGCCGTTGATCTTCAGCGGTCGCCACACCTCACGCCTAGGGCACACCGTTGCGGGGCCGAGAGAGAAGGATGAGGGACTGACAGATCTGATTGAAAGTGAGCTGGCCCTCTGACTGACCTTTCTATTAACGAAGGCCAGCGGTGCATTTCATCAGTACGGTAAATAAATATTCGAGAGACAGCTGTTGTGGGCCCAGTACCACGTTTCTTCTTCTCAACGACATCACGCTGCCTATCAGAGCCGTGAGTGTCATGTACCTCGGCTTAGCCCGCGAATCTTGACCCTCCAATCAGCGTGGCCGATGGATGATGCTCGTTGGGGCAGGCCCGCTGGGCAGTTGACGGAGCGGTCAATGCGTGCGGGTCAACGGCCCGTCAAACAGAACCGGCAAAATTAGCGAACAGACCCCTTGGAAGCAGGATCTTCCCAGCTGGCCACGATCGAACCGTTACGGAAAGAAGGAAAGGGCTGGAAAGCAAAAGTAATAAGCGGCCGTTAGAGGAAGATGGGTATTTGGACGATCTCGACCTGTTATTAGTAATTACTGTAGGTACTCAAATGAAAAGTTACTATTTTCCGTGTACGATTCTTGTTGTTCTTACTGGAATATGAATTTTATAAAAAAGTCCAAAACTACAGGGGCAGCTTCGTCAGATCGAATGGCGCAGTACGGGGGGTTTTATCAGAGTTTTTACTATCCGCCGTGCCCTTCACCGCTCGTGATCAAACCCCCGCCGTCGTCTTCCTCTTGCCCCCCCCCCCGCCCCGCCGGCTGGGGATTTTAGGGCTTGTAGTTCTTCGCAACTCCCAATCACCAATGTTCCCAGCTTATCTCCTCAGATTCGGCACGAGGGAAGTGGTCTGAAGAAGCCGGATCCCGCTGGGTTCCTTCCCGTTAGAGGGATCTGACGCCCGTGAGGGAAGGGAAGGTCGCAAGGGATCCGAGCGATGGAGCTGATGCATGAGTGGTGACAGGTTTTGCTGGAATTGGATGTCGCGTCCGATTTTGAATTCGGAATGAGCCGTAGATTCGCCGGGAAACTCGCCACTGCAGCAGCATTATCAGGTTCTTACGATTTGGCTGCAATCTTGTGTCTCGTTTCTTTGTCGGAGTCGGAAGAAGGTTGGCATCTGGCGTCGAAGAAAGTGGATCTCTCTGAGAATTAGTGTTCCCCGGTGCGCAGGCTGCGGTGAACTCTGGAGGACGGCGGCATTGCTGGAGTATTGTAGTTTCAGCCATTGTTCGGAGGATTTCTCGGTGTTTATGTGACCCATTTGCTTCTACTTGTTGGGGAAATTCGCTCGCATGCTCAAAAATGGGTGCTGAGGCTGATCAATGAGAACCAGATGCCGATAACGGGGCTTAAATTCTGCGTTCAGAGATCATCATGCCAATAGAAGCCAAATTTTGTTGTGTCAGGCGGTGAATGATGAAGACTTGCAGTGCACAGGCAGCTCTTGAGGAGCTCCTGTGAATACTTCGAGAAATAGTGTGGAATCCCTTCCAAGCATCGATCCAGGAGTGTGCGGGGCGTCACATTGCCCCACAAGTCACTCATGGAGGTTGCCGGCTGTATCCTGGTAATCGCTGCTTTCCTTGGGATTCTTTCTGCTCCTCCTTTCATAGCACTGTCGTCTGCACAAACCCTTCCTGGGCCCCTCCTCCCTGAGGCTCGGCCGCTGGATGCGCTTCTTCAGGATTACGCCTACCGCGCATTCGACCGCCCACGCACGGGGCGGCCTTATGCAGCCGTCGTCCCTTCCAATCTCTCTGGGATCAGTCTCTCCGTGATGAGACTCCGGAGCGGGAGCTTCAGGTTCAGGGGCTATAAAAGCTTCAATGAATTCGAAATTCCCGTCGGAGTCGTCGTGAAACCATATGTTGAGAGGCTTGCACTGGTGTATCAGAATCTGGGCAACCTGTCTTCCTTGTACTATCGTCTCCCGGGCTATACCTTGGTAGCTCCAGTGCTCGGTCTTCTTGCTTACGATGCCACGAATCTGTCAGCAACCAACTTACCAGAGCTGGATATGGCGGCTTCCCTTGAACCCATCTCGGTCAGATTCGGGGGCATTAGCCGGCCGAGCGGAATCACTGCCAAGTGCGTGGTGTTCAACCTCGACGGGTCGATTGGGCTGAATGATTCAACTCCTGATAACGTCTGTAAGACGTACCGCCAGGGCCATTTCTCCATCGTCGTCGACTCTGCTGACCTCGCTCCTTCCCCATCTCCGAGCTTGACACCTCCTCGATCTAAGGGGACCAACATGTCGAGGGTCTGGAAAATCGTCGGATCTGTGGTCGGCGGGTTCCTGTTCTTGTTGCTGCTGTCGCTGCTGGTCTTCTGCATAAGCAGGTACAGACAGAACAGGAAGATGGAGAGGATGACCGAGCGTGCAGAAGCGGGAGAGGTCTTGCAGAAGCGGAGAGTAGGGAGTGCTCAGTTGCCCACGGCTTCCATGATAAGGACGAGGCCGGCTCTTGAGGACGAGTTAGCACCACCATAGAGACTGCTCCCCTCCATCTTCATGGTTTCTGCTGATTTTCCCCTCCTGCTGCTGCTCGATGCGACATGTACAGAGACATGAGAGAGCTACTGTCGAGACGGGTCGCCATGGAAGAAGGAAGGGTCTCTGGTGCGACGGCATCCCAGAATCGTTTCAGTCCGACGGTACATTCTTTCCCTAGGGTGTTTCCTCCATCCATTTCAGATTGTTTATTCAATTCCCTTCCTCTGTCGATAGCATCGGCTTCTCCTGGAACGGATGGATGCCTTGTGTGAGCCTCTTCCGGGATCTGAACCATCCTCATTATTTTATTTTGATTCGGCATTTTGGCGTGGGCCTTCTAATAAGCCGAACCCGCCTCTTCTCCTTCTTACCGTGCTCCATGTCCTGTATGCTTGTTCATCTTCACTCTATGTTACAGAAGACATGGAAATGGCACCCAAATTATGGGTTTTGGATGATGGATGTCTCATTTCTGCTTCGACTGGGGCTTGAGAATTGCCAGATGGTCCCCCATTTCTGTAAAAAATTGAGGAAAGAACAGTCTAATATAATACGATCCTTGCCGATATAGGAGTGAATCGATCAGAAACGGACTCCATGGCTGGATTTGTTCGGCCTTGATCCGCCTCTGGTGCTTGAGTGTATGACCAGATCCTTACGATCCTTGCCGATATAGGAATGAATCGATCAGAAACGGACTCCATGGCTGGATTTGTTCGGTCTTGATCCACTTCTGGTGCTTGAGTGTAGGACCAGATCAATGTGTAAAGCACTAGAAAGGCGGATCGATTAACAAGAGAAAAATAACCGCAAAATTATATAATTATGTCCAAAGTAAAGGAATACCCTCGAAGCCCGATCGTTCATGGAAACAGATGTGAGAGTAGGACTAATGATTCGCAGGAATTGGTGATCAAGACACCGGATATAAATCAATACTCTGGTCTGGTGGATCAAACATCAATCCAAGCTTACTGAGCATGCCGGAGAGGATCGTCGTGCATGGGTTTCGAATAAGGTAACCGAGCATAGTCATGCCATATAGATTCGATCTCCGCCATAGTCGATGGTTGCGCTTCGTCCAGAGACCGAAAGACGGAAGGGAATGGCAATACCTAGCGTCGCGACGTCCCACATGGAGAGCCGTAAGTCTCACTCCGGCCAGGCAGCAGACAGAGAGAGCACCCAAATCAGACTAGAGATCAGGCTCCCCAATCTGACCTACCTTCCCACAGTGGAATACAGCTCTCCGTGATCTTTTGGTCCCCCCTCTCCATAGCCACGTCCCAAACATCTTTGTCTACGTGCTTCGGCTGAAGAGAAAACAACAAAATAGAATCGAACAATCGCCGGCGAACGGGAATTGTGAGGGACGAAGAACACTCCGGGGATCGTCTTACCCTCCCATGAGTCGCTCCGTGGATGTAGTCCACTGCGTTTCTCATCGACACAGAGAATCCGGCCGATGATTCGCCCTCCAACCAGAAGAAGTTCGCCATCGAAGACTCTTCGGCGATCCTGAGCCTCCGTGAAGGCGGCTGAGGGCATAGTCGTCAGTCTATAGAAATCGTGGTCAATCTAGAATCGCGAAGACCCTTATTGGGTTTATAAGAGGCCCAAAAGCATGCCCATGTCTTAAATGCTTAAAATATGACGGGAAGTCCGACGTGGATGGTGGCCTGAGGTTCGTTACTCCCTGTACTGGGTAGATCGGGCACACGCAGAGTTGCAGAGGACGGCGCAGAGAACGTAATAGTGAGGTATCCCCGATTTCACCCTCTCCTGCTGCATCCTGGCGCATTTGTTGCTGCAGAGTTGTGAACCGATGCTTCCTCGTTCGAACTTCTCCCCGCGCTGTGAAAAAATTTCTGCTATGGGACCCCTGGAAGCTATCCACACTTGTTCGACCCTCCTTCGCCTGCGCACCTGTTTCCTATCTTTTTCCCCTTCGTTTTTTGCAACGGCGGTGGTTCTGAAATAGTTCGCCCCGCCTCCTTTCTATCTTCGTCCTCGATCTTTCTTTCCTCCGCGTTCCCTATGCTGTTGCTTTTCTTGTTTTATTTACCTCTGCGTCGATTTTATTTTCACGTCGTGTCAGCATTCTATGTTCGCAAATTCTCTTCACTCTTCGGAGAGCCCTTTCTCCGCTGGTAAGATGCAGGGAGGATGTGGACTACAGTTGAGGTGTCTGACATGGTAGAACATCGAGACGATTGAGCCGTTGCTTCAGGCTCTTCCCATCTCCAGCAGACAGCTTGCTTCATCAAGGTCAGTTTTCATCTGACGGTATTTCAACGTCTGCTTAATATAAAAAAAAGGTTCTATCATTTATGTATTAATCTTTTGAATGTAGCTGCAATATCTACCGGATTTTATGCCCTCTTTTATTTTGGTTTTATCAACCTTATTAGCTTATTACAGGAACACTGGCTTCATCCATAAATGAACTTATTAGCTTTTAGCTTGTCCGTGAATGATGTTTGGGTTTTGGCCAGAAAAATGACAGAAATTTCAGAGTTGGAATCAGTGATTTCAAAATCAGAATGTTGGTTCTTGCTGAGAATTAGATTTGATATTGAAGGAATTTTCTCTAAACACGACACTTAAATGCAATATCTCAGAAATCTCAAACAAGGAGTAAATATGCCACATGGTGGTCATTAAACTACAATACATCGCCATGATAAGGTAAGAAATTGAAAAATAACTATCATACATACACCAAAGGTAGACCTCAAAAGAGAAAATTATTCGTATTCACAGAGTCATTTCTATGATATCAGCGAGGTGCAATGTTGGGGACGACTCCACTGAGAAGATCGCTACCGGATACATCTGTTGAAGTGTACAGCGTGCTGTGCACCAAGGAAGATGATGCAGAAGTCGTTTGACGAGGAGTTCTTTTCGCCGCTGCAGTTGGCACAACATCGTCTGCGGGAGTGATGGCCCATATGTTGTCAAGCTCTCTGACCACCTCAGCCATTGAAGGCCTCGAGTCTGTTTCATCCTCACAGCATCTGAGGGCCAGAGCCATGAACTTCTCCACACATTCAGGAGGATAGGGGCCCATACGCTTGTCTATGACCGAGAACATCATACCAGATTGATTTGCTACATTAACCTATGAAACGTCGGCCACCCATGAGTAAATCTCAATGCGAACGATGAAAACGCCCTTAAAAATTAGAAAACATGGCGTCTAGAAAAACCCTGATCCATATGATAGGATATTGCCAAGCTTTATGCTTCAGATCTTACCTCTCGAACTATATTTTTGCCATGTGAAATTGGATGCATCCCAGTCAGAAGTTCCAAGAACACTACCCCAAGACTGTATACGTCACTTTTATCCGTCAACTTGTGGGTCAGGAAGTATTCTGGATCGAGGTAACCCTGAGAAAGATATATAGCATAATTATACAATGTTGTGTTGGAAAATGATACTGAAATAGCCCTTGAAAATGTTGTGCAAAATTTGGGCCACAAGGATTCTACGCAACATCTTGCCCAGGACTATCGGTTCAAAAATCAAATCCAACTCTGGTATCAATGCCCAATGACCTCCTGTCATCATGCGAGGCCGTCTACCATTAGAAGACAAAGGATAGGTAATAAAATGTTATTGAAAGCCTGCAATAAGCACAGCGGTGGCTCTAGCTGGATTGTGATGACTGTGGAGTTCAGTCAAAAGCGGATTAATCAAGTTATGGGTTATTTATCCAAACTAAATTTTCCATCCAACTCACTAGGCTTCGAGTGCTCTATGTGCCTGTGGCAGGGTGACCCAAGTAGGTTATTTTACTGGGGAGATGGCAGCTTTGCATACCCATGACATGAAAGATACGAAACCCAAGGTCAGAAATCTAAGCTATTATTCGAGGTAACTAAAGAAGCTAGTATGCGAACCTCCCACTTCAGTACCTAGATGGAAATGTCATTAAAGCATCATCATTATCTCAAGCTTAGGGCCAGAAATCAGTGTCGGACGAAGGTCTTCGATTTCGTCCGCCCCGATTTTCTCTTTGGTTGAACCAAGCATTGTTGGCATGCAACTTCTTAGCTCAAATAGCTTTTTTGGTTGTGCATTGAAATGTCAAAATGATTTCACAATATGAAAGCCTGTGTCACGTGCCCGCATGATATCAGTGAAGCAACAACTTACCGGTGTGCCTTTCACAACCGTTGATACGTGGCCAGGAACAACTCCGCTATTTTCTGGTACTGGGGCAAGTCGTGAAAGTCCAAAATCAGCAACTTTGGCTACAAACTTCGAGTCTAACAAGATATTGGTGGCTTTAATATCTCGATGAAATATAGGAGGATCTGCCTCAGTGTGGAGGTATAAAATCCCTCTTGCAGAACCCAAAGCAATGCGCAATCTCATGGAGAAGCTCGGAGCATCTTTTCCTTTGCCTGTCCACATGTTGAGTGTTAATACAAGAGCTTCCCCAAACCAAATACAAAACGAGGATGTTACAAAGCATGCATTTGGCAGAAACGTGTAGTGTGACACTCAGTGGACCAGTTGTTCCCCGTTCTAGTCAAGTCTACATTTTTAAATTTTTATTTTGATTATAGCCAACTAACGTCACGATTTGAAAGTATGTGGCAGAAAATGAAAACCTACAGTATGTCAACAATATGGCTTATTACCAGGAGTGAGAGGTAGCAAAGGCCTTCAAGATGCTTTCTACAGGCTGAAGAATTCGGATCACACAAAATAGAACAAAATTCCATTAAATGATAAAAGATAGATGAACTGTGCCCATGGATGATTCATGCAATTCTAGGGATGGTCATGTGGTCTACATGAGTAGATGGAGATGCTGATTCCCCTGTGATTTATGTCTTATGGCAAAAGCTCCACTCACACATTTCGTCAAAGAGTCTCAAATGCCTCACCTGAAAGATGATCACGCAGTGTGCCATTAGGCATAAACTCGTACACCAACATCTGCAAGCAAATGTAGTCTATCAGCCATAATGAGCATATGAATACATGCACAAAGCAGACTAAAAGGCCTTTTTTCTTTGAGGGTTAATATAATGATCCTATGCTCTGACAAAAACTGAACAAGATGTGACACAACGACACAGCATCATGAATAACATACAGTAAAAATGGATCCAACAGGATTCCAAGCAAACAACAATACGATGTGATGATGTAGGTACAAAAATTTGTGAGAATAATAGTCCACAGACAAAAATTTCAACTATTCATATGGCGAGGAAATAGAATGAACAGTCATATTCATCGTGTGTAATGAAATGATATACTGAGAAGTCCATCGACCATAAGGATTCGGCCCAAATGGTGTAAATTTTCAAGCACAATTACCGGTGAAAAGCACCATTTTGTGGGCCAAACGTCTAAAATGGTTTCAGAGGGTTGTGCATTTCTTGGACAACGATTATCTAGCTTTTGAATCATGAAATGATATCGACTAAAAATCTGTGGTTATTTACACAAAGGTACCTTGGTAACCACAAGATTTTCTGGCATCCTTTGTTCTCAAGCTGTAAAGAACTAGTGGCATACCATTACCAATGATAATCTGGGAAAAAGCTGCACTTTTAGTGATTCAGTGAAGTTTATCACATAGGCCCTTGACAATCTGTCTCTTTTTGGTTTCATCTCTGTTCAAGACAAGCTCTTGTAAAACTGGTAAACCAACTCTTTGACCAAGATTTCGTATCTAATGTTTTTACACAAACACCGACGTGCCTGAGTTTCATGCAACATGGCATGCTTGCCGACCACAACATGTTGTGAGTTCACCTTACTAGTGAATAAATAATAGGTACAGCATGGAAATCGCAAACTTTGCTAATAAGAAAAGAATGGCACCTGTTCATCTTGTTCATCGCAGTATCCAACCAAGGAGACCAAGTTACGGTGATGCAACCTCGACAACATCTCTATTTCGGTGAAGAACTCTTTCGAGCCTTGCAAAGATCCTTCCTCTGCCCGTTTTATGGCTACTACTGACCCGTTTGCTAGAATGCCTTTATAGACCTTGCCATATCCACCTACCCCAACTTGAGAGGAGTCGCTGAAAGTATTTGTAGCCAGTGCCATTTCACTAAATGTAAAAGATTTCACTCCATCAATTTTCATTCTGATTCTGGAAGCTGCAGAAGCAAGCAGTTCATTCATTAGATTTGTAATAACATCGAATCGATAGATTCATAATGTAATCAAAAAAATTCTCAAATGCAAAAATTTCTTCTGGCAACATTTTACTACCATATTTTTTTGATCCTCTACATGCAGGAGAACTCTTTCGTGAAATGCAAAAAAAATGAACAGAACCATAGAATGAAAAAATAATACCATAACTGTCCTGGGAAAATGTAGCCAACTTTATTTCGCAGTTCATATGAATGCATCAATATCTACACATGCTTGTAAAATTTACTTGGAAATCTGACGGTTCAAAATTCCTCAGCTAGCTGACATGAGCTTCCACTGATATAATTGAACACTGACAAGGTGAGAAGGAACTGAAATAATGTGAAATGGGAAGGTTTTCTTTCTCCCTTGTTCTACAACAGTAAAAGAAACAAGGGAATAACACATGTGAAAAAGTTGTCCTTAGATGATTATAAAAACTGTTGGGTTTTGGCTACTTTCAAGACCATAACCACACTGACAAGGTAAAAAAGCTTGATGTATTATTGCGGGGCTCTGTCTGAAGCTGGTAGACAGCAAGATTGGAAGACATGGTATGTTTGTGTTCAGAAAGCTTATAGAAAACTCAGCTTATGATTCTTCGCAGAAAAAATTCCATTTAGCAGAGACCCCCTTTATCATCCTTTAATATTAATGCAAATGAGCGACCAAAATCTTGGAAAAATGACCAGATCACGGACTACGTGATCAGATATGGACCACTAGCAGGGACTGTTTGAAAGGGTGGGGATGAAGTGTCAATGATTGGAATGATCATTGACATTCACTGAATCACCGACTGAGTAGGATTTTTCATGGGACGAAAGTGCAGATAGGTATCTGACATTCGACAATGATCCATGGCATAAAATTTTTGACACTGCAGTTGACTTACTTTGACGTTTTCTTGAAGCGGCATTCAGACCTGTGTAGCGCCTTCTCACAATAATGATAGAAACTATAGCGCACAAGATAAAAGCTCCAGCAAAGGTCCCTATAATGATCCCTGCTAATGCACCCTTGCTCGTTCCAGATTTTGATGTTGTGAAGATCCCTGCAAGAAATGATGAACCAATAGACATTAGTGAACTTAGAAATCAGACATCAGTTTCTTGAAATTATCACTGCTAAGATAATTCCATTTGGATGAATGCATTTTCAATTAGTGTTTCAATCGGATGGCCCGCTAACCTTTACATTTTATCAAAAGTGAGGACTTTTTCTAAGCTGAGCCAGCCTCTCTCACATAGTCTACATCACCAGACTCAAAAGTTGGCGTACAAGTCAACTAGCATACAAAAGTAAACATGTAGCTGTAAAGATAGGTTATTCTGCTAGTTGCTAACTAATTTTGAGCCGAATGGCTTAATATAAACCTATAGTGGTGTTCAAACTGAAAAATAAACGCGTTTAGTCAAATCAAAATTGTTCAGTCACTCTTCTCAGTGCAGTCAAAATGCTTAAGAACCTCACTCTTACAATCTTTTGGTTAAGGAAATAAATAGGCTCATATATCAACATAAAAAATGGAAACAACTATTCAATTAATCACTCTAGCATAGACAAAGCACTTAGCTAGCTCATTTTCTATAACCTAAGGTCGCATAGACACAGAAATTTTAAGCAGACATTATGATTTTCCAAAACAACAAGGTCCCATTTTTATTCAGGCATTACATTTTCCATTTGTCTGTACTTCAGGATATTGTGTACAAAAGACAAAAAAATTGGCCTCGTTGACAAAGATGAAGAGTCAATCCGGAGAAGGTAACAATTATACTAGGCATAACAACAAAGAATAGGGCAGTCGTCCATACATACCATCATCATAGGGTTCCCGAAGAGTGAAGTTTAAGAATTCATAAGGTCCAAAAATATCACTATCTGGAATAAGCCATTCAGCGAACGCACTTCTGAGATGCAATATTTCACTTGAATTGAACATACTACCATTACCAGGGAAAAACTTTAAGTACATTCCCAGCCTGGGGCCTTCTTCCCATACAAATGATTCAATGGTAAGCTGGTGGATTTCAAATGTCAGACCTGCTGTCATGTATTTCTCGAAAGCTTCCCTGTATGGAACAAAGTCCCATATGCCAGGACTTTTCAAACGATATCCAACTCTGATTGGAGCAGCACAATAACATTGGCGAGGATCTTTTGTATTAATTTCATAGCCATCTTGCACAGGGCAACCGCATATGGTTGTTGCATTTACTGATGTTCCAGAGGGCTGTTCTCCAGCTGAAGCCCCACAAAATTGGGTGATGTTCTGTTGGTTTGGGTTCAAACATAAAGGATTCCCTTGCAGCCTGAAATCACCCCGAAACGATTCAAATCAAGAGCCAAACGGTAATTCAACAAAAATGACGAGCACTGGATCATTAATTTTGTGATAGAGAATATCTAGAACCAACAACATGACTCAGAAAATCAAATATACAGTCATTCTGAAAAACAAAAAAAAATAGAATAAATCTAATGTAAAGAGATATCAAAGACGCTTGTCTGGTTTGATAAGGGACGATATTTTAGTAATATTTCCACCTTTATTGCACCTAGAATTGAAACGATTTTCCCATATGCTTTCTCCATAATGATCAACACCATCCGCCATTAATGCATGCAGCATAAGAACAGTATGAAATAAGCAGAAGGAAGCATGATAATGTTTTCAAGGCATCTCAAATGGAATTACCGCATCACTACGGCAGATAACCCAAAAGTTTCTAAGAGACCAAAAGGAAGAACTTTGAATTGGGTTGCTGGGAGGGTGGGGTCAGCCCCATCGTTCCCTTCAGCCCACTTGAACAAGAAAATGACTTTCAATATATAGGGTGTTTCTGAAAGCTTATGGGTCACACACTTCTGCGCATCCCCTATTTATTATATGATGATTACAAGCCCCTAGCAACTTTTCATTATTCATAGTAGGAAAGAACGTATGTTTAGGAGTTCAGCTCTTCGTCAGTTTCCTATTTGGTAAGTTTCCTGCTCTGTTACGTATTTTCCTTATTTCGTAGCCATTGTACTTTTATATAACTAGCAGTCATCTTTGACGTGAATAAGAAGCAAAGATTTTTATTTTTTTTCAATACTGTATATCCTGTTAGATCTTGCGTTACAGTATAGTTTTCGACATTCGTATTGACAGATGCAATTGCGTAGTACCAACTGATTATTTAAACACCTAACATGGCCAAAGTAATTTTTTCTATGGCAAATGTTTGATAAGATGCCAAGGGAAGAGAAGGCAACTTAGAACCCAGACTCACTGTGATTTACACTCTGCGATTCGTGCATCTTCTCTCAAGGTTTCCCAGGATGAAACCAATATGGAGATCAAAAATAAAAGGGAAGATGGGTAAATAGAATCAAACGGACTAGAGAAAAGGAGAATGTGAGTCGCAGCAGGAAAACGAGGCGGGAAGAAGCATAAGAAGGCTAGGAGAGGAAAAGCACATGGAGACGAAGGAAATCAGTAGAGCTAAGAGAAGAAAAAAAAAAAAAACTCAGCTGCAGCCACAGAAAATGAACCAAGAATTCAAAACCCATCAAGATCAAGCAATATTGAGAGGAGAAAACCCACCCTTAACCAAGGTTAGTAAAGAAATGGTTTTGTATTCTCGTTTGATCATTTCTTTCATTCTACTTCCTTCCACGCATCATCAGGTGGATAATTTCTTATGAACAGAAAACAGCGATTCATTCAAGATATGGATAAAGGAAATTTAGGAAGCTTAAAGGTGTCATCAAAACCAATCTATCTCAGACTGCTAATCTCCTTTCCCTTGAACTGTTATTATAAAATGAGAAAACCAAAGATGCCATGCTAGTCTCGGTTGCAAGGAAGCTTACACGATGGTAACATTGGCAGGAGGACTCACAACACGTGAAATGTTTGTCAGAGAATTACCTCCAAAATCTCTGAAAAAAAATAAATCAATAAAGAAGTTCATCACCCATATAAATACACTAGTCTTGTGGGGAAAATCATACAATACGAAATCTTACAAGATTAGACTTTGATTTCTAGTTAAAGTTGCATTTTCCCAGATAGCAGATGGTACTGAACCAGTGAGTGAATTGTTGGCAAGAGACCTGCAACGAAAAGTATGTTATGACAGAGTCAAATTCATTCAATATCCCCAGCTAAAATATCCAAGAGGGAACACTAGTGAAATGTATGATGACTGTTGAGTAATACAGCATAGAAGAAATTTTGGCAACTTTTGCCCATTAAAGTAAGCACATCTCCGTCTGCTGCATAGAAAAAGATCATAAATTTTAAAATAGGCCTACTCACAATTTCTGGAGAAAAGGTAGGCCTGAAAAAGTCTCTGGAATCGATCCATTAAGCTTGTTATTTGAAAAGTCGCTGCATAAGTTCAAAAATCAACAATTAGTGTTCCATATTTAAAATAAAATAAAAAGAGTAGCTAAAAACTAAGAATTTTGAAGCATAAGTTAGTTATCCCGATGATGGAATTGATACAAAGACTGAGGCCTCATCTCAGATGGCACCTGTTGCACTGTATTCAGAACCGATCAGATAAACTGATTGGCCACGTCTGATCCAATCAGATCAGAATCAACCAGCTTGGAACACGCTGATTAGCTGATTGAGGCCCAATAGTGTGAAAAAAAATTCAGACAAGAATTGAAAATTACGCGGAAAATCACAGCGTGTTCCACTGCTTCCTAACGACAAGTTGGCACATGGCAGCTAATGCTTTCCACTGAGAATTCAATGGCAAAGAATGATCTGCGGGTAGAGTGTGACATACATTGTGGTGATATTAAGAGAAAGCTTTTTTGTCGGTATGGGCCCATCCAGCTGGTTTCCACTGAGATCTCTGAAATAAGGACAGTAGGAAATCATGCAATGTATATAGCCTAATATCACGTCAGAAATAAGACCTACAAGATACTATCATAATCATTCATCGTGAGGTGCATCAGAAATAACTACTTGAAACCTGAAAGAACCATTGCTTTAGCATTGTAAATAAATCCTTGGCATTAGTAAGACTTACAAATAACCAAGTTCAGGTATTCCGCTAAAATCTGGAATAGTTCCTAGCAGACCGCAGTTCCTAAGACTCCTGATGACATGAAAATGATGGTTAGACGAAAAAATAACTGGAATCAATTTTATATTAAGAAATGTTTGTGGCAGAGTAAGAACATGTATTAACTTTAATCAATCGTTAGTGGACGATAGGGATTCCAAGTGTGCCAAGGAAGAAAGGCAAGAAAGTACAAAACTGAAACTTCGCAATTTTTGTGACTATTTGCCATGTGTCATGAAAACTGCCCAAATCACATAAGCCTAGAAGCAGCATTTTTCATTTACCAAACTGCTACTAATTTATCGTAAGAGTACATAGTTCTGAACATAAATCCATATCACACAAGAAAAAACCTTCATGGTAATTAAGGAATTAATAAAAAAACAGGGGGAAAAATAGAATCAATAGCTTGTCTACAGATCGTGTAAAAACGTTTTTCAATGTTAACTAAGTGAGAGCACTGACAATCTCATATACTAATAAGATACAAGAATAAATAACCGAAGAAAAACGATAAAAATTGCTCTGAAAATGGGAAAACCATTAGAGTAGCCCAGGATGGTAGATCTGGACCCAAAGTCCCACTTGAACCCCAGTAGCAGGGTCAAGTATTATTTCATCAGTGTGAGTCACATGAATCACACAAATTGGAATGGTAAGACTTAATCCTGGAGGAGGTAAAGCTGCATCCTCTTCTTTAAGATATTTTGGGAGGACTAAAGTTTTTTGATGATCTCTGTCCTAATACTGTACCCCTTCGGAGATAGAATCTCATGAATGAGTGGAAACCATGTCACAAACATCACTGTTCTCATTACTATCAAAAATATCATCGTCCTAAAAGTAGTGGTCAACTTCACTAATAAGACAAGTACGATATTAAAAATTTGATCGTCTTACTAGCAGTGATCAACTCCACTAATGATCATTTTTGCATTGTTTTTTTCCTTATTAGTCCCTTCTTTAATCGTCATTAAGCAGAGTAGTTAACGGTTGACCACGGTATAAAACATCAGACGGACTTTATTGTGGCCTAGCACACCATCCTCCCAGGTGTTCGTAAGGCATAATGCTTCACCCTCGTCCTCACGACCACACCAGTCTACGCCTGGCTTTTTATTCAAGCCAATTTTTTAGGTAGTCGCAGCAAAGCTACAGAGTTATATTCTTTATTTTTTGCTTTACACAAGGAGTACAGTTTCTGTTAAACTACTCTGCCTTAGTGTGTCACATGACTGTTAAAACCAGTCTAAGTGTTTGTTTTCCTCTGAGTGTGTAAAGTTCACATCTTGAATAGAAGTTACTGTCCCTCTCTCTACACGAGAAGGTTTTTTTTCTCGAGGATCTAGAGGAAGTGAAGGAAATTCAACAATTCTGAAGTAAAATCGCATGAGGGAAGACAACTCATAACCCAAGTGCGAAATTCCCGGAGGAGTTCTTTCTTTTAGGTATATTAACAAAATCATTCGATTTTCAAGAATTTTTCGAAGAACTGAATTTTGCAATGCCAATTAAAAACCTTGGTGCCTTGGAACACATTAGTTTCTTTTTTATTTAATTATTACACGTTAACCCTGATTTCCAAAAAATTAAATAAATAAATGAAAATCCTAGTTTATAGAAATCACCGTACTCTATTTAAAATACAGAAATACAACATGTCTCAGAAACAAACTCCGATTAAATCATTTGTAGTCAAGTGGGAATTCATATTACAGGTAAAAATCTAGTCATAGACAGACAAAAACTTACAGCTTCAGTAGTTTTTTCATGCTTCCATAAGTAGCCGGAATTGTGGTGCCACTAAAGTTGTTATTATCAACTTGCCTGCAAACATAATGTATTCTTCAAATTCTGTAAACTACTAATCGTCACAATCACAGAATATTTTGGATTCAATTGAAATAAGTTACTATCGCCTAACAGTCATTCCCTGAGGATAAAATGTCCATCATCACACAACCAGCAGCATGTAAATGTATAACAAAACAAATGGGCGCATACAAGATATTTAAATGGTCACTCTCATTTTCAAAATACCTTTTCACTGCAGTCACAAAAGTGAATCTGGTAGATTGATGATTTTCAATACTGACAATAAATTGAAAAATGTTGAAACTGAAGTTGGAGGGAACAAGCATGCCCTTATTGATGCTTTTTGCAGTGACAACGACAAACCAACTATGCAACTCATGGGATTTGATTATAACATAAAAACCAAAAGCTCAGATTCAAGCTAGTGTAGTGGAGAAATGAAGAAAAACTTTAAGAATACATGGGTTAACGAAGCATCGAAAATATTGAAAAATAAATTTACATGGGTACATGGTGCCAAAATACTGTCACCCGTAGGTGTTCTTTCATCTCAGTGTAAATGACAAACTTTTGCCCTAAGGGATTCTTAGATTACATCTACAGAAACTTTCTTCCCTTTAAAAATTAATGAATTCCAATGAAATCTAACCTACTAAGAAACAAAGAGGTGCCCAGACAGTCACCAGCATGTTCCAAAAAAAGGGAAGGTCTGACAGATTCTCTGACTGACAACTAAACTGGCTTCTTTTAATGGTAGATTGGAAGCTCGATTTGGATTTAGTGACATAAAATTTTCTAATCTGCATATAAGACAGTAAAGAAAAATATCATCTTCCCTCATCTGATTTTGGAGGAAATTCTAATCCCCCTCAAAATAGGATATCAGAATTCGAGAACATCCTTGTGTCAATTTCATCGCCATTACAGCCACCATCATAGTCAACTTCCGTCAAAACCTACTCTAGTTGAAAGAAGAAGAAACTAAACGATTAAAAATAAGTATTGCTACTCTCCACCACCAACAAATTTTGATCCCAAAGACCATCACTGCCATAGGTAGTCAGTCCATTGCCATCGCACATATCATCACTACAAAAGAGACAAAAATGAAGAAGTCGTGGCGTTTTAAAGGATCTTCCTTTTGAATCTTTTTTATATTAGGGTATAGGTGTTCATCAATATTATTGTTATTGCTCGTCCAAGTGAAAACTGATTGACGAGGAGGAGAATATGTACACATCTATAACAACAGGTCTACTTTTATAGCAACCGATAAGAAATTATTCTAACACACATCACATGCAATCCAATATTTTAAGCTATGAGTAACATGGACAACATTAATGAAGGGCATACAATTTAACACGCTACCATCAGCTTTGATACGACAGTAAAATATGCAGATAAAATTATTATATCATCACCTCTCTATGGGTAATCTGAAGCTGCGGTTCTAATACCAAGTTAAAGTTTTGGGCGAAGAAGTCCAACTCACATTATAGTCATAATTTACAGAAACCTATATGGGACTATTTTAATGATATCCATAATAAAATAAATTGTGTGCACTTCATTAGAAAAAAAATTGTTTTTTCGAACTCGGTTCAGTTTCCCACATATCCAGACATCTGGCAATCAATCAAACATGCTCAAATTGGACATGGAATCCGATCGTGCATATTCTCATCTGAATGACTAAAAAATGCTCTATAACAATGTAATATAAATAAATCACACAATAAAAAGTTCGATTAATCAATCTCATATGGAAAAGACACAGAAGATAACATACATAATGAGCAAATTGGGCAATTGGGAAAACCCTGGAGGAAGATAGCCGGACAAGTTGTTATTGTCTAACAGGCTGCAAAATCAAGCTTTTGTCAATAACAAGAAAGGGATTTTCCAGCCAGATACAGCCTTTCACAAAAACTGAAAAAAGACAAAACAAATAAATCAAAAAATAGATGCTCACAAATGGAGGAGACTTGGCAATCTGGAAAGCTCCGGTGGAATTTGTCCACTAATTGAATTATTGTTCATATGGCTGTAAAGAAAAGAATGTCAGTGAAAGAACGCATGAAGATTTTCTCTATTCAACATAAAACAAATGAGACAAAATCACTGACAAGTGCTTTGTTTTGTTCAAATTTGCGAATGACATTGGCAAGGGTCCGGATATCTGATTCTCATCTATTTGTATTCTGGTTAGGTTAGGAAGATAACCCAGTTCTTCAGGCAGAGAACCTGATAATTGGTTGCCATTGAGAAGACTGCAGATACATGAAAATAAAAGTAACCATTAGAATCAAATGCCAAAAAAAAAATAGTGCCTCTTCGGAGCAACCAAATAAATACAAATAGGAAAAATGTTACAGATATTGACATCTTTTCAAAACAAAACAAAAAAGCAGATCTTAAGGATTGTGAGGTTCGAATGAGTTATTATTCCTCCCTTACGGAGCTTGCAGTGATAACCCACCAAAATAGACATGTATATTTCCCATTATTGATTAAATCTATTTTTTAAATAAAATCATTTTATGTACACATTTGTTCGTTATTTATGCCCACATCTAAATATCATATCCAAAGGTAAAATTGGACTAGAATAAATATCACTGGAGGGCATAAGAATAAAAAATTGTCATTTCTATGTCATCTGATTACCGTGCACACACAAATTAGTAGTCAATCAATGAATGTGTTGGGAATAAACATCTATGAAATCCCTCCAAAGTAGGCCTATAACGTTAAATGGCATCTCCAATAGCATTGTTCTAACCCTGAATGAGACATATTGAGCTATGAGATCAGCATTTGCCATAGATGTGTCATTCCAGAAGTCGACACTTTTTCTTAATATCTCTGAAGTTGCCTTTACTAAACCAATGGATAGGCAAGATAAGTACCATGCTACAGAGCAACGTTTGTTTTTTATTATTTATTTATTTATTTATTTATTTATTTATTTATTTCAGGAGTCGCAAGAGCAAGTACTTGTACCGCGGTTCTTTCTTTCAATGTATAGCACTAGAAAGGCCATTCCATTTTGGTAGTGCAGATAAAATCTTCATCAAAATGGTCGACACAAAGTTTTAGGTGACAAGAAATAATAACAAGAGTCCCTAGTTCATACGCTAACACAGAGGAAATGCGATATTGTGACACTGTTCTCATGTTGGATCATGTTTTAAGATTCACTAATTTTATACCTTGATTCAAGAAAGTACAAGAGGAACTGACAGTTTTCATCCAGATAAAGCTCTATGCTTATAAGTTTTTGCAATCTGCTAAGTTGAGAATATAAATGACTATTTCCATCAGGTTCACATTTGGCTCTCTATGACAACAGCAGAAAAAAGTCCTTTTTAAGCAAGTCATCAGATACCACTCCACGCACTTCCCATTGTTATTTTGTATCCCATTTGGACTCGATTTTTAGCAATCCACCAAATGGATATGCATGACCGGCGCTATTAGACCAACTAATGTGGTTCACTTTCAACTGCGGGAACATGATTAGATGTTTCCGAGTAAACTCTATCTTAGATCAGTCATAACCCTCATTCAGGAAACTTTGAATGTGAGAAAATGTTGTCCAGAAATGTTTCGAGATAGCCAGTGACTCTACAAGTAAGTCACTGATAGAAAAAACAAGTAAAACAAGCAAAAATATTAAAATATGCTCTGGAGGAAGAATACAAGCTTTCAACTAACAAGATCTTGCTCCCCGTAATGGGATTCTAATCGACAAACAGTAGAGGAACATGTTGACAAGCAAATCGAAGTTCAATATTTCTATAAATTACTTCAATCAGAGAGGAGACTGTCACAATCATAGTAAGACGAGAGTTATTTTCTATTAATCAAAACATTATGAAAACAACGTACAGGAGCCTCAAAGTTTTAATATCGCCAATCTCCTTCGGTATACTGCCACCTATCTGATTCCACATGAAGTCCCTTAAGAGAGAAAAGAGAGACGGGAAAAAAGTCAATGATCAATTCAATTTCCACTCAAGATGGGAAAACCATAAAGACAACAGTGTAAAATGAGGTGCTACAATCCTACATTCACCCAACCAAAAAGGGTCACCTGGGGGAGGGTGAAAATTCTACATCATCTTGTCCAATAACTAAAAGTAATTAACTTACAAGATTTGTAACTGTGATAGCTTTCCCAATTCAGGAGCTAGACTTCCTGACAGGTTCATGTTCAGCAGTTGCCTACATCGAAAAAGTAAGTAAATTTATTGTAATCAAACGCCCATGAAATTTAAAGAATTCTCCACTGAAAGCTAGATTTTCTGACAGCACCCACCACTACAAACATCACTGCCAAAGCAATATGGGAGTGTAAGAACAATCATGGAATATTCAAATAGCCTCTGAAAGGCATTTTCAGAATCATGAATAAAGAAACACTACTAGTGAATTTAACCAGAAAAAACATAAAAAATTATGCAACATTCAAGATTATTTCAGAGGCATAAACCAAAAAAAGAAAAAGAATGTGCAAAACCCTCTAAGCAATCACCAAAAGTGTGTGCACATGGGATCTGACTAAGTTAAAAACTTCAGAATCGAGGATTCGCCCTCTCTTTCACGTATCAAATCTGTTCTTGATAATAAGAGGTAAACGTTTATAACAAAACTATCACATTGAACTGTTGTAGATAGACTGCATCCACAAAGTGATGATGGATACCCACGACACACATGTTCACACATTTTCAATTTACATCACAGCTTATCATATGTAAATGAATTTTCCCAGATATTTCCCATAAAAATTAAGCATTTATGATCAGCCTTAGCCTCATGCGTGTTGACCCCAACTGGGAAATCAGAGCCTACTCTGCAGTATTATCAGACTACCAAAATGTAAATTATCTGTAAAAAAAGGTAACTAAAAGGTAGACTTGAGAAAGAGCACATAAATGGCAACATTTCTTCAAGGTAGCAAAGAAACACCGAGACCTTATAATTATTGTTACATGGACAATGAAATAGTAGACTAAACAAGTATTAAATAAAAAGCGTCAATGATAATACAGAGATTTTACTTGACATCAAAACAGGATAAGAAAAAGACGGAGTAATGAGATACCTACAATTCACGGACATGTAGATATCCATCACTAGACGTAGTATTCGGGCACAGAACCCCTTTCCATTTTTTTACGCATGGGTCCCCCTCATTCCAGGAGTCGAGATTCTTCTTAGGGTCGGTTAACCTGCTACGAATGACTTTTAATGCCCCAACTGCAAAAAAACAAAAACAACGATAAACAATGGAGAATAACTTTGTTCGTGATCTAGCCCTCATTATCTTCCTATTAACACGTAAGCCATAGCCACCAGCAACATATTCCCTGTATTTATCTTTTGTTGTCACCCTCAGACAAAAAGATAGCGGATGATACAATCATGTGCTTATAAATTTCTTACTATGAGGATGCTCCCACAATGACCAATTGTTAGATTCCTGCTTCAGATTAACAAATTTAAGTCCTAACGTATTAATTTCCACATTACTCTTCTCTTCGTGTAGATAGGGGAAAAAACTTCTGTTACCTTGTATCAAAGGAGAAGGAAAAGAATAAAAAATGGTAGCTGACAGCATTCGAAAGGAGTGTTTTTTTCATATAGTGCCAGAACATATGGACAACTTTGAGCACATAACCAAGACAGTGCTCGACATATTTGTCCTCATGATGCAGCTTAAGTTCAATAGTTCGCTCATGTCTCATGTATCATCGCACAAAAATACAGTCATCGATACAATTCTTCGGCAATCATATCCTACAGATCGTACCAGTACATGTGGATAATCATTAAATTCCTTCAAGCAACCACTTGAATGAAGGTTTTAAGTATTCCGATGGAAGCATCAAGTAGTATTAGGCAAGATCTGTCTTCTAACTTTCACTCTAATAAACAATCAACGCGCTTCAGCATGAATTGGCTACAATCCCATGAGGACATTGCACACGTAAAACCATAGCTTTGATTAATAAGGGTTTAACATGATTCAATTGAATGGCTGCCTAGAGACACCGAAAAATAAGGTAAAGAAGCAGAATTTAGGTAAGTTCTATCTGCTCTATTTTGCTTCCATGAAAGAGATCTTTGTTTCTATCACTGCATGGCAATGAGTCCGATTCATTTTCTTCAAGAAGAAAACTATAAATGTATGCAATCAAATATTAAAAGATCAAACGTAAATATTACGTTTTTCGAGTAATAGATTACATGAACATTAAACAGGTCACTTGATTCAACAACAAAGGTCTCCATCAAGACAACTTCTTCAATTAAATAGAAACTCCTCGAATATCTATCTCATATGACCACAAGACAAGGTGACAGGTGTGTGTACAATGCTCACTATGATGGTGTATGACCAACCAAGAAAAAATGGATGAAGACACGTGAGAATGAAGTCTTTTGAAAAGAAAAGGTCTCAATTATAAGAATTAATGATAAAGCTCGCGGATTTTCCTTCTAAAGATTGTAAACAACACACGCTTAGATTTCTTTTTATCAAGCCTTAATGCCATGACAGTTTCCTCTCTGTTTTCCATATTTTTTTCTTCTAGAAGACCTGAATCAGAATTACAATTAAGAACTGTTAGACACTGATAAACTGCATTGGCACCCTGAACGACTCGGAACATTCTTGAAAGCAGATTTAACTTCAAATCTGCACAGCACAAAGAAGACAGTTGATCACCCCACACCTGGTTACGTATACAATCCCAACGCACAGAATTACAACCAGAGATAGAGAGAGGGAGAGAGGGAGGGAAGGAGGGAGAAAGGATCAGCTTTAATCTGTCCGGAATGGATCGAAATCTAAAGTAGATAAAAACAGGTGATATCGTAAATCAACTAAGAAGACGAGCTTCACAATGTAAATATAGAAGATTTTTCAATCAGTATTTTCCTGGAGAAGGTTGAACGATGGATTAGACTATTTTGTGAAGAATGCATGATTCAAAAATTACTGAAAGAAGATAATTTAACTGTAAATCTCATGCAACTAAGTTCACCTTCTGATGGGTGAGTAACTTGTGCTCCCACAAACAGCGTGAAACAGCACACTGTGAGAAAGATAAAGGCCCTCACAATAAAAAGTTCAGAATCAATCATCTTGCCGCAACACTCTAGATCAAACTCAAACACTGGTGCTGTTCACTTTCTGGTCCAAATTCATCACCTGAGACAAAAGTAAATGATCTTTAACCCAAGATAAGGTATTCTGATCTCTAATAAACTGTTGTGCAAGGAAATGGTAAGAATATCTTTAATAGAAATGAGGTAGAAACAAATTCAAGTTTTCCCTTGTGAAGCTGTGAACTCTTAGACAGGTCGAAGTCATGAACCATATGCCCCATTCCTAAGGGTGAAAAGTTTAGATTCCGAAATAGGGTTGACGGATATAGTAGTACTTTACTTTCAGGAGCGAATTTGCAATCAATTAACAGTGCACAAATAACAGGAGTCAATTTCCCAGTGTTACGGTGAAGAAACAAGCAATCCCGAATCTCTGCAACTCAGCAATTCCATGTGTCATTCACTGATAATCTGATTTTTTAACAGTGAAGGTTCGAGGTTCTAATTGATAATAAAGCCACAGAGCATCTAATCATAGACCACTATGCATCACTAAGGAAGTTGACAGCACTAGGAACCCGATGAATTGTCTTAAAACTAGCACACCATTTAACAGACAGTTCAATAAAGCGCTTCAGTTTAAATTTGATAAAAGAGAGGAGTGTGTCCCGAACCCAATAATCGCGAAATCCCAATATGAAAGCTTCCTCTGATTCAAGGCCTCCGCTTCCACTTTCCGCAAGGGATCCGGTGTTCAGGGAGACGATCGCGAATTCCCAGAAATTGAAACTCCACAGGCGGTCGCCTCCGCTCCAACGACCCAGCTCCCGAAGGATGAGGACGAGACGAAGGGGAAGATGGCGAGAATGACGACAACGATGAAGAAGAAGAAGAAAGAGTCGCGCGAGGGACAGGGAAGAAAACGAGCTATATTACTACGACCGAGCCCAGGTGAAAGAGGCGAGCGTCTGAGTCTCCAAAGAAACCAGTCCTTGGCCTTTTTTTTATCCTGTGCGATGGCTTCGTGTTCAACTTGAGGAACGAAAGCTTTGATTCTGATGTCGTTCCGACGGGAGCCCGCATTGACTTCGACGACGCGGGTAGTTGCAACGGGGAACGATCGAACAAGGCGACAAAACGGCTGCATCCCACCGTGACTCGGCACGGCGAGGACTCCGTCTCCAAGGCCATTCCATTCGCCTGTCCAGATCGCAACGCTCCAAAAGTCGCCAGGCGCCGCCGTGATCCGTGATCTCGAGGCCCGGTCTCATTCACGCCTAACCCCAGGATCGCACCTACCAAACTAATGGTACCCCCCCCCCCTCTCGGCCCCCACAACGACACTCCCGACATTTCCACGCGTCGATTCATCCGGCAAACCAGTCGGCAGAAGGTTCTGATTCGAAGGGTCGGCCAGCGTTGACCTCCTGAATCCCACCCACACAATCGGACCTGGTCCTTTGTGCTGCGTGAAAAATCATTTTTTTAATAAATTAACTCTTTAATAATGTCATCTTATACCCTATTAAAATCGGAGTCAAGCCCATCGCAGGAAGAGTCACCATAAACCTCTGCTCCTCGGAGAGAAGATGCCAAGATCAGAGGGTGCGACCTGAAGAGTTCACTTATTGCCATCCGCCCGCGCCGCGGGAGCACCACGACTAGTCGTCGCGAGGATGAATTACCAGACAAGAAACAGAAGCATGCGACACGACGGCGTTTGACTTTCCGGCGTTTGACTCCGGAAAGGCAGAAGGGTCGAAGCACGCTGCAGCTGCCGATCAGCCTCCGCCAAGTGAGATGGGAGGGGGGAGAAACTAAGAGGCACCTGGAGTACTGTCAAAGACCGACTGAAGGGGGTGTGGAAGTCAAACGGTGGCCCTTCCCACGAGCTGCTTCCTTATCTGGAAAGAAGTCCCAGAAAATGTCCGTAATGGGTTTTTAATAAATAAAAATTTTGATACTTTGTTTATGTTATACGGGGCATAAAAAAAAAGGTTACCTCGGGGAGTTTCTGCCTGAAGACGAGTTCTAACCTCGAATCGAGAGTGTTCTCGCAGACGATCTTCCCATCTTGAGAGGCCAGAACCACACCACCGGAGCTGTTCAAAAAAAGAAAGAGGAAAAAGAGTCGTCAGAGATGAAGTCAACGGCGAGAAACAGGAACAAGCAGTTCTACACAATCCAAGGGCCTGTTCTTGGTGACACGAAGATCCATCCATCCCCTCTGTAAAAGAAGAAGAACAGGGGAGACTATCTTTTGGGGATGCTTCTTGCGGAAAGGCCTCTACGAGGGTGGGAAAGTCAACCAGGTTTCAAAGGCTTGCGCTTGAAAATAGCAGAGGAATTTACCAAAAAGGGCCGTGCGCCCCATGGTGACTAGGAGGTGGAGGAAGAAACACTTGCTCGTCAATAGTAACTTGAGGAGTATGAACGCCGGCCTTGGCAGCATATTCTTGCTTTGCTGCGTCTAAAATGGACCCCACGAGAGGCAGATCAGCCTCTCTGCACCGCAACAATAACGTTGGCTCTTTCAGACGTAATAAAGCCTGAAATCAGCACAAAACCTGTAAGGATCGGTAAGCATTGAGAAGGGGGATGAAAATATGAAGAAAAATTGATTGATAAATGGACACAACCGGTTTATACTTAAATGTAAGATACGTATGATCCATAAACAGCCATTTCGTCGCATAGAAAATATAATAATAAGCGCACATTAAATTTTAATAATTATATCACCTAAACATTAGACAGTCACCTCAACAGCCAGGTAGCCCACTCGACCAAGAGAAAAGCATGCCTTATAGACCTTCATACGCATTTATTAAAGACATAGGCACTTGCAGAGTTATCCGCGAGTTTTTTTTAATTTTATTTCACTCATTTTTATGTCCTCGATTTAAGAGTAAAGAAATGAAGTGCAAAATACGAAAGGAGGGTTTCCATGTAAGAACAAGCATAACTAGTTACTCTGTCAATCACCAACTAAAGACAAGATGTTCTAAAGTAATGGATGGGCCTGTGCTGCATGTAAGCGGGCAGATGAAGAACAACCAGAAAGGACACTAGAAAAACGAGGTGTCAGGTATGAGCCCAGTGTATGGCCATCTGAAGGAATAACGATTACAGAAGTACAGTCAGAAACTCCGATTGCGGATGGAGAAGCCAGAAAGTCTTGGTTTTTGAACATGAAAGAGGAAGACACCAGGCACCTAGTGACAATGCTGTGATACATTTTTCATCAGTTCCACATCCACATCAGTAGCATTCATGTGGATACTCCCTCAAATGAAGCAGAAAGAAATCCCAGAATGAAAATTCTCAGTTGGTTAGCTTTGTGAATGGCCCTTCGCTTGGCTTCGGTCCGGTATTAAGAAAAACCGGTTTTCGCTCACCAAGGATGGACTACACATTCCTCTCTTTGTATCTTCTATCGACCTTCATTAGCACCAGGGCAGAAGGATCAGATATTACGATCCTGTGAAACTGTGTTCACTATTGTCAAAAGGAGATTTTGCTGGAGATAATTTACTGGATCCTCACCAAAAAAGAAAAAGATGGGGGAAGAAGAGGAGAGAGAAGTGACAAATTGACGAGAACAGATGGATGAAGAGTGGAGGATAACTCTGCTGCGATTGGGTCAACCACTGTTCATCAACTTTGTCGCTCACGGATCCAACACTAATGGTTTGGATTATACATCTTCATGACCTTTCTTCCAAGAAACCCTCCGCCAGAAAAAAAAAAATTCAAAAAGTAAGATATTTTCTTCTCTCTTCCACTCTTCCTACTACGACTAACCTTTTTCATCATTTTTTGGTTTCCACCTTCTTTTAGAATGGCCAGAACAAGATTGGTACGTTTCCCAAATTCAGACTGTGCCTGGGATAATAATCTGGTCGGCACTTTCTAGGATCTCAAAGATTAATAAATGAAACTTGAATGAATCGACCATTCATTTCATTGCAAAATATAAATTTTGGTGAAATTCACATCAAACTCACCCCCTCCCCAAAATATCCAAGTTAAAAGAGATGAAGGATGTATTCTGTCGAAAATTCATCACAATTAGAAACGTGCATGAGAAAATGGACTTAATGCATGGGAAAATGGAATAAAAGAAATAAATATGCACGAAAAATTATCATCTAGGCCTACTAAAAAATGTTTCCTCATGGTTAACTCAGTCTGTAAGTGTCTCAACCTTTAACAGAGTATTGCACCTTACCTGAACAACTAAGTCTTTGAGGAGCGTAGTGTATGCAACAGAATCAGCAGAAATACGTAGAAGCTCCTTGCAAGCAGCATCCTTCATGGAACTTACAAGGTCATCCTGTGCTTGCAAAACTTTGAGACGGGAGGCGTTCAACTGCATTGAATATTCACTGCAAAACAAGAATGTTAAAATTACACAACAAAGAAGAATAAACATTAATGCAACTTTCTGGAAATTAAGGAAAGCGACAGATTTTAAAAACAGATGGAGATGTGCTAAAAAGATAGAAAGAACATTATAACATTCTGATTTATCGATGCCAACCAAGATGTAGCAACAAAGAGCGACATGGTCTTCTGCATGAAAAGTTGCAAAGAACCTTGGGTGAGATGTGAACGATAGCCACTATCACGTATTTTTTCCAATATTTGACATTTATTGAACCATTTCTTCTGTATATTTAATAACGCTGTTGGGATGAGGCAGTGTTTGAAGTCAGAGAGACAGCAGACATACATCTTCCTGCGTACTTCCACCTGTTTCTCCTTCCGCTCATACTCTTGTCGAATTTTCCGCTTCTCAGCCTCAACAAGTTGCAATTTTTCTATGTTGAATTCCTGCGATGATGGGTAATTCTATGAGATGATGGGCTAAAACAAGGAAATTCTTTAAAATAATCAAATAACTATCTTTGTTCATCAGTGGATAAGAAAAGAGAGGACTCACGAAAATGTATACCAAAGGATGCATTGTGTTTAAAATGAAGTCGCATTCAGATTTGGAAAGAGAAGGTTCTTCCCTTAAACATCCATCGGCATAATATTTTCAGTGGCACAGAATTTAACAGCATGGGAATATTATTTTTTTTTAAAAAGTCAAAATTCTATACCTCCAAAACATTCTTGTGCAGGGAATTTCTATATGACACACTAAGTTATAGAAATTCTGCTTGCATAAAACATCGGTGACATCCAATTTTGCACTGAAACCGTAAGAAACGCAGAACATAATTTTCTGGAATCAGAGCTAAGATCTATGTTAGAACTCACAAAGAGGTACAGTGAAACAAATAAAGCGAGAATAAGTGATCTCAAATAAATTAAGCACCGTTCCCAGGCCTGATTATCTACAAAAGTAGGCTGTTATACCTCTAGCATGGAAATAACACGCGAGTTCATTCACAAAGGATCGCCAATGTTGATGATGATAATTAACGGAACCAATGGAACCATGGAACTACAACGAGTGGTAATTACAGAGTTGTGATCCAATAACTTCCACAAATATGCTTTCCTGTTAGTCCTCAATGATCCCACCGTACTTCCTGTTGTCGTAAACGGTGAAATTGCAAAAATCGTATTGATACGACAAGTTGAGAATAAATATCTTATCCCTGGAAACATGAATTTCCAGAATGGCAGAGAAAGCGATAAGCCAATGGAGAGGGCGAAATTCGCGTAGTGCAACCGGAAAAAGCCACCTCTCTTCTCTAGCGTAAAACAACGGACGCTACATGAACAACAGGGCCAACCCGATGATACCAGACACCAGGGAAGCAGAGTCGAAAATGCGATCCGTGCAGAGAAAACAGAAAGGTGAACCTCTTCGGCAGAGACGGATATCTCATTGGCTTTCTCCTCGGCCTCCTGCCGGATGAACTGGACCATCTGCTGGATCTGCCTCGACACATCCCCATCGTTCATTGCGCCCGGTCTCCTTGCCCCCTGCCGCCCGGCCCCTCACCTCGCGCCTCAGAACACCCTTTAGGGTTCCCACCTGGACGGTCTCAGACGATCGATCTCCTCACCGGAGGACTCGCTCTCCCTTTCTTCACCCTGGCGTCTACGATTATACTACTTGTTCCCGACGTACGCTGACGTCGGGTCGGGGAAGCTACCGCGGAGAGGCCGCCAACGAAGCCGCGTAGTCTAGAAGGCCCCAGAAGAAACCACCAAAAATCAGAACATCTCTCCGAGGGGTCAATTTATTAGCGTTGACCCATCAAATGGGCCGGGCCGTTGTCGGGAGACACGGATATTCGGTCCGAATCAACGACGACACCGCCACCTTGCTGAGCACCAATGGGCCTCCCCAGCTCCTTGTCACGTGAATGGGACTTGAAGTATCCTTTTACGATGGGGTGACGTCAGTAATTTTGGGCCCTTTCCCATTACGGCCCATTTTCTGCTTACTCATCAAAATGTACGAAGGCCTGTCCATAACCGAACATTAATATGCCATGTCAGTTGCATGATATGTCAAGTGGGTTGACCCTCTCTCTTTCTCTCTCTCTCTCTCTCGCTCTCTCTCTTTTTCTCTCGCTCGTTCTCTCTCTCTCTCTCTCTCTCTCTCTCTCTCTCTCTCTCTCTTTCTCTCTCTCGCTCTCTTTTTCTCTCGCTCGTTCTCTCTTTTTCTCTCTCTCGCCCTAGACTTTGGCGTGGTCGGCTGGGCGCCGGTTCACTTCCTCCACTCAATAAAAAAAAGTCCACCTACTGGGTTGGGGAGCTGCGAGCCACGTACGGGCTGCCCACTTGTCCGGAAATAGACAGCAGGGAGGTACCCACCCCTCCCCCCACCCCCCCGAGTTCACTCGGGAGAGAGGCTCAGCTTCGGTTACTCTATTACGGGTCGTCATTGACAGAGAAATATGGCGGGTAAATGGTCGCAAGTATGAGGTGAGCGCATAAGTCCGGTTGACACGTGTAACGGGTAAGATGCCCAACGGGGCATTTCAAAATATCCACACGCGAAGTCGTCTTGCCTTATCCGCCGTCTGTCCGGATGGAGACAAGAGGGATCGTACCCGTCGGATTTGACTGCTGAAAGAAAAGGTAATCGCTCTCATTTTCTCAGTTCTCCTTTTCGTCGTATCTTTCGGCGGGTATCCGGCGGCGGGGCTTACCAGGGATCGGACGGCGGACGATGGTCCGAGCGGATTCCGGCGGGGGCCACCCACGTTATCCTATCGAGCGCCATCTCCGCCGGCCGACGTGGCGGCCCCCCCCAAATAGAGGAAGTAAGCGCCATGTCTGAGCTTTCTCTTGTCGCGTTACGTGGCAATGTCCACGTGGCGGTTCGCTGTTGGCAGTCGAGGAGCCTCCGTGCTCATTAGGGCGGAAGATGCCCCTTCCCCCCCCCCCCCCCAACCAGCCACCTTCATTAGGTTATTATTTCGGGGGGACCTTCAGCGCGCCCACAGAGCGAGTGGAAGAAGACGACCGGAGACAGCCCGGCACTGATGAGCGACCCCCGCCGCTGCGACCCACCTCTGTGATCGCCCCCTCGGCGATCGTACGGCCCGCCGTAACGGCTACGTCAGGGATGGGCAACCGCTGAGCCCGCTATGAGACAAGCTCGGCCCCATCCCGGGCGGGGAGACGTACACGGACGGGGCATCAAGAGCAAGAGCAGCCGCACAAACTCAGTCGAACAGAGAGGGAGCAGGATCGCTGAGTGCTCTCGGAGGTGATAAGCGGGGCTGACATCGACTAGTAATCAAGGAGAACGGAAAAAGGGGGGAGTTCAACTCGGTCGCCATGCTTTTTCTTCTTCTATAAGTGGGTAACAGTAGTCCGGCGCCTGTCTAGTTGGGGAGGGTTGAAGCTTTCTCCCCCTTTTCACTGCCCTCCCCTTCTCTCCGGTCCGGGCTCGTGTGTTCTAGGGTTCCTCGTGCGATGGAGAAGACGGCTCAGTGGTAAGCTCGCTCGCTGTTGTCCTGAAAACCGCATCGGGTCTTCTGATAAATGCTCGTTGCAGGGTCATCTCTCAGGGAATTCACTCGGACGTCGTGGTTAAAGTGGGCGATGAGACATATCCCTTGCACAAGGTAAGATTCATCGTGGTTTTTACGTGAACGAACGAGAAGAACGGAAGAAATTCGATCGAATAAGCTAGTATTTTTCTTCCCGATTCGACGACGTAGATGGTATCAGTAGATGCAATGCTCACCGGCGCTTCCCGGAGAGCAGAGAAAGAATATATTCCGGCTGGTGGTGATGAATCGTCTGATTCCTTCGACTTCTACCTCTGATCTTGGGAATTTCCCTTCTCTGTTTCGATCTCGGGGATGGACCAGTTCATGCTCGTGGCGAAGAGCGGTTACCTGAGGACGAAGATAATGGAGTCCAATCATTCGGAACAGACGTGCATCGTCGACATCTCGGAGATTCCCGGCGGCGTCGAGGCCTTCGAGAAGGTGACCAAGTTCTGCTACGGCGTCAACTTCGAGATAACCATCAACAACGTCGCGGTCCTGCGGTGCGCCGCCGAGTTCCTGGAGATGAAGGAGATGTACTTTGAGGGCAACCTCGCCAACCGCACAGAGGAATTCCTGAACCGGGCCGCCATGAAAAGCCTCCCGAGCACCGTTGCCGTGTTGAGATCCTGCGAGAGGCTCCTCCCAATGGCCGAGCAGCTCAACATCGTCCAGAGATGCGTCGACGCCTTGAGCATGAAGGTTCGGGAATCACTCGCTCACCATCAAGCAAAATCCAGATCTTCTTCTTCTTCTTCTTCTTCCCGTTCTTTGTCAACAGCGAGTCTGTGTTTCAGGTCTGCATCGAATCGAAATTCCCAACTCGTTCCCCGGAGGAGTGGTGGGCCTACGAGCTAGCGGGGCTTAGCCCCGCTTTTCTTCAGAAAACCCTAGCCGCCGTGAAATCCCGAGGCGCCAGCAACGAGGCCCTCGCCATCGCCGTCTCCGCCCACGCAGAGAAGAAAATCCCCGACATCCTCGCCGGCAAGTCACCGCCGCCGCCCGGCCCCACCTGGGACGACGCTAGAGCGCAGCAGCGCAAGCATCTCGAATCCGTCGTCTCCCTGCTGCCGGACAACGCCCCCTTCAGCGTCAGCTTCCTCTGCTGCCTCCTCCGAGCCGCCATCTTCCTCGACTCGCCGACCACCTGCCGGAAGGAGCTGGAGAAGAGGATCTCGGCGGCGCTGGACCAGGCCACCGTGAACGACCTACTGTCCGTCACGCTGGACTACAGTGGCGAGCGCATCGTTGACATGGACAGCGTGAGGAGGGTGGTGGCGGCGTTCGTCGAGAGGGAGGCTCTCGGCGGCGTCCTGTACGGCGGCGGCGCCGTCTGCTGCTCCGGGACGATGCAGCAGGTGGCGAAGACGGTCGACGCCTTCATTGGCGAGATCGCCACCGACGAGGACCTCTCCGTCTCCAAGTTCACGGGGATCGCCGGCGTCATCCCCAAGACGGCCAGGCGCTTCGACGACGACCTCTACCGCGCCATCGACATCTACCTCAAGGTGACTCCTTTTTTCTATCGCGTATTGCGGGCAATTTTGGGTTGGGCCGGTCTGGGCTTGTTTATTAATGGGTTGGGAGCTGGTTGTCGCCGTAGGCCCACCCGGGACTGGACGAGATCGAGAGGGAGAAGGTGTGCAGCGTGATGGACCCGCTGAAGCTCTCCTACGAGGCCCGCCTCCACGCGTCGCAGAACAAGAGGCTGCCCCTGCAGATCACGCTCCACGCCATCTACTACGACCAGCTCAACCTGCGGAGTGGCAGCGGCGTCACCACCCCCGGCGGTGGCGGCGGCGGCGGCGGCGGCGGCGGCGGCGGCGGCGATCTGCGGAGTCAGATAGTGACCGACTCGGCGCTGATCAAGGAGAACGAGGCCCTTCGGTCGGAGCTCTCCCGTATGAAGATGTACGTCTCCGACATCCAGAAGACGCAGCCGGCCGGCGCTGCCAGAGGGCCCAAGAAACTCACCCTCCTCTCGTCCTTCTCCAAGACGCTGGGAAAGCTCAACCCTTTCCGGCAGGAGGCCAAGGACACGTCCCACATCGTCGACGGGGCCATGGCGGTCAAGCCCAGGAGGAGGAGGTTCTCCATCTCTTGACTGGCCCTCTGATCTCATGTCGCCGATATATATCTTCCAGTGCAGTGTTCTTCGTCCCCAGTACTTTGCTTGATCTAAGTATAGAAGAATGTTCGATGAATCGACAGCCACCCTCATCATTACAGAGGACAACAAAACCGGGAGCAACCGGCCGTTTAAAAAATACATTATCTTCAAGAGGGCAAGCAGATTATTATAATAATCTACCACCCATAATCAGCATCTGGGCCGTATGATTTCCTCATCCACGGCATCATCTCGCACATCTTTCTTGCCCTGTGATTCTTGATGCGCCTTCAATGCTCGAGCCCGGACTGTGGGTGCCGCTGGCGGCTGTAGAAGTCATCCTAGAACGCTCCACGAGAATCCGCTCTACCTCCCGATTCATCAGAGGAAAAAAAATGATCGACTTTGTTCCACGTGTGCATATAAATCCATCTCCATTCGAGTAAAGTTCATATATCAACAGAGCTCACGGGCGCCGAATACCCGCCAATGCTTTCCCTCCCGTTGGTTGAGCCTCCGCCGGCTGAGTCACGTGAACGTGCCACCCCCGATACGGCACGTGACAAGTGGTTCAGCGCGTGGCGCCCCGCTACTCGTTCCCTATGGGGGCCGAGCCACCCGGCATGCAATTCTCGACCACGTGGGCCGCCAGGGGTTCGGTGGGGGGATCACATCAAGAACCAGACCGCGCCCGCAATGCTACAAGCGCCATCATCGGGGAGTTGCGAGATCGCCGTCAATTGACGGCTCAGTTTTATTTGCCCGTTAATTTCTGATTTCCGATTAAATAACGCCCAGAGATCGATCAACGCTCACGTGGGATGTTCTCGTCCCTACGATGAATAGCCTCACGTGGTCCCACGACAAGGGGTCTTTTTCCAGCCGTGTTGCTCCGGCACTAAGTAGAGGAAGGCTCGTGAGACCAGCACGTTTCAAAATCCCCGTCGACGATGTCGCCATCAGAACCGTCCATTTGAAATCACGTGGCTATCGCTCTCCGGGAAGCGGCTCCTACCCAGTCAACATCCACGTCGGAACCGCACGATATGGGGGAAGACGGGTGATCAACCGGACCACCGGAAGAGTGGCCTATTTGACAAAAGCACCTGCAGGGACACATGGCCTGTTAGGATGTCAGACGTGGATAGATGGTCCATCATCAGATGCCGTCCATTCTGTGGTGATGCACGGATCAGCGGCTCTGATGGCATGACGGTGGATAACTGCTCCCGCGGTAACCGTTAAACCATGTCCGAGTAAGGCCGCCGTCGTCTTCTCCGCGAGATCCCAGAGCCAACTGTTGCTGTGCTGCGCCGCCAACCTTTTTCTTTATATGGGGGGTTTCTTCCGTCTTCCGTCCACCCAACCCCCACCACCATCTTCCCGGGCCCCAAGAACGCTGAGTTCAATGCTACCTCGTCAGATCTGAGAAGTTTCTGTGCCTCGTGGTTATAAAACTACGGTCAGTCCTGGTCGATAGGAGAGAGATGAGAACGCTGACCGAGTAGGGAAGGGACGGATCGAGGCGGAGTCCCGCTGGACTGGCTGAGAATGAGCAGCGGTAGCGGCGGCAGCGTGGTGTGCTGGGTGGCGGTGCAGAGATGATCGGAGGGAGAAATGTTCCGGCGGGGTCTTCGCTGCTCCTGCAGCAGCAGCAGCAGCGGAGAGTTAGGTGCCTCGCGTTCAGTAAGGGGGATGGTGGAGGTGACGACGGTTTGGATCTGTTCTCGTTGAGTCGCCGGAGCGTCTCGATCGCCGCCGGCGAGGAATCGGACGGGCAGAACGGTACGGGTGAGGATTCCACCGTCCCCCTTACTTTGTCAAATTTACCTGATTCTCTTGTCGCCGATAGAACAGAGTTTCTCGCGGATCCGTAGGTCATGCTGTTCCTCCTTGGAAAGGGATAAGGACTAAACAATTTATTTTTTTTGTTGATAGTAACTTTCATTATCATCCGGGGGGACTCCCCACCCACCCCAGAATTTTAATCTCTAGACTGAAAATCTGTTGAAACGGTGCCGTCCGGCATTTTTCAATAGTTTCTCTGCAATCCACTTTTCTCGGTCGATTGTTCCCACGAGCTTTGTTCCTAGATTACTAGCTGATTGGATTTTTGTGAAAATAAAGATTTCCTTGTCGTCATGCTCCTGCTTCCGTTGGTCACTGAGATAAACTTGCTACCTTTGCTTGCAGTTCCGCCAAATCTTGGAAGGATTTCCGTCGGATCAACAAAATCGGCAAGGAATGGAATAGACGATCTGTTATCTGCCGCAGACATGGGAAAACACGATTACGACTGGTAGGCTCGTAACGCTCTTACTCGATACTTTAGGTATTTACCCTGTTGAGGAACATCTGATTCAATAAATCGGTCGAAACAATCCCGTGAACTGATCAGTGGTGATCTTAGTGTCGTCGAATTGTGGAGGAATCGATCGGGAAATTATTTTTTTCTGTCTGTTTATCTGTTCATCCTCGAATAATTCTTCGTCATCAATAACAGGGCTCTGAACCAACGATGATCTTCCGAATTTTTTTTTCCCATAGGCTTTTAACGCCCCCAGGAACTCCTCATGATTCATCGCTGGATTTCATGGAGGCCCGGCCGGCCTCAGTAGCTCCAAGAGCCAATCCGTCAGCTAGATCAGCCTCGGCCACCAAAGCCTCAAGGGTACAAACGCCTTTCTTTCTATCTCGTTGACTATCTACAGTGTTATTTCATCTTAATTGTTTCGCTTATTCATCATCCCGTCCCCCGGACGTGAACTGGTACCATGAATCCACGATACTTCTTCCATTTGAATGCTCAGATTTATGTCTTTCCCACTTCTGTTCGAATGATTCATGTCGAATCCGCCGTCGAGCTCACTTTTCATCGCCCTTCAATCAACCAAATAGTCAATGCTCTGCAATTTTGTCTATCCATTTCTCTCGAACGGATGGAATCTCAGTCTCCACACCTCTGTTGCAGGTCCCGGCGCCCGATTCGGAGAGCAAGACTCCAGCGAGGGCGGCGGCCAGGAGCAGCTCAGTGGCACGCGCCTCCATCTTTGCCGCCCACTCCTCCAACGGCTCCGGCAGAGCATCGGCCCTCAACACGAGTATGGCCTCCGTCACCTCCTCCAGACCATCAACCCCTGGCAGCCGCCCCACCTCATCGTCTGCCTCCAGGCAGACCTCCCACCCCATAGCCTCCCGCTCCTCTACCCCCTCCAAGACCAGACCAGCCACCGGCCCTCCTCCTGGCGACAAGCCCCGGCCGGCATACTCCTCCTCCTCCTCCTCCTCCAGGCCCTCGACTCCGACGGCGCGGCCCCAGCAGCTTTCGAGCCCGAGCTCCCTTGCCGCCCGATCGAGTTGCAGGCCCTCGACTCCTACTCGGCGCGCACGCGCGCAGTCTCCAGCTCCTGCTCCAGCTGCCGCGCGCTCGCCGTCCGTCGGCCGGAGCAGCGGCGGCGCCGCTGCCGCTCGGCCGAGCTCGCCTGCATCATCCGCCAGGCCGCCGCCCCAGCCCGCGGTGCCCCTCGGCTTCCCCCTCGTCGTGACTCCAAACCTGCGGACGAAGGTGCCGGAGAGGCCGGTCTCCGCCGGCAGGTCGCGCCCGGGCCTCCCGCTGACCGTTCGGGCGAGTCCGGTCCCTGAAACAGCGGCGGCGGCGAGCGCGAGCCGGCGCCAGTCCCCGTCGAGGTCACGACTGCAGAGCAATGGGCAGGGGTCAACGCGGGACACCGCCGCGCCGAAGGCCACCGCCACCAAGGAGGCAGCGGCGGCGCCTGCGGCGGCACCCACGGAGAGCACGGGATTCGGGAGGACAATCTCCAGGAAGTCCCTGGACATGGCCCTCAGGCACATGGTAAACTACTGCTGCTCCTGCTCCTGTTCCTGCTGGTGGCGGTTCCTGTTCGGTTCGACGATCCAACGATGGATGATCATTTTCATGGCTGTTCATCCAGGATATACGGCAAAGCTTGGGAGGGGGAGTTCGCGGCGCCTCGCTCTTCCCCCAGAGCGTACGTTCATCCGTTCCAAGAATCATCCCCCCTCGAGTCCCAGACATTAAAGTCCCTCTGCTGTACGGCGGAGCTAACGCGGAGGGGAGCTCTAATGGCGGCGCCCCGTCGGAGAAAGGGGGCGTCGGCGTCAAGTCTCCGGCGAGGGAGCTGCTCGGGAGGGCGATCGGACGGGACATCTATGAGAGCTCCAGGTACGACACTATCCTGCTCAAAGAGGACGTCAGAAACATGAGCTGGCTCCACAGCATCGAGGACAAGTCCGACCAAGGCCTCACCTTCGACCTCCGATTAGAGCCACTACCAGAACCCTTCGTCCTCCTCTGAAAGCCCCCCACCGCACCCCACATTTTTCTCCTTTTATCTTCTTACATGGGTCACGCCGCGGTTTCCCCCTTCTTGTTCATACTTCTTTCCCTCTTCCCCGGGTTTCTTCTCTTCGGATGTCTGTACTGTATACGGCTCGGGCCTGCGTCTATATACAGCCGAGCCGCTCCCATATCTTCTTAGTGGTCCATCTTTCTCTGTGGTTTTCCGCCAAACGCCCTCTCCGACTGAAAACCCAGACGCCAATCCAGCCTATTCAACTCAGCCGTGGTGTCTGCTAGGTCAACCGGGCAGGCGTTGACTCATTGATCTGGGAGCATTGACTCTGAGGCTTTTTAGAAAGACCAAGAGGAGACGACGCCGAAGAAGAAATTTCCACGGGCACCAACGACGAAGTGGACCAAAAATAATGGCAAGCATGTGGAAGGGTCATAAGAGCAGACTGGCGCAAACAAATTTCAGACCCAATGCTAGCAATCGCAAGCAGTCGCCCAGGCCTAGAAAGTCGGCAGTCGTCGCCATCAACTCGGGTGTCGGCCTTCTCAATAAAGAATGATAGGCAACGGATTGCACCACAGGCTCCCCCCACCCCACCCTTTACTTCAATGAGAAGTACCCATGAACGAGCTGGTTATCTGCTTAGCGTGCAGATGCCGTCCTCCTGGTAAGACCAAAAGACCAATCACGCCGCAGAAATCCCTCGGTAGCCCTCTCTCTCAAGCTGCTCAGCCAGAGAAACGTCGCCCGTCTTTACGATTTTGCCGTCCTCCTGATAAGACCAGAAACAGTGGGGTGGTAAATAAGAAGAGGTAGAATTGGTGACACCCTATGTCGAAGAGATCATGGTAGATAACGCCTGATATCCGAGTCTCTTACCATTATGTGGATATATGTCGGGGAGATGTAGTCCAGGAGGCGCCGATAATGAGTGATCATCAAGATGGAGTTGCTGGGCGTCAGGAGCGCGTTGACTGCTTTCGCCACGTCCTGTAGGGCGTCGACGTCCAACCCAGAGTCAATCTCATCTAGAATCGCCAAATCGGCTTCAAGGACCTGAGGAGCGAATAAGAAAGGGGCAACCCAATGAAGTGCATCAGCATGGATTTTTTTCCCTATTATGGTAAAAAATTGTGCACCTTTCCAGACATATTAGTCGTACGGTGGACTTGAGAAGAAGTGAAAATTCAACCGGTTACCCAGGTTACCCAGGATACAACATATTCTTAGTAAATTGGCAACGACGACAGGTTACCTACCCATTGTTGTTTACCCCGTATTAATGATGATAGAAAAGAGCTAAAGAGACTACTCCGCGGTCAAACTTTGCATTAAAATAAATACATGGAATTGCAATATATGGGATAAGAAAACTAAAATATTCATACCGCAAGTTGCAATATCTCATTGCGCTTCTTTTCACCACCACTAAATCCTTCATTTACATTTCTGTTCAGAAACTTGGGATCCATATTGACAGCAGAGAGCTTTGGCTGCAAAAACCCAAAAAACTGCAAGAGAAAAACAATTTACCAATCTCGAACTGTGTAGAACATATCTGCTAAGTTGGCGGAGTTATACTTCGTTCAGAAACCAGAAATTTAGATATCAGAAGAAAAAAAAATTCCCATGTTGGGTTGCCAGATAGGCTTTTATGTTCTGAGTCTTCAGGGCTCCCTAGAGCAGAAGCACTGAAACAGTTTACAAGGAGACACTGCCTTCTTAAAGGTTAAAAAGGAAATTTCCAAACTGTTGCCCCTCTCTCCAGGTGTCCAAACCACAGAAGGAATCGGCATATCACAACTATTTATCCCCATTACGTGGGCATATACTGTTCCACCAGGTCATCTCCTATGGCGGATCATCAGGTTACTTCCAATGCAGCATTTCCAGGAACGTTTTCTCACAGACCTCACAAAAAAGATATCCCACCAATCTGCGGAAGCAACATGTTCATCCTGTTCTGATGACAGGAAGCCTCTTGAGCTGTTGTCTGATGGATCATTTTTTTTTTCTCTTTCAAAAGAAACACAACCCATAGTAAGTTCCAACCTACACAAAACTCAGCAGCAAACACTGTTGAAAGTTAATCAACCTTTGATCCACATCTCTCCCTCATTTCTTACTCTTTGAAACCTAGATCAACACCCTAAAGCTCCGTATAAATCCAGAAGAGGTTCAGTTCTCTTTTTCTGTATTCCTTTTTTTCAACTTAATTAAATATTTAGAGCAGATTCAATCAGATACTCTCGTTAGAAGCTATTCCAGAGATACGATTGTATAGGCCCAAAAAGGGATAAATGAAGATGTAGATCCTCTTACAAGTAAAGCAAATCTCATTGATAACATGGTACAACGAGGAAACAACATCTTTCGTTATTGAAGTAATATCTTTCGCTATATTCCACCACACTGGAAATAGTCTAGAGAAGCACAAAGGAATGAATGCTCCACTCTTTCTACAATTATTGTGTATTTTTCTTAAACAAGTAAAGCCCGGATTACTTCTCTTAAATGATTTCATCCACCTCTTGAGGAGTAGAGTCACCTTGAGCACCATCAGGCCAAAGGAAGAGAGATTAGACGGAAATGGCAGAGACAACATCCAACCCATCTCCTGCAGATAAGGTCTTACCATTCCACTCTTCAAGTTTCCAACTAAATTTTGAATAACAGCATACCAATCGTGTCACCTGATCAGTGCATCGAGTAGGAGTAACGCCTGCCTTTGATACCATGAATTCTCTGCCATTAGGTTTTCCATAATGCAAGCAATCCTAGGTTGCCATAAAGTTACCACAAATAGATATTCCACCTAATTTATTTATTTATGGCTCTTTTCAATTGAAAAATCCACGTTTTTGCTATTTTGAATGTCACTTCGTCATGTGATAAACTTGTAGCAATTTATCATCAGACTTGTAATCAAGCTTCTCTTCTGTCTCCTCGGGAAAAAGAATATAGCTGATTTGATTTGAAGCTCACAAATCTCGAGAAATTTTCTTCAAAGCATCCATTCCCATCAAAACTATCTTATGCCATACTGAAATAACATGATAAATAGAAGTCGATGGCATCAGGACCTGAACAATTTTCTAATGTTCATCCTAAAACTCCAGCCCTAGTTTGATTTTCGTTAAAGGACTTATAAAGTATTCCTGGCAATCAAAATTTTCAATCAAACTGGCGATTGACAAAACATGGAGTTATTATCTGAATTAAGACCTTCAGAAAAAAACTTATCTACTTAGCTTTATAATCAGAACACATACTTCAATTGGAGAAAACTCTGGAAGCCCGCGCTTCTTTCTCCTAGCGTTGCAAGCCATCTGAAGAAAGTCTATATTGCTCACACCAGGTATCTCCACTGGGGATTGAAAACTCATAAATAGTCCACCATGAGACCTCTCCTCTGGATCCATATCGAGCAAGTTCTGCCCCTTGAATTCAACACTCCCGCCTACTACTTCATAGTCTGGATGACCAACAAGAACCTGTAATAAATATAGCGTCAACAGGAATTTTAACATTGAAAAATAACGAAATGCAACGCGTTCATGAATAGTTTTGTAAAGTTCGAGCATAAGAAAAGTTAAAAAGGGTTTGTAAACTTCCATATGACACTTAAAAATAAAGAATAACAAGCACGACGCGGCGATAACGCACCAACCAATCCATGAACAGAAAATTAAGCCATTTTCACAAAGTTGCCTGATCAGAAATGAATGAAGCACAAAAAATTCTACCGCGAATTGCACTCAACCTGATTTGAGAGTTTCCAACAAAAACTCCAAAATTCTCATAAACTTGAATCGTTGCACTGAAAGTTCAGCTCTAAAGCTTCTACAGGGGACATGCGTTACATGTTTCCTTAAAATACTCGTTTCAAGTACCACAAAGAGCAAGATGTGAAGACTTATTCACAGCTTCTCGAGGCTACTTCCGATTAGGCTGTTCAGATGAATTTTCATAGAAGCCAAGTGGATGAATACTAATTATCCCGTTTCCTGTTCTTCCCATATCCTTGGCTACTGAGCGTCGTCACTAGTAATTACTCCATTCAACTGCTACAAAGTTTCCTCTGTTTCCCGAAACAGCTACATCTCGTTTATACCTTTTTAAAAACTTTCATCTTCCATGTTCAGTTCTGGACATGAGAGGGAGTGGTAATGAAGAAGATTTTGAATCCCGACTTTTTATCCCAACGTCATTCATAAGCGTCCACTTTCTTCCACCAGTGTACCAGGGCCGATTTGGGTTTTCTCCGTTGTTTCACAAAAAACACAAATAGGCGGACGAGATAAAAAAAAATGAGTCATTTCTGGTTCTACCACTGGACATGACCGGAAGGGGGTTGTTTACTGAAATCAGAAATAAATATTTGAATAAATTAAATAAAAAATTAACATAAAAAGTTGGCCTAGCTCAGACAAACCCACCTTAGAGAACGTGCTCTTTCCAGAACCGTTCTTTCCCATGATTGCATGAACCTGTGGATTTCAAAGACATTTAGAGAGGAACGTAAACATCATACCAACGATAAATCCAAAGCAATAAATTATGGTGTATGAGTCACTATGCCAATGCCCATAAGCGAAGTCCAACGAACTGCACCACCGTCAATTACCGTTTAAAAGAGAGAAAATGACAGTCATGTCAACGGAGGAACACCGAATTTTGTCAATCGGCGAGAGCGCCACTGAGAATTGGTAAAACGATTTCAATTGACGGAGAAGAGCGGGGGGTGTGCGAACCGAACCTCGCCCTCGCGGATTGTGAGATTTATCCCGCGTAATACCATCTGCTTAGACTCCGCAATCACGGCTTTCAGGTCTTTCACCTCCAGAAGAACTGTTGGGGAACCAGACTGCAGGCGACTTCCATCCGTCGCAGTGGAATCGACAGCAAGGGTCGCTCTGGCCGGTTGATACCGATCAAGGATACAGACCGAGCGTGAACGCGAAGATGTGAGGGCTTGAGTCGCGAAAACTACCGGCGACGGGGAAAGCACCCGAAGACAAGGGGACGAGGAAGTCGCAGTCGAGCAAGAGGATGAAGGAAAAGAGGGGCAGAGGAGGGACGGCCGAGCGACGGCGGGAGCCATCGGAGATGGAGCACGCCAACGGGTAAACGCCTCCGTCGCCGTCGTCCTCTCTTCCCCGTGGAACTCAACCCAAGACTACAACGGATAGGGGTACTGATGGGCTCCCGCAGCCAATATACCAGGCCGAGTCTATTAATTTGGGCTCTATTAAAAATACGAAACGGACCCAGTTCAAGTCTCACTCTAGCCCATGCTCTGTAAACCCATAACCCTCCCCCCCCAACCTCGTGATGTTATTTGGGCCAAACGGGCCGGGCGATAATTTACTGATGTATCATTTTTCTACCATGTTTGGCATGACACGAGTACACTGGGGGCTGACCTTTACCATAAATCGTGCAGTCAAACCCCAACGATTGCTTAGAAGATTTTCCTCTAGGGCTCTCCCTAGTATCTATACAAGCCTTGCTTTTCCAAAGTCAACTGTTGAATCGCCTCGCGTGCCAGAGTCAACGTACTAGTAACTAACTTCCCGTTCCGAAAACTAGTGGTGGAGAGTCAACTTGCCCCTCGTAAAATCTACAAACATCACCACTCCATTCGACGTGAAGAAAAAGTCTACGCGTTGAAAGCCCAGTCAACTAACGGATCCATTCTTTGTGTGACATAATATTCTCGAGGCCCCGATGATTTGCACCCACTCGAGAACAATATCGGATGAGTTTGTAAATCGTATTTTTATGGCAGCATACCGGATATTGTCGTCAAACTTAGCTCGTTGAGACATGTTTCAAAAGTTTGGACGAGAATATTTGCCTCTATCCCGTTGTTTAGCGGCACTGAACGAGTGCCTAAATCCCATGTATGCCGACTCTCCCTCCTGATTGACCCGTATAGCCGTATCTTGCTCACAAAACAGTCGGAAAGATAATCAGAAGGAGAAAGTCAAAGAGCCCACGATTAGCATATTCCTGAGAAAGTCCACGGGAACCAACGGTTGAAATTATTCTAAGGGAACGCATCGGAGAAGATTCTCTCGCCGCAAGAGCCATGCAGAAACGTGAGAACCCGGGAGGGGACCTCGTGGCGCGTTGGAGGGGACTGATCCGTCCCATTTGTTGCCACGACGTCCTCAACCCCCGTCGGGAGAATCTTTAGATACCTTGCTGCAGCGAGAAAGCTCCGTGGAAGCCGAGCTATGCACCTGCCCCCCTCAAAACTCTACGTCTCAGAGAGAGAGAGAGAGAGAGACTGACACCGACGAGTGGGCCTTCTCTCTGGTTTCCTCGGTGTCCGTCTGCCGTGTCTCGGCAGACATAAAAAGAAGGCCACCTACCTAGTGCAACAGCATGTGGCGAGTTAATGGACAGAAGGCCTGCGGACGCGACGGACTCTGCCAACCCATCTGTGAAACCAAGTCTAACCGTCAAATTGACCATTTATTCGCCGGTCCTCTGCACCAGCTCCGGCGCCGCATCAAGGACGAGTTGATGAGCTCACCTGCCTCCCAGTCCCCCGCATTCACGACGGATTAGAAACGCGGCAGCTCAGGGGCTCCTGTGACACCACTCCCAGGCAGTTCCCTCCCTCCGACGAGAAAGCTGGCCGCGCAGACGGGCCACGTGATCCCATGCCATGCCGGGAAAAGAAGCCGTCTCCACTTCCCTTCACGCGGGGCAAGCGCCCGCTGCCCCCTGGCTGAGGGACGGCACTGGCGCAGCACGCATAGTCTTCCCCTACCTGCGAAGGAGAACAATTTAAGCCTCTCTGAAGCTCCCTGTTCACGCCGAGTTGGCCGCTCAGAGGCTGCCTGGACATTTAAGTTACCCGGCCAAACTCCGGCGGGCTCTTCGCCCGGCGCCGCACGTCCGGGGCGAGCCACCGGGGCGTCGGCCATTGCCCAGATTTGCACAGTAGTAAATTCGTCGAGCAGATGCATTGCCAGCGTTGGATCGCTTCTCATCTCCACCTGGGGAAGAAGACTTTCGCCGCTGGAGGTGCTCCGGACTTGGGAATAAACAACTAGCTCCTCCCACGTGACCGGTGCTCCGGCGAGCCATCACCAGGCCTCGGCGTCTACGGCACTGACTGCGGGCGTAATTAATGACCGACCCAGCAAAATCCCCTCTGTAATCGGCCGCGACCGGGTTGACCCGCACTGGCCGCGGGTCAGGCGCGGTTCTCGACGGCACCAGATCGATCCTAATTTTCTTTTGATGATATCCAGGTGGCCATGTGCGCTTTTAGGTCTCTGAAAATCGTCTCCTCCAAGTCCAGCGCGGACTGACTCAGTGCTGGGCCGCCGATCCGAGAGTTGAATAGAGAAGAGGAGGTGGGGCCGAGCCGTCACAATGTGGTAAGACTAGAGACGGGCAAGTCGGCGAGTGGGGCAACCGGGGCTTACAGTTCATGCTTGGGACAACCGGCCGTGGGGCCCATATGTGACGTGGTCCAGATTTTCCGGTGCACGCGCGTGTGAAAGGGTATTTTGGACATTATAAGGTGTATATATATCTGTATCTCTCTTCCGGTCACGCTATTATGATTGGGGGTATAAATGTCATTTAAGTCGGGAGGGCGACACCCGCATTAATGTTGGCCTTCCAGCTAAGGCAGGCGGTTGGTGTTTGGCTGCCCAATAGCGTTGTAGTCGCTCTCCTTCCTCTCCTCCTGACCGCGCTCCCTTCGTTGATGGTGTGTTACTGTGTGAGTTCAGAAAGGTTCGAGGTCGTGGATCTCGCCGTTCCGGCGAGCTAGGGGTAGCCGATACGGGGGGGAGAGGAAGAGAGTTTGAGATTAGTGGCGACGGGGTGGTAGTGGTAGTAGTGCTGATGTTTCCCGGGGAGGGGGTGTGAGGAGAGGAGAGGGGGGGTGTTTATCCCAGGGTTTCGGAGGCTGCGGCGGTGTCCTGGGCTCTTGCTGCGAATAGTACTGGTATCTCTGGATTTTGGGGGATTGGTGGGAAGCTCGAGATAACGCCGAGTGTAGGCGCTGGAACTCCCGGAGGAACCGTGGGTTTGGAGGTGGAATCATGGGTTGGTCCCGTGACGCGGTCTCAGCTGTATCTCCAGTTCGGGACAGTCGGAGAGGATGGAGCTCGCGTAAGAAGGCCGGCGAATTTTGAGTGGGGGAGGGAGCTGATCAGGTAAGCCCTTCCTTTCCCGTTTCCTCTCTCGCTTCTTCGTCCACTGTTCAATGCCTGTCTTCTGTGATGTCTTCTCGAGAGAAATCTCGAACCTGTGTGATAACACCGATCTCCCGGCTCTATTTGCGGTCACCACATGGCCTCTACGTGTCATCCCTTCGCAAAACGCATGCGAGCTGGAAATTTTGTTCACTTCAGTCGACATAGGATCGAAGCCACCGCGATTGCGGGGATTAGGTGTTGAGAACACTTTACTCCCTCGCTCCAAGATTTCCCCCAAGTTATGGAAACCACCATCCCTGAGTGGACCCGGCTTATAGTGCGCTACTGTTTCCGGATTGTTTGTATTCTCTTGGTGTCCTCTTAACTTGTGTGCTGCTTGCGCGTGTTATCCTGTTCTGTTTCTTCATCCTTTCTGTGGTGCGGGAGCCACCTTCGCGAGCTTTCCCTCTGAGGCGTCTTCTTTGGGTAGAGGAGGAATCCTCGTGGTAATCTCCGTGCTGCTTCGTGTGCCCTGTAGCTTTTTCTTTCTTTTGGTTGCCAACCCCTTTTCGCGAGCTTGTTTCGGGAAAGCACACAGTTCAAGCGCTTCTCGCCATTAGCGTGAGCTTCACGAAAGAAGGGGGGGGGGTTGTATGCTGGGGAGAGCTTTGGGAATTATTCCGACATTTTCTCTTTGTGTATCTTTTCTTTTCTCTTTGTTTTGTAGGGTTCCTTTTTCTTTGACCCCGAGTCTTTCCTGGAGCGGATTATCTTTCTTCTGGTATAATGCCTCATGGGTAGTCCCGTATTGTTCCGTTCCTGCTACAAATGAAGTAGGAATGGAACTTTCCTACCCAAAGCTGTGTCCTCTCTTTTCTACAGCTCATGCTTCGATTCCTCGTCCAAGTTGTAACTGGTTCTGATGACGTCTACCCTTCATCTGTCAATTGCCGCAGAGAGCGGAAGGACTATCGAGGGTGACAACGCCTGCAAGTTCACCTTCCTTTCTGCAAGCCTCTTGCTGGAAGGCTGCCCGATGGATCACTCAAAGCTCGGTTGCCCAACTTCCCTCCTGTGTGTTTGCCTCTTACTCCTACTATGCCTCCTCATTTCCACAACTGCTGATCTGAACTCCGATCGGGAAGCTCTCCTCTCCTTTTCTGCTTCGGTGCCCCACAGGCGTAAAATCAATTGGAATGCTAATTCCTCTATCTGCTCCTCATGGGTTGGAGTCACTTGCACTGCCGATGGCACCCGCGTCCTTGCCCTCCGGCTTCCAGGTATCGGGCTCGTGGGGTCCATCCCAGATAGCACACTCGGCAAGCTCGATGCCCTACAGATCCTGAGCCTTCGTTCGAACCGCCTTTCCGGGAGGCCCCCTTCTGATATCTTATCAATCCCTTCCCTTCGCTATCTCTACCTTCACCGTAACAATTTCTCTGGAGGTCTTCCCACACGCCTCCCATCTGGTCTCATTGTCCTGGATCTTTCCTCCAACTCCTTCACCGGACAAATCCCTCCTGCGTTTCGAAATCTCACCAATCTCAAGGGACTCAGCCTTCAGAATAACTCCCTCTCTGGCCCTGTCCCCGACCTTAGTCTTCCGAATTTGGGGCGCTTGAATTTGAGCTATAACAACCTCACTGGTTCTGTCCCTTTCTCGCTTCAAAAATTCCCGAACACGTCATTCACAGGGAACCCATTCTTGTGCGGCACCCCTTTAGCTCAGTGCATCGCAACGCTGCCTTCTCCTTCACCTTCGCCGTTCACCCCTCCATTGCTTACTCCTCCCACACTGTCGATCCCTCAAGAGAAGCACGCAAAGAAGAAGCTTACAACTGGTGCCATAATTGCGATCGGTGCTGGAGGGTTGGCGGTGCTCCTGTTGCTCGCAGCCACACTTGTGGTGTGCCTCCTGAAGAGGAGGAAAACCCAGGCGCAAGGAAGCAGATCGGTGAAAGGGAAGGCTTCCAGCGGTAGAGGGAGTGAGAAACCGAAGGAGGAGTTCAGTAGCGGTGCTCAGGAGGCCGAGAGGAATAAATTGGTGTTCTTCGAGGGTTGTGCTTACAATTTTGACTTGGAAGACCTCCTGAGGGCTTCTGCTGAAGTTCTTGGCAAGGGGAGCTATGGAACCGCGTACAAGGCTGTCCTCGAAGAGGGCACGATAGTCGTTGTGAAAAGGTTGAAGGAGATGATCGCGGGAAAGAGAGAGTTCGAACAGCAGATGGAAGTCATCGGACAACTTGGACAGCACCAGCATGTTGCTCCGCTTCGCGCATACTATTACTCTAAGGATGAGAAACTCCTAGTTTACGATTATGTTCCAAATGGGAGCTTTTTCACTCTTCTGCATGGTACGTTGACCCAGACCTTCACTCGTTCTCTTTTCATTCCAAGTCCTCCTTTTCTGTCTGAGGCGGTGTATTGCACGAATCTTTACTCAAATTTTATTGGACTCTTTCTCCGGAGTATTCATCGATGCCTCAAACCCGATGACTTATTGATCTCAATCTACCTGTGCTGTCTGACGGAACGTCCTCCAGAATTTTTGTATGAAAATCGTCAATGTAGCAGAGCTGGCATAAATAAGTTTGTTCGATCAAATAAGCCTGTCTGTAGGAAATCTTGTTCCTTACGAAAAGATATGCCGCTCTTCTTCCTTATACGTGGTCCTTTTTTAAATGTGTTGTCGATAATAATTATGTTGCTGATAGAATTTAATTATCCAGTCATTTAATCCCCGAGCATCTGTTTGCATCCTCTCCTGTTTTCCCCATTTTGTTCAAACCTCATTGACTTATTTCCTGTCATCGGATATTCCCAGTCTTCATCTCGCTGTCTTTTTTTGTTTGTTCCATTCTTTTAAATGCATCCTTTAGAAAGGAAGAATCACTTGATCTTCACCATCCCCCCCTGTTGCCTCTTGAAAACGACCTGTGCAGGAAACAGAAACACGGGAGGAAGCAGGACCCCGCTAGACTGGGACTCCAGGGTGAAGATCTTGCTGGGGGCCGCCCGCGGCTTGGCCCACATCCACTCTGAGGGAGGCGGGAAGCTCACCCATGGGAACATCAAATCCTCGAACATCCTTCTCTCGGTGGACTTGGAGGCCTACGTCGCGGACTTCGGCTTGGCCCCCCTGATGAACTTCCCAGCGACGCCCTCGCGAGCCCTCGCCGGCTACCGCGCGCCAGAGGCCATCGAAACCAGAAGATTCACCCAGAAATCCGACGTCTACAGCTTCGGCGTCCTCCTCCTGGAGATGCTCACAGGGAAGGCCCCGCTCCCGTCCCCCGGCAACGAGGACATCGTCGACCTGCCGAGGTGGGTTCAGTCGGTCGTCAGGGAGGAGTGGACGGCTGAGGTGTTCGACGTTGAGCTGATGAGGCACGAGAACATCGAGGAGGAGATGGTCCAGATGCTCCAGATTGCCATGGCATGCGTCGCCAGAGTCCCTGACCAGCGCCCGAAGATGGACGAGGTGGTCAAAATGATCGAGGAGATCAGGCAGCCCGACTCCGGCCCCCGCCCCTCCTCGGAGGACAAGTCGAAGGACTCCCGCGCACCGACGCCGTGAGCCAGCCTCGGCGGCAGGTTGCAATGGCCGGCGGGGTCTGCGGAAGGCACGCCCTGTGCCTTTCTGTGTGGTTCGTTCTTTTTTCGTACCGAATGGGCCTGTGATTGCTTGTAGAGACCTCTAATTTCTTCTGTACTCATAATTCGATTGACGGACTTCCCAGCCATCTCGGCCTCGTCTTCAATGTTCCTGACCTGCCCGATCTCGGCCCAAATCAATCTGGACTGCCTCGTGCCAATAAGAAATTTATCGAAGAAGAACGAGAAACACCCATTTATTGATTCGTTTGGTAATCAGCGATTGATCGTAAGAAGTTCGGAAGCGTCGACGGTTCGACGAAAGTTCGTTTTGCTTGTTATCTTGGCGCCCTGGTGATATCACCACCCGTTCTTTCGGCGGACCGTTGCGGCGTTGATGTGTGTGTTTCGGGCTGTCCTGTGCGATTCAGGCAAGCGCAGCGCCTCCTACTGCGTTGTTAAGTCAGCAGCAACGGTCGCCTTCTGTGAACGGCCGCTGGAGTCGACGCCGTCCGCCGGCCGCCGCCATGGTGCGGGGGTGGGCTCTGCGGCTGAGCGGGCACGTAATCGCCGGTTGGTCGCAGCCCGACGGCGCCCTCGGAGCCCAAAGCAGCATTAATGGCGGCACAGAGCGACCCAAAACGGCATATCTCTACAGAAGGACCGCGCGGCGTTACCGAGTACTGTCGTCGCCAAGGAAACTGTGGAGGACGAGGAGAACAGGAAGCTTGGTTGACAAGCAAAGGGCCTTGGACTTCCCTCCGTCACCGTCTCTTCTTCTCCACCCCTACCCCCATCTAATCCTCCTACCAACCCACATAAAATCAAGTCTCACTCGCCTCTCTCCGGATCTTGGTGGGGACGACGAGCGGCGACGACGGTGACGCGCTCTCAGGGTTGACCGAAGGCTGTGGGCTCGTCGTGGAAGCGTGGGGGCCACACGTGCCGATCCGATGGCAGATTTTTTTACCGTCTTTTGGGAACCAGAGGTAAGGAGTCTGAAGAAAAACTTGGGGTGCAAGAGTGATGAGATCGGCGCCGGTGACATCGACGGAGGGGGCGGTCTGTTCTTGGGATGCAAGACTTCCGCCGACGGTGACTGCCTCCGTCGACATCAGACGTATGGCTTCCGTCTGAACCATAATTATCAATGAACAAGATCGTCTTCCTTGCAGTCCCTTGAAATAATTCGATAAAAAACTTCAGCCTTTTCTTGCGTAGATGGTCGCGAATGGATCTATCTATACAGCTGGGGACGCCCCCGCTTCTTTCCTAATCGCCGCCATGCCGCTACTGTTGACCGCGTCGGAAAGCTCGGCGACACAGTTTGCGGATCCTCTAACGACCATCGGATTTACGGCGGCGGCGGCGGGGAAAGAGGACCCTCCTCGTCTCCTCTCCCACCCGTACTCCACTCGATAATTAAGGAATACGTGAGTCACACGGGGAACGCACGGGCGCACGTGGGAGTGGTGGGCTTTCCACGTTTCGGTGCCGGATGGTGTGGCGGCTTCGTACGTGCCCCGCGCTCACGTGGAAGCGTGGGCTCGGCTTTAATGCCGGTCGGACGGTGCTCCAGCTACTCAAGTCGACGATTTTCTTTTTTCGAAGACTATAAAATCATATTCGAATAACCAAAATTGCTAACTCTCAGACATAAACGATCATTCTTTTTGCTTCCTCTTTACAGCACCGAATAAAACTTTGGTAAAATCGTATCATAATTAATTATTACCCATTTCGTCGCCTCTTAGCGTTCTCACGTCGACCGACGGCCTGCATCTCGACGTGTCCATTTTTTGATTCTAAAGACGAAGGTCGGTCGGTTGGCGGCGAAAGCAGGTGGCGCCTCCACTGAACTTTCACACAGTCCGTAGCAAGCGAGACTGATGGGCGGCGCTAACACCGGGCGGCAGCCCCGCAGTACCGAGACGACAAGAACGCACGGCAGCAGCCCCGACTTAGCCAGCCCCACGGCGACGGCGGGCGCGGGCCGGCCCCGCCGGGCGTCGCCGTAATCCGCAAGTCTTCCCGGCTGGGGCCCGTCCTCGACGTATACATGTCTGGCTCGAGGGAAAGTACGGTGCTGCCCCGGTCCGACTCCCTCGGCTGACATCCGACGCCCTCTGCGCCTCCCTACCCCCGCGCGAAACGTTCCGCCGGTGGTGGTGGAAGAGCGAGGTCAGGGAGGGCAGTTGGGTCAATCGGAGAGCGGTCCGCTGAGCTTACGTACGAGAATGCTGTCGGGAAGGAGGGTGGGGGGTAGCAGTATGATCTTCGAAATATCTCCTGATTTACCCATGGAATACCCCAGGGGATGGAGGGAATCGGTAGAATAAATGATCTGGTTACCTCGTCCGAAGCTGTGTTGGCGCGGAGGCGGCTGGCCTGAGGGGCTCGCCGGCCGCGCCACCGCGCACCGCCGGAGGCGGCGAGGCTGCCTCGGGGCAGATGCTGACAACGACGGATCATGGGCCTGACCCCTCCGCCCGCGCCGCCTGGGAGGACCAACGCGGCCGGCCGGTTTATGACCGTTCAGCCCCTCATTCTTTTCCACGTACTAGTGGAAGAGAAGCAGAATAAAGAAGGGTGAGGCGCAGAGCAGGATGGGTCAGGTGGGTTCTGAGACGTCGCAGCCGTAACGACTTCCCCGTCCGGCTGCGCTGCCCGGTGGAATTTCCTCCGAGGCGGCGGCGGCGGCGGCTGAGGTGGGGGCGGGGGACGGCGGAATGTGAGGAGTGACGGACAGTTTGGTAATAGTACTCGTGGAGGGCATACATTTATTATAAATCCCCCCACTACCACCCTGTCCCCCTCGTTTCTCACCTTTGTACATTCTCTTCTCCCCCCATTCATCCTCCCCCTCTTCCCCTCCCAACCGCCGCGCCGCCGAATCCCCTCCGCTCAGTCCTTCCCTCTTCCTCCTCACTCCTCCCTGGTGAAGGTTAGAGCAAAAACCCTAAACCCCTCCTCATAGGTTTCTCAACTGGTGCCCGACCAGGCGGGAAGGAGAAGCCTGAGAAGGCCTTTTTTGATCCTGTTCTCTCTGTTTCTCGTGCATCTTCTTCCTCTTTGTAGAAACAAAGGGGGGAGGAGCTCCAGAAAGGGGGATCCCGTGGGGGAATCATAAATAAGGATCGATCCTCCGTCCTAGCAAGCTTATTCTTGAGAATCTCTGCTTCTCGATCAGATTCCGCCATACCCGACTCTGGTGGAATCTTTCTGTTGTTAAGCATCTCCCCCTTCTCCTGCTAGTTTCCCCCGCCGAGGTTTATCGCGACTGGCGGCACTCTGCCCAGGAACTCATTGGCTCCCTGGCCATGTCCTGGGAGCTCGCTGATCACCCCCGCGGCAAGTTCGCCTCCGGGATGGCATCCGTGAAGTACTCAGAGCACTTCCTCTGCACGAGGACGACGACTTCGGCAAGACACAGAGGGGGGCGGCGGGAAGGCTGGGACGAGTTCGCACCCTCTCGGCGAAGGATCGTGCGGGTCTTCTTCACCGACGAGGATGCGACGGACTCTTCCTCCAGCGACGAGGAAGACGCCGGAGGCTCCGTTCACCGCCTGAGAGTGAAGAGATACGTCACGGAGATCGACGTAAACGTGGTCGCCAGCCAGCGCCGCAGGAAAGCTGTGTCTTCTACTAGGACGGGGCCCAAGGACACCGTAGGGTCCCGCCGGAAGAGCTTCAGGGGCGTGCGGCGGCGACCCTGGGGCAGATGGGCGGCGGAGATCCGTGACCCAGTTCAGCGGAAGCGGTTGTGGTTGGGTACCTTCGACACGGCGGAGGAAGCGGCGACCGTCTACGACAGCGCGGCCCTGCGGCTGCAGGGGGCCAACGCGGTGACCAACTTTCCGGCGGCCGAGGGGGCCCCCGGCGGCGCCCCGGCTAACGGCCAGGCCGGCAAAGCCGACTCGTCGCCCTGCTTCTCGTCATCCTACTCCTCCCCGACTTCCGTCCTCCGCTTCAACGACTCCCCATTCGATAGCTTCGATTTCAGCGACCTCGGCGCCTTGGGCCCCAGCGTAGAGTCCCCCTTCACGCTCGCGGACCTCCACCTCCCCAAGCGTTACTGCTGGGAAGAAGACGACTTCGCCGTGTTCGACGCCGCCGATTTCTCCCTTGAACCCGTCGTCACTCTCTAGCGCGGGGGGATGATCCCCCTCGTCCCTCCCATTTGTAAGCGCCTCCCCCCCCCTCCCTCTCATGTTCCATCTGCTCGGTTTTGTAGTTCCTCCTCCGCGGTCGGCTCTGGCGGGTGCAACTACGGCGGAGCGGCCGAGCTCGCGTTGACTAAGCTTCAACGGCGAAACAACGTATTTTAGTCCTCATCTCTCTGTTTATCTGAGGAGAGAGTTAACGATAGAAAAACAGCGCCTTTGACGGGAAAAACCTGGAGATCTCCTCCGAGTAGAAAATCCGGCGCCTGCAAGAGGCGTAGTAATATCTGCGGTGTCGCCGGAATAAAGAAACGACTCCCCCACGAACCTTGAAAGGTCGCCGGCTACGGCCGTTCTTATCCCCGGCTGTGCGCCGGAACGTGGCCATGTACAGTTATACACGTGGCGGGGAGAAGGGCGTCAGACAAGGTCCGCCGAGGCGTCGCGGTGGGCAATGACCCGCGAGCTGACGGTACCTCCGCCCGCCCCGCCGTATCTGCGCCGCTTGCGGGCCTACCCTCTTTCTACGCATCTTCATGCCGGCAGAAAAGAACAGCTGGCGCGGTCAGGTAGGCCCCGACCGGCGGCGCCGGCAGCAGCCGTCGACGCCGTTTAGGGCCAATTCTTCTCCGATTCCGGTGAACCGGTCTGACCAGGGCCAAACCACGTCACCGTGCACCACGCCGGAGCGGACTCGCCAAGAGGGCGGTGGTGGCGGCACCGAGAACTGGAGCCTACCTATATTTCAGGAAAGGGACCCACTGGCCCACGGGACCCCTCCCCCCAACCCTTTCTACGCTTCCACCATTCTAGACTTTGGGGGCCCAACAAAAGCGACATCAGGCGTAATAGGTCCATTTATGTAGTCTGTTGGGATTAGTGGGCCGTCTCTGGCGAAACTAATTGGCAGTAGGGTTAGTTTTTCATAAAGGCATGCGCGCGTACCAATGTAAAACTATGATTATGTAATTAGACATCTGTCCAAAGTAATGATCTCCACGAATTAAGTACGGATAATTTTAATTTTGCCCAAAAACGGTATTGTAAGGGTATTTTTCGGATAGCCCGCATCTGAAGGTATGTTTACAAAATATAAAACAGAAGAGTAAAATCTGTTAATGGTGTTCTTGAGGAGACAGCTTTTTCTGCATGGTGAGACGGGCGGGGGGGCCTGGTTTGACTACCGGATTGACCCCAACCCAGGTCTGATCCGTTGACTACAAGGGCAGATGCCGCGCCGGATGATAGATCAAAGATTCGAGAGCGCTCACAGTAGGCCAAGAACAACTCAGAGAGCACGGAAGAAAATGGTGATCCCGGAGGGCACTCGCACCTCGTTGAGTGCATCGAGGAGAGAACAACTCAGGGAGTTCACCAGACGGCTTGGAGAGGGGGATGGACCGGAGGATGAACGGGTGGCTTTTGAAGATGCCGCGGAGTAAACGGAGGCGACGGCTTCGTCCTTGACGAACCTCCGGCGCTTGCGGCCGTCGGGGGGTGGGGAGCTCCGGGTCTTCTCCAAAAATAGACGGGCTGCAGCCAGGAGAGCCGCCCAAGCGCCGCCATCGAGCCGGGTCTCTCTCCCTCCCTCTCTCGATTGAGCGAGGTGTCTGGCAAGGCGTCCGCTGGAAGCCGAACTTGACGACGCCAGCTGTCTTCCTGTATCTGATTCTCAACTGATCCAAGCGACACCCCGGAGCTTCTAGGGACGATTTTGGAGCGTTCGACTGCGGGGGTCACCTTTGATCTGTGGTAATTCCGCTTCCCTAGTGTTGTTTAATGTGCGGGCCGTGTTCTCTTCTTTTGCATCCCCTCCTCCCCCCGGAGAAGTGGAGGGAGCGCAGGAGAATTGCCCTCTTACCTGGCAGAGGTTCTCTTTGAGCGTCTTCGAGACTGATGAGATCAATCTTCCTCGCCCTTTCGAGGAAGGTAGTTCCCATTCCTCGCCCTTCCGAATACGAAGATACGAAATCATGTCCATTTGGTGAATTCGGCAGGCTGTGAAAACCTTCATCCGTCCTATCATATCCTTGGACGGGATTCAACATTGAGGAAGGAAGGATCTTCTTCCGCAATTCCTGTCCTCACAGTGGAGGCCTCGTTGGAACTATCATCATTGAAGCACACATCTGAAGGAATCTGAAACGCCGTAATCTGATCAAACGGTTGCGACCACTATAAACAGAGAAAACATGGGTTCATTGACACTTGTAATCAGATATTTGGCAATTCCATTAATATCTGGAAATCTGATAGGATCGTAAATAGCATTATCTTCGAGTTACCCTCCCAGAGGGGAGCAATAGATGGATATCTGAACTCACTCATTCGCCGCTCCTCCTGATAGTATTCCCTGTTCCCCACCAGATGTCCGTCATTGTTCAGAATCACAATCAGCTTCATTTCCTTCCTTTCAGGGCTTCGCTCTGCTTCTCTCGCCGAGCCCGGTTTCCAAGTTCTGATGGGAAACTGCAGCTTCTCCAAGGTCTGTCTTTCAATCCTCGAAATATACTCAACTCTACCGTTGCCGCATCGCTGTTTTTCCTTTTTGCACAGCATATCTTTCTCGTGCCTTCGTGAACCAATCCAATCACATACATATAATCTCCTTCGTTGAGTATGCGGAAGCAATTTTATCACAATTATTTGGGGTTCTTTTATTAATTCTCTCCGTCGTCGCCTGTATATCTTGCAGAAGCTCAACGACTATGATTATGAAAGGACGATGGAGTTCGAGAATGGGAATGTGCATGTCATCTCCACCAAAGAAGGATGGGATGAGGCAATATCAGAAGCCTACGAAAATGGCAAGATCGTAAGCTCCCCGGCTTGAAGCTTTGACTTATGTGCTCGCAGTGGTGGATTACCAGACCCAAAAGTCAACCACCCAGTTCTCATGCGACGGCCTGTCTCACATGCCGGATGTTCTCTTTTGAGTTTCCCCCCACTCCCAGGTTGTGGCGAACTTCAGCGCCTCTTGGTGCGCTCCATGCAGATCGATCGCTCCTCTTTACGGCGAAATGTCTGAGAAATTCCCTTCGCTTACTTTTGTGACGGTCGACGTCGACAAAATGATGGTGAGTGCATCGTTCTCATGGGGAAGACAACTAGAACGACCTAAGAGGAAGAGAGCGTCGTGTTGCAGGAGCTCAGTTCGTCATGGGAAGTCCGGGCGACGCCGACCTTCTTCTTCCTCAGAGACGGCCGGCAGCTAGATAAGCTCGTTGGTGCCAACAGAACGGAGCTTCTGCAGAAAGTAGCGGCGCTGGCTGATCCATCGACCCGCTCATCCCAAAGGTCTCCCAGTCACTAATGGCTCTCCAAGTCCGCAGTTGGGTCTCCCTCTGAGGCAATCAAACGTGCAACAGGCAGGCAATATACACAGGGGAAGCAAGCTGTCGACGCCATTAGTGGCGTGGCTTCTTGAATGAATTTCCTTTTTAATACATAAATGCTCTTCCGTTATTACAAAAGATCACTGCGAGGAGTAGATGGAGGAGACACGAGAGGTACAATGGACGGAACTTCAACTTACAGATGATAACACTACAGCTCACCCTGTCGTGTAGGATGTGGCACTTCAGTAAGGCTAGGTGGAGTACACGCTACAGAGTGATAAGATACAGAGAAGCTCACCGAGGTAGTTGGGAGGGCAGCGGTACGTCCGAGCTTCTCATCGGCCCTTGGGGTCCATGATCTGGGAGAAAACGGCGCTCGGGGTGAGCCCCTCGGAGGAGTCGCTGGCAATGCTGCGCCCACCCATGCTGAAGGACGAGGTTGTGGTGACTCCGGTGCTACCCGAGTCCGTTGACGGGTCGGATGGCGACTTCTTCCCCGGCATAAGCGGTGCCGCACCGTCGCCGCCTACCCCGCTGACGAGGCTCCCCCCTTCCTCCGCGCTCTCCTGGAGCTGCAGAGCGAACTCCAGGTTCCACAGCACGTCGCCCATGGATGGCCGATCCACGCTATTGTCGGACACGCACTTCTCCGCTGTCTCGGCGAACTTTTTGAAGCACTGCGGCGCAATCTTTCCCCTGAGATGGGGATCGATGATCTGATCGAGCACGCCCTTCTTCTGGCAGTGGAGAGCCCACTCCGCCAGGCTCACCTGCTCCTTGGGTAGCTGCGGGTTCAACGCCGGCCGGGCGCAAAGCACCTCGAACAGGACCACGCCGAAGGAGTAGACGTCGGACTTCTCCGTCAACTGCTGGCGCCGGAAATACTCGGGGTCCAGGTAGCCGAAGCTGCCCTTCACGACCGTGCTGACGTGGGTGTGATCCAGCGTCGGCCCGGTCTTAGAGAGGCCGAAGTCAGAGACCTTGGCGACCCATTTCTCGTCCAGTAGGATATTGGTGGTCTTCACATCGCGGTGGATGATGGTGTGCTTGGCGCCGGTGTGAAGGTAATGGAGGCCGCGGGCAGCGCCGATGCAAATCTCCAGCCTCTGCTTCCAGGAGAGCGGCGGGTTCTGGGTCTTGTAGAGGTGCTCTCTCAGGGTGCCGTGAGCCATGTAATCGTAGACCAGGATCATCTCCCGGTTCTCCTCGCAGTAGCCGATGAGCGAGACGAGGTGGCGGTGGCGTAGCTTGGACAGCATCTCGATCTCAGTTTGGAACTCGTGCACGCCCTGCTCCGACGTGGGGTTGGCACGTTTGATGGCCACCTCCGTCGATCCGCCATCGATCCCACCCCTGTAGACTTTGCCGAACCCGCCGACCCCGAGGAGGAGGCTCTCGTGGAAGCCATTAGTGGCGGCCTCAATCTCTGCAAATGAGAAGTGACGGCAGAGATTGGCGGGCAGCGATGAAGCATAGCTCCCTGTGGTGTTGGTCTTGGCAGATACAGCTGAATTGGAGTTGCCGTAGAGGGAGAGCGGGAGCCAGCCGGATGGCCCATCGCTGGTGCTGGTTACCTTCCGTCCGAGCTTCTTCTTGCGCCCGCGCACTGTCAACACCAACGCAAAGAGCAAGATAACAAAGGCACCGCCACCGCCTACGGCACCAGCAATGAGTGCGACTTTACTCTTTGAAGTGCTTCCCATGGTAGGAGAGACATCCTGTTCATCCGTTCCCGGCTGAACCACAGGAATCGGATTAGGCCCAGCTAGATTGCCGTCGACTGAACTCAGCTTGAAGATCTCCAGGCCATTCAGAATGGCATCGTAGAACTCTGGTTTACTTGCAGTGGAAGGATGGAGTTCGAGCCAGAGATCCTGCTGCTCTGTCCCATCGCCAACCACCACAACAAAATCCTTGTACACTGCACTGCCGATGCCTCCACTAACAGGAATCACATCGAAAGCCGCCATCGCCGTCTGGTTGTTGAGGTAGATGGAGAAGACCCTCTGGTTTATTTTGGTGATTGGGTACTGGATCTCGCAGAAGTGCAGCCTCACGAGGTAGAGGAAGCCAGGATCGACTGATAATATCCAAGTGAGATTGAAGTTGAGATTGACGCTTGCATTGACTCCCATGGAACGAGCAGTCTCGTAGACCGCCGTCGGTGCTATGTAGTTGGGCTCATCGGTGTAGACGATGGTGACGTTGCTGTCCTTGGAGTAGGACACCCCAGATGCAGCCCCAAAGATGTAAGGCGTGTCGTCTCTCCATGTCCTGTAGAGTTGGATGTCACTGACGGGGGGGATGTTGTTACCTCCAACATTCAGCCGGTACATCGTCTGGAAGGCAACCTTCTGGTCGAGTGAGTAGGTCGATGACGCCCCAACGATGGGAGGAGCCTGAGAGCCAAGGATGTCTGGGGTTGACAAGATCTCGATGCCGTTGATAAAGGCGTAGGAATTGGAGACCTCCGACGACGGGGTGAAGGTCAGGTTCAGGTACCCCGACGACACGTTGACAGAGAACTCCAGGAAGAGGGAGTCGTAGTTGAGGGCCTGGACGGTCTGGGAGGCGCTGAAGTTGCTCAGCAGAGTGACGCCGCCGGGAGAGACCGTGACGGCGAAGCGGGAGTCGGAGGCTGCGTGGTTGCCGTAATCGGCGGGGTTGAAGTAGAGACGGAGGAACTTGCGGCCGGGGGAGACGGGAAAGGAGTAGGTAAAAGGGGAAGAGAAGATCCGGGCGGTCAAATAGGGGACCTGCAGGACGGAACCTTGGACGGTGACTGTGGATACTATTGTTTTCTCCGACGAGGGAGCGAATTTGGACCCGATGTCCCCCGTCCAGATGCGTTCGTCCATGTCGGATGTCTGGCCAGAGCTACCACAGTCGAGGAGGATGTAGTCGCGGGGAGTGAACGTTGAGTTCTGGGCCGTGGTCTGACCCGCGTGGAGAAAGAGGAATATGAGAAGGATGGCAAGGGGAAGGGGGTAGGGAAGGCGGCCTCTGAAGGCGGCGGCCATGCTGGCTGCACTTCAAGACCTCGGAGCTACTGAAGAGAATCAGCTGTTAGCCCGAAACGGGGTCGCCTGAGGGTCAGCCATCAGCTGGCCAATCTCAGAAACCCTACTCGATATCAGACTCCACAAATTTCCAGCGCGTCTTCTTCCGGTTCTCCGATAATCCCCAGTAAACCGAGCTGCAATCACAGCAACGCAGAAAGATAGTCGAGCAACGTCAAATTCATCAAGAAACGGCGCGGTATTGTATGCAATGGACTGCGATCTAGGGTTCAGGCATCGAGATGAAAGACCCGGAGACTTGTAGATCTTGTGGCCATCGGGCGACCGGCAAGAAAAGAGGTCACTTCCAAGCCACGGAGAGAGAAAAATGCTGCACCTCCTCCAAACAAACAAATGCGAGATATACGCATCGGAGAAGGAAAAATAGAAGCAACTTCCGTGTAGACTGAAACCTAGCGAGAAATCCGGCAACATCATCGCGCGGATTGATAGGAATAACTTTCCCAAATGGATTGAGGTGGTACCTAGAACCCAGAGACGGCTGCCGTCGCCGGAAGCGCTGCTCCCTCGCCCTCTCCCATATTCCTGACCTGAAGCCGCCTGATCGAGAGGGAGCTAAGAGGCATTTGCAGCCGATCAAGGAGATGGGGGGAACTTTACGTGAGGCACAGAGAGAGAGAGAGAGAGAGAGAGAGGAGTACAGAAGAGCCGGTGTTATGCGCATTAGCTGTCGGACAGCTCTGACAGCAGCCACTCGTTGACGCCGGCGACTATCGGCGGGCCACGTGAGCTAGTGGGCCCCCGTTCTAGGTTTCTGTGGAAGGCCCACGGCCCGGGGGAAGGGGGGGACACCACGCAATCCAATCTCCGCTTTTGGCGAGCAGCCCATCTTGGGGGATTAGGTTAGGCAAGCCCAGTATTGTGGAGAGCTAAAGGGTTGCCCATTTTTCTTTTTGGCCCACCTACCGATTGGTCCACATTGACTTGACCCAACGCGTAAGGGAACGAGTGTGGAGAAATACACGTATCACAACCCGAAGACTATACCTTTTCATAAATGTTTTCCCTTTTTCTCTCTCTTCCTTACAGCCACCGGTCACTTCTCACGTTCTGGCACCATAATATGGTATAAGAGCACTAGAGCTTATGTTGCCATTCTACCTCCAATCTGCAGCTCTGGTATGTCAAACCTCTGGTCTCGAGTAGAATGCATTTTCTCCCTCTAGATCCTTATTCTCACTGGAAATAACCAGCGATCTATTCTTTTTCTTCCCAGCCCTCCAGTCTCGAAGGGTTTTATTTCCAAGTTTTTAGGCAGCTCTCAGGTCCCAAGGGTTGTGAATTCGTATTCATTCAGCCGTCTGATTTCTACAACGGCATATTCACCTCCAAGGTGATGTCAATTGACAATAGTTTTTTTCTGGTGTTAGTACTGTGAATATCTGCATCATCACATCTTCATCAAAGATTCATTATGTCAATTTTAAGAGAGAGAGAAGCTCAGTTATCTCATAATCATGTATTGAAAAGGTTACGAGATTTAAGCCCTTTTTCATCTCATTCCAAGCTCCATATTACATGATAATATCCTCAAGTAATTTCTACCTAAATGATCCATCAAATCTATATTTACCACACCATTTCGATAGTTCAAAGTTGATCTGTGTCATAATAATTTACTACAGATAATTATACTTTGTGAAGTTGTTCTATAAATATTGTGTTATTTGTAAAGAATAAAGTTGGATTTATTGATGGTTTAACATGCAAACTAATTCATACATATCCTTATATTTTCTCAACATGGATTTAGAACAATAGTATGGCTCTCTCTCTTAAATTTCAAATTAAGTTTCTTGAGAAACATCAACAAATATTATTTTTTTCGAATTTGGCACTTGTGATATAGTCAACTCTTGCATATATATTTTAACAAAATATGGTATTAGGTTAATTTAACTAATTCATGAATTGATTAATCATTGTCAATTTCAAGATTTTGTTATGGTATATTTCACCAAATCAGAAAACATTTAAGAAGAACTAAAAAAGGATTTTTTTGTTAAGATATCAAAGCTACTTTCTCGTACAGAAGGAGCCTCTCATGAGACTAGAAGGAAGTAGTTGGTTTTACACGCGATCTCCAATGCTTTTGCTTCCATTCCTCCTTCCTCTTTCACGATGTCTGTTGACCTCGTAGTCTTGAATTTAGAATGAAAAGATGAGTAATGCTTCCTAGCATGTGATTGAATTGGTGTTAGTTACTCTTCAGGATGGAGTGGAAGAAGGGTGTAGAAGATGCAGTAGAAAGAGAGGCGCTTGCAACTAGGCAATGCAAATTGTTCAGAACTAAATGATATTTTTAACATAAAATATTTGATATTTTTTGTATATATAATCAAATGACTCTTTCATTCAACTTTGAGTCTCATTATTACTTTTTGATCATATTCTAAGGCTTTTCACATATCTCTTAAAAGTAATATCAAATACATGTTAACATTCAGCCAATAGTTTTTAACACAAATGTTGTGGCCATTGTTATATAACTACCAAGAGTTCTAATAATTTTCAATAGTTTAAGGAAAAATAGATGAATATTTACATTGTACTCATTATAATTTCTAATGTAATAATATTAACAATAGTTAGAAGCTCTATGATTATTTACTAATTTTTAAGCCAATAAAAAATGATATGACAAAAATTAATAAAGTTTCTTTAAATTCTAATGATTAGAAATTCTTTCAAAATAGAAATATGATAAATAGAGTTTCTTTAATGGTAATAATATCAGTACATTTTGCCACTTCTGCAACTATCATTGATAAATAAGATTCATTCCCTTTTACATAGTTAAGCTAATACATTTATTCTTCAACATAAAAAGTCAAATTCAATTATTAATTTATGTAATCTTATTTTTCACTCAATTGAATTAGTGGATTGTAGTTAAATTGTTGATTAATTCTATGACAACTAATTCATAAGTTGAACTTAAATTATTGTCAAATTATTGTGACTAATGATACATATCATAAGATAACAATTAACACGGATAATAGAGTAGAACATTTATATGATTCAAATACTAACAATATCTTCTTTGACATACTGTAAGAATTTCTATGCATTTTGACAACAAAATAACTATGACTTGTGCAAATAATGTATTGATTCTCTCTTGATGCAACAAGTTAAAATAATTATCTTGAAATATAAAAATATATATTAAATAAATAATTATAATTTAGTTCCTCAAAATATAGTCACATGAATTTTTTTTGCATTTTTCCTTAAGGTGAATAATGGATATTAATTTTTCTAATATATTATGATATATGGAAGTCACATCAGCTTATTATTAATTAGTTAATTCACATGGATTTTCTTATGAACAACAAGTTGGATGTTAAAAATATTTTCTAATTGTTTTTCCTTTCTGCACATTAAATTGAATTATAATATCTGAAAACTTCAAATCTATCAATACAAAGGAGCTAACATTAAATGATTTTTTCAAGGAACACATTAAATCAATATTTTCAAGGGAAGATGTCTAAAGCTCTAATTTTCAATCATGAATGTTAATATAATTTTGGATGGATTTAACATTTACATCCTCATTACTTATCATTCACTTGTATTTATGTTCCTCAACAATAGATTTTTCATATGAATTATTACATCTAAAATTTGATGATTTTTCAAATTTCAGAGAATTTGATTGTTTAGCTTTTAGAATACTATTAGTTGATTTTATTAAATCATCACATGCTATATCTTGTATTTTCATCAAATCATCATATGGTACCAAGGTTAGAGGATTTATAAAATCTAAAAAATATTCCTTATGAGCCAAAAAAAATCCATGTCTTTCAGTAAATATCTCATATATTTCAATCATTTTTGTCCTAACCTTTACAAATGTGGATATTTACTTGCATCCTTAAGTTACCATTTTATCTTTGCAAATTTCTAATATAACATATTGTCCTATGTTTCGCTTGATAGAAGAAAACAATTGTATATTTTGTCTTATTTTTTATCTTAGAATGTTTATCTTCATCCCATAAATAATTTCCTATGACTCTTTACTTAATATTAACTTCAATGTTATCATTAATTTGTTAAATTTCCTAATTGGAGTGAGTGATTATGAGTAAGCTAGATTTGATGAAATAAAAAAACACAGTCATTATTTTATTTATTGATAAGCAAACATGTAATTAGATGTCAATAGATTTACAAAAACAAATTAGAATTTGATGAATCAAATAAGTGATAAATTTTTTAATTAATTATCAAAAGATATACACAACAAGATAGTTAATTCTTCAAAACAATTTTTTTTGTTACTAAATGTATAAATATGAAAATCATGCTAATACATAAAATCAATTATACGTCAATAATACCCATCTCACTAGTAATTTTTGCGAAAATGTTATATTTGTTGAGATACGAATATAAGAACTAATTAATTATTAAAATAAATATATTATTAAATTATATAAATTAATTTATAGACTTCAATAAGTACCTAAGCAATGATATTCTAAATCATATAGTTCACTCATTTAGTTTTGATTTATGTAATATCAATCTGACCATTTATTATTCAACTAAGATATTTGATTATTCATTTATGGTTGTACTCATTTATGTAGATAATATTATATTAGCTTGACTGTCACCCTCGACTAACCATATCATGAAACATAATTAATTTAAACTTGAAGATTTTCATTTTTTTTGGCTTAAAGGATATATAACTCATAAATTTCATCCTTTTGTTGTGAACAATTGTGACTAACAAAAAATTACTTCAAAATCCTAGAACTTCCATAACGTTGGCTGCGAGACTAGTACTAGCATCTCCTTGTCTTCCTTAGTCCCTGCGACTATGAGCTCAATATCATCGCTTGCTAGATTTTCAAATGTTGACATGCAAAGATGGACCTTGCATTTGCTTCTTTTGATCATTGAAATTACTGGACTGTTTGTTCCTTATCAAATACTAGAATCACTAATTTTCCTCTGCAAACGAAAACAATCTTCTTTTTTAATTTGTGTCAATAATTAAAAGATATCTTACTACTCACTAATTGAATTTATTTTAAAATTGTATAAATTAAATTGGAACTTTCATAAGTATTTGAATAGTGGTATTCTAATTACCTTATTTAATGGTTTAGTTTTGAGTCATGTAATATAAATTAGTCATTTGTGATTGTACTTATTATATGTGGATATATGAACATGACTTTCACTTTAAGCTATCAATACCTTGAAGAATTTTTTACATTAATTTCAAGCTACAAATAATAATATATAATTTTAATTTATGATACTTAAATAGATACTCATATTTCTTCTATTCTAATATTACATAGATAAAAAAATATATAATGAGATTGATTGTCAGATTAGTCAAAAAAATAAATCAAGAGATTTGTCAAACATATCCTAATTTTATATCATTATCTTTAAATAGCTATTTTCACCAAACCTCTCCCAACTAATTGTTAATCTTCTCTATTCATTCATGATAATTACTTAAAATATTTATAACTCATCTTGAGTGAAAATTTTAGGATTTATAACACATGAAAAAAACACATGTAGAGAAATACATATGTCACAAATCTTATATATTGAACATAAGATTTCTCTTTTTAATTTCTCACTCTTGATGTTGTTGTCTCATTTTTGTTCCACTACAATAGTATATTAGTATATTAGCATATTTCTTAATTAAGTGGGAGTTACATTAGTTTCCAATTTAAGAGTTAGGGAAAACTTTATATTATACATAGAGAGAGTACAAAATAGTCAATTTTATGTATGTTCATTGTCATATAACTTTGACACCTACTGGTCAATGGCACCAGCAACACTTAGAGTATCTAGTTGACTAGTAGGCCTCTCTTCTCCCAAACATAATTTTGAAGGCTCACAGCTCATTAAGTACCTTGAGCCAAATGTAGGTAAGTAACCTCTCATGAAGCATTGTGTTAGACAAGCTAAACAATAGGAACCTTTCTCCTTTTAGTTCACTTGCCATTTAGCCTAAATTGATTTGGCTTAACATGCAGCTTAATCCAAAAATGTCGAAAAATGAGATCACATGTGTTGATAAAATAAAAGAAATAAATAAGTGTAAACATCTTTTCTCATTAAGTAGTAAATAAATAGAGATAATATAAAATGGTGCAAAGATGGGCCAAAGCACAATTAAAACCGTTCTCAAAGTGATCAAATTATGACACCTCATCTATTAAACATGGACTAATGCCCCCATCAAGAAGACAACTCTCACCCACCTCATCTAGTGGTTCATTTTCATTAGAATTATTAAATTAAGTGAAAAAAGACAAAGAAATAAATTACAGTTTCTAATTTTTTTAGTTATTTTTATATTTATGTCATATTTTTAGTCATATATATTTATGTGCCATTAGATGCGTAAACACATGTGCTCTAAAAAACCTCTCACCACTCTCTCATCAAGAACACAACTCTTTGTAATAATTCATCCTTCACTCAAGTACCTTAGGCCTTATAAAGAACAACTATTTAGTATTAATTATTATCCTCAATAATACATGTTAATTTCATGAGACAAATTGTCCAAATCACATGTTCATTTTCATAAAGATCTATTGATTTTCAAGTCAAATATGACTACAAGTATCTTATGTCTTTGTTGAATACATTTTCTCCTCATCACATAAATATTTTAGGGTCTGATGGAAAGTAATAGTTGTAATAAATAAGTTGATCATTTGTTGAATTGAGCTAATCAAGATGACTAAACTTTTCATTATTGATATGTATGATACAAAGAACTTGATGACGGTGTTAAATATATGCATTCATTGATATTTTGATCTAAAACTCTTCCCCTATATGTAATCTTTCATTTGTGTAATAGTTTGTATATTTAAAACTCTTCCCCTATTCAAAAGTTTGTTATTTTTTAAAACACATAGTAATGGGGTTTTAACTTTTTAAAATTTAGATCTCCTTAATTTTGTGGTCATTTGGATTCAAATTTAAATTAGAGCTTTCAAACTTGACAAAGAACAATTGGGTATTCACATTAGATCTAGATCATAAAGTTTATATCGACTTTTTTTAATGTAACCATTTGACATATCACCTATGATTTTCTTATTCATTCTTTATTTCTTACTTCTTTCATTCATTTCATAGAATAAAGAACCTATCTAATATCATAGAGAACTGATAACATTAGAACTATATAGTTAGATCCTCATATATAATATATATAAAATATTTTACTTTATCATATTTATGTGCCATCAATATTTATTTGATTGATAATTTTGTACCCTTATGTATTCAAAAGATAGAAAAATAACTTAATCTCAAGGATTAAAAAATAACATATGAAATTAATAATAAGATCGTAATCATTTTTAAAAATGATATAATTAAAATTTCTATTTATTAAATAATTTAAACATATAAATTATTATCAATATTATAATAAATTATCAGTAAATTTTCATTAGTATTATTAAAACTAAAGGAATCAAAAATTTTATTTTCCAAAAGAAAATAGGGTGAAAAGTTTTTGTTCCAAGTAACACAAAATTAGTGGGCCGATGTTCATGAGCTTGAAATAGGGTTATAAGGATGAGATAGCCTAAAATTAAAATATATCATTATAGAATATATGAGAAGCACATCAAAGATTAGTAATATTATTTTTTAACTTTCAACATATTTTGAATTTATTTGATTGTGCTTTAAAAATGAATTTAACCTTTAAGTGCATATTGATCAATTTTAGACTCATTTAAATACCCCACTGTGTAACCCACCTCTTATTTTCTGTTAGTACAAGTTTGAACTTATTTTTATCTCTCTTTCTTTATTTGTGAACTAGAATACCTGCCTTGTGAATTGAAGAAAATATATTTCAATCATTATGGATCTAAAGATTATCTTCAATCAATGTTTTTGAATTTAAAGATTAATGATCCAAGTCGTGGATTAATGACCTAGTTTTTGAGTTGAAGATTCATGCCTTGTGGATTCAAGGCTTAAATCTTTTCCTCCACATATCATTCACTATGCCAAGTGGTATCATATCTTATGGATTCAACAATATTATTTTGATTCTTGTGGACTAAAAGATTCAATAATTTTATACCTTGTAGATTCCATACTTGATTTTCTCTTCTTTTGTTACATCACTCTTCCAACATCGGCATAAACACTGTGGGACGCTCTGACATCACTTAGCCATTTAAGTGGCTTCCAAAAGCTGACAATCAAAATATTTTAAAAGGGGAAAAATTTGCATGACGACGCTAGAGGTAGTTTGAGACATTAAATAAAGTAAACAGAATGATAATAATTGGTCGAGTGTCACCGTTGACTCGATTTAAGCCATCGGATGGAGCATCCAACTTGAGATTGGTTCAATACATTCTGTCATAACACTCCAGCGACTTTGTGGATAAATAATATTATCCTACTACTGACCACTACTAACACTAGATGCCACGTCATCGAATACTCTCCATCGTGACACAAACCCATTTATTTGCCTTGACTAACCAGGTCATGGCCATTATTCCGGGGTATATAATATACCTTCTGTGATCACAACGTCGTGATGCTCCCATGGAGTTGTTGAGGGACGCTGACGGCGGCCCTGGTCAACTCTTGAGCACCGGTCGGGACTACGTGACCGATTGGGACAACGTTCAGTTCTTGGCCCATTAAAGTCTTCGGGTTTACTATTGCCGTCACGTTATCGTTTGGTTCACCATCTTATGATAATACCGGCCGTGATTTTGATTTTAGATGAGCTGGTTTAGTCCGCGACGGTGGGAACTCGGTCGGGAGAATCCAACATTGGTAGGTAAGCTGGGGGCGTCGGCTAAAGTGAGTTGGCGACGGTGTCGAAGGCTGCTCGAGCGGGATCAGTTGACTTTCGAAGTCTTTCTAGGGACGAACGGGACATTGGTCGAGACCGAGCAGATTCAAGAACCGCCGTCCCACGTGGGCTCCTCCCTCACCCAGACGCCTTACGAACAGACGTGAAGTAAACATAAGAGTATACTTGAAAAGAAGAGGCTCAAAAGTCAACTTGACCCCTGTTCATGTCAGCCGCATATCAATCGTTACAAGAAATAAAAAACATGTATGAGAGATTGTACGACGATCAAATTCTATAAATTAGTCGCCTCTACACGAATTTATTAGCGAATTAGTACGACGAATTAAATCCAGAAGAACTCCCTCTTCGCCGCAGTGTTCATCTTTTCTCCCGCCCAACTCTCGGACTGTTTCGAAGAAGATCAGGCCAGTGACGCGCGAGACGCGGAGACCAGAGGTAATTCCTCGTTGTCGCCGGCACACCCAGCGTCGTGTCTCCAGCGCGCGTCGTTCATCACCGGCGAATCGACGCCGTCGCCGGGCACCTTCATCTCTGCAGCGTCGGCGAACTTCTGGAAGCTCTGCGGCGTACACCTTCTGAGCTTTCTCCCGCTCCGGCGGACCGCGAGCGCCAACGCAAATATTAGGACGACGGTCACAACACCGCCAGGCACGGCGACGGCAACGACTGGAACTTCACCGCCGGAACGATTTTCCCCGGCAGGAGAGAGCTGCCCAGGCCCCCTGCTCGGCCGCGGCGGAGGATTCGGTTTAGGCCCGGCCAGATTGCCGTAGAAGGAGCTCACCTTGAAGATCTCCAGCCCATTCAGAATGGCATCGTAGAACTCTGGTTTACTTGCAGTGGAAGGATGGAGTTCGAGCCAGAGATCCTGCTGCTCTGTCCCATGGCCAATAATAAACAATAAAATCCTGGTACACCGTGCTGCCGATGCCCCCGCTTCGAGTGATTACATCGAAATCCCCCACCGCCGTCTGGTTGTCGAGGTAGATGGAGAAGACCCTCTGGTTTACTTTGGTGATTGGGTATTGGATCTCACTGAAGTGCAGCCTCACGAGGTAGAGGAAGCCGGGATCGACTGCTAGTGCCCAGGTGAGATTGTAGTTGAGGTTGACTCTTGCATTGCCCCCCATGGAACGAGCAGTCTCGTAGACCTCCTTCGGCGCAAAGCAACTGGGGATCCTGGTATAGGTGATGGAGACATTCCCGTCCTTGGAGTAGGACACCCCAGAGGCAGCCCCGAAGATGTAATCCGAGTCGTCACTCCATGACATGTAGAGCTGGCCGTCCTGGGCAGGAGAGATGTGGTTGCCTCCGACGTTCAGCCGGTACATCGTCTGGAAGGCGGGAGTCTGGTGGTCGACTGAGAACGTCGCAGGCGTCCCAACGACGATGAGGAACTCAGGCCAGAAGATGTCGTTCATGGGGATTATCTCGATCCCGTTGATGAAGGCATAGGAGTTGGGGACGTCCGGCGAGGGGGAGAAGGTCAGGTCCAGGCGGCTGGTCAACGCGTTGACCGAGTACTCGAAGAAGAGGTAGTTGATATTCCGGGCCCGAGCGGTCTCTGCGGGGCTGAAGGAGAGTGAAGTTCCCGGGGGAGATCGTGACGGCGAAGCGTGCGTCGCCAGCGGCGTGGTTGCCGTAGTCGGAGGGGTAGAAGTGGAGGCGGATGAACTTCCGGTCGGGGGAGATGGGGAAGGAGTGGGTGAAACCGGAATTGAAGATCCGGGCGGTCATGTAGGGGACCTGCGGGACGGAGGAGCTCTGGAAGGCGGAAGCGGCGGCCAGGATGTTCTGACCTGAGGGGAGGAACGAGGACCCAGCGTCCCCCGCCCATACTCGATGGTCCAAATCGGGCTTCCCCCCCGAACCGCCGGAGTTGAGGAGGATCTATTCCCCGGCGAAGGAAGATGAGGCGTCGCCTCTAGTCTGACTGGTGTGGAGGAGGAAGACGAAGAGTAGAAGGATCGGAGCGGAGGGAGGAAAGAAACGGCGCCTCCCGACAGGGATGGGGGCCATCCCGAAGACTCGATGATAACGCAGGTGTACAGACCTCGGAAGATCTGAAGAGAGGAGACCACCCCCCACCTAGGCTCGCCGGATCAGCCGCGATAATCTAGGATTTCGTCGGGAGATCAAGACTCAGAAAACGCGAGAACAAAACCCGGATCGATCGCGCCGTGCAAGAAACTCCTTTTGACGGGAGAATGGTCTCCTCCGCCTTCGTTGAAACAAGACGGCAGCCCCCCTAGCTGGAGGTGGAGGAGATGGGATTCCGCGGCGTAAGAGGTTCCAAGTTTCTAACTGGCAGTCGAGGATTCCGATCAGACGAGAACCCCAGAGTCCCTTTCCACCGCCAGCTGAAAACCATAAGGCTTTTGGTCGATGATGGTGACGCCGACGCGGTTCCGGGTTCTGATTCCCGGGTTGGTGTCGGATCGGGCGATCCACGGAACACCATGCAGATGACATTTAGCCATTTACTTATTTACGGGGAATTAACGCACCGTATCTCATTTAAATTATGATAAGTTTTTTCCCTGGCAAAAAAAAAATTATTTTCTTGCGAACCCCACAACCTGTAAAAGCATAGTAGCCAGAGACAAAAAATCCCATTTTGTATTCAATATTTCGCGCCTGACTGGCTGGTTGGATCGAATTGGAAACTTCACGGCATGCATAAATTATTATAATATTTGAGAATATTTCTCCTGGCCAACGATATTTTTAAAAGTCAACGACGACAAGAGGGCTATTCTCAGGTCGAATATGAATTTTCCTCGAACTTATTTTTGTTTTTTAGTAGAAAAATAGGATATTAAAAATATTCATTTGCGCTATGTAGAAGTACAGACGCCGAAGTTCTTCTTCCTCAGAGACAGCATGAAGCTCAGTTCGTTGTGGGAAGTCCAGGGGACGCCGACCTTCTTCCTCAGAGATCGCAGGAAGCTAGATAAGCTCGTTGGTGCAAACAGAAGGTGCGACAGGGGATGTGGTGGCGCCGGCTTACCATCGGCCCGCCCATCCCAAAAGTCTCCACGTCATCAATGGCTATCCTAGTCCGCAGTTGGGTCTCCATCTGAGGCAATCAGACGTGCGATAGGGGAGAGCTGTCGACGCCATTAATGCCGTGGCTTCTTGAATGCATTTCCTTTTCAACAGATAAATTCTCTTCCGTTATTACAAACGATCACTGCGGAGAGTAGTCGGAGGAGAAGCGAAAGGCCAATCGACGGAGCTTCAACTTGTCGCGTACTAATGAGGGGTGAGGCACTTCAGAGCAAGGCTAGGTGGGGGTACAGGCTACAGAGATAAGATTACAGAGAATTCTGCTCAGGGAGTTATGGGGAGGGCGGCGGCACGTCGGAGAGCCTCAGCGGCCTTTGGGGTCCAGGATCTGGGAGAACACGCCGCTCGAGGTGAGCCCCTCTGAGGAGTCGCTGATGATGCTGCGATCGCCCATGCTGAATGTCGAGATAGAGGTGACTCCGGTGCTGCGCGAGTCCGTAGATGGGTCGGAGGATTGGGGGGTTTCCCCCACCAATAGCGGTGCAACGTCGTCGCCGCTGCCGCTGACCCCGCTGAAGAGCCCCCCCTCATCCGCGCTCTCCTGGAGCTGCAGAGCGAACTCCAGGTTCCACAGCACGTCGCCCACGGAGGGGCGATCCACGCCGCGGTCGGCCAAGCAATTCTCCGCCGTCTCGGCGAACTTCTTGAAGCACTGCGGCGCGATCTTGCCGCTGAGGTAGGGGTCGATGATCTGATCGAGCACGCCCTTCTTCTGGCAGCGGAGAGCCCACTCCGCCAGGCTCACCTGCTCCTTGGGCAGCCGCGGGTCCAAAACCGGCCGGGCACAGAGCACCTCGAACAGGACCACGCCGAAGGAGTAGACGTCGGATTTCTCCGTGAGCACCTGCCGCCGGAAGTACTCGGGGTCCAGGTAGCCGAAGCTGCCCTTCACGACTGTGCTGACGTGGGTGCGATCCAGCGTCGGCCCCGTCTTGGAGAGGCCGAAGTCAGAGACCTTGGCGACCCATTTCTCGTCCAGCAGGATGTTGGTGGTCTTCACGTCGCGGTGGATGATGGTGTGCTTGGCTCCGGTGTGAAGGTAATGGAGGCCGCGGGCAGCGCCGATGCAGATGTCCAGCCTCTGCTTCCAGGAGAGCGGCGGGTTCTGGGTCTTGTAGAGGTGCTCTCTCAGGGTGCCGTGAGCCATGTAATCGTAGACCAGGATCATCTCCCTGTTCTCCTCGCAGTAGCCGATGAGGGAGACGAGGTGGCGGTGACGGAGCTTGGACAGCAACTCGATCTCGGTTTGGAACTCACGTATACCCTGCTCCGCCATGGGATTGGCACGTTTGATGGCCACTTCCGTCGACCCGCCGTCGATCTGGCCCCTGTAGACTTTGCCGAACCCGCCGACCCCCAGGATGAGGCTCTCGTGGAAGCCATTAGTGGCGGCCTCGATTTCTGCAAATGAGAAGTGACGGCATAGGTTGGCGGGCAGAGAAGCAGAGCTCCGCGAGGCGCTCGTCTTGATAGAGACGGAGGATTTCTTGACGTAGAGAGAGAGGGGGAGCCAGCCGGAGGACCCCTTGCTGGTGCTCGTCTCTTCCTTCTGCGGGACGAGCTTCTTCTTTTTGCGCCTCATCGTGAATACCACCGCGCCCACAAGCAGCAGAACCGCAAGACCGCCGCCCACGGCACCTCCAATGGCTGCAACGTTACTCTTAGAACTCCCCCCCTCCACCTTGGGAAGAGGAGCCCCGCCTCCGCCGTCCGAATTCGGCGGAAGCATGGGAACTCGATTAGGCCCAGCCAGAATGCCGTTGTCTGAACTCAGCTTGAAGATCTCCAGCCCATTCAGGATGGCGTCGTTGTACGTTGGTCCAAATACCGTGTAAGGGTGGAGCTCGAGCCAGAGATCACGCTGCTCCGTTCCGTCGGCAACCGGCACGACGAAATCCTTGAAGATCGCATTGCCGACGCCCTTGCTTAGAACGATCACATCGAAATCCGGCGCCGCCGTCTGCTTATCGAGGTAGATGGTGAAGACCCTCTCGTTTTGCCTCGTGATCCTGGCGTCGATCTCGCAGAAGTGCAGCCTCACGAGGTAGTAGAAGCCCGGATCGACTGAAAATGTCCAGGTGAGATTGTAGCCGAGGTTGAGTTTTGCATCGCCGCCCATTATTCGGGCAGTCTCGTAGACCAGCTGCGGCGCCATGTAATTGGGCACGCCAGCGTAACTGAACGTCAAGTTGGTGCTCTTGGGGAACTCCACCCCGCCCTTCGCGCCAAATATGTAATTTTCGTCGGTCTCCCATGTCCTGAAGAGCTGGGCGTCCTTGGGGGGGGGGACGCGGCTCCCGCCGGCGTTCAGCCGGTACATCGTCTGGAAGGCAACATTCGGATCGACGGTGTATTGCGTGGACTTCCCGACAAGCAATGAACTCTCAGAACCGAGGATGTCCGGGGTTGACAAGATCTCGATGCCGTTGACGAAGGCGTAGGAATTGGGGACGTCCGGCGAGGGGGAGAAGGTCAGGTTCAGAAAACCGCCTGTCGTGACGTTGATCGAGTACTCCCAGAAGAAATAGTCGACACTAAGCGCCTGGGCGGTCTGGGAGGCGCTGAAGTTTCTCAGGAGAGTGACGTTCCCGGGGAAGACGACGACGGCGAAGCGGGAGTCGCCGGCGGTGTGGTTGCCGTAGTTGGTAGGGTAGAAATGGAGGCGGACGAACTTCCGGCCGGGGGAGATGGGGAAGAAGTAGGTGGAATCGGAGGCGAAGATCCGGGCGGTCATGTAGGGTACCTGCGGGACAGAGGAGGCTTGGGTGGCGGCGCCGGCAGCCAGGGTGTTCTGGCTCCGGGAGAAGTTTGAGCTGTCGTCCCCCGTCCAGGTGCGGCGGTCCGTGTCGAATTTCTGGCCGGAGTCGCCGCAATTGACGACGTAGTCCCCTTCGGCAGCTGTCGATTTGTCGGCGACCGAGAGGAAGAGGGCAGTGACGACGGCGAACATAAGGCAGGCACTGAAGGGGAAACCCATGACGGCGCGATGACGAGGGGGAAAGCCGCCTCGCCTTCCCTGGTGGGATCCTGAATGAAACATCAGGAATCGTCTCCTTCCTCTTCTTCTTCTTCTTCTCTCCCTACCCTTTCCCTTTCCCTTCGAAACACGAACCCCTGCGGATATCAGATACGGCAGCGCAAAATTAGCATAGAAAGGTCATATTTTCCTGCTCGGAATCAAATTATCTACCTCAAGGAATCGAGCCGAGGACGGGAGAAGTTTCCATCGGAGGATAGGAACGGCGACTCTCCTGCGCCTGCGCAACAAAAATCGCGTCGCCGCCGAGACGAGCTGAAGAAAACCCAGGTGTGATGTCGGTTTACCCTTCTCGCCGTGCCAGAAGGTGAAGGGAAACCCACCCTAGTGGGCCCAACGACGCCCACCGGATTTCCAGGAGGGTGTATGGAGCCCACGGGACGACCGCGTCAGAAAGAACGGCGGCCGTTGACTTCACTCCGCGAGATGAGGCTAGGTCTTTTCGGATGAGGTGGGGAGGATTATTTTTTCTCCCGTCGTGCAGCTCTCTCTCTCTCTCTCTCTCTCTCTCTCTCTCTCTCTACCCAAGCCTGGGCCACAGCGGCAGTTAGATGAAATTGAACTCATTAGCAGGGGCAAACAAGCCGACTGTCATACAGAAGAAAAGCGGGGGGGGTGCGGCTCAAAGACCGATGATGATCATGGCAGAGGGGAAGGAGGTCGTCGCAGAAGAGGCGGGTGGGGCTACCTTCTCTCGTCCGACTTGATGGGAACTCCCTTGTACATGCGAACGCGATCTCTAAGGGCGTCCCGCCGGGGCCTGGCGACCCTGTTGTTGGGGTCGAAGAGCAGCGCCTCCTCGAAGGCCTTGAGGGCGGCGTTCAGGTCCTTACTCTTCTCGTAGGCGTCCCCCAGGTTGTTCCAGGCCGTCACGTATCCCGGCTGCAGCTTGACCGCGTTCTCAAACTGCGCGATCCCCTTGTCGAGCTTGTTGTCGCGCACATAGCTGACTCCCAGCGCGTTATATACCTGTGGAATATCTTGGTTTAATCTTTAATAACACCAAAAGTCCGAGCTTGCTTTGATTGATGCGCAGGCGGATGAGAAACTAAGAAATGGAGACCTGGGCTAGATCCTGGTCATCTCCGTCCCACTTTTCGATGGCCTGCTGCAAATATTTTATGGCCGCCGGGTAGAATTTCCGCCGCAGCATCACTGCACCGAGCTCAAAGTACTCCGTAGCTGAAGCATCACCGCTTCGAACTTGCTCCTGCGAAGGTCATGGAGTTCAACGAGTGATGAATGTAGAGAGCGACAGGCAGACAGCGAGGGAGAGAGAGAGAGAGAGAGAGAGAGATGGAACTAGCTTTACTTTCTATTGTCTGAAACACAATGGACGAAGAAAAAGGATGATAAGCCACTCTGCGGATACAGGAAGTGAATGTAAAATATGAAGTCAAAGTATGTCCTCTCTAATTCCTTTTTATTTTCTCTCCAAAGCACAGTCAACAGGCCATGGCTGCTGAGCTTTTCTGAAGGCAAGGTAGACTACATAGAACTAAGGTGAGCCAGGATTTTTTTTTCCCCCACCATTTTTCTTAAAAACTAAGAACCTTCTTAACATGTTCACTGATTCTCAGGCAAGGATTCCCATGATAGTATAGTTAAATACCCACTAATAGGAATAATATGTGAGTATTATCATGCACTGTTTGGTTCAGCATGTTTGACCTATGGAAACGGCATGAAAGGGAGAGAGAGGGGAGAGATAGAGAACAAATATAAGATATAGCTTACTTGAAGCTCCTTTGCAGAAAGGTCAAGCTCACGACGAACAAGGACCTGGCGAATGACAAAGAATGATCCAACGCCGAGCAAGCCCAGCAGAATAAGGAGGTAGGAAAGCTGTATTCCCAATTCAAAAAGCTCCCCGATTTCATAAACCATATCCACTCTCATTTGTTCATCTGCTTGAGCTTCTAGAGGGAAGCAAAGAGATGGCATGATTCCACAAGACAGAGCAGATAGCTGCAGCAATGACTTGTCATTTTTGAGATGGAGGAAGTTCTGCAGAAGCACTGAAATAAGTTTGTCACGGTCAGGGGGTTTTCACTAGCGACCGTGACATTACAAAAGGTAAACTACCAGAGAGACCAACGAAGATTGAAATTTTACATTGGATTGGAAAATAAAATAAAAAAATCTCAAAGTTATGGTTTTTAGGAGGATAGTTCCAATTTTTACGACAGAAAATTGCTTGAAAGTATAATCACACCCATAAAATAAATTTCAAAACTAATGAAACACATTGGCTTGCCTTCACATTCGTATGGTAGTTGATCAATTGGATCCATCAGCAAGCATTTTAGTGTACATGCAGCATAATCATTAGGGGGGATGGTACTGCAGATTCTAGATGGTAGTAAGCCGTCAAGAGTCTCTTTAAATATATAAAAAGACTCTTAATTGATTGGACCTAAATCTTCTTATAAATTCAGAAAGTTGATGTGGATGCCTTAAAGTAAGCTTTCTATATCGATGTGCAAATCAGCGCAAACGTACCATGTTTCATGCCAACACAAATACCCTACTGATGTAGCCCAGAAACTACTGTCAAATGAGGAATAGAAGGTTTTTGACTTAGGTGGAGGAACTAATAGGATCTGCATTGAAAAGGCTAAAAAGTAATAGAATCAAGTGTAATGAAATTTTTAGACCAACTCAAGTGAATCAGAGACTCGAGACGTGAAGACTATCTTTTTTGCTCAAATTCAACTTCAAATGACCCACTAAGAGATTTGGTCACATATTTAGTGAGCCTAAATCTTACAATTTGCATATCTTATTCATGTAAAATAATCCCCCTATTATGTTTAAGGGGTTTCTATTTCTTAGGGGCCTTCTAACATAATCCTTCGTTTTCATAGGAAGGTTTAATCTATTTTCTTCTCCTTATTTTTTAGAATCATTTTCCCCTTTATAGGTTAGTTATAACTAATTTTCTGCCTATAAATAGGGCTCCCCTTGTAGCCCCAATGAGACACGTTTTTATCAATCAATTTCGAGTTTCCTTCTTTTTTAGAGGTTCTCCCCTTTTACTGGTGAATTCTAGTATCCCTGTGAACTCAGGGAACCATTTTCGATCTTGTGGACTCAAAGGGCAAAACCTCTTCATTTTGTTGATTCAGGGCAAAGAGTTTTTCAACCAAGACACGTTCCTTTTAAATTCAAGGTCGTGATTTTGCTTTCAGAATACACAGCCAAAGTTGAAACGTGATCAAGTTATCAATTCTTCAAATTTTTGCTGCATCACTAGACAAAATATGATTCCCTTTTCCATCATTAAAACAAGTAGAAGCCATCATAGAAGAAATGCCCCTCTCAAAGTACCGCTGGGAATTTTTTTGACCCTCCTAGAAATGCAACACCTAATAAATCCTTGGGCATATTGAATTTATATTTTCCTCCTAACAACTGCATCATTTTTATATAGGCTGTGGAAGAGTTGTTGACAACTGGCTTAATGCAATCCTTTCTTCCTCATTCCTATCCATGAATTAAAATGTACGAGTCCCATAGTGCGATGTAGGCTGAGCTGAAACACGGAGAATCCAATAGGTACATACATTTTTTGGGAACTAATAGAATTGGGGAGCAATGCCGATCATGAAATCCTGCAGATAAAGAGTGTACCTTCTTTTGGTCTTGAGACTAACTTCTTCACCTCTGCATCACCTTCCAGCATCTGCCTTCCTCCACAAGAAACAAATATTCAGCCACAGATTATCGCACTTTACTAAAATGATAAGAAGGGAAATAACTAATTTATAGCAGATCCGTATTATAATACATTTTTCAGTTTATTTACACGTAACGTAGCATTTCTATAGCAAGGCCTAACAGAAAAATATAGCGAGGGAAATAAAAGAAATAAAAAATGACAAATTCAGCAGAAATGATGTATAGTTCGATATGATTCATTCTTCCAAAAAAGTGGCCTACGCTGACTTTCTCTTTCATTTGAACAAAAAGTTCTAAAAATATTGCACAGAAGACTTCAACCTACCTGATTTAGAGAAAATAAAGCGACAATGCCAAAGCACTAGCTGATTCTGTATCCTTTGACTACAATTTTCAATATGCAACATCGTGCCAATGAAGTAACGAAAATTTGAGAGAAAAGGGTTGCCAAGTCTCTATCTCACTTTAATAAACTGCACATAGTATCTAAGGTCAGCACTTCACCTCCGTCTTCTCCTCGTAATAAGCTGTATGCGTATTTTAAGGGAAGCTGCATAGTTAGGCTTCACCGGTTCCAACTAAAATGCTGCAACTTTTTATTGATAAAAAAATGAATCGTGCTACACAAAATTCGGATGAACTAGAGATCTGTCCAACCTTTTTAATAAATATGTATACACAAAACTACGAAACATTAAGAGGCAAGAGACCATAAATTTATGTTGCGAGAATTTCACCCCCAACTTGTCAGCATCATATTAGAAGCATTACCGATTGAAAGTAACATTTAGTAATATTCGCTCATTATTCAAAATGATGAATAAATCGTGGAACGAACAGCATCCTCTACTTCCACTGAAATATCGGAATACAGTGAGCGCACGCACATCTTATGCTGATTATGAAGATACGAAACGAAAACGTAATTAGACTGGCGTCGGCAAACCAGGAACCAGAGAGGAAATTATGTTGAAACTTACAGAAGGCCGGATTTTCAAAAACGCTCGAGAATTCAGCTTCCTTCCGGGAGAATGGATGCATATGATACCCCTCCTCACGTTGTCCGGGAAGAAGAGGGGGTTTCCCCTGACCAGCGCAGGAGACGGACAGAGTGTGGAGACCCTGTTGGGAACGGCATGCCAGAACATCTTGCCTGGGAACTCACAGGTCCCGAGTGCTGCCCCAACCGTGCCCTCGACGATTGCCAAGCCTTTCAATGGCGCAAGGTGAACGCTCCGCCGAGATGCACCCCGTTCTCCGCGGGGGAAGCTACCCGCAAGCGCCGGGAGGCGATGGGTTTATCCTATCAGTATGAGAATGGCAGAATCACACCGAGGCCTTCTTGTGGTTGGATTCAATCAGGTCCAGCGGTTCCATCCTGTACCGAATCCGAATCCGCGACCCGATTCCTGATTTCTCACTCCTTGTAAGTATTTTAGTTAAAAGTTGATTTTTTAAAATCAGTAGTCAATTTAAATACTTAAACTTTCCATTACGGAATATTTAACTAATAAACTTCGTCCAATAAAAAAGGTATATATTTTACTTTAGAAGTTGATTTTCTTAAACCTGTTGATATTTAAAAACTTACGGAATATTGAATTAATAATCACCATATCCAATAAAATGGGTAGATATTTTTATTTTAGAAGTGCAATATTTAAATCAGTCGTCATTTTAAAACTTCGTTTCCCATTAGGGAATATTGAACTAATAAACACCACATCCAATAAAAAGGGTAGATATTCTTACTATATGCGTCAACTTTTGAAATTATTAGTCATTTAAAAAACCTTAATATGCAATTATGGAATATTTAAACAGTAAACATCATGTCCAATAAAAAGGATATATATTTTTTGTTCTAAAATCCTATTTTTTAAAACTGCGCGTTATTTAAGGGCCTAAAATTGCCCTTATGGAATATTTAACTAATAAACGCCGTGTTGAATAAAAAAGATCCATATTTATATTTTTAGAAGTTTATTTTTTAAATCACTCGTCATTGAAAAACTTAAATTTTCCATTACGGAATATTGAAGCAATAAACACCACGTTCAATCAAAAGGGTAGATATATTTTATTTTTGAAGTCGAATATTTAATTTCCCATTACGAAATATCAAACCAATAAACACTATGTTCAATAAAAAAGGTAGATATTTTTATTTTTAGAATTCAAAATAACGAAATACTTTAACTAATAAATACCGCATGGAATAAAAAATCTATTTTTTAAATCAGTCATAATTTTAAAATGTAATTTTCCATTTAGGAGATATTTAAATAATGAAAACCGTGTCCAATAAAATATAAAGAGTGGGTATCTCACCATCAAGGTCTATTAGGCGGTCCCTTACCTCGTCCTCCGTTGCCACGTTGCAATCTCGCCGACAATGGCTCTCGCTTTCGGACGGGCACACCGGCCATCGGGTTCCGAACGACGCACGCGGCGCAGTCGGCAGGCAGACCGTCGAAAGCCTTCCACTTGCCCCCTCCCCCCCGATGGAGATCAATAATGAGACGGAGGAAGAGAAGAGGCTGCGGCGGCGGGGAGCGGGTGTGCAGAGTTCTCTCGCCGGTGCGGCCGCTGTGGTACGCTGCGGCCCACCGCTGCTTTCGCTGGAGCTGCATCCCGTGCAGGTCTCGTTACATATGGTAGCAGAATTTCCTTGCGATGGCGATGCGTAAATGGAGGTATCGAGCCTTTAAATCCCTGCTCATAGTCATCCACATACTTCAAAACCCAGAAGTTTTCACAGCTGGAAAGAGCTCCTGTGAAGGGGCTGTAAGTAGTAGCCGTTCAATGATCTCTGGGAGCCCCGTTTTTCTCCGCCGGGATGTCCAGAGTCCGGAGGTGGATGTGGAGTGTGGGACCCGCCGAGAGTTGCTATCGTGCTGCAGAGCCGGTGTGTAACTCCTCGCTCCCCGCGGTGGCACTGCCGCTGTCTCCGGCGGCGTTTACTGGAAGGGAGGGGGTGGGTCAGCAGCCCTTCGAAAGAGGGACTATCGAGCCACAGTAACGTCTACCCTGTCCGTGTCTTCAAGCCGAGCGGAGCTTCCGCTGTCGCGTTTGATCTCGGCCTTAACGCAACGTTTCCCCTCCGACGTCCCGTTGACCCCACAGCACAGTGGGGTTAAGAATAAACGTCAGGACTAAGAAATCCACAGAGAGGAGTAAGCGCCGGAGCAACCTCGAGAGGAAGCGCAGTCCGTCTCCTAACCTTGCGGGCTCTTGATGCACCATCTCAAGGACCCGCCATCCCTCCTTTTCCCTCCTTCCTCCCCGTTTCTTCTTCGCTCTGTCCGTTCCTTTTAGACGAGGTAAGGAGTCGCGCAGATAACGGCTTCTTGGCTTAGAAGCCAGGACGACCTTCTCATCACGGCACGGAGGTCGCAAGCTACGCATTCATGTCGTATTTAAGTTGACGAAGAGGAGAGGGCTGGTGTGAGACTCGGCGCCATGGCTGCTCCTCTCGGGTTTCGAACCACCGTCCTACTAACGACATCTCTCATGATTCTTCTTTGGGCTTTTCGAGTCCAGGGGTATTATAAGCTCTCCTCTGTAATATTTTCTCAGTGGAACCTCGTGCCTCTTCTGACCCATAATTTGCAGAGATGGAGCGGGCGAAGACGGGTGGGGGATGGTGGAGAGGAAGGGGAACACTTTCATGGTCGGCAACGAGCCGTTCTACATGAACGGGTTTAACACTTACTGGCTGATGATCCTCGCCGTCGATCAGTCCACTCGAGGGAAGGTCAGCGAGGTCCTCCGACAAGCTTCCTCAGTCGGCCTTACAGTTTGCCGGACCTGGGCTTTCAACGACGGCGGGTGGCGGGCGCTCCAGAAATCTCCCGGCGTCTACGACGAAGAGGTGTTCAAGGTAATAAAGAACTACGATAGTCGCTCTGTTCGTTCCTACGTTGTTGGAGTAGCTCTGAAGATCCCCAGAGTGTGTGTGAGAGAGAGGGTCCGCCGTAGCCGTCGGTATCTTCGCGCATGACGACAGACCGTCTTTGCTTCTCACAGGCTCTGGACTTCGTGGTCAGTGAAGCGAGGAAGCACAAGATCAGGTTCATACTCTCGCTCTGCAACAACTGGGAAGGGTACGGGGGGAAGACACAGTACGTGAGATGGGGGAGAGGGGCCGGACTCAATCTGACCTCCGACGACGACTTCTTCTCGGACCCCACTGTGAAGGGCTACTTCAGATCTCACGTCGAGGTGAGCATCTTTTTTTCTCCTAACGCGCCATTAGCGGCGAGCGAGTGCCGGAGAAGGCTCATCGTGATACGTGGATGCTCGCCTGCAGGCCGTGCTCAACAGGGTGAACACGGTCACCAACGTGACCTACAAGGAGGACCCGACCATCTTCGCCTGGGAGCTGATGAACGAGCCGCGGTGCCCGTCAGATCCCTCCGGCGACAAGCTGCAGAGCTGGATTCAGGAGATGGCCGCGCACGTCAAGTCCATCGACCCCCGCCATCTCCTGGAGATCGGATCGGAAGGGTTCTACGGCCCGTCGTCCCCAGATCGCCAGCGGCTCAACCCCAACTCCTTCGCCGGGCAAGCAGGCACCGACTTCCTCAGGAATCATAGGGCCTTGGGCATCGACTTCGCCTCCGCCCACATGTACCCCGACGCCTGGTGAGCTCTCCCTCCATCCGCCGGAGCCCCTCTGGGCGGCGCCACCACCGGAAGATTCTAAGTCTCCTTGTCGCCCCATGAAGGTTGCCCAGTACGTCCTCCGACGGGCAGCTCCAGTTCGCGGCGGCGTGGATGCAGGGCCACATAAACGATGCGGAGGAGCTGGGCATGCCCGTCGTCTTTGCTGAGTTCGGCGTCTCCGCCAATGGCGGCCAGTTGAACCAGTCCTTCCGGGACGCCTTCATCGAGGTCGTCTACGAGACGCTGCTCAACTCCACGCGCAGAGGGGGCTCTGGCGCCGGCTGTCTCCTCTGGCAGCTCTTCCCCGAGGGCGTGGACTACATGGACGACGGCTACGCGGTGGTTCTGCCTGAATCGCCCGCCACAGCGAGCGTGCTCTCCCGCCAGTCCTGGCGCCTGCAGACCTTCAACGCCAAGTGTTCCTGGAAATGCCGCTGGGTATGCAGGAAGAAGGACGAGAATCCCCCCGAACAGGAAGATGAACACTCACAACACACTTCGTGGGATCCCCTCGATGTGGAATCAGAGAGGAAGAGATAATACATCTCGTGTGTATCGACAGAATGTGAAATGAAAGATGGATCGAAAGATGGATTGGTATCGAAGATGTTATGAACATGAATGAGCATGATAGATTGTACGGCGCCGGAGTCCCATCATCAGGAAGGTAGGCTATCGGGATAAGCTCAGTCTGGAGAGAATGGACGCCGCCTGGTCACCACCCAGCAAAAAATAGGGATGCCTGAGTGCAGCGGCGGCCGTTAGCCGGCCTCGTCCGAGATTTCCTCTCTCCGAGATGAGTTTCGTGGCCAGATCCCAGCCTCTGCCGGAGTCAAGATCGAGTATGCTGAGATCTGGTCTGGACCTGGTGGATTCCCTCCATCTGCTCAAGTCGTATCCAAATGTCTTCAGCTCGGAGTTGAAGTTCTTCAGGCCTGCGGAGGATCGCAGGCTGGGAACCGCCATCTGCATTAGGATGATGCCGGCGGAGTACATATCGAAGAGGTCGGGGCTGTTGAGCTGCGTTCGGCCCGTCGATTGGTCTCAAATGCTTTTCCGAATCCGGCAAGAAGGAAATCATATTTTAAGAGTAGAACTATTAAGTTTTACCTGCCACAAAAAGGGAGAGAGGATCGCAGCGATGGGCTCGGCCGGAGGCTCTGGCGTTTCCTCCGGAAGAACATACAGTTCCGGGGGGCAGTAGTCGGGATCGAGCAGCCCGCGATCGGGCTCGTAGTTCTTGCCGATTCGAAGGTCGGTGGCCGCTCCGAAGTCGATCAACTTGATCTGCCCCTTTCTGGTCACCACCAGGTTTGCGGGCTTTATGTCGCGATGAACGATCCCCGTGTCGTGGATCTTTTTGAGCGAGGTGATGATCTGCCGCATGACCTGCTTGATGATCAGCGCGTTCCTCTTGATCGCGTCGGTCCCCTGGAGGACGCGCCCGAACATAATCGATTCTAGGTTTAGAGGGAAGCTCCGATCTCTGATATAATCGGCCAGATTTCGATTGCCCTAACACACAGCTATGAACTCGTGAATAGCGCGGCGAATGCGGAAATCACGAGGCAGATTGTTTTGGATTCCAAATATGAATTTGTATCAGAGCGGGGCCTCCCGTACCTCAAATTTCCAGACGAGCCATTTGCCTCCCTTAGTGAACTCCGAGACGGTCCTGTCGGCGATGAAGCTCCCCAGAAATTCGGCGCAGGATTCAGGAGCAGCTCTCGAGACCCTGTAGTTGAACCATTCCTCGAATTCCCCGCATTCCTCCGCCCCCTTTGTACCGACCTTGATCTGAAATTGTATCAGGTTTATCAGGTTCACATACGGGGATGGTGCTCAAGAAAACCCTAGGGCAACCCCACCGAACTCAGCGAAGAATCCGGAGCAACAGTTGCACATTCGTGCCGTTCGTGTGAGAGAGAGGAAGGCCCGATGGATCAGGAGAGCGTACCTTCTTCAGTATGACCTTCTCCTTGAACCTGTCGTCGACCTCGAGCCTGGTCCTCCTCTTCCCCACCCTCTCCTCGATGGTCACATCCTTGGGCACGATAGCCCCATAATAAACCACCCCAAAGGAGCCTTCCCCGAGCCTCTCCCCGAGGACAAAGTCGCTCATTCTCAGGTTCCTCCTCCCTAGAAGCCTGTCGAGACCTAGCTGCAGCGGAGCAAGAAGATAAGCATCGACGGCGCCGACGAGGACCCCCGGCCGCGCCGTCAGGTACACCCAGCTCAGCCCCACGAAAACCAGGACCTCCCACCTCTCTATCTCCGGCAAGCCAGCAACGATTCCCTGCAACTGGGAGAGCCCGTATGAGAAGAAGGAGAAGAGACCCTTCGAGTTCTCGAGCGACACGGACTTCAGCAACTCCTCCGGAATCCCCCCCGGAGCAGCGCTGCACCTCACGGGCTGCCTGGCGGCGCCGCTCCGTAGCCGGGCTGCGTGGGGCACGGCTCTCGGGGAGGAGATCCAAAGCGGTTGCCTAGCCTGCGGGACGGGAGCTGCCGCAGGAGATAGCAGGGAAGCCATTGGTTTGTGGCTCCAGCAAGGTTTCCTCCAGTTGGGGTGGGTTTGGCTAATGCTGGAGTAGGGGATGATCCCACCTTTTGTGCCACCTTGGGTCCTTCTTCTGCCGCGTGGCGCCTGCCTTCCCGTTCCCCTATCCTCCTCCATAACGGTAGCAAACGGATACTTCTTTTTAATGGAGGGGCCGTCAACGGTCGACATCAGTTGAGGACGACGACGGTGTTTCTTCTTCTTCCTCTCGTGGCCTCAGTTTCAGAAATATCTCGCGGCGGCCGCTGGGGAGAAGCAGAAGATAGTCGGAGTTCTCCTCGCTGTTCAGAGGAGAATCAGCGAGGTTTCCTCGGTCGGGTACGGAGGATCTCTATGCCTGCAGCCGCCGCCGCTGCTCCCTGCGATTTCATGCGTCGAACGATCTCTTTCAGCACACGACTGATCCTCCCATTTCTCGTGGTCGCAGGGATTTCTGTCTGAGCTGCTGGAAGAATCGAGATCGTTGGGAAAGGACTTGAGTAGCCTGTGGATGATGACAGCTGGCGAATACCTCCCCTGAAGTCGGAAACTCGAGGCGAATCCTAGAGTTGACGTTCTTTCCCGTCAATTCCGGTCAGCTCTGAAAATTCATCCTTCCAAGAGGACAGGAGGATGAAGACGACGAAGTCAGCAGAGGGGCTCAGGCTGGCTTAGCGGCCGACAGGGCGAGGCCTTTCGCGGAGCGTCCTCTGACAGAAAGAGAGTCTAGGAGGCGTGGCCGCCATGGACACGGACGCTTGAGCTCTGACCGCAGACTGGCAGAAGGTTCAACGGAAATGGAAGCGGAAGCCATGGGAATGAAGGAGCTGCAGCTTGGAGCTTACAATGGGGCCCTTTCTTCTCTCTCTCCGGCCAGGGTGGCCAGGGCAATCAGTAACCGAGCAGCCGCGAAGGCCGCCGCTGGTTCCTCTTGAAGGGCAGTTCACCCGCATACGATCGTCGCTCAGAATCTGCTGCAGGGCCGCTAATTTCCGATCTTCGAGGTGTTGCGGATCGTGTTGCCGGACGGATCAAACCAGTCGTCTCCACATGGAGAAGAACTCAAGGGGGAAGCAGAGGACCCCGAAGCGCCACTGCAGGCCGATCTCGGGGAGCGCTCCATTCGTCATCTGCAACAACTGCCTGCGGCTGCTCCAGCTTCCCCTGGACTTCGTGGTTGGAAAAGGGCGGCGGCGGAAGCTGAGATGCGGAGCTTGCCTGGAAGTCCTCTCCTTCTCGTCTATCGACGGGCTCCGTATTTCACCGCTGAATGTCTCCCAGTCAGATTTTCTTCCTGCCGTGGCCGCCGGAGCCCAGAGAACCTCCATGGAAGTGGGCCACGGTAAGGAAATGAAGGGTTATTCTCTTCACGAGCTCATGGGGTACGCCTCAGCCCATGACCTGGTTTACCATCTACCCCATGATGAAGACTAAAGGAGAAGTACCGACGGTAGACAGGTCTGCTTCAGTCACTGCCGCCGCTTTATCCTCCGTAGAACAAAGAGAGCCACACAGCGCAGTGGTAGATGGAGCAATTACTTCCTACATCTGTATACGTCTTCTGTGGTTCTACATATTGATGAGTATGGTGTATATGATAAATAAGTACATGATGGGGAACATCTATATATCTGTGACTTTCTCAAATGGTGGTGGCCTTCTCACCCTCCGATTGGAAGCAATGGTGATCCTCTGGTCCTGAAGCATGTTCAGGGTAGGAGCCAGCAGGCGAGTGTAACGGTCGAAATATAGAAGCTGCTTCATTAAAAGGGCAAACTCCCGGGGAAATCTCAGCCCATAGGATTCACTCACCCTCACCTGCAAAGCACAGCATCATGAACACATCAAGTGGTTCCGAAAATGGTTAAGGAAAAAATAATAAACTGGGAAGGTATTTCACCACATACCACATCCAAGAACAAAGCATTCATCTGCCTTTCATCTATAATCACATTCGCGGAAACAGCGGCTGCATTGGGTCCTCTTGCAGTGGCCACAATTATTTCTGTGTCCAAGTCCTGCTCAGCAGGAAGACGGAACTTAGGTTGGATATTTTAAACAATTTCATTAGTGCAAATATAACTCGAATTTTGAACAGATACAGAATCCGCTTTCAAGTGTTTACAGGAATAATGATTCCTAGTTTAGTTCTTTGAAGCAAATATGGATAAGTGTACAATATGGGTAGTTAAAAGAGAACAATTTGGATAAATGATGTACGAATCAGAGTTGAAGTCTGAAGAAACATGTAGGTTATGGCATTTACTCAATGCCAACAAGGTGAGTAAAAACGCTTTCCCATTTGCTGACATAAGTAGTAAGATTCACAGGAGGTACCTTGATTGAAGAGAATATTTTTTCCAAGTCTTTCGCGAAGGCCTTGACATCTACGCTCTTCTCTGTAGCACCCATGTCGATCAAGGCAACGGCCATTGCGTCGTACTGCTCACTGGAAAATGATGCCAAGAATGTTTCCATTGCAGCCCATGTTTTTGGGGAAATACGTCCTACTATTCCTGTATAGACCGATCTTTTGTAGTAAGTTCATCATGAATATCATCACCTTCTCAAATCGCAAAAAAAAAAGAAAAAAAGAAAAAACAAAAAAAAGGGCAACCTAATAATAATAACCAGTGCCGAAAGTTTGTGAGATCAGCCGGACAGAACGAAGAATATGACATTGTTTTGTCAATGTTCAGTGCGATCTCTTGTTTCTATAAACGAGGAAAAGATAGTTGACCCTAGCAATGTGGCCATACGCTAGGGAAGAAAATAGCCAGTCAATAAATTCATGTATTCCACGTAAAGGGGTACAAGGGCCTGAAACCAACAACCTTTATTTCTGAACAAACTTGGTAAACTCAGAATATCACTGAAAGCCGCTGAATACCATTGAACGCAGGACTCTACAACGTCCAAATTTCATTTTTACAACTTCAATGTGAAATGTCTATTTTAATCTCATAAAAGGATGATGACTGGTGTAAAAGCAATAACTAGAAATGGATATCAATGATCGAGAGTACGTACCAAAATCCAGGAACCCAATTCTGCCGTCACGAAGTAGCCACAAGTTTCCAGCATGTACATCTGCATGAAATGTTTCACATGCAAGCAAGCTTCCAAACCTACATAAGCAGATTGCAATTTAGTATCACATATTACAAAAGTATGACGAACTAACATTACAAGGAACTGGTGGTGTTAGCAGCTTAACGAGACAATAATATAACGGACAAATATTTCACATTGATTATGATAGAATAAGAAGTTAGGCTTCCAAAAGACCTACCAGACATTGAGTGCAGTCACTAAGCTCATCTCTGGGTCAGATGTAAAGGATTTTATCGAATTAAGATCAGTGAGAGGAACTCCGTAAAGCCTCTCCATTGTTAATACCCGTTTAGTGCTACAGCTCCAGTAGACTTTAGGAGCTGCAGCTTGTCTTGTGAGTCCAACATTCTCGAGATACCTCCGAAAGGCATCAATATTTGCAGCCTCCTTTTGAAAATCAACTTCTTCAAGCATTGATTCCTTTATATCTTTTATGATGCCTACCTATTGGACCACAACATAGAAACCGTAGATGTTGTAAGCAACTGGTAAATAATAGGGATGGTCACAATGGAGAGATGAAGTCCAAGAACTAGTGATTAAACACAAGGGAAACAATATTAAAGAGCAATGGAAGGGATTGAGGATGTCCCAATGCATATACTTCCAGATATGGAAGAAGGCACAATGAGTAGACATAGTTATCAACGAGAATCCATAAAGGAGAAATGAAAATAGAGCATAAAATCACAGTGCCTATCCGTCAAATGAGATTAAAAAAAATTCGAGCACAGGTAATTTTGTGATAGAATAAATCTTCTTCATTTTAACATAAATGTAGACGTACAACAATGACGAAAACTTAGATGAAGAAAAACATACAATTGGCAAACCAACTGTGGTGAAGACTCCATAAATGGTGGAAGAAAACAATTAGGCTTTATCAGGTGTATGATATGAATCTGGTTGAATTTGGGAAAGTTGGCAGAAAGATTCTGGCTCTCAAACGCAGAAATTACATCTGTTGAACGTATTAGTATACACCAATATGAAGAACATAAAAAACAGATCAGAAAACCAGTAATTGTAAGAAAATAGCCCAAATCTTCAGGGTCACAGTACCATTCATAGGTGATTCTGTAGGCGGGCAGAAAAGCCAGAAATATGCATGCACATGCTGAGTTATTCCTCAACTATGTCTACCTGATACGAATATTTTTTTTGTCACTATTCATGGAAAGACGTAATGGGTTGCTAGCTGAACATTTGATGATGTATCCAAAGTATCCAAACAAAACGAAGATAAAGAAGAGTCAATTAGTCCCATACCAGTGAAGTCCGACGAAGCTCAGGATTTAAGAACTCCAGGATGCGTGCAACAACATAAATAAAGTTCAAATCTGCAACCAGTACATCCTCTATACCGGGCTTCAGAATCTTTATCACCACATCTTCTTTTGAACCTTTTAGCCTTGCAGCATGAACCTGCAACAGGGAGCTAAAGGATCCTGCTTTAATCATCCTTTCAATCAATCAATATCTTCGCCAAAAAAAATTATTTGCACAAACCTGAGCAATTGACGCTGAGGCAATTGGCACTGGGTCTATATACTCATACACACTATCTAGCGGCTTCCCCAAATCTTCACGCAGAATAACCTCAATCTCCTTAAATGGAACAGCCGGAGCCCTATCAAAGCAGTTCTGAAATTCTTCAACATATTCCGCAGGGAATAAAGTTGGCGCAGATGCAATAAACTGCAAAATAGTGACCCGAGATGCCTAGTTCAACACCACAACCCATCAAAGTGAAAAGGGAAAAATGACAGGACGAAAAAACGAATCACGAGAAATAAAAAGTGGCCATACATTTGATGAATGTTCATAGAATAACAATATCCGAGTCAAACGAGCCCAAACGATACGTGAGAGAAATGACACCTATGGTGACCATGGTGACCATGGAGAGTGTTTTTTCCACTCTACCTGTCTGGATCTTCTTTGGAATTATCTAGGCACTACATTTGGTATGTTTATGACACGACCACTCCACCAATCCCCCTCCCATGTCATTCAAGAGACAAAGTTCCATTCTGCTTAGCACACATTCCCATCATATTATTCTTCCGCTTCCAGGTAAAATTGAATTTATGTGTGTCGAGATATTCAGAAGATCAACACCAAATACCACATTTCTATTGCAAATGAAACTGAATGTATCTCATGCCAAGTTAGATATTATCCATATAGATTTTGGCACAGTTCAGGTATCTCACAGTGAAGATCTAGACTTCGGCCAGAGGGCTGCAGCCGGTAAACATAATGTGAATTTCTAATAGCTTCATGATCCGATCTAGTACATTTGGTACAGAAAAAGATTAGTAAAGATGGGACTGAGTAAACAGAGGCTTATAAATGCAAGCGCCTATTGCAGAACGGAAAAAAGAAGAAGAAAAGGCATTATCTGTCTCAAATAACAAAAAAGTACAACATACTTGGCCTAACTTTATGTAGGTGGCTCCCATGCGTTCAAATAGCTTACGTAGATAAAGAGGGGAAATTAATCCGAATTGCATTTCATTGGGTAATGTGCTTGATGAATTGATCGTCTGCAAAATTAGAAAAATATTCAGTCTTTGCCCATCCGCTGGCTCAATGAATACGAGATTTCTGTCTCCAAGAGAAGATTAGATAATTAACCATACAAGACCCACCCGAACAAAGGTCCAAATGAATCATAGTTGTTGGTGGTCCGTAAATAAAAGATGAGGAAAAGAAGACTGAATCGTGACACATTTTAAAAAATATGTACGATAATTCGCACAATCAAATCAGGAATGCAAAGCCACACTGAGATGGATTTAACTGCATGTAGCCAAATTACAAAGACAAATCCATCAATGCTGATGTATCAAGCCTGAGAAAAAACCAAAATACTCGAAATAGTATTGACATACCAGATCAAGACAAGCATGAAGATAAAATAAAAGATAATACCAATACCTTTGAGACATCAGCTAACCATTCCCCACCAACACCTATGACGGCCTGAATCCCTTGGGCCAGCCTCAGCGCACCTCGAGGCCCTGTGTTGATTGATGTTTGAATGATGTCTTCCACGAGTTTTGGTAATTCACCAATTCTATCTAAAGCAACAAAACGAATTCGGTCAACTAAGAGAATATATCTTCTACAAGATTTCCTATGTTGTACAAAGAAAAAGAAAAAGAAATAAAAAGAAAGAAAAAAGATCAATGATTCTTCAATTCCTCTGTCTCTCTCCTAACATGACAGATTCAAGGTTAGCCGCTTTCATCTGCGAAAATATTTTGCACTACTAGTTGGAATGGGGAAGTTGGTTTACAATCTTATGCTAAAGCTTCCTTCCCCGACATGTCATTAAAACATAGAAATAAGTTATTAGAGAAATTTCCATTATTTAAGACATTTATGACATATGTGGGCGGGTATTTGCACGGAGGTCAATGAATCCGTACAAAGTACATGTTACTCAACACCACGAGTTCAACCGCAATGAAGATGATCAAGGTGAGTATGGTTGCGGGCGTCACTAGGTTTTAAGACTCCTTTGTACAGAACCTAATCAAATTTATATTTATCGAGTATTTAGGTCAAATATGAAGTAAATCATGCCACTATTCAACGTTTGGGTAGCGGTCTGGTATAATGTTTCACCTCATGTGATATTCAGCGACATATTTTTGGAATGTAAGGTGCGGTACAGTAATCGCATGTTAATACTTGATTTTTTTATAGCAAAATTCTTGGCAGTCACTCAAGGCAACATTAGAGATCATTAAAAAGCATGAGGAGACCAAGGTCTTTTTCGGGCACCATTTTCAATGGCTCACCTAAGTATCTCGGGACTATTTTGGTTGGTGACACCTTGAAGACTTGATGGCAAAATTTCAAATCACTTACCCTTTCTGATGACACCAACAGATAATACGAGGGAGATATGGAGTTCCAGAGTACATTCATACATGGAGTACCTTGAATGCGAGTGGAAAACTCCTCTGTCCGAGAATACCGAGCAAGTATGGATGATCTACTCGTTCGGCTTCTGATAATCCTCCTCGGGCAGACTGAATTCATTTTCAGCTATAATACGGAAGAAACGGTAAGTTTCCGGTAAAAACCAAAAATCGCCGCAGCAGCTGGAGGCTATTGCACAAGAGTGAACCCATTCCCCTACTCGGAGAGACATACACGCTCTATCGCTGGGCGTGAAAGAATGAATAAGAATAAACGAAACAAAATGAAAACACCGCGAACAGCACGATTTCACCTCGAGGCTCCGTCGAATTAAACAGACCAGTAAACAGTACGCTATAGGAAATGAAAGTTAGTGATGCTACTAGGAGATCCAACAGACCTGAGGGCGGTGTTGGACGAGGGTGATACGGGTGCAAGCCACCCCCCTCATCGCCGTCGCCGCCATTGTCGAGCCACTTCCTGGTTGCGCCGTCGACGACTGTGTCGACGCCGAGCTCGACAGACGCCTGAGGAGAACAAGTGCTATCGTACGACGAGGTGGCGTGTCTGGCGAACGATCAGCCGAAGGAAAAAAAAATCTCTCCTATGCGGCGTCCTTGCAGACCACGTTAACGCACGCCGACAGGGATAAAATCGAGCCGTTGTGCTGGTCCCACGTCAGCACGATGATTTCGTAAGCGTGCCCGAGAGAGGAGGGCCACTTCGGACGGCTTCGATGCCACGTAGAAGAAACCGCCCCCACCCACACCGTCCAACGACGATGGGAGCCCATAGAAAATTAAAGGGCAATTGACCGTCCGATGGCTTTCAGTCGGCGATTTTGGCCCGCATGATCATCACCTCTTATAGAACGAGTCCACTGTATGGTCTGCAAGTCACGCCGGATTTATCTCGAAATTAATCAATGCGCGGCTAATTAGTCGAGCCGAGTCGTACCATTTCGCATATTTATGGGAACTTTTTTAATTTTATTTATTTATTATTTATCTCGGTTATGCAGTTCATCAGCCGAGGCCCCTGACGAATAATGTTGGTAATTCATTCATAATTAAGTAAGTTACATAAAAAATCGTATTTTTAATGAATTACATAACCGGGAGATGTTTGGATCGTCGTTTCGGCGGTGTTTGGATCACAACGGCGTTAGTCAGGGGACTTTTTTTCCCGATAATACCCTCAGCCATTGTTATAAAGCCTGAAAGGTTCACGAACTGGGGGGTTTGAACCGCAGGCGCCTGAAATCCCAAGAAGCTCTTGGCAGACTACAGAAAACTCCGCATCCTCCCACCCAGCTTCCCTTTCTCTCCGGTTGATAATATGTCGTCCCGCTCGGATTGCGACACTCTAGCCACGGCATCATGGATTCCCCATCGCAAATTGGGGACGAGGTGGGGCGCTTTCTTTTTCTCAATGTTTTTCTTCCTCCCCGGGGATTTCCTCGCAGCATTCGATATGTATTTTTTTTCTGGAATCCAGCTGGGGAATTTGGAAGTTTTCATCGTGTTTCGACGAGTTAGACTAATGCCAGGTAAAAGTCGTACCTGTTTAATTCGTTTCATCTAAGCTATTATTCGACGGTGCCTTGAGCAACTGTTTAATCTGGAAGCTCTACGCAGCTTTTTCCTTGCGAACAAGATGGAATGTCTCTTCATTTTATTCCTTGCGAATTTACTCTGTCGTCGTTTCTCTCTCTCTCTCTCTCTTCTGTTAATGAAGATTACGCGCGAGGGATGAACTGTTTTGTATTGCATTCACCTGTTCGTACTAAACACTATTTCAGTTATCAACGAACTTAAGTTAAAACTTTGATCTGGGAGAGTTTCTCAATCCTTGATCTTTTTCTTTTTTCAGGTGACTTTAGAAGTTGATCACCTTCTTGAAGCAATGGGAAGGAAGAAATCCCGTCCTGTTAGATCAGGGGGGTTACTGCCCGGCATTATTTCCTCCAACGATAGTAGAGGAGAGCATAGTCGAGAGACCGACGCAAAAGTCGACGTTGTGGACGTCAAAAGTACTGATGGGAATGCATCGCCTAAACAATTTTTCGTTGATGTAGACAGCAGTCACTGGGAGTCTGATGAGCATCTTGACATCGCAGAAATTATTCTTAAAGACATTAAATTTGATGATGGCATTATAGATCACAGACTGATAGAGAATCGATGCGCGATATCTAATATATATTTGAGGTTCAAGTTACCTGACGAGGATCATGATAATTTTAGGTTGGGTTATTGGCCGGTTGTCTCTGCGGACTGTATCCATCTGGAATTTGTTGAAATCGAGAAACATGGCTCAGAGGATAAAAAAATACCTAAGATTCTTTTCTCAGGGACATTTGATGGCCCAGGGGAGAGTGTATCTGGGCTTGTTCAGCTAGTTACTATGAAATTTATGACTTTGAGACCCGTTTCTCCAATTACGATTTTGGGCGATGTCCCATCCATCAGGCTGAGAGTAGAGATGCTGAGAAACGCTTTTGAAGCTTGTGAATCATTGCTAGAGGTTGCTAGGAAGCCATGGCGGAAAAACATGATCAGTGTCATGTCGTGGTTGCGCCCTGAGGTTACGACTTCAGAGGCAAGGTATGGAACTGATCTATTGAAATATGATAGCGGTGATGCACAACCAGGAGCAGTTGGTGGTGTGGCTTCAGGACTACATTCCGAGTTTGATGCTGCTAGATTTTATGAGGCTATCAAGCCGTCCAAGTAAGTTTTGTATGCAACATTCGTATGCTATATCTTATTGATCAGATTTTGCTACACAATTTGTTTTCTCAATATAGGATCAAAACGAACAGTATCATAGCTTCCACAGGAACAAGGCATTTCATCTATAATATAGTGGGATCATTATGAAATGCAATGTCCGTTTATCTTTCTTTCTGGTAGATAACTTCAACTCTTTTTCATCTCTTGATGGGAAATTCGGTGGTAATTTACTGTTCTTCTGTTTAGAAGCATCTCGAAGTGCTTGATCAACGAAGTGTCTCTTTTTAACCTCCCAGTGCAACCTAAACTAGTCAACATAATTCGATCTCCTTTATTCCGTTATTCATCATTGTATCAGATTCAATTCGCCACAAGAATGTTAGCTTCTTTGAGAAGTCTGTGTTTTTTTTTTTCGCAAATGGGAATGCATGTGTCATATCTGCTGTCTAATCAAATGCGTGCCAATTGATGTGTTTGATATTTTATTTCTCAAATTTTTAGCCAGTTTTTGGTTCCTTCTTGACTGCTCATGCTTGGTAGCCAATTCGAATTATTTTCCATCTCTTGTAAGTCAACAAGGAAAGGTATTTGCTTATGCTTGTGCATATGCGAGGAGGTTTTTGCGTATTTATAACTGGATCCGAATACATCAATTTGTGTGTATATAAGAAATTTGCAAATTACACGCCAATATTAAGGTACCTTTTTTTTTGATGGATAATTACATTTAAATATATAAGAATACCCCTCCCATAAGTACTTAGGTTGATATTTTATGGACTGTACGATTATTGAGTCTTGATTCAACAAATTATTGAATGCTTTGGTTTGTTGTTTTGGATAATTTACTATACTGGGCTCCATGTAACCTTTTCACGGTTTCTTGTCCTGTGCAGCATTGCCACAGAATCTGACTTACTTTTCAGATTATTATTGATAATTATGAATGAAATCCTCATAATTATCACTCACTGTTTAATGATCCATATATTTCGCTTTATTAAAAAACGAAAGAAAAACCGACAATTATATGTAGCTGAGCACAGTGAAGAATTAAATAACAAGATTAACTTGGCCCTGAACCCTTTGGAGAAGTGGTATCATGATGGTGGAATATGGTTTGGACCACTGGATCAGTCGAGTTTGATCCAGTTCCTATCCAGGTTGTTCACTTTGGATAAAGATATCTAAGAGGGAAACTCTGTACACGTAATAAAAAGGAAAAAAAGTATTTATAATTCAAAAAAGGGGACTACATGCGTTGAGAGGTTAAATAAAGGTATTTTCTATAAATACAAGCTTTAAAGACCCTGTCTACCCACCACACTGGTCACTTTTCATGGGCGATCTGGGGAAAAGAGTGCACTAGTGTCTGGTGTTTGTTTGATGGCCTTTTTCTCTTAATTTGTTTTTACAAGTATTCACCACTACACGTTGGATCCGATCACCTAGTAATGATTCAAAGTACCATTGTAGAATGGGTTGAGAAACTATGATCCAGAGAAGGGTCAAAGTGTCTAATTCTCTCTTAAATGTCTGTTGTGCCTTTGGAAAGTTCTTGTGCTTTTTCCCATTTTAATAAATTTTTGTACTAAAGTTGTAGGTGTAGACATTTTGCCTAAATTGGCTTCAGGGTTATTGATCCAGTTCCGAGTCTGCATTATTTTCAGTTTGGCTTGATGCGGAATGGCTGGCTTAATTGCTTTCCATGTGTGCTGGAAATTTGAAAGTCCAAAACCTGACTCACATTTCAACTGAGAAGAGGGTGGGCAACCATGGCTAAGACCATTTTTTTAAGTCAGTTATAAACTCTAATGGTACAATCTTGACTTCAAAAATGCCATTCTAGAAACAAAATAATAATGCGGTTACCAATTGCTATCTATTCAACTCTGCAACAATATTCCATCAGTCTCCAATAAAGGTAATGCTATATTTTGGCATGCATAAGTATCATTATTGAGAAATGTATAATGATGAATCCTACAAATCAATATTCAAATGTGGTTTCTTGAATATTGAGCTTGGATCAGAGTTGACCATCAGCTGACCCCAGAAATGAAAGGAAAGAGAGAACCAGGTGCATAAGAAAAATAACAAGAAACAAAAAAAGGAGAAGCACTGACAAAAGAAAAAAAAGATGTAGGGAGGGATATCGTGGGAGAAAAAGAGTAGAAAAGAGGAAAGAATGATAAATGACCCATGTAATTTAAAGAGATTGGTTGGTTATCCTGTGTTATTGATCCTCAGCTGCGAGCTTTCATCTATTCAGGATACATTCCTATGATAGTGTTACAAACCTCTTAAGATTTGGGGCGAAATCTTTACCCTAATCTTACCTTAGAAGAGGCTCACTCAGGGAATCAGATCTATGTGTATAGAAGAACCAGATTGAACAATTGAAAATGAAATTGAAAAGACAATAGAGGTTCGCAGATAGTAGGGTGAGTTCTTGAGGTCAATTGATCTTTAGGAATAGGAGAGCCCCAATCGGACCTCTCTAGGGACAGATCTCCCCCTCTCACTCTTGTTTTCTCCCCCCTCTTATTTTGGCCTCTTCTATATTAGAGACCTCAGTTCATTATTCTGTTGTGGTCCCCCCTCCACATGGGGGTCTAGGTTGTCTTATGTAGACGATGGTTGGCTTCGTAACATTACTCCCCCCATGAGTTTCACCTTGTCCACAAGGTGAGATGTAGGAAATTGTCGCAGGAATGTTGACACTATCATCCATGATGATTCAAACTCTGGAAGATGTTTCCATGAAACTAAAATCTCTGTGTCTTGAGGGGTTGACTTGTGAGCTTTTATGCCATCTGGAATGAGTATCCATTCTTGTTCTTCTGATAGTGTTGGGGGAATCGGTTGGCTTATGTTGTTTGATCTTAGTGTCTTCCTAAGTTGGGATATATGGAACACCAGATGAACATTTGAATGATCGGGCAATTGGAGTTTATATGCCACTAGTCTAATTCTTTCCATAATAGGATACGGACCAAAATAGTGAGGGTTTAACTTCTCGTTTTCCTTTTTGGCCAGAGATTTCATCTTGTATGGTTTGATCTTGAGAAAGACCAAATCACCCACCTCTAATTCCACTTCTCGATGATGCTTATTTGTATTAAATTTCATCTTCACTTGTGCCTTGTGTAAGTTGAATTTCAAAATCTCAAGGATAGCATCTTGTTCTGTGAGTAGTTGATTGATGGCATCAAGTGGTGAAGGGAATGTTCCATATTTGATAAGTTTCGGTGGGTCCCTGCCATATACTGTTCGAAAAGGAGTCATTTTAATGGAAGAATGATAGGAAGTATTGTAACTATATTCTGCCCAATGAAGCCATAATTTCCATTGCTTTGGTTTATCAAATACCGCACATCCCAAGTAATTTTCCTAGCACTTGTCGACGACTTCAGTTTGTCCATCTGTTTGAGGGTGGTAAGAGGAACTGAATTTGAGTTCCATTCCCTGTAGTGTGTGTAGTTCATGCCAAAATGTACTTTGGAATATTCGTCCCTTATCGAAGATCACTGTCTTTGGAAACCCATGGAGCCTTACGATTTCTTTGATGAATAATTGAGCGACCTCCTTGGTTGAGAATGGATGATGTAGGGTAATGAAATGACTATACTTGTGCAATCTATCCGCTACTACTAATATGACATTCGACCCATGTGATTTAGGTAAGCCTTCAATTTGGGTAGGTATAGGCAGTGGTTGTAGAAGTCCCACTAGAGATAGTGAAGAAGATTTGTACTATAAGCAAGTAGGACAATTGTTGATATATGTCTTTATATCTCTCTTCATTCCTTGTTAATAGAATTATTGCGAAATTCTATGGTATGTCTTCTAAAATGACCCCCTATTGAGCTGTCATGAAAGAATTATAACACTCTGCTAATTAAAAGGGAATGTATTGACAGAACCAACCTTTCTCTATGTAGCAAGGATTTATCCTTCAAAGAATATAATTCATTTGTTGTATTTCCTTTAGATAAGGAAGTTTTAATCTCTGCAAGCTTAGTGTCTTGGTCCACTACTAGACGAACAGCTTCAAGATCAATGGCGTGATGTGCTATTGCCTCATTTAGTTCAGCTTGTAGTAATGATAGACATTGGGATAATACATCTGCAGCTTGATTGTTCTTCCTTTCTTTATATATAATTTTAAAACTATAGCCCATCGATTTCACCAACCATTTACGATATTCAGCATTTAATTTAAGAATTTAATTTCTTTATGTTCAAGTAAGAATTTAAGACTGTACTAGTCTATTTTGATGATAAAATGTTGACATATAAGATAATGCCTCCATTTCCTTACTATCAACACTATAGCCATCAACTCCCGTTCATAGGCCAATTTTAATTTGGCTCTTCTTGGAAGTGCTTGACTAAAATAAGCTATCGGGCACCCTTGTTGCATGAGAATGGCCCCAACACTTGATCCAGAAGCATTAGTTTCCACGATAAATTCTTGTGAAAAATTTGGTAATGCTAATACTGGAGCCATAGTCATTGCTTGTTTAAGGGTCGAGAAGGTTGCTTGTGCTTCTCTTGACCAAAAAAATGCATCTTTTCTTAGTAATTGTGTTAGTGGTCATGCAATTGAAGCATAGTTGGCAATAAATTTCCTGTAATATCCAGTGAGTCCTAGGAACTCACGGAGTTAAGATTTCTAGGAATTGGCCAATTAGTCATGGCAGATATCTTCTCCTTATCGACTTCTACTCCTACCGACACCCAATGGCCCAAATACTCTAGTTTGCTTTCTCTAAATCTACATTTCTTGGCATTAATATGAAGAGAATTTGTTGAGAGAATGGAAAATACCTTCCTCATATGCTGCAGGTATTCAGTCATAGTGATGCTGTACACAAGTAAATCATCAAAGAAAACCAGTACGAATCGCCTCAATTGATGTTGAAATATTTGGTTCATTAGCAATTGAAAGGTTGTAGGTGCATTTGATAATATGAAAGGCATTACTTTAAATTGATAATGGCCATGATGAGGCTTGAATGCAGAATTTGGTACATCTTCTTTTCTCACTTTGATCTGATAATATCCTGATTTTAAATCCAGTTTTGAAAAAATTGATTTCTCATACAATTCATCTAGTAGCTCATCTACAACTGGAATGGGGTAATGGTTAGGACTGTGTGAAGGTTGTATGACCTTTGTTGATATAAGTTCTTGGACAAGTGTCTCAATTTCGTTTTTTTGGAAATGAGATTATTTGTAAGGCCTCAAGTTCATAGGTTTTGTTCCTAGTAATAGATATATGGCATGGTCAATAGGGCGCTCAGGTGGCATTCCTATCAATACTTTAAAAACCTTGGAAAATTCTTTTTTCAGTCTGATTTCTAAATCGTTGGGTGCATTAGGGTCTTTATGTGAGTGAATATGATGTAATTCAACCATATATGCCTTGCTACTCTTAAGTTCTTTCTCTGCACTTCTTGGTGACATGCTGGTTTTTGTAATGCTAGGATCCCCTTTGAAGATGTGAATTTTGCCTCCCATCATGAACCTCATTATGAACTTCTCATAGTTGGAAAGGATCCACCCTAAAGTTCTCAACCATTGTATGCCTAGGATCACATCCGTGTCACTCAACTCCAGTGGTGAAAAATCTTGTACTATCAAAACACCTTGCGCCTGAAGAGGAATAGACTTGCAAATTGTTGCGCCTGCCACTGTGTTGCCATTGCCCATAACTATGTTGTAGCCATTTAACTTCTCCATTTGTAAGGATAAGTTATCAATTATTTTGGTGCACAAGAAGTTGTGAGTTGCCCCACTATCAATGAGTATTGACACCTCGATGTCATAGATTTTGCCCCAAAGTTTCATAGCCCCTTATTGAGTAATTCCCATGACTGAATTTAAAGATACGTGTGTAGTGAAAGCCTTCTCATTCGTGTTGGATATGGCCTGGTCGAACAGTTCCCATCCTTCATCAGTGTTGTCAACTTCTGCACTCTTTTGGTCTTCATCCACAATAATAATATTCAACTCCTTTTTACAGCGATGCCCTGGAGCAAATTTTTCATTGCAGTAGCAGGATAATCCCTTATCTCTTCTCTTCTGAAATTCTTGATCTGTCAATTTGAGTATCTTGCGGTTACTTAAAGGTGGCTTGGATGTCATGGAATTTCCTTTTGACGTGCCTTCAGCTGAATCCTGATAATCCTTCCTGTAATTACCTCTATTATTTGTATTCTGGAATTATCTTTTGTAATAGTCATAGCGAGGTTGGGGTGGTTCAGGCTTTGTAATCACTTGTTTCCCAAAGAATTCATTTCAGCTATTTCGAATTTCTCGAAGATGAATCTCTGCTTGGATTGGTAGATCCATTGTTTCTCTGAGTCCCAAGGGCTTATGCATTGCCAATTTTGATCTGATGTCTGGTTTCAAGCCCCTCACGTATGCATGTTTTAATACTTCTGTGTTTATATCAGGTAGAAAGGCTGTAATTCGTTTAAATTCGGCCCTGTATTCTCTTACTGATGTGACTTGTTGTAAGCTCATTAGTTGTTGCAGTGAACTCCTCGTCTCAGACGTCTTGAACTGTTTGCCCAATTGACTCTTGAAGTCATGCCAATTTCGGAATGAGAACTTGTCTCCATCTAGAGATACCATTCCAGAGCTTCTCCCTCCATACTCAACATGATTTGCTTGAGTCTATCATGCTCTGACATAGGGTTTAGGCGAAAATATCTCTCAGCCCGCCTGATCCATCCCTCAGGGCTATCTCCTTGGAAAACGGATAACTCTATTCTCTGATTTATCTATGTTTGGCCATCTTGTGAAGCTTGGCTTGAATGAATGGTGCCATTATAAGGTTGCATTGGTTCTTTTCTTGAACCTTCATTTGGATGCGAACTGGAGTGTGGATCCCTTGTGGATAATTTCTGAAGAATCTGGTTGAGAATTTCTCTTTGCTCGATTAGGGATTGTTCCTGCTTAGCATAACCCTGTTTCAGAGATGCAACCTCTTCTTCTAATGAAGTCATCTGATGTGCCTTTGACCTGGTGAGCATCCGCTGATCAAGATAGGTTCCAGACTATACTGGATGATCGTTCTTCTTGCTGTAGATCTGCCAGTCTTCTTCCAACGTTCTCACTCTGTGGAATTACAGTCGAACGAATTCGTTGTGAGAATTACCTTCGTTTCTTGAATTTGTTGTAGTTTGGACTTGGAAAGAATTCCTGCTTCAGTCTTGCTAATTCGATCCTTATTATGGCGCGAACAGAATCTTACTCTTGTGATCTTGCACTTGTTGAAATTTCTTCGAATTCTTGCAAAAAAGGACCAGGATGTCTGCTCTGATACCAGTGTTACGAACCTCTCAAGATTTGGGGCGAAATCTTCGTCCTAATCTTACCTTAAACGAGGCTCACTCAGGAATCAGATCTCTGTATATAGAAGAACCAAATTGAACAATTGAAAATGAAATTGGAAAGACAATAGAGGTTCGCAGACAGTAGGGTGAGTTCCTGAGGTCGGATCGATCCTCAGGAACAGGAGAGCCCGAATCGGACCTCTCCAGGGACAGATCTCCCCCTCCCACTCTCTGTTTTCTCCCCCCTCTTATTTCGGCCTCTTCTATATTTATAGGCCTCAATACATTATTCTGTTGTGGTCCCCCCTCCACGTGGGGGTCTAGGTCGTCTTGTGTAGACAACGGTTGGCTTCGTAACAGATAGTTTCACAACAATCTGATTACGGCTGCAGCCAGTCCCTGCAGTTGGCATTTGATTACTGCTTGCAATGCTTACATTTAATTTGAAATGTTTTTTTCAAATATCTGCGATGAATTTGAATGGATTCTATTTGCACTTGCTGTTCTTACCTGCAGAGATGAGCCGATGCTGGAAGATGAGCTTCCTGAATTAGTTCCACAACTTAGACCGTATCAGCGTCGTGCAGTTTACTGGATGATTCAGAGAGAGAGAGGACTCTCAATCTCTTCAGAAAAAGTGAAAGATAACCAGTTTTTTTCTCCTTTCTGTGTTGCAGTTACTTTTCTTGATGGTAATTCAAGAATGTTCTACAATCCCTTCGGGTAAGATATTCTCCAACGAAATATCTTTTGAGTTGTTCTATTTTCAAAACAATTACATTGGACAAGATATTCCTCAGTAAACTATTTTTTGGAGATGTTTCCTACGGTGAGAACAATATCTTGGTTCCACTTGTTAATAATAAGTCAGTCTTGAACTTGTTTCCAGTGATTTGCTGGACTAATTCAAAATTTGAATGCCATTTCGTTCATTCATCGACTGTGTTAGTCTATTATCAACTTATCACTTAGCTGCACATATTGAGGGATGACTGGACACATACCGGAAATTTTTCTTTTCCGTTTTCTGAGTCAATACCATAGTAAGATCAAACTTGTATAAGTGTTCAACTGGGGGGGACACACCGAATTGGTGGAAGAAATCTCTACAGCTTGTGCATCATGCCCTAACTGTTGGTGCGAAGAAATGATGTATGCATTTAATCTGTGACCTGCACTTATTGGAACAATAAATCTGAAGGATTTGCACACCATTCCATGCTAGCTGATGTGGAATCCAAGCATTATGTCAACACATCTGCATTAGATGAACATTGACTGCACAAAAATTCGGTAAGTGATCTTGTCTTATGCTAAAAATTCCTTGTGGAGAAGAATTGTGATGAGAATTATGAAGATCTAAATATTGGAGCGTTTTTTTCTCCAACCAAGAGAATGAAAAGCTATGTCATCCAATATCCTTTCAACTGCAACTTTATAAAACCTAGATTATTGAAAATCAGTGCAAGCTCTTCTAGGGAAGTGCCTCGCTTTAAAAATCTAGCCATAAATATCTATGTTCTAGCAGTTATCAATCATTCCAGCTTGTTGTTTGGTATTTGTATTGTATTTATAAACGTTTCATTTCTCAGATGTGGTTGCAGAATCAGTTTCATTTGAAATGCAAAAGTAGAAAACTGAATCTGGAAGGATTTCATTTTTTGATGTTTATGCTATAGAGAGATGTTTTTCATATTTCTTTGAAGTACGAAGGTAAAACATTGAATCTATCTCTTAGTTTTCATGTTTCTAGACCAGTTACAGATTAACAGCTTCTTCTTGCTTTTTCAGTGGTAATGTTTCACTTCATTCAGAATCATCCTCATCATATGTTCCTGGTGGGATCCTTGCAGGTAACATTTCTCCTTAGATTATGCTAATTTAGTCTCTATATAACAGAGACTCATGCTTATGGAGATGTCATGGTTTTTTAATTTGATGTTCGAAGGACAGATGAGATGGGTTTGGGAAAGACTGTTGAATTGCTGGCATGCATTCTTGTTCAGCGGAAATCGTGTCCAGAGAATCGTATTGTTTCAGAAAATGGAACCAGAGAAATGGGAAGTTGCATCAAAAGATTGAAGCAAGAACGTGTTGAGTGTGTCTGCGGGGCTGTGACAGAAACCACAAGGTACAAAGGTCTGTGGGTTCAGTGTGACATTTGTGATGCTTGGCAGCATGCAAACTGTGTTGGTTACTCTCCCAAGCAGAAGCTTTCACGTTCACATGAGGATTCCAGGAGCATACCCGCAAAGCACTCCAGAAAAGCCGGTCTTCTCTCAACAAAGAAAGATTCTATCACTGTAATGCAGACAAAGGAAAGTTACATCTGCTCTGTATGTTCAGAACTGATTGAATCAGCTAATTCGACAGTAATCACTCGTGCAACACTTATCGTGTGTCCATCTCCTATATTGACACAGTGGCATTCTGAACTGATCCGGTGAGCCTAATCTTTTTATGATAGTTGTTACATCATCCCATTTTTTTTAGTTCGTTACTTGAATCGTTTCACACTTCATGATGATATTTCTCCATTTGCTTGTTTAATTCTGGCTACTGCCTTAGTCAGTATGTATCTAGATACAGAAAATAATTCAGACATTTTAAAAAGAAACTGCTGGCAATTAGGAACAACTATGGCCGACAGATATTTTACCTTTTTCTTTGCTGCCTTCAACTGAAACGCCAATAAGGATCCTCCTATTAAAGAGATGATGCCAAAAAAATTTACAAAGGCAATGAAACCTGGCCCAGAAAGTAATAACGCACAAAGTAGCGTTTACATAGTCAATCTTCGTCTGCATCAGGAATGTGTCATCATAGTTGAGCTGCACTTTGTTAATCTTGCAGCATCAATTTTTTAGCTGTGTTTCTCTCCTTAGTACCTAATACATTATTGCGAGAATCTCTACCATATATCTTGCATCTCAATGGCAGGATTTGGGAATCATCTCTCACTATTTCTCCCAGCTTGTTTTTATTTTCCATTTCACCGTACGAGCGTAACGTCTGATTGTACGGTGGATATTAAAGATTTTTGATATTTAATTATTCTTCATTAATGGTACTTTCTTGATATTTATGTTACAGCCACACGAAGCCAGGTTCTCTGAAGATTCATGTTTATGAAGGTGCAAGGAATTTATCTCCTTCAACCAATCTGAGAACTAATCTTAGTGAACTAGCAAGTTCTGACATTGTGCTTACAACCTACGATGTGCTGAAAGAAGATTTGTCACATGATTCTGATCGGCATGAAGGAGATCGTCGCCACATGAGATTTCAGAAGAGGTACTTGTTTATTTTACTTCAATGCCACTAGACAAATTTATACTCAAAGATAGCTGTAAAATATTTATCCATCTCCTTGCATCACATAAATGATTAATTTTTCTCCCATATTACTCGGGTGAGCCTGGCTTTTTGGTTTACTAGCTTGGCCCATTGATGCTGATATTGTACCAAGTGGATAGATTTTTGAGAAAGCTAGTTTTTTCTTGTGCCCTAGCATCCAATTCTTACATATTACTTGTGGTTCTAAGATTAACCATGTGTTCAGTGGATCATATGTACGTTATTAGATAATGATATCTGTGCAATACATATGGTATTAGTAGTGGTTCTCATCCTTTGCATTAATTAGGCTGTATTATTATCCTTGAGAGAACTGTTGATTGTAGAAATTTTGTGCATCACATATATGAATGATTGCTGTAATAAAGAGCCTCAAGATTTGAATCTGCTTCGTAACCCCATGGAACATCCCCTTCCTACAATCCTTGGCAGTTTTGTTTTGGAGGATGTAACAAGTTTTTTTAACTTGGTTTCTTAGATACCTCTGTTTGCATACCTTTTAGAACTTTGATGGATATATGATGATGGGGAAAAATTTACTGTAAGGCAATGCATATGAGTAGGAAGTCCTCATGATCAAAAAACAAGACTAACAGAGAAAAATTGACTGACGGGGAGGTCCATTGAATTTCTTGCATTTGTCCCACCAATTGTGGCAGCTGTGAAATTGATGTAATTTGCGTCCATGTTGTTGGAAGTTCTAGGTTGTAAGGAAATAATGTAAAAGATTGAGGGTATTTTTGAGACAATTTTCTAGGGTTCCTCCCATCTGTCATATGTGATAGAGGTTATTGTCTTTATTCCTATGATTTTTTACATGATAACAGAGCCTAGGTAAACCTTAGTGCCACTGCCAATACTGATGCCGTCACCTCTGTTGAGCATTGGGTTTGTCTGACGTTTCCTGATGGTGGAAGTGCTGTCATGCTGACTCTGTTCGGTGTCGGCTTTGTTCAGCATCTCTTGTTTGGGGGAGTGCCATTGCCGCCACCACCAATGTCTAGTGATATCTGGCATCTCCTGTCTGCCACCGCCATTGACGTCCTCGGCCACCATTTGCCGAGGTGTTGCTATTGGCGTCGTGCTGCTTTTTGGTGAGGCCTTCTGCCTTTGCCGAGTATCTTTCTGGCGAGGGTTTCTACATCTGTCGAGTATATTTCCATTGAGGGTTTCTACCTCTACCAAGTATTGTTCCTGCGAGGGTTTCTACCTCTGTTGTGTTGCTTTCTGATGAGGCCTTTTACCTCTGCCGAGTGTCTTTCCAACATCATTCCTATGTAGTCATTTGTCAAGTGTTGTTTCCGTCCAGTGTTTATCCTCCATCTAGTGACATCCAACACTGGCGTCTTCATCTGGCACCGTCCTTTCTACCTCCAGTGTCGTACTTTATTCGATGTTTGTCTAGCCTCTAGTGTTGTCCTCCGTCTTCCTCAATATATCTCCCTCTGTCATGCATCAGTCTGATGTTCTCTCTAGTGTTGTCTTCTGTCTTCCTCCGTCCGATGTCATCCTTCTGTTTGGCAATGTTCTTTGTCTAGTGCTATCTTGAGCGTTCCAAGTTCATCTCATGTTGTTCGATGTCATCCTGCCTAGTCTCGTGCAGTCTGACAACATCTCATGTAGCTTGGCGTCAGAAGACATCATTGTCCTATGAAGCAATCCTGCAACGTCCAGTAGAAGAGGAAATTTTTGACATTGTCATAGAGGGAGTTGTTGCCACAACAATCGTCGTCATCACAAGTTCACTTTCTAACAAATGAATGCTCATCTATAACTTAGTCAACATGAATTTTGAAAAAATTCATCTTTAGGGGGAGCGTCGAAAGTTCTTGGTCATAAGGAAATAATATAAAATATTGAGGCATTTTTGGAATAATTGACTAAGATTCCTTATATAAGGGTATAAAGGTGATGAAAATTGATGTGGTTGTCCACTGTTCTCTGTTCTGTCCTCCGTGACAGAGGTTATTATTCCTATTCCTATGATTTACTATACATATAGCAGAAGTTGCTGAACTGGGCTTCTGCTTATTTTATTTCGTTTCATTTATTTATTAAGTCGTTTCTGTAGTATTTTTGATATGATGCCCTTTAGGATAAAAATTTGGGATAGGAGACATGTAATGCAGACAGAAAATTTATTACTCAGGAAGTTTCAAATAAAAAGTCTTATCAAATTTGACAGAGCCTTCACTGATCTCAGAATGAGGGTGGTGGATGTGTTGCTATAAAAAATCTTTGTTCCCCAGACAACTTCACCTCATTACAAGTTTTTTTTACTATCAGGCTAAGGCCATAGTAAATGGTTATTTTTATCTTCTTATTTCTCATTATTTAGCTTTAATGATTTTTACCTACTGCTGCATTGTGCCCTTGAAGAAATATTTTTGAACATTGCTGTTGAAAATGTAGGTACCCAGTCATTCCAACTTTGCTTACAAGAATATTTTGGTGGCGACTTTGCCTAGATGAGGCTCAGATGGTTGAGAGCAATGCTGCTGCTGTTACAGAAATGGCACTCAGGTTACGTGCTCAACATTGTTGGTGTATCACAGGAACCCCTATCCAGAGGAGACTTGATGATTTATATGGTCTTCTACGTTTCCTCAGAGCTAGCCCATTTGACACTTGCAGGTGGTGGAGTGAAGTCATCAGAGATCCATATGAGGTATTTTAATTAGTTCGTTGTCCTGTGCCTCTTCTAGTTGTTATTTGTATTTGTAGTTACTGATGAATTATAACACGAGTGACTGAAAGAAAGTAGTGCGCTTTATAAAATAGTATTTGTGTACAATGAACAAATGACTATGGCATCCAATTCCTTTCGTCAGCATGCTAATGGAATTGCACTACCTGATCTGATTTTAATTTTTTTTCTGGGGTGGGAGAGGGGGAGGATCTAATTCCTATCCTGAGTGTGTTAAAAAAGGCACCAAAGTGGTTTGAATTGGCTGATATATGGGATGCATTGTCCCGAAATTCGCTTGTATTTCGGTTGACTGACCTGATCTTGTATGGGTTGGCTGGTTATTGACAACAATGGTGCTATCGGAGGTAGACTATGAAGTGCAGCTTTATGACAGGTGATGGAGGGGGAAGCAAAGGGGACAACAAGGAGAAGAAAGAAAACGGAAAAAAAACTGACTGGGACTGCCATCAATTGCCATTGGCCACTTACTGCCCTTTCAATCGAGAAACTAGCTTTAGGCTGGGGTCACATGGTTGAAGAAGATTTTAGCTTATTTTAACTCACATTGCATCTATACTCTTTTTTGCTATAACCATTATAACAATTTCAGTATGTCCTTTTTTTACCCTGACTCAGATTGTCTGATCTGATCCTATAGTGGTCTGATCTTATTTAAATCACCTTGAAGTAAGGGAATATTAGTGTGATTTTAGCCGAGCCTAGGCTATTGTTGTTCTAGAATATATGGCTGAATGGTTTGCGAATGGTGTGTATGCGTGGCCTATTTTGGATCTGAAGAGAAAAATAGAGAAAGTGAGCACAAATAGCGAAGATCTGGTCATAACTCCATCCTGAATTTCACTCCCTGTATTCAATCTATATTGGATGTGCATTTTTGTTTTCCCTTTTCTAGCGCCTCGGTATTTTGGTGTTCTTCTCATCCTTTAGGATTCCCACAGAAATGGCAAACATATCTCTTGGCTTGTACCGCTGTTCTTTTACATGCCCAAAGGCACAGAACCTTGACAATTGGCTTTCACAGGCCTAATTTCTATTTTCATTAAACATTTCCACTCAAAAGTGGTTCAGTGGATAGTTTCCTCTAAAAGGGTCATCGATCACTAGCATTTAATTTGTGCCTTCAATGCCCTTCAGCTTCTCTCCCTCCCCTTTTGTCTTATTTTCTTCCTCTCTTTTCCTGATCCATTTCTTTTTTTTATCCCTCTGAATTCCTCTCATTTCTGAATGACATCACTATTTCTTGTACAGTGAGGAAGAACTGCTATTTCTCTTGTGTACAACTGAGAAGTGTAGCTGTGTCAGAAAAATGAATGGGGAATGAAAGTAAAATAGAAAATTCAAATGAACAATATGAACACCGGAATGGTGAGTTTGATAAAGTTGTAACCTTTTCTTGACTATATGGAACATAGTATCTTTTGTCTTGATATGATGGGAACCAATTTGCTGATTGGTGAATATCCCTAGTTTCGTACCATCTGCTTCATTTTTATCGTTTATTATTAACATTTTCTGTCAGTTCTTTGATATGTCGATTTATTATTAATTGATTTTTACCGTCTTTTCTTCTCTTCTCAACATGAATGAACGGCAGACCAACATAAAAACCCTTTCTCCTTCCTATGGCTGTATTACCTTCCCCTCTACTTCTGCCAAACCTTACTTTTCCCTTATTCTACTTCTTTGGTCATTGTCACTATGCCATTCTCACTGTTCATGGACCTGAGGGGAAATAGCCAGTCGAGCTGTGGGTGCCTCTGAAACTTTGGCCATTTCCAGGTGAACATCATCCTACACTCTGTTGGGCTGTCTAGTCTTAGTGCTTCAAGACACTTCACTCGGGTAATTTATCTTAGTCTTTCTGGTGAAACCCATGAAAGACTGGCTTATGTGGAATGGAAATAGCCACCGACTGTCACAGTGCAGTGGAGCGGGTCTAACCCTGTAAGCAAGTGATATAAAGACATGGACCCCGAAAATTGCTCCCATCTTCGAAAGTTTATCTAAAAAGGGGCGCCAATTTCTGAGCTATGTTGTTTCTGGTAAGGGCATAGAAGTGGATTACTTTGTAGGACCAAAAACACCAGCATTTCTGGGAATCATTTCATAATGCAGATAGGTGATATGGCTGAGAAATTAGAAACCTGCTCATGATGCTCAATGTCAGGTGAAGCCACCATGAAATAAAAGTGCAGAAACAACATCTAACTGGCTAGTAGGCCATCTTTAATTGCAATAAACTAATGATATCGCTTCAAACGTGCAGTATATGTTTTGATTAGATCGTCAGTACATGTGTTTTCCATCCATCTCTTTCTTAACTGAATAGAGTTATATGACGACTAATGTGATCATGTACCATTGTGAAGAAGAATGATGGTCTGGTCTTGAGGGTGAGAATGATCAAATGGCTTGGGTAGATATGTGATACATCTGGAACGCATTCACATCTATATTGGTCATAGCCTGGGCAGTTGGAGGTTGTAAAAGACTGTCTCAAGGAAGTCCCAGGTTGCTGTGTACGAAGTTCGATTTATTTATCGCTGGAACACCTTCACGATTAAGGAAGTTCTTGTAGTCTCAATAGTTGCAGGACTTAGCTTTGGATAGATGTACGATACAGCTTTCTTCTTGCTTTGTGCCATGTCTTCTGTATGTGTCCCATTATAGGTCTCTTATAAGCATTTAAAAACTCTATTCTTTAGATTTTGTTTCTCTTGAAGTGCTTGATTTCAGGGGAATGTTATTAATCAGGAGGAGAATAACTTGAATATGTCATTTTCATACATTTTTGTGAAAAAGCATCGGGGAGTACGACTGATCTGGTCATCTTTTCACATGACAGAAGAAAGATGTAGTGGCTATGCAGTTTACTCATAATTTCTTTAAGCAAATTATGTGGCGTTCATCAAAAGTTCACGTGTCAGATGAGTTGCAGTTACCACCTCAGGAGGAGTGTGCATCCTGGCTGAGTTTCTCTCCTATTGAGGAACACTTCTACCAGAAGCAACATGAAACTTGCATGACATATGCGCACGAAGCTGTGGAACGTTTCAAAAAAGATGTGTCCAAAAGAAAACCTTTAGCTGGTATACTCCTGCTTACTTTTCCTAGATACAGCATGACGTTCTTTCCTGCTGAACTTCTGTGGTCGCGTATCCATTGATTTAGCTGTCGCATTCTCTCACTACCGGAGGCTTATTGATTGGCAGATTTGAGTGATGCATGCGATGGTCTTCTTTCCCATGCTAATGCTGCAAAGCTTCTTTCACCATTATTGAAGCTTCGTCAGGCATGCTGCCACCCACAAGTTGGTAGCTCTGGTTTACGCTCCTTGCAACAATCTCCCATGACGATGGATGAGATACTAGAGGTAAGTGTATTTTACAGAACTTTACTGCTTAGGAGACGCTTCCAATACCTTGAATGGAATGATGAGATGCAGTTCCCTCTTAAGTTGGCCGTGCACCACACTTTTCCCTTGGTTTCTATGCGGATGCTAATTGGACAAGTTGTACTTCCTGCTATTCCTTTGGTATCCGTCCAACTTAAGTGGTGATCTGGGCTCTCCATTCCGTTTTCATGGGTATGGGATACTCATTATCCATCTTATTGGCATTAGATAATGCTCATTGTATTTGACAACATAATTTTGACACTACAGATGCTTATTAGCAAAGCCAGAATCGAAGGAGAGGAGTCTCTTCGAAAAGTAATTGTTGCATTGAATGGGTTGGCTGCAATTGCTGTAATTGAGCAAGACTACAAGCGAGCAAGCTCATTATATAGAGAAGCATTGTCTATAGCAGAGGAAAATTCTGATGATTTCCGCATTGACCCCCTGTTAAGTCTTCATATTCATCATAACCTTGCTGATCTGCTTCCATTTACCTCTGAGTATTTGCAAAGTTCAGTGAAAGTAGGAACAGAGGATGGAATTTGTGAGAATAAGACCAGAAAAGTTGATGGTGAAAGTTATGCCAAGAAACGAAAAATAAATAAAGACACTGATTCAGGTTTAATAAGGCAACTGGATAACTCTGGGAAACTGTGTGGTTCCGATCCTTATACAGTGGATGGTAATGATGGGAGAAATATTAAATCCAATGTTGAGTCAGAAGTATCCTCGACATCATTTGATGATGTTTATTTTAGGAAGATTTGTGATGATATCATACAAAAGTACCTCTCTGTTTTCCTTTCGAAGTTGTCATTGGCTCAGCAAGAATTCTTCAGTACATACACACAGGTATTAATTTTTTTTCTCTCATTATGTCTATTTAATTTTCTTTTTTTTTTCGGTTAAGAATATCTGTCATCAGAAATTGGAAACTAAAGATCCTCGTTGCATTTTAGTTTATCGTACAATATAGGACTGCATGTACGTTTCTATCTGTTAAAGCAATGACGGTTTACCTTAGATTATATCCTCTAAAGTCTGAACGAACTTTAAATTAAATTCAGCTTTCATTCTAATCCATATTTTTTGCACTTTAAGCCATCATCTATTACGGATTGTGTTTTCGCAATCGATCTAATATGAAACTAGCGGGCTCGTTTAAAGAAAAAAAATACAGAATTCGGTGATATCATCCGATCTCAAAATATGCTGGGTACCTTAAAATAAGTCCTGTCCTTCTTGAGATAAGCATATGTAGGCAATGGATTGGAAAATACCTCATCCTTATAATATGTCTATGAAAATGGCTTTTTATGTGCGGTCAAGCCATTATTCTATCACCCTTGCATTGAATTGCTTTTTATCTGGCAATTCAACAATATTTTCTATTATTGTTACTTAACTTTTATGTTATGCTAATTTTTTTGTCATTTAATTCCTTATGTTCTAGGTTTGTGATGTGTCGAAGGTTTTTAGAGATCACAATGTGAACTGGTGGTTGGAAGCTCTCATTCTGATTGAGAAGAATAAGGATTCATCAGATGAACTAATAAGAAAGATCGACCAAGCAGTCTCTTCTAGGTCTGTAAATGGTACTGGATCGTCAAGAGTCTCTTCAAGGTTATGTTTTTCAACCCATCTAGCTCAGGAAGGCAGTGATTGATGGATGTTTCTGCTTTTGATTAGTTGACTCCAAACAGATGAAATTTCTAATGCGTTGTGCCATCTTATCTGGAATTAAGCATCTTGTTGACGTTTTCTGCTCGAGACATTTAAGGCGTATTTATTACCAAAATCTTGTGAAATCTTCTTTCTGCATTAGCATATGTTACCCCTGTATGGTATTCATCTCGGTGTAGTACACATTTCTATGTCATCTAAATGACCTCTTCGGTGGCAATTAAGTATACATGCGGTGTTCTATTATGTAATTGAGTCAAACTTTATTTCAACGAACTCGTCATCAACTTTTTTGAATTTTCTTCTGATGATTGGGAAGAACCTTAATAAGTGGAGAACAGTAATGTTCGCTTTTAAACAAATGTGTACACAAATATGAAAACTGTAGAGAAGGTATCTTATATATGCCATGTAAGGACAATACTGAAATAATTGATTCTTAAATGTTCACTTTTAGTTGAGGATGATCATGAAGAGGTCCTAAGGGAAGAAGTACATGGTGATTACTTTATAGACGTGAGTAGTTTATGACAGAGCATGTAACAAAGATATGCACCGAGCATGCCAAGTATCCAAATTCTATTGCAGAAAGTCTGGTTTATGATAGGACAAGTGCAAGGGCTTGTTGTATATAGTTTTTAATGTGTCTCAATAATACTACTTCTCTAGAAGGGTATTTTTTGAGCTCATAGTTATCTTCGCCTTCATGGGTAAACTAAAACAATATCATTTATAAAAAAATCTGTTATTGTTTTCGGATAAAATCCCAAAATTTTGAGCAACATCAAGTTAGAAAACTAAATATTTTTAATGTGAGGTTTTAAGAGTAGAATAACTCGAGTGGAATGCATTTGGTATTTTGATCTGCTCTATAAAAGGCTACATAGCTGGAGATATTCTAATGTGGTTGACAAGGAAAAAGGTTGTAGAAAGCATATTATGCCCAGGATTTTACATTGAAAGACAATTAAAGATTCATACAATCTGCCGTGTTGAATAGAGTGCGATACTTGGCATGAAATTTTCCCGTATAGCGAAGGGTGTCGAATTCTTTTCAGAATGCTGTTTAAAACGATGGCGTTTAAATTTAAGCTTCATCTGCTTTATTTGAAAAATATCTATTTATTGTTCATCATCCTCTGTAAAATGGGCTTTATTAGATCTAATCAGATAAATTTGTGTAGAAAATTAATCCGTTGGCATATGTATTGTATTAATATTATGAAACTCTGTATTTAAGAGATGAAATTATAGCGTAGAAGCTTGCTAGGTACATAAATCCAATACAGATCATTACTAAGATAAGATCTTGATTTAATTTATATTAATTTCTCTGAAGCATGCTTTCAATGACATATTGTATGCGTCATGCAGTCTGAATATTGTGCCCTATAATTCAGGTATCGAAGTATAAGTGGCTTGAAACTTACTATTCAGTCGGGTCTTGATTCTTTAGAGACTTCCAGACAAACACTGATCAAAAGGTTAACAGAAATTGATAAAACTATGGAAAACCCCGAAGAGGCTGACATTTTACGTGTGAGATTCTGTCCAAGTTGCCAGTCTGGAGATGGTCCCCTGTGTGTGCACTGTGAACTAAATGACCTATTTCAGGTGAGACGGGTAAACCTCATCAATGTCTTAGTATGTCAACTTTCACTAATAGCATCATCTTTTCAGGAGTATGAAGCCAGGCTTTTTCATCTGAAAAAGGGAAATTATATGATGACATCAGCTGAAGAAGCCATACATTCTCAGAAGAAGAAGAATGAGTTGAACCTTTTCTTTCGTGACCACAAAAATTTTGTAGAGTCTAGTGCCAGTGATAGTAAGAATAAAGGTCAGCGGCATGCCAGCACAAATGTGGTTGTGAGTTCCTAACATTGTTGGCCCTAACAATGTTTTCCTTTTCACATTTTTATTGGGTTTAAGGATATAGTTACTAGGTTGAGCTTCATTTGATCTGTTACTCATCTGTATTCCTCTGCATGTTAACATAGTTTTTGATTCGAATATCAACAGCATTTCTCATGCAGGAAGTCCACTGGAATGACCTAGATGCCGTTTTATGTGTATAACATATATCTTTCGTGGATTTTTCTGTTCGAATAGAGTTTTCATCACCACTTTGACTTCCATAAACAATTTAGATGGTGTCAAAGGACAGTTCTCCCTATTCTACTCATATGAAATTGGATGAACCGGATTAGCTGTCCTCTTTACCATATCTCATCAGGAAACTTCTGTGAAAATTATTGATCTTTGAAGTTTTACTCCTACATACCTTTGCTTTATTATGCATTTATTCTTTCTAAACACGACGCTCAACTTGCTGCAAAATATTGGCAGATATGAAATATATTGTTTTCCAAGTTATAGACATGCAATAGCGTAAATAATTCTCGACCATGGCTTTACGATTCCAGACATCATACAATAGCCTCTTTTTCTAGGATCAGTGGCTGGGTTGTACCCAGCATGAACTTATGATATACTTACTGTTAATGAATAACTTCGTTTTATTGGGCTGGTTTCTTGGCTGCTCTTCATTCTATTTTTTTAATTTATGTTACAGATCTATAGGCTGCCTTCAGATTTGGAGGTTATTCTTGGAGTAATAAAAAGACACTCAAAATCCCTTTTAGGTGGGCTAGGCACAGCATCTGCCAGAAAGCATCTGCTCCTTTTTGAGGTACGAGATTCTTGGTGCATATTTTACGTCAAGGTTGGTGTATTGGCAGTCTAATCATTTATATGAAAATCAAGAAAAAATAATTTTCAATTTTAATTATTTTGATTTCTCTATGATGGATGATACTTTTTTCAACCAGTTTTGACCGGTTTACGTCATGGTATTTCTGTATCTATGTTTGTTGGTAGGGTTTAATATTCAATGATTGTTCCAAATCCATTCGCATCATCTATGTTTTGGCATCTCTATCCTCTGATTACTATTTTATGCTAGAATATATAGGACTAGGAATGATGCAAAAATATTTTCTTCATTCCAAGAAAGAAATATCAGTGGCAGATGGCACTCTTCATAAAAGTATCGAGCTTCATTTGTGGAAGATGAGATTTGATTATGAAATTCTGACCTAGCTCCTTTGTTTGTTTGCATCCATGAAAAAAATATTTTACTCGGGATTGCAATCAACTTCAAAATCTTGCTCTTGAAAATAAGCTTCTTAGTGAGGCTACCTGGAATCAGTGTCCTGTTCTTGGTTGCCTGGATAGTAAGCAACCACGTGCTTTAACTATGGTCAGTCAAACGGGAAGATCATGTTAACAGGAAAATGGTGATAAAAATTTCGAGATTCTATTTAATATGAATTCATGACGAGTTATGGGACATGATGTTATCTGGGAGGGCTCGCACATTAGTGTGTAATTAGAAGATACGTACGAACTACCTGAAGTTATTCCTTTTCCCATGATCAGGATAATGAAGGAAAATGTTACTGTATCAAGATGTTACAGCTTTTCATTCTTCATTCTGAACAAAACTATCAATACATCGTATAAGTTTTAGAGTGAATAAGTTGCAGTTTTGCTGCATCTTTCATTTTTTTTCGAACTTGTGTTAAGATTTTGATGGTTTAAAAAATAAAAGTATCATAACTTTTGATTGGACGTCTGATTCCAGTTTCCCAAATATCAAGTCGGGAAAACTGTGATGATGGTGACTGTGAAGAGGCGGGTTTCATGGCTTTACATTCAGATTCAGATGAAATGATCCTTGATAGAGACGTGTGAATGTGAGGCAAGTATCTGGTCTAAAGCTCCTCCATTCCTCCAATTCCCTTCCCCCAAATAAAAAGGAGATTTCTAGGTTAGCCTCTTATGAGCAGATCCCTTGAATACAAGGTATTCTGTCTCATAGGACATTAATTGCTGTGATTGAGTTTCACGCCTGTGTCTAGGCCAAATACCTGAAAATTTTGACCCAAACAATGGGTTTGTAAAATTACTTGGAAGGAAATGATTGAGATGATGAAGACTAGAAGATAAGGTGTCTACCACTGTTTTAATTTTCCCCAACAATGTCTATTGTCTACTCGATTTGATTTCCAAGTGTTGATTTGCTATGGGCAAGCATGACATTTATATATTTATTCAATTCAGGTATCAGTTATTTTGGCATGGTTTTCTTATTTACAGATGTTTCACATAATTTGATTTCAACTGTTGCATGTTGTGCCTCTTTCTTGCTATATTATATGCCAAATGGCTCTAACATCTTCTGATAATGGAATACCTTTTTGAGTACCCGCTAACTTGAAGAGCTTGGAAAATCCTTCCAACAAGAAGGCCCTCTTAATGGCTATTGTCACCATTTCAACGACAGTTGCCATCACATCATCACAACATCACCTCAGTTGCCACCGTCTCTAGAGAAAGGAAAAACAAAAAGTGTTATACACGGGCTTTTGTAGAGATAAGCTATTCATGCAGACTGATTCTTCCTTTTTGGTATTGAGCTCTTGTTGGCGTTGTTTATAGAACATGGGGTTGACAACATCAACTTCTCTTCGTCAGTTATATAATGTTTTGCCTTTCTACGTCTCTTCTCACTATTTATTTCTAGACGTCTTTGTTTTGGTCTTTCACATCAAGCTCTTATATGTTTTCATAGGCAATGCGCAAGGAATTTGCCAATGCAAGGTCTTTGTCAAGTGCTCAAGCTCGAGTATTGAGTGCTCATGATGAAATCAAAATGTCCACCTCAAGGTTGCGCCTGAGAGAGAATGAGGACGAGCCTACTGCTGTTAATGTGCTGAGCTCAGATCAATTGATCCCATCAAGTATGCAGTTTTCTAGTGACAAATTTTTGTCCTTATCATTATTAGAACGGATTAAAGGACAACTCCGCTATTTGAAGGTATAACTAGGGTTTATATCTTGTTAATTTCCGTTTGTAATTGACGATCGTCCCTCTCTTTTTTATAACTTATGAATAATAATCATATACTGTAACTAAATGACATACTGGCATTAGATATTATAATGTTGCTGCATTTGATCATATATTCTAAGGTTGCACTGACATGTACAGTAATTGAATAACTTAGCATAATTAATTAGTATGGATTTTTCTTGCCAGATTTAGCGTAACTATGGTGAAGGTTAAAGAATTTGCATTACTTCTCAGATCATTTTTTCTTTCCCAAAAAGTTACCCAAAGGGTTTCAAGTGGGAATAGTTCAGTCAACTAGGGCATTCAAGTGGGAAATGTTAATGTATTCACGTGGGGCCGAAAAATTTGCAGGAAAATGATAGGCCCATCAGATAAAGTAAGATTTTATCTGCGTGTTATCTTAATATCTTATTGGCACAAGGTAAGTAACGTAAAATGGAAAAGGAGTGATAGTATCTTTTGTTAAAATCCATTCGAAATTTCGTAGTTTTGTCCGTTTAATTGTTTTTTTACGAGTACAAAACGGCTATCCTTTATGGTTCTTGGTAAATTAAATTATTTGGGCTTTACTGTATGGGTTTTTGTTTCTCCGAATAGGTTATACGATTTTCAAGTACAGTGCGTTCTTTTAATTTGAAGAATCACAGACTATGAGATACAGAGGCCTGGAGAAAGTCTAAGTAACCCCTTAAACCTCAAAAGATAGCAGTGGGGATGTTACGTCGTCTGTAAACATCAAATGCATCCAAACTTACCATCTTCTTGCTCAAGAGACATAAAAGTTGGAATAGATAGGTGGGAAATAGTATCAACATGCTGACATATAAGCTACACCTGTGCTTCAATTCCTCATGAAAATCACCTGGACGCTATAGTTAGTGCATTTTTCAATCTTTGCTCATTCTTTGTGACGTACTTGTTGAACAATTTATACTTCTAGAATCGTACTAGTTCCGAAAGCTTATCAATATTTTGGAATACTCTTCAGTTTGGCGTAGAATGTTTTATTTACTCTCTTAAGCTTTTTAATGATTTCCATACCTTGTTGACGTGTCGTCTGTTTGCTCTTATCTTTGCTTTTTTTTTTACTCTCCCATTACCTGGCTATTTTATGTATGAATTCATTCAGAGGTATAATTCACTGTGTACTTCTATTTCAGGGATTAATGGTGTCTAAAAATAAGCAACAAGATGCTACTGATCTTTTGCCCGATTCCCACAGTGATCAAGATCCATCTATTTCCACAGCGATGGAGCACCCATGTAAAGATGACGATCATCTTTGCCCCATTTGCCATGAAAAACTGACGAATCAGAAGATGGTATTCCAATGTGGACATGCCACTTGCTGCAAATGTAAGTCTCAGACACAATTCCAAGTTCTTATTTGAGGCAATCAATTTAAGTAAGATATTCGTTTCCCTATGCATGAAAGAGATCTATATTTACTGTGTTATTGGTATGCAGAACAAGTGCACGTATGATTGCTTCAAATTTTCGGACACATCATGTTCATATTTCTTTAGTTTGCCTCTTGATTAATAGAGGTCATCATCAAAATCTTTTGTTTCTTTGAACATCTAGCGTGGTTTTACGGCTAGATTTTGGTTCCCATTGAACACGAAAGTTACTTCCATCCATTTTTTAGGAATTTTGGTAGCGGGCGAAGGATGAAGAAGATTTCACATTGATTTTCTTGAATAGTTGTTGTACGCGTGTTAGAAAAGCTCTCTTCTAACGTTCAGGTGGTGAAGTGTTATTGTCTTCATTCCTGCAACCTCCACTGGATCTACTTACATAGCTTAGAACTGACACAAATACCTGTATTAACGTCAATATATAACGTCTGTCAACTGATAAAGCAATATAGCTATTTGTACCCGATGGGGATTTGCATCCTAGTGAACAAGTTTCATGTCCCTGTTATTTGGCAGGATACACAACTCGTTTTGGATACCGAGTTCCTTCAACTATTTTAAGTGTCATTCTACTTAGCGGTTGTGTTGTTCATGACTTTTGTGATCAGACAATTCCAAGCTCCTTCCTGTTAAGGTCATCACCTCTAGTTTATTTTGTAAAGCTGGGTTCCCTTGACATATATCAGCATGTTGTATCTTGGATGGACTTTATCAAAATCCAGTAAAATTTGATAGCTATGCCACTTTACTGGACTCGACTTTCTTTGCTTCTGAGAAAGACCTGGACTTTCAGCAAGTCTAGTGGTTTGGTTTTATTCTGGTGAAGATGTGAGCGCCCTGAGCGAATTATTTTCCGTAAAAATGCCAGGATGAAAGCAGTGTGACTAGAAGGGAATTTCAGTGCTGTCCAATAGGACTGGTTGCTTAGGGCATCATATGGAAATGCCTGTGGGTTGCTCTCAGTCATGTTAAAGCGATTAATAGAAAAACTCAGAGTAGATTCGATAATGGAACTGTATACTGTCATTTATATCTCTTTTCAGATTTGGCTTGAATCATCCTATTGCCTTTTTATCATATCTAAGATGGTGATTCCTTGTGATTGGTATCTATGTTTTCATTTCCTTTTCTATCTGCCCGCAGGTTGTCTTGAAATGACTGAGCATGCAGTGGTTCGCTTGGTAAAGTGCCAACATAAATGGGTTATGTGTCCAACATGTCGTCAGCATACAGATTTTAGAAACATTGCATATGTAGATGATAAACTGAGTAAAGTTTATGATTCGAAGGTTCCAAATCTATTCCGAGGTGAAAACCTTGCCGAAAATTCTCTGAAAATTGAAGGCTCTTATGGAACGAAGGTGTGCCTCTGCATCAAATCCTATCCATTAATTTAATAGTGGAAAGATACACCGAACCTGTGGTATTTATTACTTGGCATAAACATGCCGTTTTATCATTGATACTTGATTCAGTTTATGCTCTTTCAGGGCAGATACTTTGATGAACAGTATCATATTATCAATTACTTTTGGGGGACTAGTACTATTTATGAATTGACAATTTATGATAAAAGATCTCACGGGTCTATCTTGTATTGAAGATTGAAGCAATCACAAGGAGGATTCTGTGGATACTTTCTGCCGATCAGGATGCAAAAATTCTTGTATTCTCCAGCTGGAATGACGTGCTTAACCTTTTGGAGCATGCACTCCATGATAACAGCATCAGCTATGTACGAATGAAAGGAGGCAGGTAGAAAATTCGTACTCGAACCAGTTTTCATCTTCCTTTTTTTTTTCTTGGAATGGAAATGAATTGTTAGTTTATGATATCTAATAAATACAATGCGCTGGATAAACGTTTTGCCTTCAAACATTGTTCGTTGAAAGCTGCATTTTAACTTTAGGCGCCTTTTACAAAATCATGGTTTTTTTGGGGGCAGGAGATGCTTCAGTCTAAAAGTGCATGTACCATAGGTGGTGATTTGACTTGTTCTTTAGCTTAGTTCATTAGTAACCAAAAAATGAAAGTACGACATGTACCTTGGGTCTATTGCCCTCGGACACCAACCTTATACTCTCTTGCCAAATTCTGCAAATCATTAGTTGGCAGGCAAGGGAGAATGTCCTTATCTAAGGAAAGCTGAAACCCTTGCTATTTCTCGCTGCAAACAGAACATCTTACGTTTTGAGCTTTAGGATGCCTATAAATCACAGAACATGAGGCTCATCAGTAAGAATTGATAACCATATAGTAAAATAAAATAATAACTTGAATTATTGAGGCCTATCAGATTCTGTATTTTTTTTTGTTTTAGAGAGAATAATCCAAATCTTGGTTCTGAATGAGTATTATAATCCACTTTTAAAAAAAATCCTTGAAATTTATCTTTCCTACTTGAAAGCTTGTTCATTGTATGCGTTCATCCTCGCATATTGTAATTTTCATTTTAAGTTCAACGATGAAAGCGATTATTCCTCGGAAACGTTGGAAAATGTCGAAATTGAGCATTTAGAAATTAAAAACAAATGCAGGAAGTCCCAAGTTGCACTTGCACAGTTCAAGGGACACCAGGGTATGGAACAAAATGGGAAGCTTCAGGGCACGCCCACCAAGTCAAAGCCCATTCAAGTACTCCTGTTACTGATCCAGCATGGAGCCAACGGCCTAAACATCCTAGAGGCACAGCACGTGGTTCTCGTGGAACCGTTGCTAAACCCAGCAGCTGAAGCTCAGGCAATTAATCGCGTTCATCGGATTGGACAGGATAAGAAGACCTTCGTACACCGTTTCATAGTATGCAATCTACCCCCGCCTTCAACCTCTTGTGATTCAAGGGGTCTGTCTACTTTGTCTCTATGCTGATCTGCATCTTTCTGACAGGTTGGCGACACTGTGGAGGAGAGCATATATGGTTTGAACAGAAGTAGGAGTGCCAGTGCTGTCATAGGCGTCAAATCGAAGCATCAAGATCAGCCAGCCCTGACTTTGAAGGATATCGAGTCCCTTCTTCTACCTATGCCTCAGAAGAAGGTCCCAATTGGCGACGACCATCCCATGGAAGGAAGCCACCAGCAGCTGCCGCCAGCCGTCGCTGCGGGCATGGCTGCAGAGAGGAGGCTGATGGGAGCCTCTTCCTAGCTCTGCTATCTATCCCCTGCTGGATCTTGTGGCCAGTAAGTGAAAAACGATTCACCCCACCATCTTCCCCACATCTGTCGGTAATCAGGTCTCCGCACCTTCCGCTTTCTTTATATCTGTATTTTATATCTGCGCAATCACCTGGGTCCGAACGTCCTTGACCATTCTTTGCAGCCATGCCTAACTCTTGGCCACACGTTCCAGCTCGATCCGCAGAGAGTTTTTATATCTGCCAATGAAAATATTTGTAGAGGATTCCCGGTTTACTGGATAGCTATGGAATTGTAGCTACTGGGGTTTGTTTATAGGTGAGCTTAGGTGAATAATTATGATGATGATCAGAAGCCCTGGTCTTCTTTATGTTGCTCAGAGGTGTGTTTCTCGTGAGGAAGCGGCGACCCATCAGTGATTCGAGCCTGCTTAGCCTTTAATCCTTACACGACGTGCGGGCCCCAATACTTTCCCCATTTTCATTTAGTCGGGCCATCGTCTCCCCTGCGTGGCCGGCGTAGGACTGTGGGGCCTCCTGGCGCTGCGAGGTTTCAGTCACATGCGCCGCGATGTGCCAAGCAGAGCTGGCCTATCGTGTCCCCGACATACAGATACATTCGGGGCCCAGTCCACTGAAAAATTGTCTTTTTCTTGAGCAAAGAGGCGCGTGCGGAAAAAGAAAAAAAATGGAGCTTTGAGGAGCACAGCCATCGGGTTGACTTCCGGTTAATGAATCTAAAGTTAAAGTGAAGTATCCAACTTCAAGCATGGCAAGATCATCTCCTCCTGGATGATACAGACGACTCTCCACAAGAGGCCTGAGGATCCGAAACAAAGGAATAAGCAATCCCATGAATCATTTCCACTGTCTGGTGACGATGATCTCCTCCTCCTCTTCCTGCTGCTTCTCTCCCTCCTCTTCCTGCTGCTTCTCTCCCTCCTCCGGAGCTTTGCCATGTTGCTTCTTCTCTCGCTTGCCCCAAGGCTCCTCGTCGGAGTCCGAACGGCGGTGGCCGGGGGGCTGATCCCCCGTGGTGCCGAGCTCCCCTCTGGTCCTCCACCTTAGGGTGTGCCGGTACAGAGCCGCCGCCAGGTTCCTGAACATCGTATGCGACGCCGACAGAGGTCCGCCGCCGTTGGAGCCCCCCTGACTTTCAGTGGAGACCGCGACGGGGGGCGGAGCCCTCTTCCCCTTCTGGGAGAGGACCACCGCGGCGGCGCTCCGCGGGGCGAAGGTGGCGGAGAAGCAGAGTGACGCGTCCATGCCGGTCAAACGAGAGATGGCGAAGCAGATGGCTCTCGGACGCCTTCCCCCGCCCGCGGCTGGCCGCCGATTTATAGAGACGCGAGGAACCGTCTCCTGCATGGTGTGGGGGGACCCGAGTTCCTGTTTAGTACTGCGGGTGGCAGTTTCGTGTTAATTGCCCGGGGCTATCCATGGAGGGAGTAACCAAGGTGAGATGCGGGGACCTCAACGCAAGCCAGACAAGGCAACGGAGCCTCCTTACCTTCCCAATTGTCCGACGCCGAGCACAGAAGATAGCTCGGTTTTCCACTGGTGTGAAGTCCAGGGAGACGTTGATCGCTTAACAACAGTCAACCCCTTATCTCAGTAGAGTAACTGGTTTCGGAAGCGGAGCTAGGCCCAGTCTATCTCACCCGGGTTTGTCCCCTTCCAGCCCAGCCCAGCCCACCCGGGATAGTTGACTGCTAGGAGTCAGGGTCGGATTTGGAAGGGCCCAACAAGCGGGTTTGATCTAGGGGTAGTTTTGGACGGAAAATATATGACCGGGGGGAATGGGGGTGGGGGAGGTGAGCGAAATCGCCCGAGTGAAGGGGACGAGTCACCGACCATCTGAGGAAAAGGAGGGGGGAAGAAAGATTCGCGCTCCTCCACCCGTCTCTATCCTGCCCCTCGCTCCCTCCCACCACGGTCGCTCGCTCTCGTTTTCCGATTTCCCCTTGTCTGCTGCTGGGAGGGAAGGGGAGAACTGTTTCTACGAACCCTAACTCTTGCTCGATCGCGGAACAAGGTGATCCCGGACTGACGGAGTGGTTTGGCATTGCACCGCTGGGAGATCCTTGGGAGAGGCAGAAGCTCCGGGAGCGCTCGGATTGCCGCCATTGGCGTTAAATACGCTGTGTAAGGAGGCGGGCAGCTTTTTCTTGCATGTGGTCCGGTTGGCGGTCGTTTCCGAGAGGTAAGTATCGTCAAACCGCTTTGTTCGTTGTGGTTAAACCTGGGAGCGGCACTTGATGGATCCTTCGTTTCTCATCTGGAGTTATGGTGTAGATGCGTTGGGTTTTCCAACTAGGCAAAATTGTCGATAATTGAGCATTGCGGCCGAATCAGGATTTTGCTCTCGGGTGTCTTCCAGACATATGAGTTTTTTTCTCATCATATTTCAGGGTTTTCGGTTTCGGATCTTCGGCTTCGAATTCTTTCTCTCCAAGGAAAATCGTGTATATCCGAGCGAACAGCGATATCTTTTAACACGTTCCAGCATGTTATCACAATTCATGGCTTCAACGAGCATGGAGCTGATTGAACTTGCCAGGAGGAGGAACATCGTACAAGTTAGATGTGGGAGCACGGATGGGGGGGTTTTTTCGGCCGGTGTTTTACAAATGTAGGGCATAAATATCAGAAAATTTTCAAAACTTTATTGAAAACAAGACACAACCTAAGTTTGACGGTTTGGAATATTGAACGAAAGGATTCTCGGTTCGAGTTTTAGCTCTCAGGGGTATTTCGTGAGAAAGAGGTATGTTGGGAAGTATGGCTCAAGCAAGGGGAAGTTCATTTTCTGTTTCAGGTGATTCAAAATCCCCCAAGCTAGTACATATACTGAGATAGACAGTCAAACGTAGAGTTTACATCGTCTGATTAATATCCACTAGGAATATACGCTCTGTACCCAAATGCATCTGGTTGAGGGTTCTTTATGAGTTCCGGAGAACCACTGCTGTCCTCATCCTTTGCTGCAGGTTTTTCATCCCCAGTTACACCAGCAACTCCAAGTTGCGGCTCTTTCAACTATCTTTGCCCAAATATTTCCTTTTCTTATTCTGCAGACATTGACGGTACACAAAGTCAAATTTTGGATAGAAAAGGTGACGGTGAATTGGCTTCTGATAAAGATGAGGACTGTGCTGAGAAACAATTAAAAGGATCGAAGTCTACAGCAGTTGCAAACAGAATTGAGCCGGCAGTGTCACAGTGCTGGCAAAGCTGTGTGGTGGAATGCCCTGCACGGGAAAGAAGCCAGCCAGTGTCCAGGGGGTCCATGGAAGTTCAGGGATTTCCCGCAGCTCTAGAAATCTCTGCGAATCCTTTGCAGGGGGAAAAGTGGAATAAATCTCGCCGCAAGAGTGCCCATTTTGAAGATTCATTTCCATGTGAGGAGAATTCAAGATTGATTTATATCAATGATCCTGTAAAGACGAATGATCAGTATGAGTTTACTGGGAATGAGATCTGTACCAGCAAGTACACTGTGATTACTTTCCTTCCTAAAAACTTGTTCATCCAATTCCACAGGGTTGCTTATCTTTACTTTTTAGCTATTGCAGCTTTGAACCAGCTGCCTCCTTTAGCTGTCTTTGGTAGAACAGTATCTCTTTTTCCTCTCCTTTTTGTTTTATTTGTGACTGCAATCAAGGATGGGTATGAGGATTGGAGAAGACATAGGTCTGACAGGAAAGAGAACAATAGGGAGGCCTACGTATTTCAATCTGATCGGTTTCAGCTGAAGAAATGGAAGAAAATTCGTGCTGGAGAGGTTGTCAAGGTTTACGCTGATGAAACATTGCCCTGTGACATGGTTTTATTAGGAACTAGTGATCCGACTGGAATAGCATATATTCAGACAATGAACCTTGATGGTGAGTCAAATCTAAAAACAAGGTATGCTCGCCAAGAAACTGTTGTGACTCTAAAGGAGCAACAGTTTTCTGGACTGATTAAATGTGAACAGCCCAACAGAAATATTTACGAATTCGCTGGTAACATGGATTTCAATGGGCAGAGGATTCCACTAGGCCAGTCAAATATCGTTTTACGTGGTTGCCAGCTGAAGAACGTAGATTGGGCTGTTGGAGTTGTTGTATATGCTGGCCAGGAAACCAAAGCAATGTTAAATAGTGCAGTATCACCTTCTAAAAGGAGCAAACTGGAAGGGTACATGAATCGAGAAACTCTGTGGTTGTCAGTTTTCCTGTTCATCATGTGTGCTGTAGTAGCGCTTGGGATGGGTTTATGGCTTGAACGGCATGGACATCAGCTAGATACCCTTCCTTACTATAGGAGGAGATATTTCACAGATGGAAGTAATAATAAAAAATATTACAAATACTATGGCATTGCAATGGAGGTGTTTTTTTCTTTTTTGAGCTCTGTAATAGTTTTCCAGATAATGATTCCGATATCCTTGTATATTACTATGGAGTTGGTCAGACTGGGTCAGTCGTACTTCATGATTGGAGATACACGGATGTATGACAAAAATTCCAATTCAAGGTTTCAGTGCAGATCATTGAATATTAATGAGGATTTGGGTCAGATACGTTATGTTTTTTCTGACAAAACTGGAACACTGACAGAAAACAAGATGAACTTTCGACGAGCCAGTGTCTTTGGAAAAGATTATGGAAAAATCTCGGGCCCAGGCAGCCATATGTTGCAGGGAGTAAGCATTGCGGGTACGCCAATTTGCTTTTCCTAGTTTTCGATGTTGTATTATTTTGGGCTGAGAGATGGCGACCTTAGAAAACCATTGGAATTCTAATATTTGAAAGGAACTGAAAGATAGCATGTATAAACTGATTTCGTTCATAAGAACTATAATTAGTCTGATCTCATTATCCTGCCTTCATTTTTTGCTACATTGATAGTTTATTTTAAAATGAATTTTTGCATATCATTCAAAAATGTTTTAAAAACGAAAACTATTATATTTTAGACACAAATTACAGTGGATTAGAGACAGGAAATCCAGAAAATCTTGATTTTTTATCTCCATTGTGTTACAACTTGAATGCCTTCTTTTGGTGTAATCTGTTTCAAGTCGATTGAGTTTCTTGTGGGGCTTTTGCCTTTTTATTTCTTCATAATCTAATAATCTATCCTTACAAGTTACGCTGTTGCACAGATACGATTTTTGATTTCATTCTAAGGTTCTGGTTGAATTGGGAAATGCTGTTTAATATTCAGTTGTTTACACCCATCAATAGGGTAGTTATTTATCCTTCCTTTTTATTTGGCTTCTTATGAGAGAAATGCGTTAATCAACTTTATTTCAAAAAAAATGGTCCTTATTTAAAGCATTACCGCATGCCTGTATCATTGTCCATGATTTTTATAGGTATAAGGTAAATTAACCAGAAGGTGGACACATTGCTTTTTTAATGGTTGATGGCATCTCTGGGAGAAAATTAATCAGTTTTGTGCTAATCTGGCTTCTTTTAGGAAGATACTGGGTCTGAAGGCACGAACAAGATTGAAAAAGTTGCTTTAATATTTTTCAGGATGTTATGCTCATTCAGGTCTGATTTTGGCCGTCATAGGTTAGGTCAACAGAATGACGCTCGCTGGGATTGGCTTTGACTACTCCCCATCCGCTAGTGTTAAATTAATGGATCGTGTTGAATTCAAATAGTTGCTCTGATGGTTTTTCGGTTTATTGTGCCGAATTTTCATCAGGTACCTGTTATCAATTTTGCTTGTAACAGAGCAGTACTATATCTTTATTACCGGTCAAGCACCCTCTCATTTTCCTTTTTTCTGTTTATTTTTGTGACTATTATTCAAGAGGACAACCAGACTGTGGCTGGGATGCCCCCCGATAACAAATAATTATAATTCTTAGTCTTCAGAGATATGAGGCAGCAGCTAATCATTCACAGATAAGCCATGATGTTAGCTGCTTGAAGCATGCTCTGAAAGGTTCCTGCATTGCATTGAGCTCTCGACTGATTTCCATTAAGTAAAGGACAAGGGAAGAAGTTGGTTTTCCAATAAACTTGTCCTTGTTTGCATGGTGACACTAAATGGTGCATTAAAACTGATAAATTAAAAGCCAGATTGTGCAGTCTGGTTGCTCTTTCTCAAGCTCCGATAGCTGATCAGGAACCAGCTTGTTCTGACTTTCTGTGGACGGCTTTCACCAATTTCAGGCTTTGTTGGTGGAAAATAAAAGCAAAAAACCACCAATGGAAAAAGGCTTTTAGTTTTGGTTGATTCTTTGTCCCCTCTTCCATTATTTTTTCAGCATGAAAATGTCAGAAAAAGTGGTCGGTGCTGATCTAAATTGGAATTGATCATATCTGATCTGATTTCAAGGGCGAAATCCAATCACCTCTTAAAATAACATAAAATAAAATAAAAGGATGGAAATCATCTGAGTTCTCACTTGGTTTAGTCAGTTACCTATGGGATCGGACCTCTTAACTGATAAATATGAGGCACGCTAGTGGATGTCTGGGGTAGAAGAGCGGAGGAAGAAGAGGTGAGAACGGGAAAAAATAAGCTGATGTTGGCAATCCTAACACAATTGCCAAGCTAACTGCCGCATGCTGCTAATTGTTTTCCCCACGTTCCCCCTCATTGCACGTCTGTTCCTGAGTATAGACGGGGAATATCAGACAGTGGGGCTTCGCAAGGGGTATCCTCGGGGTTGGGTATTTGTCAAGAAGCCTTTTTAGAAAATGTTAACTGTTGTTATACTCATTGTATATGCTGATTGAGAGCCCGACCCATGATGTGCTAGTTCCATGAGCTAATGAATGGTACAATCACATCAATAGTAAAGAGTCACACATGTGCTTTAAAATCACAATGGAGTATCTTCAAATCAAGGCCTTTTCCTGACACCGGTCCTTGTCTATGGTTGTAATCTTACTTGGATGACCATACCCCTGAGCCAAGCCTTAATCATCTGGAAGTGGTGTGAACAGTTCCTTCGTTGACACATCAAGAGGGGTGTTCCTTCCCATCTTAAAGATTGTCCTTAAAGACCAATAAAGACTGATGCCAGCTAGAACCCTGGTAGCACGTCAGTTTTCGTAAGAAGTTCAATTTTATTTCGTCTTTTCTATCAATTTTGATTGTGCTTTTCCATCTCAATGTAGATTAGATGTTTGGGTCCATTGAAATGCACGCACACATAAACATGTTACATGGAAGATGTTATGAATGGTCCTCTGCCTCTTAATGACATTTTATTTACCATTTTGCATCCTTCACAAGCTGGAATGAACTCAGAGGCTTTATCTTTCCATTCTGTTTTCCTTCTCATTACATCTGCTCATGCTTCTCATCCGAGCTGCATGATTGCTTGGTAACTCGTTGTTGTTGTGAAAAGACCACTTCTTCTTTACTCCAGAAGATAGAGTTTGGAACCCCACAATCTACTACTCCCATTTATCTAGTCATTGGCTTTTATAAACTCCCAGTATTTCAAACTACTTGTAAGGAAATCGTATGACCTGGATTACATATCTTTGGATTAAAATCGTCCCTTTTCTAATATATTCAGTAGTGCAGCTAGATCATAAATTAATTATGTGTACCTTTGTTTCTGCCATTACTTATCCTTTTCGTACTTTTTCCCTAATTTTTTCCTTGTTTTTGTTAGAATAGTTTATATTCTTATTAGAGCAGTATCAAGTTTATCTATATTTGGGTTTATCAATTAGTGCAGTATCAAAATAATTTATATAGAAATTCTATGCAATAACTACCGACTTTTCCAAATTTTAAAATTATTTGGAGCTTGTTAGTTACTTTGATCTAAACATTTTAAACATGACTTCATTGTGGCTTTTCTTTGTCTAAATTCTGTGCAGGAGTAATTGGAAGACGCAGGTGGAAACTCAAGTCAACTATCAATGTTGATCTTGAACTTGTTGCCTTATTGCACAAAAATCTGGCAGATGAGGAAAGAATCTCCGCGCATGAATTTTTCCTCACCTTGGCTGCCTGTAACACTGTGATTCCAATTCTGTGGGGAAATTCATCTTATGCCAATAGTGAGTTTCTGGACGAGGCAGAAACCATTGACTATCAAGGGGAGTCTCCCGATGAGCAGGCGTTAGTTGCTGCTGCGTCAGCTTATGGCTATACCCTTATTGAGCGTACATCTGGGCATATTGTTGTTGATGTGAATGGGGAGGAACTAAGGTGGTGTATTCCTAGTATCTCATCATATTGATGCTGTACTGCTTTTTTTGGTATTGTAAATTATATCAGCACTGTCGTTTCTCTCAGAATGTCTCTTGTTTGTGCAGGTTGGATGTTCTGGGACTGCATGAATTCGATAGTGTACGCAAAAGAATGTCTGTGGTTATTAGGTTTCCCAATAGTTCTGTAAAGGTTCTTGTTAAAGGAGCCGACAGTTCAATGTTTAGCATTATTATGAAAACAACTGAAAAGACTGATGAGGGATACAGAGAGTCATTGGTTGGCATAAGACGTGCAACAGAAAATCATTTGCTCGATTATTCGTCTAAGGGCTTGCGTACACTTGTAGTTGCTGGGAAGGACCTTACTGATTCGGAGTTCACGGAATGGCAGAGTAGGTATGAAGATGCCAGCACTTCATTACATGAGAGGGCAACAAAGCTCCGTCATACTGCAGCTCTGATTGAGTGCAATCTAAATCTTCTTGGGGCCACTGGAATTGAAGATAAATTGCAAGATGGTGTACCTGAGGCTATTGAATCTCTTCGGCAGGCGGGAATTAAAGTCTGGGTCCTCACTGGAGACAAACAAGAGACTGCAATTTCAATTGGCCTCTCGTGCAAATTATTGACTCCGAGCATGCAACAAATTATTGTCAACGGCACATCAGAGGATGAATGCAGAAGGCTATTAACCGATGCTAAGTCTAAATATGGAATAAAACTTGTAAATTTCAGAAACAGTTGTCCGAGAATGAAGAATCTTCAGAACTCTTATCCGGACATCTCTAGTAACGCCAAGACTTCCGATATCTTGATGCATGAAATCGAACAAACTAGAAGTGCCAATGACATCGTAGAGTTTCATGAAGAAGGTTTGATGGGTTCTGTCGATGGTCCACTAGCGCTAGTAATTGATGGAAACAGTCTTGTTTACATTTTAGAGAAAGACCTTGAACAGGAGGCATGTTTCTTCACTTTCTTTAGAAAAAAATATTTTAATAATTCTACATTTCTGTTTCTGCTGTGATGTTTGCCTGATTAAGATTTTTGAATGTCTGGATTCTCATCGTTCTTCGTTTATTTTCTTGAACAGCTTTTTGATTTGGCAACATCCTGTAGAGTGGTAATCTGCTGTCGTGTTGCTCCTTTACAAAAAGCGGGTATTGTTGATTTGATAAAAAGCAGAACAAATGATATGACTTTGGCCATCGGTGATGGTGAGTTGAACTGGTCAATTTAAACTGTTCCTATTCTGTCTTCGTCTGCTGGTGTAGAATTAATGTCTGGTAATTTTTGCGTATGGTTCCTACCATGTACTGTTGGAAGTTGATAGTTACCTTTGCAGCACCGTCACTTGATGTGTCATGACTTCATACTCAATAGGTTTTTGTTAGAAAATCATGATCTGTGATGTGTGTATGGAATAGTGATTTGGCCAAGGTCCTATCAAATTTGCTGCTCTAGTGTGATAATAGTGGAGAAATTGTTGCAGTCGTGGTTTTATGACCGGGATGAATAAGATGCCCTGATTAAGAACCGGAGTAACAGACAATTCAAAATGAGTGAAACCATACCAATGGCGACATTTTATGGTGGAATACATAGATTTTTTCTCTCTCAAATTTCTGATTGTAGACAAGATAATCTGGGGATGAAGAAGTAGCTAAAAGGGTGCTAACTTGCTCTTCATATGCTGGAATGGAAAAAACGGTGAAATAGTCTTGCTCTCATTATTAGCGATTTCTAAACCTCCAATTTTCATATGCTGGAATGGCTCCATGTTATTGTGGAATACATAGATTTTTTTTCTCTCAAATTTTTGATTGTAGACGAGATAGTCTGGGGATTAACAAGTAGTTAAGAGGATGCTAAGTTGCTCTTCATATGCTGGAATGGAAAAAATGGTGAAATAGTCTTACTCTCATTATTAGCGATTTCTCAGATCTCCATTTTTTTTTCCCATTGGGACTCCATTTCCTTCACTCGGTAGGTATATAAAATGTGCACGTGAACATGCACTTGCACACTACACTCCTTCCAATCTTGGTCCCTCATTCTGTAGCTGTCTTCTCCGTACTTATGTTCCCTCAAGCTTCTTGAAGTTCTACACTTGTGGTCATGCAGATTTGATGTTGCCACTTGGGCGAAGTTCACCCACACCTTGGTGGATCTGACTGATCCTCGTAGATGGTAAGGCACACGAGGATTCATAGATTCGAGTTTATGGATAAATATGTGGTCCCAGCAATTATCCTGTACTGGAAAATTGCCATAGCAGACAGGAATCAACTCTTTGGTTTAATTTGAAAACATAATTGTGGTTATCGGAACTCTAGTTTGGTAACAACTTTTTATTTTTGTTTTAGAATCTACTTAGTTATCATAAATGCAACTGCAGTTCCCATCTCGAAACCCCCTCATCGTTGATTACAGTTCTTAGCTGTGTGAAAAATGTATGTCGCTCAGTTAACACGGTTTCTTTTGCCATAACGTTGAAAATGTCGCATTAAACATTGCTTAAGTACTTCATTTGCCTTGTGGCTTTATTCTGCTGCATTCTCTCTTCCTTAAGTACTTCAACTAATCAGAGTTCACAACAAGTACAACCATCTTAAATGGAGAAATTGATAGTCTATAAGAAATATTTCTAACAATTGATATGCCCGCCAAATGGAAAGTCGGATAGTTGCTGATCTGTTCTCCTGGTTTTGTACCTGGCATCCTTGTAAGGGGGATAGTTGCTTCTTATTTGCATATTTTCTTGGGTTATTTAAAATTGGAGCTCATACAAACTAGCTGTTGCTTCATGTCGAAGTTGAGCAAGATCAAGTGGGTCCAGGAATCAGAAACCATGAACAAGAACATTGAGTTAAACGAAAGAGAGGAGAAGATATTTATTCATTTTCAACATTCACGGAGAAGATTTAAAGAAATGGAAAACAGGGCTACCTAAATTTTCGGCAATATTATTGACACATGATAAAAAATTTCTAGGGACTGTAATGCTCTGATATTCTGTCATGCTTGAATCTGCAAATTATAGCAGCGGTAGGCTCCTGTAACGAATTATTTGTGTTTGCATACTCCCCCCCTCCCCACATATTTTAGTTACAAAATAAAAAGACGTGGATCAAAATGAGACTCAGAAGTGAGAAAGAGATTCTTACCGTAAGATTTGAAGTAAGACGTTCGAGGTTAGTTGAAAGAGAAATTTGTACAAATGAATACTGCTCTTAGATTTTCGGCAATGAATACATGCCAATTGATAAGTTTTGGCTGTGACAATTTTTTCTCTTTTTCCTTGGAAGAAATCAAAATGATTCCATTCTAGACATTGAGGGATCCTTTCCCACGGGATATTTATGTAATCTGGTGCAACTCATGGCTGAGATTGAATGCGGGATATAAAAAGAGTGAGTTGAATGGAGTATTTTCCGTGTCTTCTTACTTCGTCCTTGTATATGACTGATTCCTCTGGATTAATTTTCACTTCATTTGAATCTTCCAAACACGGGAAGGTTTGAGGTATAATTAATATTTTTCTTCATTTTTATGTTTAAAATTAAATTTCTTTGCATTCCTGGGAAATGATGTTGGCAGGTGCGAATGATGTTTCAATGATCCAGATGGCGGATGTTGGTGTTGGAATAAGTGGACAGGAAGGTCGTCAGGCAGTAATGGCAGCAGATTTTGCCATGGGGCAGTTCCGCTTTCTAAAAAGACTGCTTCTTGTTCATGGACACTGGAATTACTATCGCGTAGGCTACTTAGTTCTGTACAATTTCTACAGAAATGCTGTTTTTGTCCTGATGCTATTCTGGTATGCACTGTTCAAACCTCGTTCCTGTACTACTTCTTTACTCGTAGAGAACAATCTTAGGAAATGCTGGTTGCCTGCAAAGTGCGGAATTTCTTTGAGATCATGTTTGCTTCAATTTTTCTTCTTCCATAGCTGCAGTATGGCTTTATTTTCATGGTCTCCCTCTAATCGCCCATGGCGTCTCCCCTTCACCAGGGCTCTAGCTCAGCTTCGTAAAGTTTGATGTTTGGTTCTCAGTAACTGCGCACATAAATCTGAACCTTCATTTTCTCCGCTAGGTCTTCTGTTTCTGGCAGCTGAAGGCTCTTAACTTATTTGCTTTCTTCGTAGTTATCTCTTTAGTATTTGATAACCAGAGGGCCAAGACCTATGATGGCTATGCTTCAGGTTGCATTGATGGAACTTGTCCCTCTTCTCTGATCTCCAGGTTCATATTATCCACCGCTTTCTCCACGACCTCTGCTTTGACGGATTGGAGCAGTGTGTTCTACTCCGTGATCTACACGTCTGTCCCAACAATAGTGGTGGGCATCTTGGACAAGGACTTGAGCCACCGGACGCTGCTGCGCTACCCGAAGCTCTATTGCTCAGGGCACCGACACGAGAGCTACAATCTGCGCCTCTTCTGGATCACAATGCTCGACACCTTCTGGCAGAGCCTGGTTCTCTTCTATGTGCCGCTCTTCACGTACAGGAACAGCTCCATTGACATCTGGAGCCTCGGCAGCCTGTGGACTATCGCTGTCGTTGTCCTTGTCAACGTCCATCTGGCGATGGACATCCAGCAGTGGGTTTCGATCACCCATATTGCGACATGGGGCTCCATCATCATCACTTATGCCTGCATGGTGATATTGGATTCCATTCCCATTTTTCCTAATTACTGGTTAGTATCCCCCATCAATCATAATTCTTCTTGTTGAAATAATAAAACCAGTTACCTTTATTGGCACTAATGCATGTTTTGTGTTCATCTCTTAGGACGATATACCATTTAGCTAAGTCGGAGACGTACTGGCTCATGATTATGCTCATAACGATCATCGCTCTGCTCCCTCGATTTCTCTGCAAGGTCGTCCGACAGCTGCTGTGGCCTTCGGATATTCAGATAGCTAGAGAGGCCGAGATACTGGGCAAGTTTCCCAATCACCTGAGGTCGAGCCAGGACCAAGATTCCAGCTGACCCTTATTTGCCAAGTGTAAAGTCAACGCTTTTTCTAAATGGGGCATCAACATCATCATCATACGACTTGATGATATCAGGCATCGACGACTGCCCAGTAAGTCAGCCATATTTTCTTATTCGTGGCTCTGATTGCTGCTAGGCCGAGATCTCAGCACTTGGTGCCTTTTAGATGAATTAAAGTTCACTTCGTGCAGTACCCTTTAGATGAAATGCATGTCGAAGTCAGGGATCAGACGGCGGTGGGGAATCTAAACGGCCAAAGGCAGTTGAACATTCCCCCACAAGACTCTTTAAAACGGTTGATAGTTCATGTGGTCAACCCCAGGTGCAATCACACCTTGGAGAAAGATGAGGGGAAGGGAAAAACTGAATATATACGGATCGTTGAAACCATTGTTTCCCCCCAACTTTTCCTTGTATCATCTTCTGAAAATGGGTTTGAATGATGCTTGAAGTGATGGAAAACCCTCTGCCGTATAGCGGATGATAGAAAGTTGCGGAATTCCTTCAGGCTCCTGATGTTGAACTTTGTGTAGAAATTGTACATCTATGAGGATTCCATACCCATATTGGGCCTAACCTGTGACTTCATTTTATTTTCATATTTCTCATTCAACCGATTTTGGTGGAATTATTTGCTTTTTTGTGAAGGCTAGGCGATATGTGTTGGGTTCCTAGGAGTCCTGCACTCCACACCAAACTCTATGAACATTTCTACTGAATAGTTAGAGAGAGAGAGAGAGAGAGAGAGAGAGAGAGAGAGAGAGAGAGAGAGAGAGAGAGAGAATTTCGACTGAATCTTATTAACGGTTTCTGATGATGAGGTGGTCTTGTTTCTGGTAGCTGACGACGTTCAGGACCTTTTTTTTTAAGAAAAAAGGAGTGGGTCGACTAATTTCTCAGCTGGAATCATTCAAGTGAGGGAATCACTATGCTATTCCTTTGGGAGAGGTTTCACACCAGCAAACCCTAACGAACACATTTCACATTTCATGTCCTGACATTGCTATCACTCGGAGTCAAGCACAGCTGATGACCGAAAATGGAAAATATATAATCTATTATTTTCCAATGATCAAACAATGATGTCTTTGAAATACCCAACGAGTTGGCACCTAAAATGTCGTCAAAAGTATTTGTTATTCGAAGTTCAGCTTAACCATGAGAGGGAAAGGAGGTGATGGGTGAAATCCCCTCCGCCCTAGCCGGCCTTCTCTTTACATTTTACGAGATTAAGGAAATAGTGGTGAGCGGAAAATCCCATCTATCTATCTATCAGCGTATGTTTCCTCTGAAAAAGCTCACGAGAATCGAGAGTGAGAGGGGGGGCAGTCAGCATGCCATTCATGTCTCTATGACGTAAGGCGTGAAGCTCGGTGTGTTATTACAAGTAGAACAGCCGGTGAGTTGAAAAAAATCGGAACGTTGGCTGACGATTTTTCTGGGCTTATCGCTTTAGATTCAACTTGGGAGGAAAAGCATTCTCGACTCGCCTCGGTGTGATCTCTGTCAGGGCCACGCTTTGAGCTGCGGAGAGTTTTTGCCCATAGGGCCAGAACCTTTGGCAGCCGTGTGTTAATACCACAGTCCGTCATTCTCCTCTCAGCAACGTTTCTCTGTCTGTCTGTCTGTCTCATGCTTATGGAAGGCCTGGGCAGGAGCCAGTTTCTGAGATTTTTTCAGGGTTTCTTGGGGTTGACGGGGAACAGCCCAGCGCGGTCAAATTAATGGAGGAGGGGTCGGAAAAAGAATTGAGTTTCCTTTTCCTTGTTAAAGTCAACGCCACAAAGCGCACCCTGGGCCTGAGAACGGAGCTACATATACACCTGCCTGCCGGTGTCTAAGCCGTTGGATCTCTGGGATTCGGGCTGTACCGCCAGACCCTGATACGAACGCACCCGGGAGACGCGAGCGGGCTGCTTCTATATACGCCGAAAGGGAAACCCCATTCTCCTCGAGATAACAGAGGAAACAGAGAAGGATGTCTTACGTTCCTCCCCACCTTCGCGCAGCAGCAGCTGCCTCCACTGTGGATGCCTCCGCGAATTACCGCACCACTACGCCAAAACCCTCTGCCAGATTCCTCGAGTCCGACGGCAACCCTAGGAGCACGGCAGACTCTTTCTCTTACTCTGGTCGTCGTTCGGGTGGCGTCGCTCAGCCGACGAAGGCCTTCCCCGAGCCGGCCTTTGGGAAGTGGCAGCCTTCCGATCGGGTGCTCCGTCTCACACCTGAACAGGTGAGTGGCTTGCAATGTTTCTGCACCCAGCAGCCGGCTTTCGTCGGGTTCTTGCCGGACGTTCTTCCAAAGGACCACGGTCGACACTTTTGCGTTCATACTGCTTTCCAATGCGCTTCCTGTTCCATTCTCATCCTTAAAAAAATTTCGTGCGAGTCGTAACTGGGTTTGTGACCGTGTATACGTTTGCGTCTTCTCCATCCTAATATTTCATTCCAACGTTGGCATCGACCTTGTTAGTCATCTCTCCATGATCAGCCATTAGTTTTTATGTATGCTCCATGTATATGAATAGGAAACCGGTCGCTTTTTTTTCAATCTGTACTCGACCCGTTTCTTTAAATCTGCGTGGCTGACTGGTGAAACATGTCCAACGTTAAGACGAGGCAACTTATGTTACCCATTCATGCTAGACTGGTTTTTCACTTGAAAACGAGAACCATACCATTCGGTCATTGCTTTCTTATGCTAGTGTTGGGAATGATGGAGGATTTTCGGGGTGCACACTGTGTTGTACGGTGCTGATTGTACTCTGGACACTTGGTTTAGTGAAAACACTGTTTCATGCACTCCAAATCTCCTTTTATGTATGATAAATGTTATATTTAGACTTATTAGGCGTGTCTCTGACAATAGCTAATGTCGATTGAGCAAGAACCTAACTCTGACCGACTTAATTGCTTAGGAGACTTGAAATCGCCTCCATATACTTTTAAAAATGCTGCACCATTTGGTTTTTAAAGTCCGGAAAAGAATGTGAAGGTAGGGTTCCCAGAATATATAGTTGAATATATGATGCATTGATCGTCGAAGAAAATTTCCCAGAAAAAGCTGGCATGTTTCAAATAAAACCATAATTGGTGCCAGGAACGTTGACCTGGAAGAAGTCATAAATTCGTTGTGACGCTCTCTAGTTTCTTGTAAAAGCTTTTTTATTAAATGATGATTTTATTTTAGGTAAGGTGAGGAAGTTAGTTTTAATCAAGCCGTTGCATACTTAGCGCCACCCCTCCCAGGCTTTTCTAGACAAGATAACTTTCCATTTCATCTGTAGCGGCCGTGAACATTGTAAACAGCATAAATTTCCGTTTCACCCTTAAACCACTCTTCCCAGATGTTTTCTTTTCAAGGATTGGAACTGATGTATAATATTTAATCCATAGTAGCTATAGACTTGTTGTAAGCCTTTTGATGAAACATAACTTTATTAATAAATGTTACAGATAGGAACAATTGCCCTTTTTATATTTCCCCATCAAATTTTGTGTAAAAAAGATTTTTGGCCTTTTTTGCTGGGATGTTAATAAGAGATATTTAGCGGGTCTTTCAGATACACAGGATTTCAGCAACTAGCTGATTTCTTCAAAGTGACTGTTGATACTCTGGGCATTCTTTTTGCTGCCCATACACCTAGTCAAATAACTAAGACAATAATCTCAAAATTATTACTGTGAAGAGTTTTTTTTCGCGTTTCTTTCGTTTGTTGATAAATCATCTGAAACATCAAAAAAGTAAGGTTTACTTTTCTGCCGATGCCTGTTTTACGATTTATGAGTTCGCTTTTTATCGATTTTTTTATCAGAATGTCTATACCGATCAGTGAAAACGCTGATCAGAACACTTCCTTGTAAAATTTGTTAAAATTAATGTCTCGTCCAATGGATGATTTCAGATTGATTTCATTGCGAATAGACTTCCATATTTCGAAGTAAATTTTCTTCATTTGGAAAGTTTCCAATTCCAATAAAATGTCTACAATTTGTCTGTGGAAACCTTGGTATATTTAATTTCTTCTGAGGAAAAATATTATGCCAACGTTTCTTTCTTCATTTAGGTGATGGAATTTTGGCTGTGATCCACAATGAACAAGATCATATGTTATTTTCTCACAAAATTGCATTTTCTGGGATTTTTTAGATTGAAGAAGTACGTTTGCGGCTAAATGTTGATGTTACAGTTTCCCCCGATTCTCCTTCCGCATCAGCCCCAATTGAATCCTTTTCGGATATGGTAAATTTCACCATTTTCCTTTTGGGTTCATGTTATTCATTGCTGTTTGTTGATAGTTCATGTCCGTAGGTAGCTGTTTCTTATTGTTAGACTAATGTATATCATCTTTTCTGCAGTGTTTGCATCCCAGCATCATGAAGGATATTGCGTACCATGACTACACTAGACCAACTTCTATTCAGGCACAAGCTATGCCTATTGCTCTTAGTGGTAGGGATATCTTAGGTTGTGCTGAAACTGGGAGTGGGAAAACTGCTGCTTTTGCTATTCCCATGATTCAGGTTTACATATTTCTCCATTGTGGCTTATCACAAATAGACATTTTTCGATTTGGTTTATCTTGTCTTTCTTGCTACCTTCATCCCTTCTCATTTTGGTCACTTGACGTTCGCAGCATTGTTTGGGTCAACAACCTATTCGGCAGGGTGATGGACCTATGGCATTAGTTTTGGCTCCTACCAGAGAACTGGCCCAACAGATTGAAAAAGAGGTATGAACTTTTTCACCCGCTCTCTGGGATACTTGTTCTCAAGAATGACATGTAACATTGTCAACATGTTCTGAATATCAAATGAAAAATGTTACATGTTCTGAATATCAAATGAAAACCCTGAAGAAACTTTAGAGGAAAGGAACATTCGCTAAAATATGAGAAAAATGAAAAGACAACCAACCAGAAAATGCAGATACTATTTTTCATTCTACTCATTAAACTGGATACTGAGGTTTGTCATGCTATGTTGCTTAACTTAGACTACCTTTATACTCACTTTGGAAATTTACTTGCTATTGGTTTTGTTTTCACGTGTCTTTTCTTTTTCCATCTCATCTGTCACCCAGGTTAAGGCCTTTAGTAGATCACTGGAGAAGTTCAGGACTGCTATAGTAGTTGGTGGAACGAACATTGGGGAGCAGGTGATCTTGGCGATGCTTTGTGTCTACCTTTAACTTATTTCTTTGGCAAACTTTATGTTCCGAACAAATTTTAATGAAATTTCATGACAAGAAAGTTTGAAACTAAAGTTACCTTGGTACGGTGACTGCGGAGATTAGTGCTTTTCCTGTCGCAGTGGGAAAGTACAACTGAAATACCTTTTTAGTACTAGAAAAATCTATTGATGACTTTATATGAAGTGTCCACACCATATATGATGCTTCCTACCATAAAGGTTCTGCTTCTCATCATCTTTATAAAGTTCATTATATCTTTTCTTTATAATGTTTTTTCTTTAATTTTTATTTTTATTTTCTTATTGTTGGACCAGAGGGCTGATCTAAGAGCGGGGGTCCAAATTGTGGTTGCAACCCCAGGAAGGTTTATTGACCATTTACAGCAAGGGAATACGTCCCTTTCAAGAATATCATTTGTTGTCCTTGATGAAGCTGACAGGATGCTAGACATGGGTTTTGAGCCACAGATTAGAGAGGTATTCTGCACCAAATTTTCCGTTAGCATATATTTATTATTTCTTATGCTAGACAATGATGCCCCAAGAAGGTATCCTATGTATGAAAAGTTCAATATGCTGGAAATGAACCTATGTATCCTCATAGTTAGTGACCCGCAACTCTGTTTTCCCTGGTCTCTTTCAAAAGAAAAATACTTGGTGCTTTTCGTTCAACGAATTGTATTTGTCCCAGTTAACCCAAACCACAATGATGTGGTTCGGTGCAACAAATGGTGTAATGAATACTAGCTTAAGATAGAATAATACCTTCCTCGACGTTTATACCTTTCCTCTTTTGCAACAATAAGGCAGGTGGGAAAACTTCCTATGACACCGATTTTTTGCTGACCTGTGCTGTATTGGCTTTTTTTGGAAGTGTAGATTGGCTGTTCTGGCTGGGATTTTCGGATTCTAGCTGAATGAATTGATTCAGATGGCAAGTCCTGTTTGAGACTATCGTCAGCAAAGGACATAGAACGTTTATAATCTATGCTGTATGATGGACCTTAAGGAAATGTTGAAGCCATATTTCTGTCCTCTTTGAGAGCCCGAAATTGAAGAGCATGGAGTTTTTAGAATTATTTGGTCGTTGGCTCATGTGGGATGAGAATATTGTGTTAAATTGGAGAAAAAGTTTCAGCACATGCTCTTGGACAGATGCTTGAGTCTAGGCGGCAATTTTTCAGGTCATTTACTTCTATAACAAAGAAGCTAATGGGATATTTTGGTTTATCCTTTTTCTTTTCTTTTCTTTTCTTTTGGTGTGGGGGGGGCACGCGATCGCTTGGTCTATCTTATCCTTTGTTCTTTACGTTATTAATGTATTGGTGGTACATTACCGTCTTCCCTCAAAATGAAAAAGCATAAAGGACCCGTTCTAGGCAGCAATTTCTGGGTTAGTACTGTCCTAACAGAGACGGAGAATCCAAGTATTCTACAGAATCCAAATGTGTAAATTATTCTGTCATGCATGAAATTTGTTTGATGCCTTTGCATCATATTAATCTTTGATTGGCCACTTTTATGTGATTAGTCCTTTTTGTGGAGTTCACAACTTTGAGATGCTGCCAGCTAACACCTTACGTATGTTTCCGGAAAAACTCTGCTTTGTGGTAATGCAATGATTGGCTGATTATGTTCATCCAAACGCAGGAAATTTTTATCAATGGTTTTATCAATTAGAGATGACCTGACAATGACTGAAGAATGTTGAAGAAAATAATTAGTAGATATAAGTAGAGAGGTCTTTGAGAAGATCAAAAAGGATAGAAGATCTGGTGTATGATGTGGTTAATTGGATGTAATGCTTGACTGTATCCTTTCTATAAACAAGCAAGGACTGAAGGAATTGCTGGAAGATGGTCTAGCTTTTGTATTTGTATTATGAATGAAGCTTTAGGAAATGTTTTCTCCAGCAATTATCAGACTAGGCTTTCATTTTAAGCGCCATTCTGTGGATCCGTTGGATGCTGTTGCAGAACAGTAGAAGGCTATGACGCCCTCACTGTGTCTGAGGGTCTTATCTCCCCTCCAAATACGCATCTTGTTTATCTAAGAAAACTTCATTAGTATAAAAGCTCTATATGCAAAAGAGTTCTGAAAATGGTTTTCATGTAAGTTTTTAAGTAAAAGCATGTTTGCAATTCAACAGTTATTTTTTTATCCTTCCTTTCTTTTTTTCTTTTTTGTGCATTAATGTTTTTTTCAGCATTTGGTCAAGATATATTATGTTCTGTTATTCCTCGACGCATGTTTCCCTGCTTCCATTTCGATAGCTTGTTTAAGCTCAGTATCATGCAGCATGTACTGCATATTTGTTGCGATTTTTCCTTTTTGCATCACTGCAGAAGTTCTGGAGCCCTTATGAGGCAAGTTTAATCCATGAGGCAGTCGTTTATATAATCTGAGGTTGTGTTTTATGTTGTTGTATTCAGATAATGCGGAATCTCCCTGAAAAGCACCAAACATTGCTGTTTAGTGCAACTATGCCGATAGAAATTGAGACACTTTCTCAGGTGAAAAAGTACAGATGTTTTTTATGTACAATTTTTGTTTTATTTTTGATGTACATAGTCAGTGTCATTATTATGCCAGTGGGAACTGGGTCACTTACTTTATTAGCTTTATCCCCCTCCACTTAATATTTCCATTCTTCTCTGATCAAGATTTCGTAGGGGTCAGTCCTGTAAAGTTCTGTTCACACTTGAACTTAGTTTAGCATTACGGATGTTTTATTCTGAACGCCAAGGGAATTATTAAATCTAATTGTGTTGTGACTGTTATTTTGCCGATGGTATCGTTATAATCTTTATGCAGAGCATCTGAGAATTGAGAAGTGTTTATAGAGAAGATTGGTGACGTCCATACTTGGCTCACATAAGCTCTAGCTGCAGTACAATTGGCGCATTAAGTTTTGAAACCCCCAAATGGATGAGTTCATGCCTGACCATTGGGCAATTTTTGAAAATCATCCTTCTCTTCAGCCTATAAATTAGTGGGTCGTTTTATGTCCCTGGTCCACAGCATAAGGGAGCTTCTTAGTGAACGCGCTCATGTAAAAGATCACCGAAAAGAACACGATTTTGATAACCCGGCTTATGGATTTCTATGTTGGGGAGCAGATGTAATCAAAACATAAAAGAGGCCACGCATAGAGTAAGAGGATTACATTTTCTGTCTTCAGGTCTGTATTCTCCTGCTGAAACTCCAGTTGGTCTTGCAAGATGTTTATGAATCTCGGACTTGCTAATTCCTTTAAAAAGTTGGGAGGAATGGGATTTTAGTGAATTTTAAGTTGAAGTAAAACATTGGTTAATCCTACGTCTCAGTTATCTGGGTATTTGGCGTCATCTGATTCATTATCACACATATTTAAGTTTTTTGCTGCGTCAGATGAAATCCTAAGTATCATGGGATGTTTTCTGATCTCTAATCATTTAGCCAGAAATAAGTTGGAATGGATTTGACAAATGGCATTGGATAAATTAAACTTTAGCTTGCTGTTTTTTATTTCAATAACAGTTTGATTCAGTTGTCTATTCTAGGAATACAGCTCTCAGATAGCCTGTACACCTCAATATAATGAACGAACTGGTCGGAATGTAGTTTGACCTTTTGAAAACATCTCCATTGCTACGCAGTTGACTGGCCATATATTCGATGCAGTTTCCTGTGTTTCTATTTCATTATGAGTAATATTATTCTGTGTGAAAATTGTGTATCTACTAGGTGATTGATTGGTTTTAACCTTCAAAACTAGAAAAGGTCGGGATGTTACACTCCTTTCCTGGGTAATTTATCTTCATTGAATGTCGTTGACAACATTTTTCAGGAGTACCTGAAAGACCCAGTTCAAGTAAAGGTGGGGAAAGTCAGTAGCCCGACAGCAAATGTGTCGCAAGTTTTGGATAAGGTTGCCGAAAATGAAAAGGTTTGGTTTCTCCAAAAACAGATCACTACTCTTTTTTTTTTACTTTTCAACACTTGATTAAATCTCTTGAATGTTTTGTAGACTGCTTTTTGGGTGAAAAACATGAGGATACCTTAAACAAACGTGTAAGGTAGATTTCGCAATGTTTTCTTGACATGTGTTTCATGGGAAAGTCATTTGAAGATGTACTGAAGCGAGAAAAGGAGTAATAGACGAGAGAGTGACAATTTTATTTTCCAACCTGCATTGCTTGGAAGGACATTTTCCTCCCATATTCTTTCAATTATTTAGGAATCATAGTGCATCTGAAACATATTCCCAGGTATTTATTTTGAAAAATTTTATGGCTCTGGTAGTAAGGCTACTCCTTTCATCTGCCATATTTCTGAACACTGCTGTCTGACAATTGCATACATTCTCTGCTCATCATCTCTCGTCTGGCATGCCATCATCATGTATCTTTGAAGATTCTGTACGATTTTCGTTCGAAGGCAGCCAAAATGTTCAAGCAAAGTAGAACCCATTTTTTTGAGATAATTAATGATCGTTTATGTCTATAGTCAGATGCAATATCTTCCTCCTGTTGTTCATGGGAAACATCATTTTGCCCACTGGATGCTCCTCAAGATGGGTTTTGATGTGAATTTGGCAGAAAAGATCCATCTTTGACTGTGGACAGCTCTTTCCGAAAGACGTCTTCTCAACATGTGCTTATGATTATATAATGCAGCTGTTTTGTTTTTTCAGATCGACGGGCTCCTGTCATTGCTGGTGGAAGAGGCCTCTCAGGCTGAAAAGCTGGGTCATCCGTTTCCTCTTACCATTGTTTTCGTGGAGCGGAAGGTATTTTCTCTATGTGAACTTCTTGGAAGTTGTTATCTGGGTTGGATCCTGCTCTTGCAATTCTCCATGTTTGGACTTTTTGCCTTTCCGTCCAGTCAATCCGTGTCGATCAGTTTTAGTCAGAGATGTCCGTCAAAAATCTCACTTCAGTTTGGAAATGACGGATGTTTGGAGAATACTCATTCGCTCATGTGTATAGGCTTTCTCTTGCTTCTTCACACACTTCTTTTTCAAGCAACTTTTGATAATCCCCTCAGCCCCTGTGAATCTGTATGTCCGTCTTCCACTTTTGTCCATACCCAGAAACTCTCTCTGTCTCTCCCTCTCTCTCTCACACAGACACACTCCACACGTGTGCCTGTGTCTGCGTGCATATTTCTAACTCTGTTTGTCTCTGACTCAGAGTTAAAAACTTTTCAGACTAGATGCGACGAGGTGGCGGAGGCGCTGGTCGCACAGGGTCTGCCGGCGGTTGCTCTTCACGGTGGCCACAGTCAGAAGGAACGGGAATACGCCCTCAACAATTTCAGAAAAGGCTCCACAAGTATCTTGGTACTGATACCTAATACCACCAATCGTCGTCCATTCCTCTGCAGCCTTCTTCACGAACCCTGAAGAAGCATTTTTTTTTTTGCCTAAACATTACATCTCATATGGCCCGAGTGGATTGAAACACAGGTTGCTACTGACGTCGCCTCCCGCGGTCTGGACGTTGCCGGAGTTTCCCATGTCATTAATCTGGACCTTCCAAAAGTATATAAACCTGAACTTGCCCCCTTAAACTATCGACGATGTTCTTCTGATGTTGTCTTCTTTCCGTTTTTTGTCTTTTTTTTTTTTTTGGTACTAATTACGAATGCGGCTTCTGCTCTTGGTGCAGACTCTGGAGGATTATGTCCATCGAATTGGCAGGACTGGGCGAGCAGGATCCTCCGGTCGGGCCACCTCATTCTACACAGACCGCGATATGGTCCGCCCCTTTTCTTTCCTTGCTGCATCTCGTTTCTCCGAAAAGAACGATCATTTAGCCTTGGTTTTGTTGCGTCTCGCAGTTCCTTGTCGCCCACATAAGGAAGGCTATCTCAGATGCCGAATCTGGAAATGCGGTCTCCTTCGCCACTGGGAAGGTATGGACTGAGCGACGTGAGGCCCCCCTTTTTTTCTGGGTCCGAGGTGTCTAAAGGTCTGGCTTCTTGTCCCCGGTAGACGGCGCGGAAGAAGGAGAGAGAAGCTGCGACTGCGCAGAAGGAAGCGAGGCTGGGCTTGTCTAAGTTGTCGGTCAACGATCCGGGAGCCATAAGCGTGGACGACCGGTACCGGTACATGTTGACGCCATCGAGTAACAAGAAAGAGGGCGCTGCGGACGATGCTTGGGATGACTGAGGACGGATCGATTTTCATGCCGCCATGCCAACACCATGGGAGTTCTAGAGACCTGAAAACATGGTGAGGATCTTGAATCTCCCCTCGCGTTGACTCTCTGGGAGTGTGCCATACAGGAATTCTTCCATATCGGGAAGGGAAGATCCCCTGGAGTTCGCCGTCTCCATCTTCTCAATGCCATTCAATTAAGGAAGATGGGGAAAGTTTCTCGCATCATGTCTTTCCTAATGCTTCATTTTCCGTGGTAGGCCGCTGACGACGACCGACCGCCGATCTATCGACGGCTGAGGTTTTACGGCATGCGATTTGGTGTCCGGGGCTGAGATGTTGAGGACGACGGAGATGTTGTAAGTGAACCTAAGTGTTGTCTTGTTTCAGGAAGATGAGTTGACTTTATGTTTCGGACATTTCATTCTTATCCGCTTTTCTTGGAGCCATGTTTCCTAGCGAAGTCAACCGCCGCCAGTGTTTTAAGGGAGAACTAAAAATGTTTCCTTGTGTATATTTTATCTTAGATGAAAAGTCCTCTCGAGTCTTCTCCGCTGAGACACCGGTCTTATCTCTCTCTCTCTCTCTCTCTCTCTCTCTCTCTCTCTCTCTCTCTCTCTCTCTCTTTGCGGGCTATTCCTTCTCTCAGTGGGCCGGACCTCGATCATCAGGGTTTGGTAAGAGCCGTTGTGTGGACTTCGCCTGGGGTGGGTTGGAAACCTTCTAGAAGGGATGTGGGCACAGTTGACTTGACAAGTCTCAGCCCTTGACCAGACGGGCACCGCTAAACATACGGGGAAAGAGTGCAGCGATTTCTCCGGCAGTCCTTTTCGGGAGCTTCCCTAGCGGAGCCCTCCCCGTGCGGCCATTCAACCAGTTGACCGTGTGACACACGAGTAAAGGTCAAGAAATGCCACGTCGACGATTTGCTAAAGCATATGTCAAAAGTCAAAGTGAACTTTCTCGTAAAGCCGAGCCGCTTCCATTTGGCTGTTTCTTTTGTGCGCATGTCCCCGAAAAGATTTTAATTACTTACTCACGCTTTTGACTGTGGGGGAATGGTGGGAACGGACTGCACTCCTTGCGATGTTGCCTCCTCACAATGTTCAAAGGTTTAAAGTCAAATGACTCTTGTACCCTTTTTCGAGGAGGCGACGTAATTAGGAAACTGTCTTCGTCTTGATCACATAATTAGGAAATTAAAGTTTTTTGACTTACTAACATTGGAAAGTATTTGTCTGGACGCACCTCTTTCCTTTGTACGCGTTGACCCCAGATAAACTACTCCATAAATCACTGGCGGGTCCTCCTACGTGATATTGATTCCACACCATGTTGACCAGGCTTAGGCAACTTCCCATTCACAACTACTTGTCGGAGCCGCCCAATAAATTTGACGGTCCGGATATGATCCGAGAGTGGTGGACCGGGTAGGATCCAATAATATGCCACTTGGCGGTGAAAGGCCTGGCGGGCCGCTCGCTAGGGTCAAGGGAAGTCGCCGTCGGGGCCCCTCCTGGAAAATTCTTCGCAGTCTGGAATGAAGTAACGAGGAGGTTTTCTTCTTCAACGATTTTCCATTTCAACGGGAGGAAGTCAACCCGACGACCGAAGCGAGGGGGAAAGATCCTCTGCAATCCCCTTAAGTGGTCACCACGGCCATCTTCTAACGTCCGGAGAAGATCCCAAGGAGCCGCTGAAAGGTCCCTATTACCCTATATTTGCACCGTCTTCGTCCTCCGTAGCCCACAGACCAGAGAGGTTTGCCTGTGCTTCTCCATGCCTATGCTCAGCCTGGGTCATGCTTCTCTCCCCGTGCGTTATGCCCATGGAAGAAATCCTGCCTCTTATCGTTCGCGGCTGTAAGAAAGCCAGGGAACTCGGAGAGAACCTTCCCAGGGTGGCCAGCCAGACCCACCAGCTCTTGGCTACTTGTAAGGAGATCGCCGCCGAGTTCAGCGACGCCGTGGACAGGCTGTCCTCTGCGCAGGCGCTTGAAGGGGAAGTTCCCGTGTCGGATCGGCGCCGGGAAGAAGACTCGTTCGGCAGCGAGTACATGGACGCGATGGATCTCCTCTACGCGCGGGGTACCGGAGAGAGGAGGCCTGCGATTTTGCGGGCACCGCAGGAGAGGGGCGTAGGCCCGCAGGAATTGCCGGAGCTCAGGCTGGAGATCCCGGTCACGCCCGGTCTCAGGGCCGAGTTCGGAGCGGCCTCCGGTGAGGTCGATTGCCTCCCCGGCTATCACAGGCGATCTCCGGCGAGAGAGGGGGCGTCCGGTTTCTCTGCAACGCTAGCTGCCGCTGCTATCCAGAACTCGAGGAGGAAGAGGTAGAGATCGCCCTTCGTAGCTGTTGTGACGTAATTTCCGACTTGTATTGCATTTTGTCTCCCAGTGCAAATGGTCAACATTTCGAGTGCAATCTTTCTGTCGCTACAGGAAAGACGGAGGACGGACATCGACAAGGAGGGTGGCCGCGGTTGAAGGGAATTTGGATGCGCTTCCAGACGACGGCTACACTTGGCGAAAGTACGGACAAAAGAACATCCTTCACTCGAGATTCCCAAGGTGCAAAGTGCCTATCACCTCTGCAATTTTCTTTCCTATAATGTCGTCTCATAAATTTAAGGTCGTTAGTCAGAACTGTTTGTTTGATCAGCAAACTGATTTTGGTTTGGACGTCGCCCTGTCGGAGATATCTGTAAAACTCTGTGAAACTTAATTCGAAGAAAAAAAATTAAGCTAATCAGAATAATTTCATATGAAATATTCAACGTTTCTTCTCTATAAGCTTTTGCGTTGGATGACCGAAGACTTGCACCCACTGTTCAGCAGGATCTCGAGCTACGAATAGCGGCCTCTGTAGGCTAGATAGAGAGAGTGATCATAGTGGGATAAGCGCTGGAGCAGGGTGGAAGGATAGCTGATCATCTGGTTTCTGTGGCAGGAGCTACTACAGATGCACCCACAAGAATTTCTACGGATGCGAGGCTAAGAAGCAAGTGCAGCGGCTCGACGACGACCCGTACACATACGAGATTACCTACTGCGGCGATCACAGCTGCAGGACCTCGCCCACGCCTTATCCCATCATAGACGACGCCGGCACAGGAGGAAGGGAGGTGGGCTCTGTTGCGCAGACTCAACATCCATCCGCCGTCTCTATATCCGCACTGGTGGGAAGCTGGTTTCCTGCGAATGTCGACACCCGGAACGACGAGAAGTCCCTCGCCAGAGTCCATGCGGGTGAGACCAGCGGCGCCGCCCATCGGAAGGTCTCGCCGTTGCCTGGTGGGAGAGACGCCGACTGCTCCGTGGCTGATCTTGCCGACGTCATGTTTAACTCTCGAGGCGGCTGCATCTTGGATGGCCTTTTCTCTTACAAACAACAGAACTAGAGAGAGAGAGAGAGAGAGATGTAACGTTGGAGATGCCATTTCTATCTCAATCGAAAGAGGAACGCAAGTGGGGCGAATGCTAGCGCGGCCGCAAAGCTCCTGCACCGGAGGGTTTTCCTGTGTGGAGGCCATCTGGTTTCATCTGGCCTCGGAAACTCAGCTCCTAAAGCTTACGACGCCAGGCCACATCACTGCTCAGACAATCTCAGGGGACCACGTCCGTGAATACGCTAGTCCAGTTGAACACATTTCAACTCATTTTTTTTCTTTTGTCCAATGAAAACTTTTGCGCTTCTACGTCGTTTTCTGTCCATCAATGGACTGGTGGGCAGCGTAGTCTTCCGACAACAACGGGATTCATAGTCTAACTTCCATAAGTCATCGAGGAAGGGCGAGGTGACCGGGTGAGTAGGGTAGTGGGACTGGATTCAACGGTTAAATCGATTTTTTTATAAAAATAAATGGACAAAACATAATTTTTGATAAAGTATATTCAGTTAAGAAATAATTTAGTTGACTTGAAATCGGGGAGACACGCTACAAAAGTGTTGTATTAATTAGAAGGAAAAAGAATCGAGAGTGAAATGAGCGACTCTATCCATTGTCAATCAACGTGAACGGAATTTTTTAACAACTTTAGGTGTTTGAAAAAAATTGAAAAAATAGTCCGAAAGGCTTTTTTTCCAAAATTAAGATTTTATTAATGAAGATAGAGCATTACGTGGCAAAGTGGCTGTGCTACTCACGTGCCCACGGTATCTTCAACCATTACCATTTTAGTCTACATCTAAAGGACCTTGGTCGGACGCGTGGACCACACTGGATGCAGTCTGAGGGAGTACGGCGCCCGCAGGGTGGCAACCTCTGCCTACAAGTTGGAAGTCTTGACCGGAAAGAGTGTGAAGAAAAATACAAGATCAGATAAAGATAGTGATTGATAGATAGATAGAGAGAGAGAGAGAGAACTAAGGAGTTAAAGAGGATATAATGGTAAGCTATGCGGTTCAAGTTGTATCTTGGTAATGATTAGCCCAAATAGACATGACCGGGTCATAACCCACATAGGACCCAGTCACGATCGCCTATTCAGAGAGAGAGAGAGAGAGAGAGAGAGAGAGAGAGAGAGAGAGAGAGAGAGAGAGAGAGAGAGAGAGAGAGAGAGAGAGAGGATTCACCTGAACAGTGAATACTTTCCCACGAAGGCGTCGTTCTTGGGACCACGGAGATACAAAGCATCTTCATCCAACATTGTTCCAAGGTCTTATTGAGCCAGAGAAGAGTTATTCAACTCTTTGTTCTGTTGACCAACCGGTCAGTGGGTTTGAAAGACGACGTACACGAAGAGCAATACGGTCTCGTCTTCCTTGCGGTCGATTTCGTTGAAAATCCACTTGGCCTAGCTTTTCGAGGGATCATTAACTTGGTCAACAGCATCAACAAGGCTGTTGATCCGTCGCCGCATGCGGACGCTTCTCTCAAACCCGTTGCCATATGCGGGAACCACGTCATTTTCCGGCGACGAAGACGTGCAGCGTTGCCTAGAGACCAAAACAGGTGCAGCAGACTGGGCCGATAGTTCGACTACACGCTAGGAGGCCCAAATTGGACCTTATCGTTTTTGGGCCTCCAGCTAACCAACGGTCCATTTGTGATTTTGTTCACAGAAAAGAAGAGTGCTCACAGCGGCGGGGGGGAGTGTGAATGAAGAAGAGCGTGCCGATGTTCTCTCCTCCCTTTGTCAAGTTTGCCCGAGCGTCGGCTGCTCCTGCGGCCCTGATAACGCTGGCACGCTCGAAACTGAACCCTGATTCTAGATTTCTCTGGGCCATGGGAGGCTGCTCCTGCGATTTCGTGGCCTCGCGGAACTTCTCCGCTTCGGGCTCTCCGGGGCTGCCTCCCAATCCTGCACGGTCCCTCCAAACTGAGTCGCAACGACGGATTTTGAGCCCTGCTGGATGTTCCCGGCCTAATTCCGCAGCTGCCTTCGAGTCGGAGGAGAATCCGACCACTCCGTCGCTCGTGGTTGTGTCCTTCTACAAATTTGCTGATTTCCCAGACCATCTGGATTTTAAGAGGCCGCTGAAGGATCTATGCCAAGCTGTGGTGAGGAAATGAAAACGAAACAGTAGTTTTGTCATCTCATTTTGCGTATGTACTTGTACTTTTCTATGATTGAAGCAATTTGAACCCGTTACCGTCATCTGTCAAACGGCATTATCACGTAAAACGCTGGAGTGATTTGTTTTCTTCTCAAATCTTATAAAGATTCTGGGATCAGTACAAGATGGCTTTCAACTTGGGTTTTATTTTTTCTATCTCTTCCCCTTTCTACTTTATCTAGTCCATAGTCTAGGCCGATGTAGATCCCGGGAACCTGCGTGTTTTTATGCTGTTAGAAACTAAATCTGGTGTTCTGGTTCGGCGTTCTGATTCTTCAAACCATACTCCAGAGTCTGTTGTTAATCTGTATCTCCATGTGATCGTATCAGCTTCGTGCTTTTGGCCGATGTCTTTTGTCTTGCATTTTTCATCTGAAAATTTTGCTGAGATTATGGTTGTTTTTTCTTTTTATCTACTCTAATATAGCTGTTCCTCACTTAAATTGCATAACCTCCACATTCTCTGGTAACAGTTTTTTCACGGAGGATACGTTTTCTTTTTCCTACTACATGTCTTCTGGGGTTGTTTTTCACCAACATGATCATGCTCAGCGTGTCTCAGGCGGCATAATTCTTGCACCAGAAGGCATCAATGGAAGTATATGTGGTTCAAGGGAGTCGGTTGAAAAGGTTCTGGGTTTCATTCAGTCTGAGAGACGCCTGAAAGGGCTACGAATGGTCGAATCACCTGTCAGTCCGGAGGAAGAGGCTCTCCATCACGGACACAGCAGCCATTCTCCTCTTGGAGCAGGGGAAGATGCCCCTTTTAGATGGGATCATGTGCGCGTGAAAGTGAAAAAAGAGGTGCGACTTTATTTAGGTTTAGCAAGCTGTTTCCTTTTTCATATTTTACTTTCCCAGGATTACTAGTAATTTTCTGTACATATTAACAGATTGTATCATTTGGAGATCCCTTGGTATCACCCATCGAAAGAGTCGGAACATATGTGAATCCAAAGGAGTGGAATGCATTGATAACAGATCCCGACACTGTGAGTGATTAGCTTAGATGATAAATTTTGTTGTTCGCATGAAACCTGCAAGTGAGAGCTTTGCATTTGGATTCTGTCAAGCTTTTGATCTTCCGTACTTGAGTCATCTTGGGGCGGAAAAAATATTAATTGGGTGTCTGGCTTTCACTAGGTGAATGTTCCATGCATGCCCACAAGATATAATCGAAAATTTTCCAATCAATCTGCTTTGGTTTAAAATCTAAAAGGCGATTTAATGGCTCGGTGAGGTCCTTGTGCAGGCTGCCTTGCGTGATGTCAGCCCTGTACATTGTCAGACAACATGGCAGTAAAATGGAACTCTAGATCAGAAAGAATCACTGGAAGGCTTCTATAACCCGTCAGCCATTGGGGAAACCGGTTCTGTTATTGTAGTTTAAGCGCATCTGGAAGTGACCTTCAAGAACTTCACACCAGCTTTGAAGATACTCTAAGCAAATTGGGAAAGACTCACGTACTTGTGCATGCATAAATATGCGAAGGATTCAACTCACTGATACCTTTCCTCAGGCACAGATAGTTACAAACCGGGACAACATCACTACATTTTTCTAAGGCCTTGTTTTGAAATACCGACGTTTTCAAATTTGCAATAGTGATTTCTCTCTTCTACTAGGGCGATAAGCGTTCTCATTTTTCTAAATCTTATTTAAGATTCCGAAATTTCACACTTTGGCATGATCTGATCATCCAGATCTCAGGAAAGCGATGTGTTTTTCTATTTTGCTTTTTTGATTCCTCTGAATTGTTAATATTGTAGAATTGCCATGCAATGTTCTGAAAGCATGACGAGGGACGGGGAAATATCATGATTCCAATCTTCAGAGGTTGTTCTCTTTGAAGGCACAGTAGAGGATTTTGGTCAACGCGTTTCTTGTTTGAGTGGCTTAGTTAATTTTGCGGAGGTTTGGAAGACGGTTAATCTCCATCTGGTATAAGAATAATATGGTAATGGGGATAAGTTATGCCCTCCTTCCGTTTGGAATTCAATCAAATGGTGGGGATGGGTAAATATTATCTTTAGGAATAAAATGTGAGGATGAGTCATTTCCACCTAAAGTCTGGACTGCTCCTCGTACCCACTTCACTTCCATCTTCTTGATGGTGTGAAGTGCCGTGGTGAGCTATTTGCTATTGGTGATTTAGGATTATGGCTAGAACTTGTTCCCGCGAGCTCATGCCCTCACTTTATCATCAGGAGGTGAGAATTCTGCTGCCAAAATCCTCAGAGAAGCTTTTAGGTTCCACTCCCTCTTCAAGAGCCATTTGTTGAATCCGATCTTATTTCATATAAATGAGTATTTTGGCCATGTCTGTGACCTTATTTCTCTCTTCATATTTGTCTCCAAGCATTGATGTATTAGTTTCGAAGTTTAGTGGGGATGTTGCTGATCTATGCTGCTTTATTTGTTTAATTTTTGCCCACTTTTTCTTCTCACGGTCAGTTTTTTGCAGATTGTTATTGACGTGAGAAATACATATGAAACACGGATCGGAAAGTTCAAAGGAGCGGTGGATCCTCGTACATCAGCCTTCAGAGAATTTCCAGCTTGGGTGGACGACCAGTTTCAATTGGAAGAATCCGACGACCGGGACTTGGAGCAGCAACTTGGTGGGATATATCCCGCTGAAGAGCAGCCTGGCCACAGAAGTCCGAGGAGACTTCCTCCTGTTGCAATGTACTGCACGGGTGGCATCAGATGTGAGAAGGCCTCAAGTTTTCTCTTGAGCAAAGGCTTCAAAGAGGTCTGTGGAGTTGTGTTTTTTCATCATTTTATTTCATAAAATAAATTTAGAACGGAGATTGGCGGATTTTCTTTGCCATATCGAGCCAAACCCATGGTTAAAAGACGAGATTTTCCGTTGTTTGCGATCATGAGAGCTATGATCGCGGGTAAGATAAACTTATTGTCGTCACAATAGAGGTACCCTTTCTTAGGTGATATTTTTTCAATATAAAACCAGAGACGAATCTACAGAAAGACGATATTAGTCCGCTATTCTTTTTCTCCATGGTTTTGTGAAGTTCAGATTGACATGTCCGATCGTGTTTTGTCAGGTTTATCATCTGGAAGGAGGGATCTTGAAGTACCTGGAGGAAATCCCCAAGCTAGAGAGCCTCTGGGAGGGTGAATGCTTCGTCTTCGATAAGAGGGTTTCGGTTGAACATGGATTGGCCCAGGGAAGCTTCAAGCTCTGCTATGGCTGTAAACAACCTGTGAGCGACGAAGACATGACATCCCCGCAGTGGGAGCATGGAGTCTCCTGCCCGCATTGCTTCGCCTCCAAATCTGAGGAGGAAAAGGAAAGAGCGAGAGCCCGCCAGAGGCAGTTCGAAGCTTGGGGCGTCATCGGTGGGCCCGACAAGGGCCGCCGGAGTCCTCCCAGAGCTGATGGGGTGGAGAAGAAGGTCAACCCAGTTCCTCATACGATTTAGGCTCTCTCAACTGTGAAGGAGAGCGATTGTCTGTTAACGATTTATTAGTTGTGGCTCGTGAGCTCTTTTAGCTGTTTTTCTTCATCTTCTCGTCTCTGCTCTCAAGAAACTTGGAGAGTCTGATGCTCATGAAGATCCGAAGAGAGGAGAGAGGACTTTGAATGAAGTGGCTACTGATTCCTTGCAAAATATTTGGTAGTTCATGTGATTTAGTATTAGTCAACGTTACATTATTCCAGAAATGGTAAGTTTTATGTTGCGTGATGGAAGTATTGCTCTAATTATGGGAAATTTTGGGGTTGCTGCTGATGAAGGTCCGAAGGTAGGGGGGTTTAGATGAAGTGGCTACTGATTTCTTCCAAAATGTTTGGTAGTTCAAATGATAGAGTATTAGTCAACGTTATATTATTCCAAAAATGGTAAGTTTTATGTTACGCGATGGAAGTAATGCTATAATTAGGGGCAAAATTTGGAGCTGTTGCTGATGAGGATCTGGGGGGTGAGGAGGGGGGTTTGGATAAAGTGGCTACTGATTTCTTCCAAAATGTTTGGTAGTTCAAATGATAGAGTACTAGTCAACGTTATATTATTCCAAAAATGGCAAGTTTTATGTTGCGTGATGGAAGTAATGCCTTAATTTGGGGCAATTTTTGGGGCTGTGGGTAAATGTGATGCTTCTCTTTGACGGGTCTGCGGTGGGTGTAAATAAACGAAGGAAGAGGGGAGAATCCCGTAGGGTTTTCGTCTGCTTGGCCCCCCCACCCGTCGGCATTCTGATACGCACGGATTCGACCGGGACGAGAGGAAAGGGATCAGGGAAGATGGCTGCAGCTGCGGCGGGATCGGGTGGCCTGTTCAGGTTTCTGCGCCCGGGATCTCGACCGCAGTCGACGGACGTATCCGCGGCTCTCGCCTGGGGCGTCGCCGCCGCCACCGGTGGCCTTTGGCTCATCCAGGTGCGCATCTCCCATCCTCCTCCATTCAACGACATTTCCGGGGTTGGATCGACCATTGTCCGTCTTAGTTGTGGGATATACTCCGGTGGTGTTCGGATGTAAGGATTTATCCGTTGAGGTTCGATCGCTCGACTGCTTTGCAATCCAGATGAGTCTACTTGCGACATTTGAAATCTAGTATCAGATCCGTTTCGCATGTTAGTGGAGGCGTCGACCGATTGCGGAAATCCTTTAGGCGATGACGTCTCGGCCGATTGTATCGAGGATGGTGGCATCCACCGTGTTTTTGCAAAGGGTGGAACATCCAGCAGTCTAGACCCTGAATAGTATAGATAGGCACGGAGACATGGCGTAGAGACGGAAATCTTTTTACTAATTCATGGGTTGAGTCTCCTCCCAGACCTTGCAGTCTCGGTATCTTCCTAATTTCTTTGCAAGTATATCATGCACCTTGAAATAGTAGTTAATCAGTTTGCGCCGACTAGACTATTTCCGGCGGCATGTTGGGTAGGGTAGCCGCGACGAAGTCCACGCTTGTCGTTCCCATGATAACAATGAGAAACCACATGATCCACTGATGGCGCCAGTATTTCAACTCCTGACAGAAGTTACATCCGGTCACCGTTCAATGGCTCATTCGTCATTCCCACCTTCTTTTAGACTTATATCATACTTAGTTTAATGCCAGAATGGTCTCACCTTATGATCCCAATGATGAATCCCATAAGTTTTTTAATTTCTTGTTCATTACTTCGTCCTTCGATTGTGCATGACGTTGTTATTTGTTCTTGGGAAATCAAATGCCCATGAAACTTACATTTGAAACTTGGGAAACATCTGCTTCCTCTTCGGTTGTATTCTTCTTCTCTTTGGATCTATTTTAAACGCAGATAGAACCAGTTTGCATCGAACACGAATTCTGCGGCATTGAAGACAGTAAAAAACTGGAAGACGTTCCCAGCCGTCAATCACCCGAGAGAAGATGAACCTGAGCTTATCCAGCGAGAACCGGTTCAGTATCCAGTCGGACATTGAAAACATGCTTGAATGTGGGAATTGTGCAGGAGATTAATGGGCATAGAGATTCCATTCCGCGGGAAAGTTATCCCGGGTACTTGCTTGGGTTGAGATTGCCATAGCTCCTACTCATTGCTAGGAAAGCCCATTCTTTTCGCATTGCGGCGATTGCTTTCCATGCGTTCGAATTTTTTTTCACCATAACGGGAGGAATGGTGGGAACCCGTTAGACTTGTGAAGGTTTTTTTTTGGGGCCGCTGCTGTGTCTCTGACTTTCTTCTAGGTTTTCCGGGCACAGGACACACTGGCCGTGTTTAATTCATTGATTCTGTTGTCTGTTATCCTCTTTGAATCGTGGTCTCTTCTCTTTTTTTTTGTATCATATTTATTCACGGATGATGCCTATCTTTGGTATTCACAGTGACTTGACTCCTCAATCTTATTCTGGAAACCTATTAACTGACTATAAATTGATGGTTCTTAGTTAATCTGATTCTGTTCATCCTGTGTTTACCTACTTGGTCTTCCATTTTCAGCCTTTTGATTGGCTGAAGAAGCAACTCTTCGAGAAGCCCAACCCCGAAGAATGATAAACCTGGTTCAGAATGGAACTGAAAATATGCGGTGCGAGGAAGATGAATCTTCTGTGAATTTCCCCTTCTCTCTGTCAGTTGACCGGAAAAAATAATTTCCCAAACCATGGGATAACATGCTGATTTTGTCTTCCTCCTGAAGAATGAGTACTTCATTGAAGCTGCTTTATTCCCTGCTATCTCGACTGGACTTTGTTGGCGGCCATGGCCCGTCGACACCTCAATTTTTTTGTATGAAGTCGTTGCTGATGTTCGTGGGAATATGATATTTTAAATTTAATACTATTATTAATATTAATGTCATTTTGACTACCCTTAAGATCCCTTATACTATTTTATTTTATTTTATAAGATTCTTTAGCGATAAGTATTTTATGTGCCATTATCAACGAAATAAAAGGTGATAAATAAGTCAGCACTACAATGATGAAAATTGATACGAAGAGCCCATCTGGGTGCATCTTTGTTCATGCGCATGCTATGATGGTTAATTAGTAAATATTTTGTAAATATTGTCCCTTGGGTACTTAAAGTTGTAAAGTAAAATAATTGATGCTCTCATAAATTTGCCTTATGGTGACACACAACTACGAATGACGTAACTTTCTAATGGCATATTAACATGGTATCGAACGAAGTAGAAAATAATTAATATATTGTCCATAGGTACTACTTATGTTGACTAATAAGGTGGGGTAATTAATGTAGGATTTGCCAATCTATTTGGAAATATGTTGTCACGAGAGCACGCGCTTCTGCTCTGGTGTCGCCGTAGAGACCTGGGTATGAATTAGGAAGGTGGTAGACCCTTGGATGTTCCCCACAAACCGGTCAACTCCATGCAAGCGTCTTCTCTGGGAAACGTGGGTCAAGTTACTCCAGATCGTGAGTAACCGTCTTCTACTATCACCTATATAACACGAGAAGGAGTAAGAACCAGAAGGGGAGGAGAAGTCGTGGAGTCTCACCCGCTCTAAGGGTGCTTGAGAGTCTGACCCGCTCTAAGGGGGTCATTATCATCTTCCATCCCTCTCCCTCACGTCGTCTCTCTCTCTCTCTCTCTCTCGCTCTAGTGTCTCCGTTTCACCTTTTCCTTGTCACTGTTCACAAGTCCTGTTGAGTTCCAGAGTTCCGCGAGTTATTGTGGTTCTTCGGTGTCTTTCTCTTCTCACGGAAGGTGTCGAAAGAGGGTCAACGGAACCTAGGTTCCTACCAGAAGGTTTCTTCACTGAGCCCACTAGCGTAGAGACATATTCCCGCCAAAAACTAGATGGCGGAGTTTGGAAAGTTCAAGCGGGCCGACGTGTTCAATTCCTACGTAAGCCTCGAGGAGGTTCTTCGAAGGCGCGCAACATCTCGTACGGGTCGTATATATAAATAGGCAGCAGTTACCTCCGTCCATGGGAATAAGTTTCCGCTCAGCTCTCAAGAGGGAACTCGGAGACCAACATGATTAGAAACAGTCGTTTTCCTTGGTCTTGACACTATCGCTGAAGGGATGTGTTCTCATTTAGTGTCGTAGCCAGGTTTGGTTTTCTCTGCCATGAATGGAGACCGAAGAAATCTGTAATTTTCTTCGTTGTTTTTGACTGTCCACTTCGATGTCCATCGCTCCTTGATAGAAATTCTCACTTGCTATTCTTCTTTCTCTCCGATACCGATCGTTTTGTCCGTTACTGTTGTTCCTGTTTTGGAAGGCTGACTCGAATTTTTTGTCTGCTTTATGAATAGTAGAATCTTACGGTGCTTTGGACAGCATTAGACATGAAATGTATTGTTCTTCACAGAAAATTTGATCCATAGCAAAAATCGTCCAGTATTTTTATGGGCCTTTGCGACGCTAAATTGTAGATTCTCTTTCTCTAAATGCGGTTTACACTGTCATTTTTTATCAAAAGGAGGAGCCCTTCAATTTCGCGTTAGTATTGAACCTATGATTTCGTCTCCCGTTAGTGTTAAAAGGACTGTAGTAATATTTAACTTAAATTTGTACTCTGTAAGCAGTTTCTGAGGCTGAAACACCTTTTATTTTTCTCTCAGTATTCTCCTTTTATTTTTCTGTTCATTTTCTTGTTTGACTCATACTTCAAAATTTCAATAACATGATATTTTCTCGCTGGAATTAATAAAGACAAATAGGAACATTGGATAGATAAATTTGTCTCGGGATCAGTCCGCAGTTTATTTTTCTGTACATGCTTTCTTCCGCTCCTCTAGTTTTCGTCTGAATTTTTGGTTTTTATTAATAGGCAAGAAAAGCGTATTCCCTTTTTTTTTTTTTGAAAAATTACATATTTTATCAAATTGGAGTAAAAGTTCTTAGCTTACGTTTACTGAAAAATGGTGAATTTTTTTCACCTATGAAGGGTTCATTCCATAGATAGGATTGCAGACATCTTTAGGAATGTTGCAGTGGATGGGAGGTTCGAGGCGAAAAGTATCAACAGTAAGTTTACGGAAAATACTTTCTGTGGTCGTTTATTTTTATTCAGCGTTGCTATCTAAGATGGACACTTAAAAGAGAAGCAGGCTTGGTCCGACCGGGTCCCCCAGTGATGGAACCCCATTGAAGTTTATGCTAAATGAAAAGTCAGCAGGTCACACAATTCCCCAGAGTCGTTATTTAATCTATAAGTGGGATTCACTGCCAAGAAAATCCGTTAATTATATTTTAAAATCTTGCTTTTAAAAAGAGGAGGTTTTTTGATAAAAAAAATCATAAACATGCACGTTCTAACTGAATAAAGTAGTGTACAGTGACAGAGAATAAGTTTGCACGGTTTTATTTTTTGTCAAGCACCAAATTCAATGTCGTATTGCTTTGGCGGATAGTCTTGTTTAGTTAAAGCCTTCATTTGATCACGCTTGTCTAACGTGAGTGTAATTTCTTAGAAACCCAAAGCTGCGAGTAAATTAGGGATCAGTAGTTGAAGCCATAACCATGGTGCTTGGAATGGGCATACCTAACTATTTTTCATTCCATGTTGGGGCATCAATCTCAACATAGTTTCATAATCGATGACGGAGTTAATTTATGTAGTGACTAATAACATGATTCTCAGTAGGTGAAATTTTCCTAAATCTCCTTATAGGGAATTTTGATGAAATCATAATCGTGTAATTAGTTAATTTTTTGTCCATATTATTTAAATGAATGTTGAGAATAATTCCATCATTTGTACTTCTTCTGAATCTCTATATCAACTGTTCTTGTAGCCCATATGCTACCCAAGATCAGAAGGACTAAACCTAGATAACATGTAATCCGGATGACATGCTGTTCCCTTCTTATCATAGTTGTAAGAGATCAGGCATATATAAGATGTTACCTTGAAGTTTTTCTCGATCCTGCCGTTCTCATAATGTTGTGCTTATGATATTTTTGCAACACGTGGACGAGATGATCCAGTCAAGGAAGTCAACACACACTCGGTAAAGAATTCTCTCTTCAATCTCCTTTTGAATAAAATATATGATTTTCTTGGATTTTTTTTGTTGGAATTATTAAGATTTCCATCTTAAGAATCCATATATTCTGCGCTAATTATTGGGACCTTCTAATTATGATACATCATTAAATTTTAGATCCTATGATTCTATTTCCTCATATGGCTGTATTTCTAAATTCATAAGGCAAAAGCAATATTTTGAGCAAAGAAAACGTCAAAAGCTTACTTTTGGGTCAGAAAATCATGAAGATAGAAGACACAAACGTTTAAATCACCATGACGAGCCCAATTCACTGGATATTCTCAGCTTGAACAATTTGGCGGCAATTGCTGAGGAATGCTTTCATTCAGATGAAAATGGTGAGTTTCATCGTCTGTGTAATTCGATTGCCTTATGACCTCGATTTCCAGGAGAAAAATATTTTAAGTTAAAAACATAATCTTAATAAATTTTAATTGATTTTTAAATTCATTCTTAACTTTGATTATTGGAGTCTAATATATTTATGGTTTATTAATATTTTTTTGGGGAATGGAAATTATTTGATTTGATAAGAATATAGAAACTTTAAAGATAGTGGAGACAACATTTTTAGCAGCAATCCTCTAAAGACTCGAAATGATAACTTAAAGAATTTCATCATTTCAAGCTCTCTAAAGAACGAAGATAACAGCTGAGAGATTTATTGTGGCAGCAAAAAACGATTTGAGTTTATCCATGAAAATTATATACATGCACAACAGAGTGGAATATCGAGATAGATTGGTTCCCCACTCAAAAAGTTACAATCGGTGTATCTTGATCGCGATAATAGAAGCTTTCTGAGGAGTTATGGCATAATGTTGATCATAATGATGTTTCTCTGTCCGATTAATTTAACTCCTGATATGATGCTTTGGAAGAGGCCTCAAGTGAAAGAAATCCAGCCAATTATTAAGTTGAATTATGGAAGTGGATATGTATTTTATAGTCTAGAGCTGCAATTGAATTGGACATCGCTTACATGTGAAACCTTTGTTGTGTAGAAAGACATCACGATGTGAAAAGTCCATGAAAACATTTTGATTGTATGGAATATAAGCATCCAATTCGTTCCCTAAATCGCTTTAAGGCTTCCATTTATTCCAAGTTTACGGAGGCCCTTCATTAAGGAAAAGCGACCCGCACATTTCTGGTATTCTAATGACACACCTGCGTTCGATGTGTTAATAGAGCCAATTATGTTCTTAGTTATCCTCATCAAGCCACAACCTTGAAGTCGGACCCCCACAATGAGGGAGGGAGTCGACTGAACATCTCAGGCATTGGCGGGAATTTCGCCTGCATCCGATCCCCAATTCTTGTTCACCCCGGATGATCGTGTTGGGTTAATTGTGACCTCGTACGATCGTGTCGGGTGAGCAACAGCCGCTTCGTCACAGTACTGACTTATGGGTTCGTATCATAGATACAAAAGTTATTATAGATCACTTGGGATTTTATGCATAAATGGCTCACTTAAGAGTTTTAAGTATCTATGAGAGTTTGTTTATCCTGATTGAATAAATTTCTGATTCCTTGAAGTCCTTGATAGAAAGAGATTTGGATATTTCACAATCAGTCTAATTTTTTCAGACATATATATCAAAGCAGTAACACATGCCCTATACTTATTACCAATGGCTTTTATTTAAATTTAAAATATTATTTGTCTGTAAATAATCCGTTAGTAATCCTTATGAAAATCAATGCGTGTGGTTACTTTTTAATGAATAGTTAGCAGACATCTGGCAGAGAACATTATGCCATGCTGAAGTTTCTTTTATCAAATTACAGTATTTTTTTGTTATTGAGAATCTTCCTAATTTGAAACCTAATCCCAGAAATGATCACGTAGTTCTCTGTATCTTATGTCGTGGATTCCCTAGCTGGCGCTAAAGGTCGTGCAGGTTTTAAGTTTTCCTTCTACCGTGTAGCCAAAATCAGCTATAGCTGCTGCTTAAGCTTACCTCTGAAATCCTGGCCTATTTGCATTATACGATATGTTATCGGGCCAATATATTTTATTACAATGATACAAATGAAAATGATGTATCAAACATTCAATGAATGTTTGAATAACATGAATTTTATGAATTTTTTCTTATTGAGGAGAAATTAGTGTCACATATTTGAGGCTATTTAGAAAACTTTTGTTTTGGTGAGATCTAACGTTGTTTATGTGATTATTATACTTTCTTCATTGTCGAGAGGACTGTGTTTTCTGAGAGGAAATAATGCCTCTGAATTTCTTCTTAATTCCTTTTAAATAACAATACGGCTTACAATAACTTCATCTCTGATCAGTGTATAAAAAATTCTGTGTCATCTGTTAATAATCTTATCTTACACTTACTTTCTTATCTAGATAACAGTGCTTTCCAAGAGAAAGTGGGGGCCTCTCAGAGTTTAACTGAATTTCCATCAAATAACATAATGCCTTACAATGACCATTCGAGGGAATTGAGTAAAGACTCGCAACTCTGTTTTAGTCATGAATTTATAATAACTCTCATGTGTTAAACGAAGTTTCCATTCTTTTTTAAATGAAAAATTCCATATGCTTAATTGATTTGATGAAGAATTCGGTTATCCGTACTCTTTCTGCCTACCCAGAAGACGGTGTTTCCAACGATAAAATTAACATGTCTGAGAATGTACCAGAATTTTCGTTAGACAAAGGAGTCCCACCTTCCAGAGATTATTTGATGGAAAAAAGTAAAGACTGCCACTTATCTTTTTTCATTAATAGCATTTTTCTGACTTTATGATTATTTAACATCTCACCTTCAGCAGAGACCTCGTCATGTTCTGCAGATGAGACCCGAAATCCAGAGTAGGTTTTTTTCACAGTCGTTCATATAGAAGTTTGTAAATGTCCCGGCACTCAATTACTAGATTGCTTTCTCATTGCAGATTTTCTGCGGAAACGGTTCAGGAGTTTCCTAAAATTCCAATTGCCTGTAATTATTCCAAAAAAGGTCATGAAAATCTGGAGGAATCTAAGACGTCAAAGACATCATTTTCGGGTCCCCATCAGACGAGTATAACTGCTCCTAAAACCAAGGGGCTGAAAATCACGTCAGAGAATCGTAAATATTTCACTCCTTTTTCGAGTTCTCTTAAGATATTGCTTGAGAAATTTTATGTCTGATTTTCCGTTATAGGTTCTCTTTATGAATCATCAAGAGCTATATTTCTACGTTATCTTAATCATCGTGTTGCAAAGCCTTCTACCATCTGTCTCACGCTATTTTTGTTGTCCCATTTGAAATCCATTCCAAAATTTCTCCAATTCATTGCACTTCCTAACTTTGATCCCGAAGATTACTCACTCATTTCCCTTCCTTTACTGATGTCAATATATTCAAAAATATTCATTGATGTTATCCCAATTATGCCATATTTTCAAGTTGTTGATGTTCCCTCAATCTCGACGTTGATATGACAAACAGTTACGTTTCCAGCGGTGATCATAGATATTTTGAGAAAATTTTAACTTATCCATTTTTTCTATTCCTAGAGATTTCTATTCTCGATTTACTAAGTGACGACCAATCTTACTGCCGGTCCGAAGGTCTGCCATCAGAGGAACAACATGTTGCATTTTCTGTTGCAGGTGAATCAGTAGGCTTTGGCAGAATTTCTTTAGTTTTGTACGGTTTTTTGAATACCTTGATGTTTTGTAACGCTTATACCGGTTCATTCTGGACCCTCTTACTATTTTGAAGATATACTTATCGGTTTTCAAAAGCAATGAAGAAAAGGGGAAATCAAAACGCAATGTGTCCAGAAATGTCTTTTAAAGGCGTAATCATATTTCCTACGGGTATATTTCCACTTTAAAGACGACTTTCGTTTTAGTACCTACCATTTTTTTAAAAAATGAAACTTTTTTCAAGGAAAACGATAGACGAGCGTACAACATATACGCTGAATTCTTTCCACCATTAGTATCAACAATTCTTTCTATTCTGTGTCATGTTTTTGTCTCGTTCACTTCTAGGTTCTCGTTTTTTAAAAATTATCGTTTTCCATGACATTGAACCTCTTTCACAATCTGGATCGAGGCTTTTCTCTTACAAGTCTTGAACTAACAATAAAGAAAACAATTTTCCTCAGGTATCAATTTTTGAAAATATTATACTGAAATTTTGGATACGCAGAAGTTACAGCCGCATGTTTTTATTCTTATTTTCCACTTTTATTTATATTTAGCTCCGTTTTGAGAGATCTTGGTAAAATGAGGACGTAGACGCCTGCTATCATTGTCTACTTTTATCTATATCTAGCTCTCCTTCAACAGGCCTTGGTAAAATCAGGATGAAAACGCCTGCTCATTCACCAATGCAACTGGACAGGTAATTTCCAGTTCTGATCTCAATTTTTGAATTTTTTGTGTGTCGGGAGTAAGGAAAAACTGTGAATGGGTATTTATTCTTGATTCTACCTTTATTTTGCATTAACAATTGAGCGTCTTCTTTATCTGCATTTTCAAGTTCTTTAATGTCCTCTTCCAAAACAGAGCAGCTGTCAAGAGTGTGTTTCAACATACAACAGGGAATAAACTAATCACATTAAGTTCAAAAGCTTAATTAATATAACTTCATGTGGTATTTTATCAATAAAATTAATTTAATCTAATATGACAGCTCTCGTTGAATTTATTTTACTGCTCTTGATGTAGTTTAGATGTCTAACAGTTAATCATTTTTACATGACTGAGGATGCTTATGGAGTTAGGATTTGTTGACTTGTTTATCGTTCGAATATCTATGCTCACTTCCCAACTGGTCCATTAAAAAATGTGTTTATCCATAACCTTATCCAAGGTAAAGTGTATACTTTCGGTTTCTACTATTTTTTTGCAAAACATTAGGCTGACTTCTGTCCATTTTTTGAAATTGTAAGAGGTTGTTGCAGAATTTTCCGAAATGCAAGTTTCTTGGAAAGAGATACGCAACAGGGAAAATATTTTAAAAATATTTGAGAACATGTGACGAGTCATTTACCTGCCAGAATAGAATCATATGGGAATATTATATTGAATGATAATATTAGTTAGTGATATTTCTATGTCTGTCAATAATCTTGAACTTCATAACTATGCTTATCATTTTTTTAGGTTGTGCATATATTTATTTTATAAATTTTGAATACTCGAGAAATGACATTTTATGAATCAATATCTTGAGATCATGATTTTTATTATATTTCACTCATTTCTTGGCATTATTTTTTCATATCTGAATTTATCTCCATTTTTATAACATGTAGTTTTACTTTTTCGATGGTAAGAAATTACATGAAGTTGATACAAATATCATTAAATGCTTCTTTGTTGCATTATGTCACTTTGTGAAAAATTTCTACAGTTTCCACTCACCTACCGTGAACTCTCGATGGATGAGTTCTTCTCAGAATGTCCTGGAGGATCTTGGACCCATTTTGGTGATTCCTCTCCCATTATATATCGACAATTGCAACTATAAATGGTTCAGCATGAATTACCCTTTCGTTTAGCTAATAAAGATAAACTATTTTACATGATCTATTTTTACACTGACGTTTGAAGGGTACTTTACATTTTTCATAACTTTTTCATCGAGCGTTATAGAGGATATTTATTTAGTTTATCTCACATGTCCTCTTAATCTTGAAGAAAAAAGTGGCTCTTCTGGGCAGGGCTTGTGGATGGTTTGTTTTTTTGAGTCGTATCTAGAAAATTTCGAATCTGAGATATAGTTCGCTGCTGGATAGGGTGATCCTGCTATCTAGCTCTAATCACACAACAAGAAGGTCAGATTTCGGTGAAAATGTTCCAGACTAGTGGTTTGGGGGTATCCAAGATCTAATTCCTCCGACTACCTGATCCGATTACACGCAGTATGCATGAATTGGATTGGACCATTTCTTCTCCTTATACTTCCGTGATTGGAATTCATTGCAATACTTGGAGGAATCAGAGGGATGGAGGATAATAGAATATACTGGAGGAAACAGTCCGACTCGCTTTTTTGGAGCTGATCTGGGTTAACAAGTTAGCGTTGACCTTAGCTAACACCCGATTCTGACCAACCTGATTTCATTCCAATCGCGTATAATTTATCCTGGAAACCAATGCTTGAATTATTATGCTCAGATTAATTTATTTTCTGAATTAATAGGATTTATGAAAAAATTGGACAAACTGCAAGTAATTTATGTCTACGCTTTTACTTAGGAGTCTTATATCGTTTTCAGATGCTTATATACCTTTCATTGGTCTTGGATTTTGGAACATGTTTCACGGTTTTAAACTCTGTCAACTTATATTTTTATGTATTTTAAAGTTGTATAGTTTCTTTCTTTTACTGGCTGCTGGTGGAAATGCATCTTTAATGATTTTTTTTTCTAATTTTCCCTTGCAACATCTGGGCTTTTTCAAATAACTATTATTCTTTTTCTCTTTCAGAGTACAATGGATGATGACAGCTCTTCAGATGCTGAAGGTCTTTCAGAATTTCTGGGAGATACATGGGACATGAAAGATTACCTATGCTATTCAAATAGCTTAGTATACCGCGGAAAAAGAGGCATGCCTTCAGATGCCAATTCCGACGAAATTCAAGATCCCTTATTCATAAGAAAAGAAAGGTTTTTGAGTAAAGAATGTGAAAATGAGGTCACAAGGGAAGGTGAGAGATGGCAGTCCTCCCTCTCTATCTTTTTGTCTAACCTGCCTCATTTCCTGTATCTATCTATTTATCTATCTATCTCCATACCTCTCTCTCTCTCTCTCTCTCTCTCTCTCTCTCTCTACTTATCTCTATGTAGCTATCTACTTGTCTAGTAATCTTCTACAGAGAATTTGAACAAGACTTAAGTTGATTAATATACGATGCAACAGCTGATAGTGTTTAGGTGAACAAATGAAGTGGGACGTGTTTTTCAGTTGCTTTTAGTCATTATGTAAGCACTTTATAACGTAGATTGTCCCCACGTTTCTTTGCGACTAGGATGACAGTTATATAAATATTAATTTGTATGAAACTTTTAACATTGGAGAGGTAGGGAAGAAGAGGTTTTTCCGTTCATTAGGGCAGCCCAGGTTCGTCCAAGGTTATCCCATTATTTGGCTGGCTTTATTGACAAATTTCTCATGCTCATATCCAATTACATGTCGTATAAACCTGAAAACTACCTTGTTATGAAGCTTTGAGATGAATTACCCCACAAGGTTGATACCATGCATCCGTGTTTCCTCTCTTGTTTAGTGTACCTTTCCAGTTTGTACATCTTATTCACATGTGACATTAACATGGTCGAGTCATGTAGAAAAAAATTATCCAGAGGAAGAAGAAACCAAATAAATTAAGCCAATGATATTTTTGTCTCCTCATTTGTTTGGGAAAGGAGACAAAATCCATCTTCTACACGCTATTCAGTTCTCTGTATGTGATATGATGGCATTGTAGAAGGAAAGGAGACATCCAGGCATAGCAGCTATAGAAAAAGAGTGGAAAAATTAAGAGAGTGATCAGGATTCTCTAGGCTATCCACCAAGAAAAAAATAATAAGAAAACGGATAACGACCATTTTTATAGTTTTTGAAACCTGTTTCTTCATCTTTTCCATTATATTCTCTAGAAAAAAACTAAGGAAGAAAAACACGAGAGAGATTTTTGTTCTCTGATTATTTATTAAACAGCTCAGTTTCCCCTGATGTAAATGTTATCATTTTAAGAAACTGATTTAGAGCTCAATATTTTCCTCTGAATAACTTAAAATTTATGATTTTAACTGGGTCAGAATCATTGGTGCCAACCTTTTTGGTTGATCTATTTTTATGTTTCGAGAGTAACGAGGTGTTGAGAAAGTCAAGGCATTCCATTGCCTAGGTGCTGACCTTGGTAAACTTAGTCTTTGCTAACCTTGTGTTCTGTGTCAACCAGCTTGAATATTGAATAAGAAAGCATAGCATCTTCTTACTATGGAAGTTTGTATGCTTTCCCTATGTGATTAGTTTTTTATATTTTTAGATCTTTCCTAATCGTGCTCTCTTGGCACCATATGAAAATCATGACATGAGTAGCCATATATTTCCGCCACCTGCTCTCCTATCCAATACGTAGATGTGTCAGGATTCCTTCAGATATCTATCAAATCCTCCATTTATTATCTGCCATCTCCGCTGACAGTTCTTTCATAATTTAATCGGTTAAATGACTGCCATGAACAATTTTCTCTTTTATCACCATGAAAGTTAATTTGAAATCTTTCGTCATTTAATTGTTGGCCAAATGCCTACCTGTCTCAGTAATCCGACATTTCCTTCATTTCATTCATCTCCCCTGTATTTTCTACTAAACTACTTAGAAGAGGCCGCCATTCTGAACCCGGTCACCCAACAGCCGGGTCTCGCGATGGAGCCAACAGCATCTGTGTGTGAGTTGTCCATGGTATGGTGATTGCTGGTAACTTGTGGTTAGATAAACGCTGAGGATTCTCCTGGGTCCTATACCTTAGGCGATGTGGCCATCATCAGGTTGTTAGGATCATTATGGATTACCTGTTAGAGAGGTTCATCCGTCCCTGACAATGTCGCGTAGGGATTGCTGAATAAACTGGTACATATTTCACATTTCAGGTTGTGCTCTTTGCATGAACAGCACAGGGTCATTCTTTTTTGTGATTTATTTCAATGCGATGCCTGCGTATGAATCATTACAGTATCCCACTTTTTAGATTAGAGACCACATCCCTTGGTCCTCAGAAATCTCATCCACATTCTCTCCTATCATCGCTAATGACGTCGGTGTTTCAGTTTCCGCTCTACAGTAGAGTATTTGCGTGAACAGAAGGATAGTTTTGCCACTTGGGGTTTAGTTTTGCAGTAGTACGAATTTGGCTCATACTTGTGTCTATTACTGGGTCTCGAATTTATATATGTATCGCTTTGTGAGTCTGGTTTCTTAGATCCCCAACAGGTGTCCAGCGGACTGTGTACAAGAGTACTTACCTAATGTCCCATCGTGTCCTGTATATTCGGAGTTAACATGCTTAGAATTGAATGCCTATTTGGTACACACGTAACCTGCATTCATCAGAAAAATCGATTGTTAACCTTTTGACTTTGGTTCGCTTAAAAGTTTGGAACTGGACAAGTTTCAATGTACATTTTAGCGTTTCTATTTTGCAATTATTATGGAAAAATAATTTCTCCTCTTTTTACTGTCTCGACCAGGGAGATTTGACATGCTTGAAGAATTTCTTCTTGACGATGTTAAATACGGTATATGTGATGAACAACCGTTTTATATGGATTGTAACACTCCTCACTTCCCCGAAATAAAATATCGCGCAACATATGAGTGTGAATTTGAAGATGATGCCCTTTCTCAAGGTAGAAGGTTTGTAGATCTCTGGGAGCCCTCCACTGTGTCCGTTAAAACTTCTGGTAAAGATACAAGTAATTACAATCCAGCAATATCATGTTTTTCTTGCTACATTGTTGTAGGTCTGAAGAAGAGGATTGGAAGAAGTTCAGTATTCCAGGTGTCTTTCTTCTCCAATTGTATAATTTCTCAAAGTTTACATAGTCTAATTCACATCTAAGTTAGTATTAATTTTTACTTACAACAAGATCGTTTTCTTGGGAAACTGTTGGTACTCACTTGGGGTTGGTCTCAAATATTGCTCCTAGTTTCATTAATCACGCATTATAATACGATTGCCAATCCTGAAAGTGTTCTTCAAGCTAGTTGTGGAATGGAATCAATCTATAGGATTGATGAAAATTATTTTCACCATTTCAATTGCTGTAGTATAATACCCTAGTATGATGGCATCATGCCAACTCTTGGATGAGTAACAAAGATTATCTAGATTTTATCTGTGTTTGGTTGCAAACAGGTGGCGCTAATTCGTCTCTCAGGCGTTCGAAAACAGTAAAAGACTACGATCTGTCAAGTTTAGGTCTGGCGAGGTATGCTTCCGATGTGACTGGTACTTGGAGCTTTAAGGAAAATCTTAAGTGCCCTTTTGATGAACAGCTATCGTGGAGTTAACCGGGGCTACTACGATCTGTCGGATGGTGTCGCCGACAGCACCAGTTTACTGAGGTGCAAACTTCAGCAGCTTTTCTTTATGCCTGTCCTTTTCCAAGTTCTCTCCCATCGATCCTAGTTCATCATGCATTTCTTCCTTTGTCTGGTCTTTCCACAGTGAAGAGTCGTGCTCAACCACCGCAGGTTATTTCAGCAAGCTTCTCACATACCCTGTTCAAAATTCTGTTTCTATTTTAATGAAGTCTTAGGGCTTGTTCTCTTTGGACTTAAGGTTCGAAATTCTCGTTGCAGAAGGAAACGGGAGAACTGATTGCTTGCCCTCCCGCGTTGAAACATCTGAACAAAAATCAAACAAAGTATGTGAAGGGGGAGAAAGACAGGAAGCCTCATGTTACGAGGCTGTACATGAAGGCTTCGATGGAGTTCGACGAGAAGAAAACCTGGGGAGAACGGCATAGTATACGTACTCAATAGGACCATGCATTGGTTGAAAATCATCGCAAATAGAGGTAAAATTTCGAGCTCAGTTCACGCCCTTTTCCAATGGGACCCATTTTCCAGCTAATAAGGATTTGACTCCAAGTTTCTTCCACTATTTTTTCACAAGGGCACGTAAGTGACCTGTCGGTTACAAGTTTCCCAAGTATCCTAGAGAAAATCTTCAGCCGTAATCACACAAGGTTGGACCCAATGAAAGGGGAAAAACATTGAAATAGTTATGTTGCTAGGTAGGCTTCTGGAGGAGTCAACATGCTGCAGATAGTTGTTTGTGGTGATTGCTTGATCAACGTGCATCTGTTGAAAACAGAGGACTTGAGATCATGGTCTATCTTATTCTGCAGAGACACATGAAAAACTAGCTTGCTTTAATTAACCAGAGACGTAAAAGAGCGCCATCTGATTTCCAATTAGTTGATTTTTATAAAATGCTTCAATAAGCGAGGGAAAAAATCCTTGATTGGACGGAGATAGTTGACTTTGAAATTTATTCTTGGACTACAGTCGTTATAGACTCAGTAGGCCTTTGTTGTGAGATACCGTTTGAAACTCGAGAACGCTTAACCTCTAAGAAATCAGAAATCCCCTTGTATCCCCAGTTTCGCTCCATTTTGAGAATTATCCTACAGTTGTACAATACATCAACAATCGAGGCTGTAAGTGTTCCTCTCTCTCTCTCTCTCTGTCCCTCCTTCCTTCCCTCCATTAAAATCGTTTTGATAGACCTGCAATGTAGGATCTTGACAAAAAAACAATTCATACTGCAAGATTACTATGATCGCGTCGAAGCCAGGTTGAAGGTATGTTTCATTTTGTCTGTTTGGATGATTCAGACAGCCTACGCATTCAATCTTTGATGCAAATTTGCCACCGTCAGCATGTTGCACACATCTCGTGGTGCTTTCGAGCAATGTGTCAAAGGAATCATGACAGAAGGAATGCATGGACAAGGTGCTATACGACATTGCATCTTACATTCCAACCGCAGTAGTCTGATTGCTCTATTGGATAGAAACTAGTCCATCATCGCTCGTCCTGACCAACATGGTGAGTTCTATCTATCCATAGCTCTTGATGCTTGAACTCTTTTCTACGTCGAATGCGATGTTTTCCATCTAACGTTTCAAATGACTGACAAGTCCGTCTGAATTTATTGAGCAATTCCCCGTTTCCTAGGATCTCGTTATCGTTTGTGGTTTTTCAAAATAAAGTATTCCATAAGATATTTATTTCAACGATTAGGAAGTACGTGTTTTGGAGGTGGCTCCGCCGAGTTCCCGTTTACCGCGTCATCCGGATCCGGGAGACTCGCTCCGCCGAGTTCCCGTTTTTCCGCGTAGCGCGCGCTTCAGTTGCGCGTGTGAGACGCCCGCCTCCCTCCGCGTGTCTCACGTGGTCTCTCCCGGTTCAGCTCGGTCGAGAGATTCCGGTGGTGTTACATTCTCCCCCACGCGAAATCTCCGACGTCCTCGTCGGAGGATGCTTGTCGAGGTACCTGTGGATCAAGTCTTCGGATTGCCCCAGGTCGATAACGCACCCCCACGTCGCATCCTCCAGCCAGCGAACCACCTCCTGTGGCTGCTCTGTCAGTTTGCCGGCAGAAAAGGCCGCGCCAATTTCCGCCGGCCGCGGGGGCAAGACGGCTCGAGTTCCGTCGTTCCCCGATTCTGCCGCGATTGTTCCTGCTCCGATAGTGTTACGAGGAAGGACTCGTCTCCCTTCCTCTGTTCATCTCGTAGCTGCATTGTGGAGTGCTGTTGCAACTCCCTCTGTGCCATCTTTGCCGCCTGCATGAAGCACGGCTCCGGGCCTCCTGTCAATAAAACTCTCCATTGGGGAAAGATTCCTACCTGGGCCCTAGTCAGGAAATCCATCCCCAAGATGACGTGGAAGTCGTCTATGGGGAGGACTCTGAAGTCCACCCGGCCTTCCCACGTTCCAAGCCAGTTGGGCTCCCCGCGCCACTCCGGTCAGGGCACGTCTTCCGAGTTGACGGCCTTAATATGGCTGTCTTCTCGTGATAGCATCAGGCCCAACCGAGAAGCCTCTTCCTCCGAGATGAAGCAGTGGGTCGCCCCGCTGTCGACCATGAATTTCACTGGGTTGCCGTTGATGGTAGCGTCCAGGTATAGGAGCCTACGCTCGTCCGAATTGCTGGGTTTCTGCTGCTGCTGCAGGGCACCGAGCAATTGAAGAAGGTTAAGCGTAGGGGTCTCACTTGTTGGCGCTGTTTGCACCATGGCGCCGAGGGCCGCTTTATCTGCTCGAGGAACACAGTCTCGAGCCCGGTGCGGTCCAGCACAGTTGTAACAGCTGGCATCGGCGAGCCGTTCTACGAACCGTCTGTTTTGGGTTCTCCCTGACCCCTCTTTGACCGCTGCCCTTGGCCATTATCGCAGCGGCCTTGCTCGCCGTTGCGATCGGAACCATTGTTGTTTCCGCGGTGGTGACCCGCCTTACGACTCCTCCCCGGGCCGTCTCTCCTTTGACCGTTGTCCCCCTCCCTCTCCATGGTCGGAGGAGCGGTAGTCCACCAAGGCGTCCGCCATCGCCATCGCCGACTGGACGTCTCGGGCTCCCTGGCGACGCAGCTCCACCTTCGCCCAGTTCTGGAATCCGGACGTGAAGTTTAAGAATTTATCTTCGTCCGACATGTTCTTGACGTCCAGCATGAGTGAAGCGAAGTGCTTCACATATTCCCGCACGGTTCCGGTGTGACGGAGCCGCCGGAGTGCCTCCCCCGCCATGCATGCGTTGTTCGTCGGGAGGAACTGTTTCTTGAGTTCGCGGACGAAGTCCTCCCACGACTCGATCGTAGGTCTGGCTAGATCCTCCGTCCGCGTGAGCCACCAAAGCTTCGTATCGCTGGAGAGATACATACTCGCCAGCGTGACCTTCTCCGCCTCCGCCGTAAGTAACGCCCGGAAATAATGGTCTAGGTCCCAAAGGAAGTTCTCTAACTCCTTCGCGTTCCTAGCACCAGAACACCTTTGGCTCAGGTACCTTGACCCGAGTTGCCGTGCCGCTCTCTTGTGTACGCGGGAGAGCGCGTTTCAGGAGGCATACATCTGCCGCCAGAGCTTCCACAGAAGCCTGGATCTCCGCTATATCAGTGGTGTCGGCCCACGATGTAGATGACGGGCCTGCAGCCTCCCACGCTGCTGACTCCGTCGCATCTAGTCGTCCTTCCACGGCTCCGATGCGTGCTTCCATGGCCTCCATGGAAGGAAGAAGGCGGGCGAGTTGCTCCTCCAGTCGAGCGTCCTCTGCCCGTTGGTGCCGCTCTCCGTCGCCGTAGCGCGCTCTGATACCATTTGTCACGGGGTAAAAGACCGAACCGCCGGTTTAGTCACCCGAGACCGGCCCCGACTGTTCTCAGTCAACGCCGGGCAGCCTTACGTCACTTGCGGCAGCTCCCACTGACCCTACGGCGATAAAGGACGGTAGAAGGATTCCACTGAACTCGGAAGCTTACAAGGGGGAAGGAGAAACGGGAGGAGCTTGACACGACGGCTCTCTTCTCCCTAGGCTCTCAGCCGACTACGAAACGGTGTCCCGCCGCTACGCCAAGGAAGCTGGCCCTTGCCCACTGACCTGGATGTTTATTGAAAGAAGAAATCACTTCTGGGATTCACCGCCTGCCCTGTTCCCAGTTACTTCCCGATTCATATATTCATGAGATATTTTCTAGTCAGATGAAGAGAATATTATTACCATCTCTTTTTTCAGCAATAAATAAAATATTATGGAAAAACATCAAGACTAGAAGATTCGCCAGTCTACCAACAACAAAAGGACGAGAAGTATGGTGTAGACTTCCCGTCCCACATTTTCCGAAGGGAAGTGCAGGGCTATAAGAAGAGCTGAGCCACCCACATACCATCCCACAGAGCCCTCCCCGCCTACATCTGATGATTCGTCGTGGCCGGGCTTCTGGGGACGGCGCAGCCTTTACGAGTCCCCTTGCCTCGTGGGAATCAACTTTCTAGAGACGTCTCCAAGCCTGGACCATTGCTCCTGCGGTCTATGATCACCCTGTAAATGTAGAAGAGAAGCATGGTTCCGCTGCATAGAAAAACAGAGCATTAGGGAATTCAACGATCAGCCTAAACAGTAGAAGAAAATTAGAGAATGAGGATATCAGAAGGCTGAGCCAACGAGAAAAATGGGTGACATTTCATGTGCGCCCAATTAGCTACACTTCTGCAAAATTGCAAGCAATTGGTTCCTGGGTACCAGCAGATTGAGGCTTAAGTCTCTCTGTAAGAGCTTCAGCCCAACAAAGTGCACACTGTAAGTGTTCTCCCAGGCTAATACAACTCTGAAATTTAGTGCTGTACCAAACGTGGATAAAATGTCTGTAGTATGCAAGACAAATTGAAGACAGAACTAACCTGAGTGTTGTCAGAAAAACAGAAGGGAACGATAGCCTCTGCAGAGATTTATTATGGGGCTAATCTAAGTTAGAGAAAAAAACAATGCAATGAATAATTGATCTGATGTCTTCAGGCTCTTGTGGACTTTTACCTGGGAAAGCAAATTCCATTCCTTGATGAAGAGTATGGCTGTGATTGCTGCAAGGTCAAAGCTTCGTTAGATGGTGGAATTCAACACAGAGTCCACCTGGAGCTAATTCTATCTTTTGGGTTTTTAACAAAATCAAGAGTTCTGAATTTTCCATTTACGTTCCTCCTAAGATTTGCATACACGGATACCAGGATAAGTTTGGAATAGAAGCAAATGCGTATCCTGAAGTCGTGCTATGGATAATGTAGCGAGGGTCCACGCCATAGTGAAAGTAGGAAAAAAATAAACATGGAGCAATTTGACACCTGTTAAATACAAAATCTAGCACGCTGATAGAATTCAACCTAGCAGGTTGAATAATTGTTCTCTTTCTACTTCTGCTCTATCACATGACGATCTCTAAAACTCTATTCATGATGATGATGATATTTCCACTATGGAACTCTTTGGAAGTTGCATTTTGCAAGGCAGCTGAGCTGTGGCGAGAATAAAATGTACTTCAACAAATTATCTTAACTCTCACCCAAATCTGGCAGAAACCTAATCTTAAATAGCCTAATCATAGTAGCATAATCTTCAGATCTAATGATTCAACACAATTAGGTTATTGAAAGGGACCTTGAAATGAAGAAAGGAAACTGACCAGCTTGGCCTTTCAGAAAGACAGCGTGTGATGACCCACTTCTCCAGGCTTTTAGACTTGCAACACTCAAAGCTAGAAGAGAAGAGCCTAGGATTACACCAAAGCGAACCGCGGAAATGCTCCCAGTAAGCATAAAGTGAAGGAAGCCCCCGACTGCAAGACAGACACCTGGGAGAAAAAAAAAACAACATAGTGGAATCGATTAAAAAGCTATAATCACAAATTTTCAAAACCTTGCTCCTATTTTCCAAATCCTTAGCGAGTTTAGTGAGCAGTAACAAGAACACTTAAAAAAGAGAGCAAATAGATGAAGCTGAAGATAGGGACCACATCGTATATCCTATGGAAATAGTCGCCTACTGGATACATACCATAGGGGATTCCAAGATAAAAGTCACGAACTTCGCTTGGGTTTCTCAAGTCACTGATTGAAGAAGTAAGTGTCTCCACAATGTCCTTCACGGGTTCTGGAGAATTCCTAGAAGCAACCGAAAGATACTCACTTCCCTCTTCCCCAATATCTTTAGCTAGCTTCATCAAATCAGACGTTGCTTGCTCGGCTTGGATCTTCAGCTTCTTAGACGCTTCTTCTAATGACACTATCGCTGTCTTAGAGTACACTGCAAATGCTTCCTGCGAGAAATTCTGCATCTTTAGCGCCTCCACCTTTGTATATTCCAACATTTTCTTCCACACTGCCAGGGATTCGTTGGAGCTGATTTCAAGCTCATTCTCCACGCTTTCCACTTCCACGTCAGAGTCCTTCTGGGGGGAGGGGGGCGACAAAATGCGTATGGTTCCAATTGCAACATAGAAAAACATGTTACCAAGGAGAAAACTTATCCCTTGTTGCAAAAGAAGCAAGGAACAGTTGCACAGATTTCCAACCGGACTTCTGATATCCGATTCATGAAAGCATTTGCATTTGCATTGCGTGATGGATGAAAGGTGGAGAGATGGGATGGCAAGCAAGTGGCTTTGATGATTCACGGAGGCGTGGTGACCAGATAACAAAAAGAACGAGACATCTAAAACCTAAAGTGTAACCCCCCCTGCTCACTGAGAACGAAAAATCCCAGCTCATTTCACCCTTTGTTGAGGAGTCCAGCAGTATGACGTCGGCTAAACTGACGGCACTAAATCAGTTGGGCAAGGTTGATCCCGTGGTAGCAGGGATCTGTCTCTGCATTCCCATGTCCCCGTTGACATGACAGGATACAAGTCTTTTTTCTCCGAGCGTAAACTACTCAGGAGACAGTCCTCTGACCATAGAATGGGGAACAGGTCACGTCAATTTATTGTCCCGTTGAAGCGACCATCGATGATTTTTAGTTCCCGCATCAAAAAGAAAAACCCCCACCGAACGAGATCGAGCCGGATCCAATGGACGCGAGAAAGACGTTTTCAGACAGGCGGGGATTGGACTCAGAAGCATCCGAACTCACCGTGTTCTCCTGCGAAAAGGCAAACGCCACACAACCAGGAAGACGGCGGCGGGGAGACGACCGGAGGCTTGGGAGGTGGCTGGCGCAAACGGAGGGCTGGAGAGACCGCGAGGAATGGCGCATGAGGGTCTGGTTCCGCCCACGACGACGACCAAGAAGGGAGACGCAGAGCGACGGAGAAAGGACAGAGGGGACTGATGCTTCTGCCTGCCTACGTCCACCAAAGCTCCGGCTAGGTCTGGGGATCCCGAGGGGGCCGACGCACTGGAGAGCCGCTGCCATTGCCGCCTGCGCCCCCACGCGAAGAGTGACGACGAACGTGGAGACGGACGGGTACCAGCAGAGCCGTGGAGGCGGGGGGCTTCACTTTTATACGCCCTGTCACTTTTTGTGGGCCTCGCTTTGGGACGTTGCTTGCCCCGGTGGAGGGGAACAGAACCGTCCGTGTCGGTGATGGGCCAGCGAGGTGGACTGCATAAGCCTGCATTCGAGAGAGTTCTCGAGTTGGGCTGGCAGTCATGGCCCAAAACGTAACCAGGCCCCCAGGGCAATCGGGTGACAACACTCACTGGTCAGAGTGCGCAGGAGCCCGCTCACTCACTCTGCTTGCTCGGTCTCTGCGCTGCTCTGCCGGGCACTCACTGGTCAGAGTGCGCAGGAGTACAAAAGAAGGTAGAGAGAGAGAGAGAGAGAGAGAGAGGGAAAAGAAGGGGGGGCAGCTTTGCTTTTACTTTGTTGGCATCCGGGCGGAGCATGAGACAGCGGGACGCCCGCCCTCATTACCCGCCCCATTGTTGTTCTTCCTCTCTCCTCTCCGTCTTCTTCTCATGAGAGAAGGGTTCCAGTCTCTGGCCGGGTGCGCGGCGCCGTCGGCAAGTCCCCGGCCGCCTCTGCCTCCCGGAGGACCGCGAGGTTCGCTGTTGAAGAAGCATTGGGTCTAGATCCCTCGCTTTTGTCTTCCTCTCTCCTTTCTTCCTTCCTCTCCCTCCCTCACCCGCCCTAGCCTGCGGCGACCACTCGCCCATTCCCATCTCCTTGGAGCGTGTACTCTCCGCCCTCGAGCCCCGGGAGCAGTGTGGTCGCCTGTCGATTTCTGTGACTCCATTCTTCCGTTTAGGCCTTCCTGTTCCTCGGGTTCCTGCCCTAGGTGCCCCTCCTGATTCCTCTTCTCCATTTCTTCCCCTTCCCTTGGTTGTGGATTAGGCATTGAAGGAACTAATCGAGAGATCCCCACTGAGAAACCTCTGCAAGAGTGAGCTGCGAGAATGGGGGTTTTCCCGCTGGGTGTGCTTGGCTGTTGCCTCCTCTTCCTTCCCGTCCTCACATTGCCCTCGGATCCGACGCTCAACGACGACGTCCTCGGGCTCATCGTCTTCAAAGCCGACCTGCGGGACCCTGAAGACCGGCTGGGCTCCTGGAACGAGGACGACGACAGCCCCTGCGGCTGGGTCGGCGTGAAGTGCGATCCCCGGACGAAACGCGTAGCCGAGCTCGCCTTGGACGGCTTCTCGCTCTCCGGCAGAATCGGCCGGGGCCTCCTCCGGCTGCAGTCTCTGCAAACCTTGTCTCTCTCCAGGAACAACTTCTCCGGTGGCTTCAGTCCCGAGCTCTCCCGCCTGGCGAGCCTCCGGGTGGTGGATCTCAGCGAGAACGACCTCTCAGGGCAGATCCCTGAGGGGTTCTTCGCGCAATGTAGGTCCCTGAGATCGGTCTCCCTTGCTGGAAATCGTCTCTCCGGTGAGATCCCGCCGAGCATTGGAGCGTGCTCAACCCTGGCGGCGCTGAATCTCTCGTCGAACCAGCTGATGGGCGCCCTGCCGAGCGGCATGTGGTTGTTGAACGGCCTCAGGTCCCTTGACATCTCCTTCAACAATCTCTCCGGCGAGGTCCCCGCCGGGATCGACAAGCTCTATAATCTCAGGACTATCACCTTTCGGGGGAACCAGCTGTCGGGGAGCATCCCTGAGGACATTGGAGGCTTGGCACTGCTGAAGTCCCTCGACCTGCGCGAGAATCTACTCTCCGGAAACCTTCCGGCGACACTTCAAAGGCTCTCCGCTTGCGCCTCCCTGCTCTTGGGTCGCAATTCCTTCACCGGAGAATTCCCCGCGTGGATTGCGGAAATGGGCAGCCTCGAGGCCTTGGATCTCTCTGGCAACAGGTTCAGCGGTGGGATCCCAGATTCGCTGGGCAATCTGCAGCTTCTGAAGTTCCTGGATATCTCCGGCAACGAGTTCGTCGGGAGCTTGCCGTGGTCGATGTCGACTGCCAAAGGACTCTCGGAGGCAGATTTCAGCCGGAACTCCCTCACGGGTGACCTCCCCCAATGGGTGTTCGAACTGGGTCTGCAGCGGATTTCCATCTCTGAGAACAAACTCAGCGGGTTCATTCAAATCCCCAACGCCTCATACCACACGCTCCAAGTCCTGGATTTATCTGGGAACGCCTTCTCTGGCGGCGTCCCGATGGAAATTGGGAGCATTGGCAGCCTGCGGCTCTTGAACCTCTCCCGGAACTCTCTGTCGGGTCCCATTCCGGCGAGCTTGGGGGGTCTCAGCGCCCTCGAGATCGTCGATTTGAGCTGGAATCGGTTGTCTGGCGGCATCCCCCCGGAGGTTGGAGGAGCCGTCTCTCTCAGGGAGCTCTCCCTAGAAGGGAATTCCCTCAGCGGCAGAATTCCCTCCCAGATAGGCAACTGTTCTGCCCTCGTATCCCTGTTAGTTGGATTCTTCTCCTGTCATCCTTCATCTTTCCCGTACTGTTTCCTCTACTGTTTTTTGAATGGCTGGTTGTTCGAGCAGGTTGCTATCGAAGAACAACCTGACGGGCGGCGTACCCTCGAGCTTAGCGAACCTTACCAACCTGCAGATTGTGAACCTCTCGCGGAATCGCCTCTCAGGGAACCTCCCCAAACAGCTTGGCGACCTCCCTCACCTTCTTATCTTCAACATCTCCCACAACCTATTCTCCGGCGACCTCCCCGCCGGCAACTTCTTCAACACCATATCTCCGTCCTCGGTCTCTGATAACCCCTCCCTCTGTGGATCGGCCGTCAACAGCTCCTGCCCAGCGGTCCTCCCCAAGCCCATCGTCCTCAACCCCAACTCTTCCTCCAATCCTTCGTCCTCGGGCCCCCTCTTCTCCTCCGACCTCCGGCACAAGAAGATCATTCTCAGCATCTCCGCCCTCATCGCCATCGCGGCCGCCGCCCTGATCACAGTAGGGGTGATCACCATCACCGTCTTGAACCTCAGAGTTCGGTCCTCCAACCCATCTCATTCTGCCGATGTGCCCCCCCCGTCCGACGGCTATTTCAGTCAGTCTCCCGCCACAGAAAACAACTCGGGCAAGCTCGTTATGTTCTCCGGCGAAAACCCCGGCTTCAGCGCCGGCGCCCATGCCGTCCTCAACAAGGACAGCGAGCTCGGCCGCGGAGGTTTCGGCGCAGTCTACAAGACCGTGCTCTGCGACGGACGGCCCGTGGCCATCAAGAAGCTAACCGTGTCAAGCCTGGTCAAATCACAGGAGGACTTCGAGAGGGAGGTGAAGAAACTCGGGAAGCTCCACCACCCCAATCTCGTGACCCTGGAGGGCTACTACTGGACTCCGTCTCTGCAACTCCTCATCTACGAGTACGTCTCCGGGGGCAGCTTATACAAACGCCTGCACGAGGCCACCGGGGAGGTCCTCTCATGGCGGGAACGGTTCGACGTAATCCTCGGGGTAGCCAAGAGTCTGGCTCAGCTCCACCAGCTGGAGATCATCCACTACAACCTGAAGTCCAGCAACGTCCTCCTCGACGTCTCCGGCGGGCCCAAGGTCGGGGACTACGGCCTGGCCAAGCTGCTGCCCATGCTGGACCGGTACGTGCTGAGCAGCAAAATCCAGAGCGCCCTGGGTTACATGGCGCCGGAGTTCGCTTGCCGGACGGTGAAGGTCACCGAGAAGTGCGACGTCTACGGCTTCGGTGTGCTGGTACTGGAAGTGGTGACGGGCAAGCGGCCGGTGGAGTACATGGAGGACGATGTGGTGATGCTCTGTGACACCGTCAGGGGGGCCCTGGAGGATGGCAGAGTGGTGGAGTGCGTGGACAAGAAGCTCGCCGGCAGCTTCCCCCCCGACGAAGCAGTGCCCATCATGAAGCTCGGCCTCATCTGCACCTCCCAGGTGCCCTCTACCAGGCCGGAGATGAGCGAGGTGGTCAACATCCTGGAGATGATCCGGTCCCCTCAGGACAGCAGCCAAGGGGAGGAACTGGGTTGACCCGACACACCCGGTGGGCCTTCGCTGTTTAGTTTATTTTGCTCCTTTCTTTTTCTCCTTCGCTTCCTGCTCTCCTCCCATCCCTCCCCCCAACGAGGAAGCCACCCAGCCAGCCATCCAACAGAAGGAAGAACGGGTTCTCTGGGGACGAGGAATCCGACTGGTTTGTCAATGTTTGTTTCCGCCACTCGCCGGATTCCTCCTCACCGGGCTCTGCAGATCGTTGGACGCTTCCGATAAATATTGTTTTTATCTTCCTCCAGATTAATCATTGCCCGCTTATCTTCTCTCTCCATCTATTTCTTCCCTCCGCCGGTGGAGGTCTTAAAGCCTGGCCTTCCGGTCCGTCGCCGGCGGAGCACCGTCTCCCCCCTGTCGTCACGACGACAGCGAGAACTGCTGGACTAGTAACGACCGACGGGCGGTAACCCCCGCTCCACCACAGCTGCCCCCTTTCGAACCGGGTCAAACACGGGGGCAGCTCTGCTTCCCTCCTCCGGGCTGGGATTTCGCAGAGGGAGATGGCGCCCTCTCCAAAAGTCAAAATCCCCGGGGTTTTAGAGAACAGGAGCGGCGGGATTCTCAGAACTCGGCCGGCGTAAAGAATGCCCCTCCGGCAGGGGCAAGCAAGGGCCATGTGATGGAATAAAGAATTCCCACAGTCTCCTTGGGATGTTGTCGGAATGGAGAGATTCGCTATGTATTCCCTACAAATGATTTTTTCTCTCTTTATCGCCATCCGTCGCTTGCAGGGCGCCCGACTGAGATTCCGCCACATGGGTCGGGCGAGCTTCGAGACCTTCCGAGTTATAAAAGAACTGACTCGGCCGCCTAGTCGCGCGCTTGAATATCTGTGAAATGGTGCGGTGCTCCCCGGATTTAATGCCCGGGCCATTTTCTTAATCGCGGCGCCGTGGATGGCCGGGGAGACCGGCACATGGCTCCGACTTGAGTGCTTCGAACGAGTCGCGTCTCCGAGCCGGAACCCTCGAGGGAGGTCAACGCCCACGTTGCCTCTGGACGGCGAGCCGGCGTGCCGCGATAAGAGGATTGCCCATGAGACTGCTCAGCACGGGACATAGAGAGAGAGAAGGAGAGAGAGGAGAGAGAGGACCTTCAGATCATCATCATCTGTTACACGACAGGATGGAAAGGTCGAGATAGGGAGGAAACACGGGCCTGTAGGAGAAGTTGGCCTGGGCCTGAATCATTATTGAGAGGGGGGTAGAGGGAACGAGGCTACGTACGTTCAGAGGGTCTAGGGCAGGTAGGGCCTAGAGAGCCTACATCTCTTAGACTAGGTTAGGTCCCTCGGTCTCTCGTCTTCATCTTTTCAGCACTGCTCGAACTGTCACTTCCGTTCAAATCCCAAATACGGATGTCTGAGGCGGAAATCATCCTTGTCGGCCCTACGGCCCACATCCAAGGAAGACCCTCAGACTGTACGTATGATCGCGCGGGCAAAATTAAATCTTTATAACCTGGGAGGGGAGATCGAGTAGCCATTCACCGCAAAACTTTGATAAGAAACGGCCGCGTAGAGGAGGGCCGCAGTCTACGCTCGGCTCATGTACTGCCCGGTTCTCGTGTCGACCAGTATCTCGTCTCCGGTGTTCACAAACAGAGGGACATTCACGACTGCCCCCGTGTCCAGCGTTGCCGGCTTCGACCCTCCTGCAAAGTTGGAGACAAAATTAGGTTAGTCATAATCTTCGGAAGAAAACCCACTCGGACCAGTTCCTCCCGGTCGCTCTCCGTGCGGAGACTGTAGCTTCACCTTACGCCATTATATTCAGTGTAGGATGAAATCGGCATTACCTTGAGCGGTGTCCCCTCGCAGGCCAGGGTCCACGTCGACGACCTTCAGTTTGACCGTGATGGGGAGCTCGAAGTCGATGACCTGCACCAGAGGGGATGTTAGGGTAGCTTTAGCGACGGGGAAGGTTGCAGCTGGATTGCAGAGTGACGAGGGCATCATACCCGCCCGTTCCAAGAGAGAAGAATGCAGTCCATGCCCTCTTTCAGCCACTTCACCTTGTCCCCGACATCCTTCTCATTCAGACGGATCTCTTCGTAGGAAGACTGCAGGGGAGCGATGCGTAAGCTTCTCTGAACTCCAACGTAAAAAAGCTCATGAAGAGCGCACCCCTGCTCCCATGACGGCTTCCTAAAGGGGACGAGCATAGAAGAAAGTGAGAGTGATACCAGATCCATGAAGACGAACTGAGAACCATCCTTGTAGGTGAATTGCTTAGTCTCTTTGGACACATTTGCCTCGCTTAACTGGGAAAAAGGGTAATAATGGATTTTAAACGCGGAGAAAAAAAAGGAATAAATGTATATTTTTATATATATTTATTTATTTTGGAATGGTGAATATGCTAGAAACAGAAAAGAAAATTTCTCAGGAAGATCATCATTAATTGGCTGATAATTTTCGGATGATTTACTGTTTTCAGAAACCAAGTTTCCTAGCCATGTAAGACCGCACAGAGGGCCACGGTCTGAAATGGGACATTACCGTGCCGCCAGCTCGAAAAGTCTTCTCCACAACGTTGCCTGTAATGTAGTTGCGCATTTTGGTCCTCACAAAGGCCGCACCTTTTCCGGGTTTCACGTGAAGAAATTCTGCAGTAGTCCACCACAAGCATATTCATAGATCTATAGATCAATAGATACACAGCATCTTATTAAGTCGACGGTCATTCATTATGGTCATCTTCGACTTAATGGCCTTTGGTTGGATAGACGGCTAAGATTACATCGAAAACACTATCATTCACAAGATCCCATTTGCTTCCAGCTCCTATTCCTCTGGGGATTACTGAACTTGGATAAGCAGCCGCAGCCCACCCAGTCGCTGGAGAGATATTAAATAAATACTCAACCATTAGCTGACTTGAACCACAGTGCCCAGCTGTACGCCGCCCTTTCTATCCACTGATGTGATTGAGTTAACAAATGACCATCATGGCTCCACTTAAATAGGATACCTAACTTGGTGGAAAACATTAATGTTTTCAAAAGATCAAGGCCAGTTCTTGTGGGTTATTGTACTTGTCTCTGCTTCTCCAAAAGTTTCCTTTTTTACTTATCTGAACGCATCGTGCGCTTCATGGGAATTAAAAAGTCAAACTTGCCAAACTATTGGAGAACTGGGAACTGTTTTGCCAACCTGTGTCCAAAAGATCCGTAGTCAAACACCAACGCAAATGGCCCCAAGTACGAAAATGGGTGGGCAGTCTGGTGGGGGAGGCTAATTGTGCTTTTTACGAAAAAATAGTTTCAGCCGGGGTAAATACGAACGACCAAATCAATTTTCTTCAAGAAAATAAAGGAATCGTCGTTTATTTTTATTTTTTTATTTCATGCAAACAAAAAGAAAAAAAGTAATGCCAAAAACCCACTATAGTCGTAGTTAATGGAGAAAAAATGTTTACGAAAAAAGAATTTTTCTATTCTTCGTTTCTTCAACTGCGTGTATTACACAAGGCACAAGAGTTGGTTCGAACCCACATTGAATTGAAAGGGGGAGGAGGAAGGGAAGATGCAGCTCCAATGGGGGATGAGTGGTAACCAGACACTCAAATCTATGCTAGGGCAATCCCACAGCCAATATTTCTACAGTTCTTCAGTCAGCTATGCCATACAAGAAACTAACCTCAACCAGAGGAGCCGCAATGTAGACCGAGGTTCATCCCTCTCTCTACAAGTTCATCGAATAACTAATACTCATGACTGGAGGCTTACTTCCCCAATTTAGGGGTTACTACAGTCACTGAGCTCATGGTGAAAAAAAGCTGACTATTAAAGTAACAAGCTGCGGTACAGTATCCAGATGATATCAACAGATATGAAATAAATTGAGGATTGTCGTTATATTTTTTCCTAGAAAGAACATATCATGCATTAATATGAACAAGAAAAAAAAAATTTTCCACCAATTTCGCTACCAAACGTTCTCCTGCACTCCTTCTTGAGAGGTAATTATATTTAATTCCCGACGTGGTCAATTTTTTTTCTTTCTTAGAACCCTGAAAGCCCTTACCCCATTACAGGCAGACCGGTTGATATGATATCGAGAAACGATAACAGCTATGAACAAACATGATTTTGCAGTAAAAATGGGTCAGAAACGCTAGTGGAAGTGCATCAGAAAAAAGAAGTTTTCATAAAAGCTCGGGAGCTCGACCAATAAGACTGTACAGGTTAGTTACACAGAAATGCATTCCGAAGAAAAAAATAAACACGAAATAATACAAGGGCAATCGCACTCTTATGCATAACGACGCCAGGAATTTTTCAAAAATCATCAATATGATTTTATCTCCGATAAGAATATCATTTTTCAAAATGTGGGATGCCAGCGTTGACAACAGAAGAAACCCCTGGAGCAAGAACAGCAAATCGTACCTAAAACCCTCCATGGAGCCCCGTCCACTTCAACGTTGATGCCCACCTTAATGTCGTTGCTCGTCAAAGCATATATTCCTGCATTCAGAACAAAGAACAGGAGACTAATTCACAGGAGTCGGGAATCAGGATCGGGGGAGAGGAAAGGCGGCCGAAGAACAAGACACTAACTTGGGAACCTGGAGCGCCTGGGGAATCCGTGGTGGACGGGATATCTCGTCGGGAGGCGCAGTGGGTTTAAGGGAGTAGCGAGGGAGAAGCGGACTTGAGGGTTCGACGTGGGCCGCAGAGAACCGATTCCCGCCATCGTCGTCTCTCTACTTCTATCTGAGAAGCAGAGGAGCTCTGAGAAGAGCCCCCCCAAACGACCCAGATGATAAGGGAAAGATAGAGGGACGAGGGAGAGCTGACGTGGGCAGGGGCGACATGATGCTCCCTCACGTGCTACCAATTATATAAGGGCTTATATGCAAATAAAATTTCCATAAGCGTAAATGATAAAAGGGAATACATTTTTTATGATCTATAAAATAAAATAAAATAAAATATCACTTTTTGGGTTAAATTTCGTGCCTACGGTGGCGTCGATGTTTCCAGAGTCCGGGTTGTGCTATAAAAACCCATTTGTGTCAGCTGCTGTTGTGGCCATCACGTCCTATGTGATCACCCAATGGAGATCTTTGATGGTTTCTCATGGGCTGCGTCATGTGGGGTCTCCTCCAGTCGCATGGAACTCTGGAAAGGTTTTTGATTCAGTTGCAGATAGAGAAAGGACGGCGTCGTGTCCCCGCCTTAGAGAGGAAGATCTCGGGGATGCGGCCTAGCGTCATGGAAGATCTCAGAAAAAGAGGATGGCTATGTCCCCGATGGGTCGTGATTGTCGATTCTTCCGAGAGGGGAGTAGCTGGACTGCGGTCATTGTACTGATGCCATGCGCTATTCGACGAGCATGGACGTACATGAACAGCGGTGCTCAACCTGGTAAGGGGCCGCGTCTTATGTTTCAATATTCTTAGGCCGTCACAGGGCTCAGGGAGGCTCATGTTCTTGAATTCTAGGATCCAGTGAAGGATTGTTGACAAAGGGTGGAATTTGGAAACGGCAATGAAGAAGGCGTTTCATTGTGCAAGAGGTGAATCAGGTTATCCATTGCTATCAGGTGTGACTTGTATTTCGGGCCCAGGTTTGTGACATGATGTGACCATGCGTGCGGGGCATCGCCTGAAATAGCGTATAAAGCATAAGAAGGGAAAATGGACTCGGTTATAGTCGGAAGAAGCGCATCTCTTGTCCAGTTCACATCCTGGAGTCTGCTAGGACATATCTCCCAGACATTCTAACGTGAAATCTGACTAAAAGATGCACTTGAAAATCGATGAATTCTCTTCATTTATGCATCTTACCTGGGATCAATGAATGAAAACTTTGTCAGTTTCACCTTATAAGTTCTGAGAGATGCCCTTCATTTTGCCAGCTTAAAAACAGATGCCCTGCTGTCAACAAAAACAGAATCCATTTTCCCTGTCACTTGTCTTTTGCCTGAGAGCTCTCCTCGTTGTAAGAGTATTAGGATGAGTTATGAGCCTCGGGCTAGGAAGGCTGTAGTGTACTGATTATGGATGGGTCTTAATACTACACGCAGAGCATCAATAATTTTCGTACAAAAAATTGAAATTGTATCACTCAGACTATCGGAATGTATTAAAAGTATGAAATAATGTACCATCCTGCTGTTTGTCTAATTTGACTCCTTTAGATGGGTAAAGATAAACAATTATTTCGTGCAAAACTTAACACAACCTTTTAATGATGGAGCGGTATTATTTGATAATTTGATATTTGAGAGAAGCTAATGACCGGAGAAACTCACCTGCATTTTGGAATGTGTTTGTTTTATGATATAGTTTTATGTAATTATTGCCATTGAGGCAGTGCCTTGGGGACAGTTATATCAAGTGTTATCCCATGAAGTGCTTTTGTTGCTAAGGATATCACATGCAATTAGTCAATACATCTTGCAGGATGCCTGAGACTGGACTATAATTTCTTTTTCTATTTTCTCAAAACTAATTTTTGATAATTAAAAATATTTCAGAAAGAATTGGAGCATCAAACTGATGTTCAATTTTGTACTGAGTGGAGTAGGTCAATACAGTTTAATTGCGTGTCTTAATTTGTCCTTTCCCTGTGAGATTCAATAGTTCCTCACGTGGACCACAAATTTTAAGCATTTTCATCTCAAGATAACTACCTAATCTAAACTGTGGAGTTCCAATTACATGTGAAAAACTTTCGCCCATCTCAATCTAAATCATTCATCCCTGAGAGGATTAGGTCCATATATTTTAATAAAAGGTGCAGAAAGCTGCATTGTAGAGTTCCATGCATGCATGCATTTGTCTTCTTTATTGAAGACTTTATAAAAATGCACTCCGCCTATGGATTGACTATCAACGACACGAAAACCAAACTAAGATGTATGTGTGCAACTTTTATTCCTAAAAGAATTGAGGGTTTAATTACAAAATATAAGTTGGAGGTAAATTATTTCATGTTAAGCTCAAAGGTGATGAATAAAAGGACCGGCAATGTGGCCAACTGCAGAGAGGCATGAAATTTTTGTCAGTTGGCCTTTCTATCCTGCACTTCTCAATTAGTCGTCATCCAGAATTCCACACCTTCATGCATGAAGTGATTTACACAGAGCTACTACTAAATCATTTACGAATAATCGTCTTTGGTGAATACCAAATTTTCTTGGACCAATATAAAATTTGCAAAAGATTAGACATTGTAAGCTCCAATATTTTACTTGTGGACAAGTTCCGAAAAAGTGGCATGCTTGAATGTTGTTTGAGAAAACCACTTGCGTCTTAATGAGCTTTAAAGTAGTTGATTTTTTTATGGATTTGAAAGCTTAAATTTGAGAAAGTTCATTTGGATTCTGAAATTAATGACCTTCGAAAATCTATGCCGAACTAACTATTGGAAACGAACCCTCACCAATGCTACAAAAATGACTTATTTTTGGCACTCTTTTCCAATTTTTTAAAATGGTTTTGACACAGACAGCCTGTGTTGTCACGCATGATGGCATTTGTTGATGCGTGCCAACATTTCTACTCTATGATAATATCTTGCTTTTGTTTCTCAATACCTCAAGTGTTTCTACTTGGCTATTTTTAATATATTTTATGCTTGTGAAATTGCTATAAAATATATTTTAAATATATTTTATTCTTACAGACAGCCTGTGTTTTAATATACATTAAGATGATAATTTATTAACACCCTGACACAGTTTGCACAGAGTGGCTAATTTTATATGTGCACATTCCAAAATCGAGAAATTGTTATCTTGAAACAATTCATTAGGATGTGTTGAAGAGATTATAGAATGCATGTTGTCAAACCATCACATTTTCATTTGCAAAGCTGAGTGACAAATGATTCCAGCAAGTTGAGATTGTCTAATAAGGTTGTAATGGTGTGGAAACAGTACGCAGTATGGAAACGAAGATTCCAACAGTTGGGTTGTTTTGTGGAATATTACCTGGAAGATTATGAAAACTTTCAAGAATGTATAAGAATGTGTAAAACTCACCTGTTGATGATTTTCCATTATCCTTGCGATCATCATCCTTTTTGGTGTTCTATTGCGTTAGTATACTTCGAAAAATGAGGCAAATTTGAAAAAAAAATGAAAATCAAAACTCTTGATTTTCAAATTCTCTTCATCTTATGTTTTACATCATACCTTGCAGCAAGCACCACAAAGTCTATTATTAGGAAGGCAAGCAATTGCAAATTGCTCCTTGCGCTCAAATCATTGAATATTTTTTGACATGTTGATGATGATGAATTCTGAATCAATAGCTTCGTATTTGTTGCATCCAAAGTGAAGAGAATTGTATTTATGAGCAAGCAGTTGGCCGAATGAAATACAGTGGGCAGGGGGGGGGGGGGTTAAATCTACTGCCCTATTCTTGTGATACATGGACAGAAATCAGAACGGTTCACAATAAAGAAGGGAAAATGCATGCTTCAGACGCCATCCAAATTGAATTTGACTTGGCCGTGTTCAAAAGCAGGAAACATTATCCATTGACATGATAAAGTTGCACGCAGAATATAAGGATGCTGCTGCAGCTCTCACCGCATAGTCCCCCTCCAAAGCGTCCCCCTGCTTCAACCTGCCGTCAGGGAGAAAATTCTCAGGTAAGAACCCATCCAAGACTAAATGAACTACATGTTGAAGAAGATTGATTCACAGAATGGTTACACGTTCGCGGATCATTAATTGGATGAAACTGATGAGCATATTAAAGCAACTGAGAAAATCATATGATAGATTTTGCTTGATTGCATTTACCTGCCGTTATGTGAGGAACCAGCACACATCGATGCGTCCTCTTTCACAGATTTCAGTCCCTTTTCGCATTTTATCTGCATTTCTTTCACCTGTTGCAGCAGCCTCTCCTGAACAAAAGAGAAAACGTAGATATCTCATGATGTGATGAATTTAACATTTGCACGAACTGATGGAAAAGCTCCAGTTTAATGCTATTCCCCATCCTTTAGACGGTGTCCATGGTGTTCTTTCTCATTGACTTACAAGATGTGTTCCCTCCTCAGACAAGGCCATGTCCATCTGATTGAAGAGGATCCTCCATCTCCTCCCGTGATCAACAGAGGCTGCGTACTTTTCGGAGGTGGCATCTGACTGTTGGAAGTAACAGTTATTCTCTTGGCTTGACGAAGGTTCGGCTAACACCAGGTAGGGTAGCTCTTTCTGGATCACATACCGCACTCTCTTCCTACTTCGTCTCAGAGCTACGTCAGGCAGTAGAACATTCGCAGGATTAGCAATGGTGCCATGAATCGTATATATTAGCGCACTATGGGAAGCAAACAGTTCAAGCCAATCATTACCAGCTAGACGGCCTCTGGTGTCCTGATACAGAAGCTCCAACCATTGAGAAGCAACAGTGGCCGCTACAACAAGAAAGACCCAAGTTAGTTCCTCCGATGTATGCTTCCTCTAGCTTGCCCATTACTGTAAATGGATATCTGGCAGAAACTTGAAATCGAAGTACAGTCAAATCAAAGTTCATGACCCGGAAAGAGACTCACCTTTTAGAGAGAGGGAGCCGACACTGTCTCGGTTCCCTGGAGCATCCTCAGTAGACAAGCTGCTGACATTCTCTGATGGCATTGTTCCACCAGTAGTCAGTTTCAGCGCGAGGATATCGTCCTCGTCTCTGGAGGACGCGTGAGATGAGACATGCCTATTGCGGAATCTCTCGTCCTCCAAACCCAGTTCACTGATCTCACCCTTGCTCTCAGGGACTGAAAAATTGAACAACTTGTTCGATGGAAGGTTGAGCCTCCTGGGCCCCCTGTTCTTCCCATCCCTGTTCCACCTCCTGGGCTCGCCTCCGTCGGCGAGCCCGTCGGCCAGTCCCTCGGCTTTCTCGGACCTGACTATCGCCTCAATTATGGAATGGACCTGCTTGCTGTTCCTCACATGGTTGATGATCCCGGGATTCAACCCAGAGAGGAGCCCACTCGGAGAGGTGATCTTGGTGAACCTGTTAACCTGCTCTCTCTTTGCAGTCTCTGGCTTCTTCTGTTCCTCCTCTTTCCTCCTCTTCGCCGGACGGCCACGCTGCTTCGGGACGGGGGGGATCCCCCCGTGTGAAGAGGTAAGGAAGCCGTTCTGCTTCATCTCCCTCCATCTCCTCAGCGGCTCGCTCTCCTCCAGAGGCCCAGTCGTGCTCCCACACTCCGAGGGATCCGCAGGCCTCGCTTGGCCCAGGTTCCTGTACGGGTGGAACGGATTGTGCTCCGTGGAATCTGAGACGTCTACCACGTTGAGGTCCAGCCCAAGGCCCGCGAAGGGCTTGACGCCGGAATTCTGGCTTCTCTCCGCCGTTTCTGGTAGAAGAGAGGATTGAGAATTGCCCTCTTGGCCCAGACCGAGGCAGGCGACAGAACCAGTGCCCTGCACACACGTCTGTCGTTTGCTCGTATGAGAGGACCCGTCTCCATCAGTGGACGATTCAAGATCCGCTTCGTCTCTTGAGGAGGCTCTCAATCCTGAATCATCATGGGTATTGATCCCTCAGAATCAGAGCTGGACTATTTATAGATGCCGAGGAGGAAATTGGGCACATGTCCGCAGTGAATTTATCCCGTGGAATTTTATGAATTAGTGTGAAAGAAGACGAACCTTCTCCGTGGAGAATAGACTCGAGATCCCGCATTTTGATCCGCTCAGATCCCAGATCTTCCCCATCATCCGGGCCCTCGTCGAGGCTTCTTCCGTCTCCGACGTTCTGGGCAGAGGAGAAGAGAGTGAGTGAAGGCGAAGAAGGACAAAATGGCGCGCGACGAGGGGAAGGCGGAATCCTTGCGAGAGACAGGAGACCCCGAACCTTGGAGCAAGATCTGAGAGCAGAGAGCGAACGGCCTGGACAATCCATCCGTCGGTTCAAGAAGCTGCCTTTCCCAGCCGCAAACCCAAACCGGCGGGGACGAGGAAGAAGAAGAAGAAGAAGAAAGAGGTGAAGAGGAAAAGCGAGGGAAAGAAGAACAAGCGGTGACAGGAAGGGACGCCAGCGGTGGGTTGCAGATTTGAATTTAGGGTTAGGGCTGAGAGGGTTCATAGATGGGTTTGGGACGAAGACGACGACGACGACGACGACGACGACGACATATTTGAATCCTGAGTGTCGCTCCCTGATGCTCCCTCTCACTGCCTTCTTTCCCCAACGGTGGCGTCTCGTCCGATTCAAATTCGAAACGCGGCGGCGGAGTGGCCACCAGATGAGGATGGAGATATTTGAATGTAGATCTGCCGGCTCTGGTGCCGCCTTTTTCGAGGGAAAGCGGTCTCTAAACCTCTTCCTTTGGAGTCCCCACGTGGCCCGGCCGGTCGTCGGGAAAGTCCACAGGGCACGCTCGAACCGCCTCACCCCGAACCGGCCGGGCGATCCGTCGTGATTCGTACGGATCGCCCCGGTGAAGCGGTACGAGATTTTGAGAGCCCGTAGTGGACGTACCACGGCCCAAACCACACTCCACCAGTTGGATTTTTTTTTATTTATGCAATCGAATAAGCAGATAATATCGTCCAAGATCGTGGCTTTTTACCCGTCAAGTGAGACCAATTTTTTAATATAGTTCCAAACTTAGTATTGAAGTACTTGCTTCTCCCCCCATATGAAGTTAGATGGGTCAACAGGAACCGATGGCTAACTACCTTCAATCCCCAAACATGCATGTATGGCACTGTGTTGCCAAGTAAACCGTAGTTTGGGCAAGGGCTATCGTCAGCATTATATCTCTCTCTCTCTCTCTCCCCCTCCCTCTTGTATTGCCTTGTATTCTCTTCAAGGTATTTGGCAAACTATTGTTTGTTTTTTATGTGAGTTATCATTGTCTATAGTATTATCTATAATGGGTTTACAATAATATGTCATCCTCAACTTCCTTTTCCATCCAAATCAAATGGTGGAGCTAACCTCTCCTCTCGTCCATAGTGGAATGACATATTTGTGATGCCACTCCTAGATGTATTATCATCTTTCCCTAAAGAGAACCTAATAAGAGTATCAGATTATCATTGATAAGTCTTTATTATCATGAGTTTTAAAAAATAAATAAATAAAAATCTTATTTAAGACAAATTATAGTAAATAAAATTATATTTTTGTTGAATTATGAAAATTCAATTTTAGTTAGTTAATATATATTTTTGATTAATTATGTGATTTTATGTGAATTTATCTAACTTTTATAATTATATTTTTGAGATAAATGAAGATAAATAAATAAAATAAAAATATAGAAAAAGGAGGACCCGTCAACCATGTGGGCCCATAAGTAGGTCAAAATCATAGTCATGTGGAGCCAATAGTAGAGGGCTTAATTGGTTAAGGACTAATAGGAGACACACATGTGATGTCACTCTCCTTCCATGTCACTGGTGGCTAGTTCGGTGTGGGGTAAGGAGTGGTCGTATATGTGTGTGAGAGAGTTATTAATTACATAATCTTGTATGACTATATATTTGTCTCATAACTTGAAAAATAAGTGATGTGAGACTAAACTTGCTTACAACTTCTCATAACATTTTTTAGGATTTTTAATACTTATAATACCCTTAGTTTGTGACAAAAAGATACCCTTATGACATTACCTTATAAGGGTATTCTCATATAGGCAGGCGATCAACGAGGGTTTGAACCCCACCAAAGCTAAAATTTATATTTTTCTATGATTAAATCATATTTTTTTTGTGAAGTGCCGATTAACAATTAAATCGTTAGAATAACTCAATCATTAGTGAAAATCTCATCAACTCGATTTGTAGAAAATCGTTATCCCAAATTATTGAATGATTCTAGATAAAAAGATCACGAATCTATCGAGTAAATTATCTTTGATTAGTCAATGAATAAGTCATTGTCAGAAAGAGAAGGATCTATCAAGAGATGAGTCACTATCTTTTGAGAACGTACCAAATATGTGGCGTATCCTCTTACTATGCAGACCTAAAGATGAAGCTCTTTAGAATGTGCCCCACCTCAATGCAACTTATCTCTATTGGGTGATAACCGTTAGAGATCTACAAAGTCGTTATTTTTTTGTTCTGTCGAGTGACAACCATCAAAAATATTTTATCAACCCACCTTATTAATTTATAGACTTTGAAAAAAGATCTAGAGATTACTTATATTATCCATGTCTAAGGAGAGCTTTTAAGGATATAATATGATAGTCCCTTCGAATATTTAAGATTCTGATGTATCGTCATCATGATGTTGGAACCCTGTTATATTATTTTTAATTAATTTAACTTCTACCATCATATTCTAATATTCAAAAGAAGATATAAAGTATGTCTAGATTGTCCATATCTAAGGAGAGCTTTTAGGGTTGTGGACATCGTTCAATAATCTTTCTGAACACACATAAATCTGATGATTGCTATTGCGAGGTCAGAACTCTGCCTTTCTTATTTTTAACTTAATTTTTTCTTTTTTTTTAATACTTTGTGTGATTTCACTTTTTCAAACTCTTCGCATTAAATTATGATTTTTTTAGGTTTTATAGAACTTAATTTGATCAATTAAATTATTTATAGTTGTTTATATAAAAATCATCTAGTAGAACTTTATTTTTGTCTAATTCACATTCATTAGGCCATTGATGTTATCTTGATGTCCACACCCTTATTTCTCTTTTCACGAATTTAATTATATTTCTCTTCATTATTTAGTCTAAAAATTATAAAAAATTATATTATTTGTGAAAAATTATAAAAAATTACTTGATATTATATTACATTTGTGTGAATGGCTTGAAAATTTTCTACTATTTTTTATTTTTTTTATTAAATTATAATTAATATATTTATTTTAAAATAATTTTAAATATCTAAAAAATAGTATATTTAATTTTATAAATGCTAAATTTACTGGATTTATTATAAAACAATAGCCAACATCAATCGTCAAACTCTTTTATGGAGTATATTACCTAGTTATCAGATTATCGTTCTCATTTCATATCCCAAGGAATGAGATACTTATCAATAACTTGGGATGCCACGCCAACTTCTCTAACAAAGGTTATGGTGTGGCCTTCATCCCTTTATGGCTAGGGCTGACTATAGCTACACAAGCTCAGAATGTTCAAGCTATTCCCACTTGGTGGGTCTAACACCCATGTGGGCCAATTGGTTCACATGAGTGATTTGGTTTTCTACATCCTTAACAAAATTACTTGTCGATATGTTTTTTGCATGTAAACCTCCAACATTGGTGAGGGTTTAGAGCTTCAAATTCCATAGCCAATTCATGGAGTTCATTGAGATCTTAGGCAGCTCTTGCCTGATTCCTCTCTCTCCTCAAGAAATCCTTTGATTTCTTTGGCAACCTCTTTTAGGGGCAAATCAAGGCACAAACCCCAAAACTTTCTCTTTTGACTACAATATCTTAACAAAGACAATGGTGTTCACAAGTGTGTGGGCAAAGTGCTTCGAGGAGAGCAAACATTTGTATTGGGGGAGGGGAGTCATCATATTTTAGGTTTGTTGTTGTTAGATGATTCTTATTCCAAAAGGAAGAACATGTTTGTACGACCATGGATATAGAAGGATTATCTAAACCATATAAAAGGTGTAGGGATTAGCAATGTGAGATGATGCTCATCCCCATGTTAGATCTCCTATTTGTACTGCTACTAGGAAGGGAAAGACTGATTGCAATAGCTCAACCAGATGAGACATCTCTTATTTACAGAACTGTGTTAACGTGTGCCTACATAGTGAGTGTATTTGATTTACCAGTTTCGGCCATCTCTAGTATAAGAGGCTGAACTTCCATTCATATGCCTCTCATTTTGTGGGTTTCTTTACCATGGATGTGTAATGTTTTCTCTCTTAAATCTTTTGTAATACTTTATCTTTTTGTACCATTTCGATGTGGTACTAATATAGAAACCACATAACTTATTAGTAACAAATGGTCATAAGATTTGATTTGACATTGAAAATGTGGTCAAAACTGAAATTTGTGCCTATTGGTCATGTTGGATCTAGGAAGGGAACTCTAAAGTGTCCTTTGATAGCTTTGTTGGTTTCATCATAGGCAACCACCTAGAGGAAATGCCTTATTTATAAATTTCATTAATTCCTCCACATCAACTTATTATTATACTTCCAATCAGAAACTTATTTGGCTGGGTACTAAGAGAGAGAGAGAGAGAGAGAGAGAGAGAGAGTGAGAGTGAGAGCTAAGGGGAGACATGAAATAGGAGAAATAAAAAAAATTAGGCACAAGGTCGTGGGGAACAATTGATCACATTTGAGAGGGTCAGTCTTATAATGTTTCCTTTCTTTCTTTTCTACTACTTGCTCTAGCCTTGAATCCTTGGTATTAGCTACTCATGTTTATAGTTGAGTTGAATTCATGCTGTCTTTTGGGTAATTGGTTGGTCTTTTGGTCAAGGGTTTTCACTTCATCTTCTTTGATTGATGGTTTTTCAAAACAATGTCTTGAGTGATGCTGAAGTCCTCTTTTGATGCAACATTGATGAGGAGGTAGGTATCTTATCAATACTCCCCCCTAATTGTTTCACATTGTTTGCATAGTGAAGGTCTGATAATGCCTTCAGAATACTCCTTGCTAGTTCCCATGTTGCCTCTTATGGGGGTAGATTTTGCTAGTGTATTAGGACTTTTAAGCCCTACGTGTTGCATCTAACTTCTTGGAGGTCCATTGAAGTTACATCACAATTGAGGTCCAGATTGAGGAGAAGGGGTCAAATGGGTTGAGGTAGTGTTCTCTATTTTAAAATCTTTGGTTGGAATACATGGAACATTGAGTGGAAGTTGGTGGTGGCCAGAGAGTTCATATGATATATGTTAAAGTTAGTTTTTTGTATTTTAAATAATTTTATTATTTTATTTTTTATG